TACCGGCCGCGTTATAAAAATTTAAATAAATATTTTCGAAAATATTTATTAACTTTAAAATAATTATAATAAAAGTTAAATGTTTTTACATTACATTTATTATATTTTTTTTAAATTAACATTTTTTAAATAATTAATAAAAAATCTTTTATAAATTTATTAAATTTATTAAATTAATATATTAAAATATATAAATAAGTTTTTATTAAAATATTTTTTTATAATTATATAAATATTTATAATTTTTTATTTATTTATATATAATTATTAATTTTCCGTTATATAAAAAAAATTTTTAATACGGATAATTAATTTTTTAAAATTTAATTTTTTTTTAATAAAATAATTATAATAATATTATAATATTTAACTTTTTAATATCGTTAAATACGTTTCGTTAAATTAATATTTTTTAATAAAAATTTTTAAAATTTTTAATTTTTTTATTAAAAATATTATATTTATTTTTTTTAAATTTATATATATTATTATAATATATTTTAACGAAATTTATTAAATTTTTTAATAATATTAAATATAAAATTAATAATTACCGTTATTATTACGAGGTTATATTTTAAAAGTTTAATATTTATTTTATATTTAAAATAATTATTATTATTTTAAAAATTAATAATTTAAATTTTAAATTTAATAAAAGTTTTTATATTAATTTTTATTTAAAATTATATTAATATAATATTAAAATAATAACATTTCTTTTATTAAAACTTATATTTATTACCGGGATAAATATTAATAATTTTACGGCATTAAATTATAAAATTTAAAAATATTTAATTTAAAAGATTTATAATATTTATACATTATAATAAAGTTATAAACTTAATATAAATTAATATATTTATAAAGTTTACGTATTTTAATTTTTTTATAATATTTATATAATTTAAAAAACTTATAAAATTTAAAAAACTTAAAAAGTTTAAAGAATTTAAAAAATTTATAATTTTATAAATATTTAAATTATTAATATTTAAAATTATATTAACTTTAATATAATTATTATAATCATTTTTTATTAAATTATTTTTTTATAATAAAAATTATTTATAAAAATAAAAATATCGGGTAAATATTTAATAAAATTTTTTATTTTTTTATTTAAAAAATTAAAAAAATTTTTAAATTTATTTAAAATTATTAAATTTTTAAAATTATTTCGTCCCGTTTTTACGTAAATTTTATAATAAATAAAATAATTTATAATTATTATTCGAAAATTACGGTTTATTTTTATTTATCTTTTAAAATTTTCTTTAAATATATTTTATAATTTTTTATTATATAATTAATTATTATATATTTTAAAAATCTTAATAATATAAATATTTAATTTTTTTATACTCGTTTTTTTTAATTTAAATATATTAATATTTAAACCCGAAAAATTTTTATTAATATATTTTATTTAATTAATTATTATTATTATAATTAATTAATAAATTTTTATTAAAAATAAAATATTAAATAAAAAAAAAATAAATTTAATTAAAAAAAAATTAAAAAAAAAAATTAAAAATTTTTAAATTAAAAAAAATAAAAAGTTTAAATAAAAATATTAAAGTTTATATAAATTTAATAAATATATAAAAAATTATAAAATAAATTTTCGGAAAAATATAAATTAAATATCCGAAGGTTTTAATTATTAAAACACGTATAAAATTATATTTTTTTATAATTATAAAATATTAAAAATAAAAATATTTAATTTTTAAAAATTTTTTATATATTATAAACGTTAATTTTTTAATACGTTAAACCGTTTCAAAATTTTATTTATTAATAAAAAATATTTTTTTATAATTTATTAATATTATTAATTAAATAATATAATTTTAAATATTAATATATTATAATTTCGTATTTTTTATATAAAATAATCCGTAAATTTATTAATTAAATAATATAACCTTAAAATTTTTAAAATAATATAATAATTTTATATTTATAATATAATAAATATACGCGAATTATAAAATTTTTATTTTTTTTAAATTAATTTAATTATTTATAATTAATAAAAATTTAAATTTAATTAATTATTAATTAATATTAATAAAATTTAAATAATATATTAATAACGTATATAAAGTATATATTAATTAAATTAATTATACATAAGGTTAAAATTATATTACGCGGACGGTAAAAGTAAATTAAAATAATTTACCCCAAGTCGCACAAGCCACAAAGCTTTAACCCGTTGGTCGGGACCACGTGTTATAGTCCCAACAAATAATTATTTTCGCTTTATTTACAATTGGCGCCGACTCTTCTGTTAACGCTGTTAATATATAATTCATTATATTGCCTTGGATTAACTTCGTATTAAATTTGTATAGCTAAATAAAAGCAACCATTACATTACTTATGATTGATCACGGATATTTTCTAAGGGAAAACCATTAACATCTTAACAATCTTTACACGCTCCTTATCTAAGTATAGTTAAACACGAGCAATAGGGATTACACTGTTGGAAATGGGACAACGTATAAAGACGGCATCGAAGAAATTGGAAAGACTTGGTTTCTATGTGTGGCCTCTTGCTTATTTCCATCATTAGATCTTTCCCGAAGTCAAATATGTTTTCTTTTATCTGTGGCTTCGAGCTGATCGCGGGGAGTAATAACTCAAGAACGACGGTCTATACTGTTCATGGAAGTATCAAGCTTGAGATTAATCTTGATAATACTTATATTTAATAGTATCTTGTATAACTCTTATAGTTTCTCTAAGCAGAGTTGTTAGTCAAATGGTCGTAACCATTTCAAACACAACCGTCGCTGAGAGGAAAATGAGCTAAGGGCATAATAGGTCTTGTCTCACGTGAACTAACTTCTCTTACACAATCCTGCGAGACATCGTTGTATTGTAGAAAAACACTACCTAGTATTATGCAGAAAGTTGTTGAAACTGGTTAGGTAACCAATGTTAACCATTAAATTCGAGTCCCGACAGAAGGGATAGGGGCCGCGCTAATAACCACCTCCAACAGTAAAACAAGCTCAAAAGAGCTCTCAGGTAAACCTATGAAATTGCGGTGGCCAGTTTCGGAGAATTCAATAACAAATAGATATTTTCTCCACCGCCTAGCCGATCAGTTCGATACTTTTGGTCAAAGCCTAGGGGTTTCAGCCCACATATTCTTAAGTAGACATCAAGATACAAAACAAAAGACTTATTCTCTATAGGATGCTTGGAATTACTTAGGTACCTGTTTGATTTGTCTCGTATACCAAGAATTGCACTCTCAACCCATTTGTATATATGTGTGTTCTACGTGTTAGGAAAATTACCCCTATATATAAGATCATTAGAGGATCTGTATGTTAAACTATACCAAGGCCTTTAACAAGCCTTTCTAATCTAGTAGATTCTTTTTGAAACCATACGGGAAACAAGTCCGTGGCAAAATCAGCATCGGGATACTTTTTGGGTCCGGCCGAGAGAAACTTGCGAGGACCTGGATGACTATCTCGCCAAGTCGGGCTCTGAGACTGTATCAACACAGCATGCCCGACGTCATCGTCAGCCTTGATGACGTAAGGTAGGTTCCATCTTCGCGAACTAGTCCTTGAGTACTATTCGAACCATACTCAGGTATTACTACGGCTGATCGGCTTGCCACTTTTGGGCAGAAATGCTTCCATCATCCAAGCATGTGGCTGCTGCCCTGTTCGTAACGCAATTGATAACCTCACAAACGCCAAGATTAGTCCTGACTGGCTTGTTAGAGGAGGAGTGCATAAGGTAGTACGCAGGCCACGATGATGTATGAAAACTTGAAAAATCATAACTTGGAAAACTAGTCTAACGCACGGCGATAGGACTATTCGAGATGCTTCTGCATATCTGACACGATACCATTCATCTCTTATCAGATGGTACAACCAATGCTAACAAAAGAGAAGATGGAATTCTTGATACCTTGCTCTATAGTAGCACCTAGGTATACGCTGTGAATAACTTCAAATGCAAAAATTGACTTGGGCGACATTGATCTTGTCAGAGAAGCATAATACGAAGCGTCCTACAAAACTCAATAGTCGTACGTTCTACACCGCAATTTCTGTAGTAGGAGTATTATCCTAGTCTCTATCCCAGATTGCCCCCTCGGAAAACGCCCATAGCAAACACCAGGTTAGAAGAGGCAATCTATCGTCCACGAACGTGGCGAAAATATCTGTACCCCGGAATATTATCTCGGCCTATGATTTCTCATCTAGGTGATGCGATATACTGCAATGTTGTTATTGAATGACGCATTCACATGCAAGAAGGGCATGCTTTTGAGTCGTCAACGATATTTGTCTTGTTCCATCTCAATGATAATAGGTGCGATTCGAATTGCAACCAAAAGTTGTTCCCAAATGAGAAATCTCGAGATGCTTAGAAGAGTTCCTCAATACCTAAATGCCCTTCCAAAACGGTTTTCCATTGGACCAGCTTCTGCATTTGGAATACTGGACACTCGGAGCCCAGTCTCAACTCGGCATGATCGCCTAGATGAATAGCATTCCATAAGCCTATACTAATGTCGCTTACTACGACAGCGCACCCCAGCAACAGCATCAGGTGTAAGCAGTGTAGTGTAAGTAAGAGCGCGAGGCCCACGAGTCATAGTAAAATATAGTGATCACGGTCCGTCCAGTTGGTAAGGAAGACCGGATCGTTGGGGCTCGTTATCTCTCGGCATGTGATGGAGAGGGTATCGTAGGGAGGGTTAGAATTGAAACAATAAGGGTCCTGAAGTCTGGACTTCTTCAAACGACGGTGCGATGTCATTGGACGCAACGTCGAAGAACACTGGAACACCCTATAAAATCGGATAAGGTTGGATGGTTGCAATCTGCGAAGGAGGCGCATCTTAAACGACCCCCTGAAATGTGGCGGCCGACCAATCACATGCGAGCTCCTCGATTGATGGCACCAATAGTGTCGCCGTATCGGATGATGTTGAAGACCCGAATCTAATCGTTTAGATCCCGCAGGCGTCTACAGGGGTCGAAAGTACTGTAATCTGGCATGAGCATCTGGCAGGAGTCAATGACGAACGCGTATTCAAGATTTCGGGTCGAGCAAGCTGAATCAACGTAACGAAACGAGTCGTCGCTGCGGGTCAATCCAGTGTACAAACCGGCAGGGATCAAGATCCCCGAACAGATCATCCCGAAAGCGCCGATCACTGCGATCTCACGCTAGGTTAGGTGTTATCCCGTACGCGGGTTAAATTCTCGACCTCGGAATTGTTCGAGAAGCTATAGCCACAGCCTACATCTTTCTCGCAGAGCTGATGGAAGAGCGCTCTCATCTGGGAGGTTATCAACTTACTAGCGTAAAGCGACAGATAAACAAGAGGATGAGGAGAAATCAGCTTATAGAATGCGTATTATAACCTACCTACGTAGTAGGTAGCTAAGACCACTGTGGATATCACTTACTACCCAGTCCTTGTAGAGAAATTCTTGGCGGCGATGCCAAGCCTCGAGCTTCTCGACACCTACCGCGTACGAAATTCCTGCCTCCCACGACGGTTTCCATCGCGTAACGGCTGCCTTCGCGCCACTTAGGTGTACCCCTTGGTCCATCTTGGTCTATCCTGTAACCTCGCCTAGCGCAGCTTTACCCTTTCAGGGCCCCTCCCGAAAGAACGTGAATCTAGGTATTTGCGGCTGACTACCGGACGAGCCACGTCGGGTCTTGGAAATGGACGAGAGATAACGTATGGGCAGCCACCACGGTCGAGCTGCGGAAAAGCGTGATGGGGATATGTAGTAAGTAAATGGTCCTAGAGGAGGTAGGCTCCTTAGTAGTCGATGCGAGGATATGGGGATCCGTCGTGTCTAAGCCAATAAGAACGAAACTCGTAACACGGTAGAGATAAAAACCCGATACTACCTGCCAAAGTCGTCACTCAGCCTCAACAACGGATAGGCGTACTCGCCGGAGCGACTACGCCTGACCTGTTACCTAACGCTCGCCCACGACCAATGTGACCTACGAACGCAGCCGCATGCCCCAAAAGTTCTAGCCGCAAAACGGTCGAAGTCATCCTACCTAGCTAAATAGTATTAGCACATCATGATCTCGGCCAGATACAGCTTTTGCCATGTATCTGCGAAGCACATTCTTTGTCTCGCATTAATAGGTAAGTTCTTTGCCCAGATCGTCGTGGCATGCCCAATTCTAAGCTCACTATTCCGGTCTATTCTACTAGTTGCCACCGAGATATTACATGATGGACCACACCTGAAAGTGACGAGAGATCGATAACATCTACGGCCAGGACATGGGAGCGAGCGGCGTAGTAAGTTGCATCTCTTCCCTTGGTCCCGATGACCGGATTCGGACTCGAGAATCTGGTAGCGTACCTCTGATAGGGCTGGGCGTGCTAATTGTCCCAGTAAACCACTACGCCGCTCGACGCCCGGTTCTTAACAATGTGCCGACGTGGCGTGCAGATATGCACAGATATGTCGTGTCGCGCTTAACGGTTCCTGAATCCAGGGACCTCGATCCCCACAACGACAGCAACGAGGGGGATATACGCACGCAGCTTCCTAGGGATCATGCCCGCATGCTATGCTTGCCCTTTTGTGGATTCGAGATCAGATTCGAGGCGACACTGACCAGGATCAGCATGGGGGATTTCCGTTTCGAGCAGCTGGGAAAGCAAACAAGATACAAAGCTTGATAGCTCGGCCGACTCCATCATCGTTGAAACTGGGGATGCACGCCACGCCCATCTAGGCCCTCCGGGCCTATCACGTAGGACCAGGGCACCGTTGATCTTTGCGATATGGACGACATCGCATCGTTCGATGGGTCGGGGAGGAACAGTAACTCAGATCTGGTAGGCGTGAGGGTCTCTACCTGATCGCGCATAGATGACGCCGAGAATCTCACGCATCGCTAGTACTTATAGCCGTCGTCTCCATCCCGTCGTCTCCTTCGATTTCTAGAATTCCTCGTGCCAACCAACCCCAAAAAGCAGCAACCAAGAGATCAGAGAAACACATCCTCCTTCTCTTCGCCATGACGCACAACCACTCTGAAAAGGGCCATCCGGGTGCCTTCGACCTGGCACCGACACCCGTCGCTTCGACCTTGCCGTCGACCGGGCCCTCGACGGGGACGACCACCCCTTCGATACACTCCGTCGGCAAAGGGGGAGACAACGAGAAGCAAGTCGAGAGGGTCACCGAGCGCGCCATCCTCCCAGAGCAACTCGGTTCCGAGCTCAGCCGACAAGTCCGCCGTAAGTCTTCGCCGGTGCTACCGGTACACTCCCGGTCCACTGCCGGAACATATCACTGACATGTCCGCGTCTCTAGACAAGTACGCCTCCTCATATAGGAAAATATTCGGAGTCATATTTACGGCCAACCTGGCCGTCTTCGTCGCCTTGATGGCAGTTAACAAGGGTAACCCCAACTCGCGAGACGTGGGTAGCGCCGCGTCCGCAAATCTCATGGTCAGCATCTTGTTCCGGCAGGAGGAGTTCGTCAACCTATGCTACGAGATCTGCACCTGCGTCCCTCACTCGTGGCCCCTCTACATCCGGAAGCGTCTCGCAAAGGTCTTCCACTACGGAGGTTGCCACAGCGGCGCGGGAACGGCCGCGGTAGTATGGTATATCTTATACACGATATTGGCGACCAAGGACTGGATCGACGAGCCGGTCACCGACGAGCTGGTGAACATGATCACCAGCTGGATCTTGGTCACCATGTTCATGGTCATCCTAACCTCGGCTCACCCCGACCTGCGCCGGAAGTTTCACGACTACTTCGAGGCCTTCCACCGCTTCGCCGGCTGGACGGCCCTGACGACCTTCTGGATCCACAACATCTTCTCCGCCAGAGTCACCGCCAGGCAGTGGGACGCCTCTCTCGGCTACGTCCTCATCCACTCCCCCAACTTCTGGTGCATCTGCATCTCGACCACGTGCACCCTCGCTTCCTGGTCTCGTCTGCGCCACCGCGTGGTGTACCCCGAGAAGCTGAGCGACCACGCCACCCGCCTGCACTTCAAGTACAGGGGCATGGCGCCCTTCTACGGCCTCAAGATCAGCGACAAGCCCATGACCGAGTGGCACGCCTTCGCCACCATCCCCGACGTCGACCCCGAGTCCGGCAAGATCAACGGCTTCAGCGTCGTCGTCAGCAACGCCGGCGACTGGACCAAGAAGCAGATCATGAAGCCCAACGAGCGAAAGCTATGGGTCCGCGGCGCTCCCCTCCACGGTCTCCTCTACACCTCCAAGCTGTTCAAGAAGATCGTCGTCGTCGCCACCGGATCCGGCATCGGCCCTTGCCTGTCGCTCCTCTTCGCCGACGTCACCCCCCGCCGCGTCTTCTGGAGTACCCGAGAGCCTCACGGGACATACGGCCCCCAAGTCGTGGCCGAGGTCAAGCGAGCAGACCCCAACGCGGTGATCTGGAACACCCACGAGAGAGGATACCCCGACATCGTCCGGGAAGTCTACCAACTCGTCCACGAATCCGACGCCGAGGCCGTCTTCATCATCTCCAACCCCAAGGTGACGGAGAAGGTCGTCTACGGCATGACCACCCGCGGCATCCCCGCTTACGGTGCTATTTTCGACTCTTAAACGACGGCAATGATAATGAACGGATCACGACGGGGGACTGCACATCGGCAAGTCCGCTAAACTTATCTCTAAACTTACTAGGGATACCAGGGAGGGTAATGTGACAATGTAGGGATTAGCGCAGCATCAAGTTTGGATTCGGCGTGGGATCACGACCAGGGGAGTGGCATTGTCGACGAGAAGCTAAAGTGGAACTTTTCTTATTGGCGGGCAGCAGAGCCGCTCCTGTAACCTTTTCACTTCGCGACGTTCTTTTCCTTGACACTTCACCCCGTTTCGTTTTCAAACTCTGCAGGAATATGGCTGCACATCACGAGGACATTGTAAATAGATTATTAGATAACGCGAAATGCCGCTTCTCAGGTTGGACACAAGATATCACTAGGTATCAAAACTTAGATTAGACTTAGATCCCACCATGAACGAACCATGAATTCAATATACCTTCCGGTAAATCATCTTGGAGCTCCTTTGCCACTTTTCTCTTCTATTGACTCTTTCCTTTTCTCTTGCCATCTTGCCCCTTTTGTGTGCCCCTTTTCTACCTTTTCATATGCCTTCGCCAATGATTATCATATCGAGACGAGTTATCGAATTGCTCTTCTAGAGCTGCAACGGATCACCAACTCTTAAGAACGTATTATTCCCTGTGGGCCACTTGCCTCTGATGATGCGGCCAGGTACCATTTAGGAGAATCAAGAGCTCAGATGTTCGGCCAAGAGTACGCGTACAATTCCGATTCACTTTTATTAAACCATTCATTGTTTTTTATATGTGACCATTGCTATGAGTGCGGATGTTAAAATTTAAAGAAATCCAATCCTCCGTTTCTAAACGCGGTCCCTGCCCCCTGTCACCTGGCTCAACCGCGCCGCGATCATGCGAGTCGTAGAGCTCTTGCATCTCCAGCGACGCAAAAGACGTTGGCTGATTGGTGATGAGAATTTTGACGATATCTTCGTACACCGAGACGCCTTTTCCTACGAGCGCTGGCGGAACCTTGGTCCGGACTTTGTGAGTCCATTCGCCTGTCAACCCCTCTTCGCGATCCTCAGGAGGAACTACGGCATAGCTCGCTTTTAGTATGCTCTGCACCTGGCCAAGGGGAGTTAGGTTAAGGACGTGGACATAAAGAGCGGCTGTTCCGCGATTAGTCACAACCAAGTGTAAGATGTCTCGCTCTTGGGCATCAACAATACTCCCCGCCTGAAATGTCGTGCCTGCCGAATCACGAACAACAACACGATATTGCCCCTCCAGAGGAATGTCGGCCACATCATTAGCCAGATCCTTGACCATTTTATACTTAGCTAGCCGCTCCGCAATATCAAGGACGCGGCTGGGGTCCGTCATCATCGTTTCCTCTCTTGTGTGTTCTGTCGAGTATCCTTTTTCGCGGCCGGAATTGTCCCGGATTCGATAGGTTTTTGTGCCTTCGTCCAAAGATATGTGAAACGCGAAAGGATGCGCCTTGTCTTCAAAGACGAGATTCTCGCGCCTCGCTACGATAAGCTGCCAATCCTCGAGGCAGGAAGGGTTCAGATTCAGCTGAATTGGATACTTTCGCAGTGACAGGCGAGTGAGGGCCTTTGCTATCAAGCCCTTCTCGCCACGGATCCTCTCGGGATGAGATACCTCTACGTCGGATGTCAAGGGTCTGACATGGGTGGCCGTTCCAGTTACCAATGGCCGCCCTGCTGCAATGGTATATATAGCGAACTGGTCACCTTCACATACGCCATGCGCTTGACCTCCTTGGAGCTGCAATTGATCTTTTTTCCAGATGGCAGCAAAAGGAGTACCAGTAAGTGTCGGGTTGAGAGCTTCAGTACCAAAGAAGCATAGATCTGCATTTCCGTACCACATGGGATTCTGTTTTGGGTGGAGTTGACGAAACATTGAACTCAAGTAGGGATAGATATGCGCATGCTTTCCTCCAAGGCCGCCCAGTTTCTCTATTGCTCGTAGGATGAAGTAAGATAATGCCCCGTGCTTGTACGACTGTCCAGGAAAGTTGAGCTCCTCGGCAATTTCATGAGGTCCGCAAGCAGTAAGAACAGTATAGCCATCCGGGTTGATAAGCCAGTTGTCAAGCATAGATGCATCGCGGTAATCTTCGTCATAAGGCCTCTTGAAGTCCTCGATTTCCATCCCGTCGCCAGTCGAAGATGAGGAGGGAAGATCAAAGGCCTCGGGGTCGTGCTCGCGATACCGTAGCGAGAGCTGATCTGAAGCCCGCTGCTTTCTCAGCACACTGCCCGAGAAGCAACAATCCAATACGAGCGTTACTGTCACGTCGTTGCTCACCATCGTATTCATGATATGAGCTAAGTCCAACCCTAGAAAAGGCTGAGTGCAATTGCCCCCTGAGTCTTCTAGAACATTCAACGCCAAGTCTCCAGTCATCCTGGACGAGTAGTCTTTGCTGGCTGCCTCCCGGCGGACACCGTGGCCCGAGTAGTGGATGTATACATGGGTGCCACATTTAGCTAATGACGACATCTTCTCCAACCCCGCCTTTACGTTGGAGTACGTCGCCAAAATCTCAGGAATACCAATGTCTCCCGACGACGTTGTATGAGCACTCTCATCCTCTGCAGTGAAGAGCTGAATATGTACACTGTCGAGATATCTATCCAGGGACCGGGCGATCTCACGGACATCCCGCACGCATCCTTTCAACGGTTGTTTGCTGTCGGAGTTGACGCCGATGAGTAGGGCGAAATGGGTTGGTATGGGGTTGAGTTCTGCCATCTTAAATCTCGGTTCTCCCAATCGCAACATGCAGGGGAATGGGGAGATGGGCGGATCGATATTGGGAAAGTCTTGATACTCCCGCTAGTGAACCTGCTAAGAGCTTGCTGTTCATGTATAATCGGTCTTTAGTGCAATGAGGCCTGCACGTCACGCCAAGGGTTATATGCACAGGTTGGTATACATCCATTACGTGTTCAAGTAACTATACCCCCTCTAGTACCCCACGATGTAGGTAGACCACATGCTTATTCTCATACCTGCCGCTCGCCTCATTCTTGGTGGCTGTATCATTTCAGGCAGACTAAGAATGCCTTACGAAAGTAACATTCAGGCGGCCACGAGGCTCTCTTCCGCAAACTCGGCTCCATTCTTCGCAGGCTGCCCATTGTCGTAGCATAACGTGTGTTTGCCGGCATACGGGACTTTCTCAATCTTGTATGGGCCATCTCGTGCCGTGCCTTCTACAACATATACGCTGTCATCAACTCGGAATTTGCTCGTCTAGAAGACGGTGTTAATCATTGGGGTTGTACCGGGGATGACTTGAATGAAGGAACGAACAGTGACATATTTATTGACTTTAGGCCTTCCGCCGTCATCGCCGAACTCAAAGACGGGGCTATCGCTGGGAAGAGGAACATTTGATATTAGCCTACTGTTAGATACTTGAGTTTGTGATTAATCATAATTGGTAACTTACGGTCTTGGGTTACTCATTTCAAGTCCAAGCCCAAGTTAGGTATTGATTAAAGTAGTGATTTGCAATCAACGAAAAATAGCACGTAATAGGACGATAGCCTCACTTTTAGGGAGGTGGCAGTTGGAAAACAATGCAGATTTCCTCCCCGGAGTTGGGGCTTTAATACTATTATGAGTCACAGTCTGCAGCCGCCCTACCTCTAAAGTATTGATGCAGCTAGCACGGTCGCATTATGCTTGGGCTGTGTGTGCCCCCTATCAAGGCTGCGGATGTTCTGCAAGAATTTAGGCACCGAGGCAATCCTACACCAACTGCCTGAAAAGCCTCATTCTTGATGCGACGAAGAGCGAGGTTTACACCCGAGTAAGTGTATCGTAAATACTTAAAGGTATCAGAAATTTCTAACATCAAGTAAAATGCAGCTATATGTCTAGCCTGTTCTCTTGTTACTTCATCATACCTTTCAATTGCAAGCTACGATGGAACTATGGTCCGCAATACACCAATGGAAGCTGTCATTAGTGTTGGAGTCGGTTGTCTCCGTCATCCGAGACTGGAAAAATGATACCCTGTTGCGTATGGCCCAATGGAATCGGTCGAAGGCATCAACACAGAGCGCCGGCGTACATACCAGGGTCGGTAAGCAACAACCCCTCCCCCATACCCCGGTCACCTCCATAACGAAAATATGCAGTCGAGGACTACAGAGCTGGGTATCCTCGGCTTTGTGCTCTTATGGAAGCTCATAACGGTTTCTTCATATGCCGACGATTTATACGGCTCCGAGCAAGGCTGTTGTTGCTGAAGCAGGATCGTATTAGCTGCCTTGAAGAGCAGCTCGACAAAGCTGACGAAGATGATACATTACCCTTCTTCTTGGGTAAGAGCCGAGGCGATCCGAATGCTGAGCGTTTATCTATCCTCTCTCAATTAGATGATTCACTCGCTGATTACGGTAAGCACGTGAGGTTCGCGATCACAGATACCACCATGTCTCATTTGATGACTTGGATTAGACTCTTTTCTCGAAAGAGCCAGGAGAATTCTTGACTCCAATCCGGTAGCTTCCAGAGATCGTGTGAGCTTAACAAATTGGTTGCTTGGGAACGGCTGTATCAGCAGATTGGAAACGGCGTACTTGGATCAAGAAAAAGATCTCCTCAATTTGGCTGGGCCCGGGGACAGAGCGACTTCACAGGTTGAGAACTGGGTAGAAGATATGCTCATTGAGTTTTGTCCTGGATTTCGCTTAGTATGCCAATTGCCTTGATACTGGCCATACTAACAAGACATGTTGACAAACAATAGATGTCGTCTCACGTTATTTCAACCAATTCCAATGTATACATTTACTCTGGGAATCTGATTAAGCGTACAGCGGGAGTTCTACTGTTGTTGCTGATAAGCACACTTCTATTATTGCCTGTCATCATCTGCACAACAACTACTAGCATGATAGCTCGAATGTTCATCATCATCTTCTCAACGGCGGTTTATTTAGCCCTTCTGTCAGCCTTGACAAGGGCCCGAACGTTCGAGTTGATATTGGCTGGAGCAACGTAAGTCATGGACCTGTAATATCCTCTGCTGCCTTGTCGCTAATCATGTTTTGTTGCTCATCAAGATTCACTACGATTCTGGTTGTTTTTGTTTCAAGCACGGGAGACTCTTCAAATTCAAGTTTGGCAAATCTATCCGTGCTGCCGCTAGGGACCACAACGTTGAGCGGACCAACCTTACCCGCCGGATCAAGGGTGTCCCGACCCGAAAAGAAGAAGGAAAGGCACACTTGAAGGTATCTGCAATGATGAAGGATGAGTTAGTAAGCTGGCTCACCCTTCAAGGGCAGTTGGGATACGCACCACCACATGGCCGGTTTCACCGCTTTGCGCAGAAGCTTCTGATCAACTCCGGAAGTAGCCAAGTTCTCGGAACAAAATGGGTGATCAGGTTCCGAGGCCGCAATCCGGAAATTGCTACTATCATGGGCGTCGCGATGGATTATAAGCGGCTAAATGGTGCTACTCCCGACAACTGCAAAGCTTTGTTCGATCGCCTGATTCTTCCCGAGATCAAGAGGATCCTAGCAAGAAACAGGTGGAGCGCTGACGAGATCGGGTTTATAGAGGGCATGAGAAATAGCCGTCTGGTGATTGGTAAATCTATTAAAAAGACAATCTTTCTCAAAGATGTTTTCAAGCGGGATTAGGTATCCATTATCATATGTATCAGTGGTAATGGCCGTGTGCTGCCACCTCTCGTCATCTTAAGCGGCGCCACTGTACAACAACAATGGTTCGATAACAAGGGAACAGAAAACAGTGACTGGTATTTCATTACGTCTCCAGATGGCTGGATCAATATTGATATCGGCCTGGAGTGATTAACGCATGTTTTTACACCGGACACCAAGCCGGCGGATCCTGCGGGGTGGCAACTTTTTATTCTGGATGGGCATAACAGCCACATAAGTGATGCTTCTGTAGAAACGTGACTGGTTCACAAAATCTTTGTCATGTATCTTCCATCTCACAGCTTGCACGCGTGGCAGCCCTTGGATGCGGGAGTATTTTCGTACTTCAAACGACGGTTTCGCTCCTGGTTCCGTGAGCGCTGCTTCGGCCGAGCGTCAGAGGTCACTGACAAGGATTACTTTCTTTGGGCGCTAAATAAATCGTGGCAGGATGTATTCGCGAGGTCAAAGGGTGTAGAAATGGGCTTCGGAGCCTTTGGGATGTGGCCGGTCAGCATCAGCAAGGCTTTGAATAGTTAGTGAGTTTATGAAGGACGCACCGCAAATGCAAAAAGCACCATTCGCGAAATCGATTGATCGTGAAAGAACTTGATCTTCTCAAGCTTATGGCCTGACTATACCTAGAAATACCCAAATAATCAACAGATGTAAGCACCTTTAAAAGAAACCTGACAAAAGTCGACCCTACCTTCGGTAATCCCATTACCCGCCTGCTGTTCAGAAAGCTTGGCAGATCCCTAGATACGTTAAACAGCAAATACACTACCACGGAGCTGAAGAATACCTAATTGACTGAAGCCCTCGGAAAAGCGAAGCCTAAAAAGAGGAAAAGGGTTCTTCCTAACCCTCATGTAGCGGAGTGCATGAAATAAGGTCGTGGAGGAGCCGGAGGAATCAGAGTATGAACCTGACAACTCCCAATGTATTATATATAGGCCAGTGGAAGTCTGAATAGTATCACTCTTTTTGTTGTTGAGATACCGCAATTTGTAGGTTGTAAAGGGGGTGGTCATGACTTCGTTGAAAAGTGGGGCATTCAGGGGGTGGAGCGTTGAGCCGGAAGTTTCACTTAGTCACTGTGCGGCAAACGCAGTTGGAAGTGTGGCAGTTAGAGCAGGTCAGCCAGGATAACTGGGCGTATGATTAGCTTGGTAGATTTCGTAAAGTCCGGATGTGATTGATAATGGAGAGTAGAAAATGCCATGTGATCGAATGTGCTGATTTTATGCTATCGGTAGTGGAGTATAGATAGAGCCAGCCTGCTTCGAGAAGACTTCATAGTACATAGCAAATAATAACATGGGCATGATTCACAGGTAGGACTGGCACAGAATGCACTCGGGCAGTATATTGGCTACTACAAGGCTCTTCATCCTAAGCGTAGACGGCTTTTGATAATCGGACTGTCTCGAGAAGTTAGCTTCACTGATACAGAACAAATCGCACAGCACTGCTTCAGCCATCGCCAGCATTAGCTGCAAATCCGCCGGGAGCGCCCGATCATTATGCTCATGCATACACCATACAGTAGCGAAAGAGGGGTACGGGATTCGATATTGAGACTGACGTCCAGTTTCATTGGGCCGCTTATGTCTCGGGCGTCAAGCTGTACTCAGGTAGCTTGGAATGATTATTTTTATATCTCAATTGTAGCTGGTATTCATCTGATTGTTTCATCGCAGTTCAGTTGGACTGAAGAGTGCGAGCCCGTTAAAGCGGTGTATACCCGCTATTAGGAATCTAACTCTCATTGCTCTGTACTTTCAGTATTCGACTGTCGGATGCATCTTTGGCACAGGTGGCGTCCATTTCAGGCTCGTCCAAACACGATAGCGTCATACAAAGCTGATCGAATAAGGCTTACCTCCGGATCAGCGTACCTGTATAGCTGATAGTCATCACAGCCCAACGCGATGGATGTCATACGGGGAATGCAAGCCAAGTAACTAACGGCATCAATAATGCATTCAGGTCAGGCAGAAATCAGATCATGAGGCTATATACACTTACTATTGGAGGAAGTTGATCATGCGCCATATGGATACGCGCCCAACATCCCCGACTACGGAATACAGGCTGCACGTCCAGCGCTTAATTTGTATATTGTATCTAGAAGCCCGAATATATAGAGGACGTGTAGTTCCCACCTCGAAAAAGGAGGAGAACCACGGACCTTAGAGCCCTTGAGAATTATTAGCTGAAATTGATATATTCCAAGCCCTATACAGCCCTTGTCACAATGGAGGACATCCGAAACGAAATTCGCGCGCTGGAACAACATGCCAACGAGATAGGGGCGGATGCCCCACGCCGTGCAGACCTGATGCAAGAGATCGGAATCAAATATGGAAGTCTGTATGGCCATACGACCGCCGCGTCTGATTTGGGAAAAATCATCCATTACTACCGAAAAGCGCTCGATTTAACCCCTACCGATGGCACCAATCGTGCAGGCCTCTTACGAAACATCGGAATGGCGTATCTACTCATGTACCGTGAACTGAAGAACGTGCAGTATCTGGTCGAAGCCATCACACACGTTGAGAGAGCGCTCGAGGCCGCGCCGACGAATGGTCCGAATCGTGCACAGATACTTCGGGACCTAGCAGTCGCTTACGGTCAAAACTACGAACAAACACGCGAGAAAGAAGATCTTAATGCCCTGAGTTTACGAAGGGTTATTATGTTGTTGATTTTTTTCTTTCCTTTAAGAAGTCCTTCGAAAAATTACTTAAATAAGCAGTTTTGAAATAACGGCTTATTAAGGAGGTTTAATTGGTTAAAATTTTTAGTTTAATGGGGCGTTAAGTATATTTAGTTTAAATTTAAATTATATAATTAAAATTTTAATAAAATTTTAATAAATTAATTAATTTAATTTAAAAAAGTTTTAATAAATTTTTTCGTATAAGTTTTAATTAATTATAAAAAATAAATTAATAAATTTAAATTAACGAATTTTTAAAAATTTTTTTTATATAAACGTTAATTAAATATATCGTTTTTTTTAATAAATTAAATTTAATAAAATTTTAATAAATTATTTTATATAATCGTTAATTAAATATATAATTTTTTTTAATAAAATTAACGTTTTAAAAAATTAATTTATATAAAAATAATTTTTAATTAATTAAAGTTAATTAATTTATAATTAAATTTATAATTTAATTAAATAATTTTTAATTAATAATTAATTTATAATTTAATTAAAATATAATTAAATTTATAATTTAATTAAATTATAATTAATATAATTAATTATTTATAATATTAAAAATTAATTAATTAATTAAATTAAAATTAATTAATTATATAATATAATATTTTTAATTTTTAAATTAAATTAAATTAAATTTTTAATTTTTAAATTAAGTTAAATTAAGTTTTTAATTTTTAAATTAAATTAAATTAAGTTTTTAATTTTTAAATTAAATTAAATTAAGTTTTTAATTTTTAAATTAAATTAAGTTTTTAATTTAAAATAATTAAATAAAACTTTTATATAATAATAATAAATTTTTTATTAAAAATTTAAAGTTTAAATTTATATAATTAACGAATTAATTAATTAAAAATTAAAATAAAACGAGCATAATTTAAATAATTATAAAAAAAGTAAATTTTTTAATAAATTAATTTTTATAAGTTTAATTATATAAATTAACGGGTGTTTTAATTAATTATAATTTTAAAATAATAAAATTTAATTTAATAAATTTATAATAAATTATTTTACGTAATTATTAATTAAATATATAATTAAATTAAATAAAATTAACGTTTTAAAAAGTTTATTTATAAAAACTTAACTTTTAATTAATTAAATTATAATTAAATTTATATTAAATTTAAAGTTTATTAAAATTATTATTAATTTAATTAATTAATTAAATTATTTATAATTTAATTAAATTTATAATTTAATTAAATTTATAATTTAATTAAATTTATATTAAATTTATAATTTAATTAAATTATAATAAACTTATAATTAAAATTATAATTTAATTAAATTAAAATTAATTTATAATTAAATAATTATATATAAATTATATAATAATTATATAATATAATTAATTAAAATAAAATTAATATATAATTATATAAAAATTAATTAAATAAATTATTAAAAATAAAAATTTTATAATTAAATATAATTAATTTATAATTAAAATTATAATTTAATTAAATTATAATTAATTTATAATAATATTATTTACGTATTATATTATTTTTAAAAAAGTATTTTATTAATTAAAAAATAATAAATTAATTATATAATATAAATTTTAATATAAATTAAATTAAAGATTTAATTTTTAATATAAATTAAATTAAAAATTTAATTTTTAATATAAATTAAATTAAAAACTTAATTTTTAATATAAATTAAATTAAAAACTTAATTTTTAATATAAATTAAATTAAGGATTTAATTTAAAAAAAAACGGTTATTATTATATAATTAATTTTTTAAAGTTTTTTAATTAATTAAATAATTTTTAAATTAAATTAATTAAATTAAAATTAAAAAAAATAAAAAAATTAAAAAAATTAAAAAAATTAAAAAAATAATTTTATTTATTAAAAAAGATATATTTAATTAATTAATCGAATTTTTTTTTTTTTAATTAATTAAAAAAACGGGTAATTTTAAAACAATTAAAAAAAAAATTAAAAAAAATTATAATAATTTTCCGAACGTAAATATAAAAAATTTAATTAATTAATTTATTTTAAATAACGAATAAATTAAATAAATTTAAAATTATTATATATTTTCGTAAAAATGTTTTTTATATTAAACTTAAATTAAAATAAATATTTATTTAAATAATTTATATATATATTTATTTATTTATACGGGTAAAAAAATTTTTTTAATATTATTAATTTTTAATTATATATTAATAATTATTATTATTTTTAATAATAATTTTAATATAATTACGTTAAAATAATTTTAAAATATTTTAATTTATTTAATAATTAATTAATTAAAATTAAATATAAATTATAATTATAATAATTAATTAAAATTAAAATAATTATATTAATATATTATTTTTTTTAAAATATTATTTTATTTAATTATTTATTATTTATATATATTTATTATTTACGTAATATTATTATATAAAAATATTATTATTTTTTTTATTATAATAATTTTTTATTATTATAATATTTTTTTATAATAATAAATTTTAACGAATTTTCGGGAAATTTTATTAATTAAATTTTAAAAATTAAATTTAAAATATAAATTTTAAAATTTTAATTTATTTTATATACGCGTAAATTTATAAATTAATTAATTAAATAATTAAATTTAATAATTTATAAAATTATAATACCCGTAATATATATATAAAATTTTAAATTTAAATTTTATTTAATATATATAAAAATTTTTTTTTAAATATTATAATATTTTTTTTAATTAAAAAAATATATTTATTTTTTTTTTTAAAAAATTAATTTTATTATTATAAAATAAAAATTATTATATATTTAATATTATTTTAATTTAATTATTTTTATAATTAATTATAATATATTTTTTTATATAAAAATTATTATTTAATTATATATATTATTAAAATATTTTATTTATATTTTAAAAAAAAATTTTTAATAAATATTATTTTTTTATATATATAATTAATTAAAAACTTTTATATTATTTTATAATAAATATATATTTAATTATATATTATATTTAATATATTAAAAATATTATTTTTTATATTTTTTATTTTAAAAATAATTTAAAATATTTAAATTATTATATAAAAATATTTAAAAAAAAATTTTATTTAAATAAATAATATTATAAATTTAAAAACGTTAAATTTTAAATTTAAATTATATTAAAAATAAAATAATAATTTTAAATAAAATTTAAATTATTTTTAAAATAAAAAATATTTTTACGAAAATATATAATAATTTTAAATTTATTCGATTTATTTATTATTTAAAATAAATTAATTAATTAAATTTTTTATATTTACGTTCGGAAAATCGTTGCGGCTTTTTTTAATTTTTTTTTTAACCGTTTTAAAGTTATTTATTTTTTTAATAAATAAAATTATTTTTTTTAATTTTTTTAATTTTTTTAATTTTTTTAATTTTTTTATTTTTTTTAATTTTAATTTAATTAATTTAATTTAAAAATTATTTAATTAATTAAAAAATTTTAAAAAATTAATTATATAAAAATAATCGTTTTTTTTTAAATTAAGTTTTTAATTTAATTTATATTAAAAATTAAATTTTTAATTTAATTTATATTAAAAATTAAATTTTTAATTTAATTTATATTAAAAATTAAATTTTTAATTTAATTTATATTAAAACTTATATTATATAATTAATTTATTATTTTTTAATTAATAAAATATTTTTTTAAAAAAAACGTAATACGTAAATAATATTTACCGTAAATTAATTATAATTTAATTAAATTATAATTTTAATTATAAATTAATTATATTTAATTATAAAGTTTTTATTTTTAATAATTTATTTAATTAATTTTTACGTAACCACGCACCGGTTTTATTTTAATTAATTATATTATATAATTATTATTTAATTTTAATTATTTAATTATAAATTAATTTTCGTTTAATTAAATTATAATTTTAATTATAAATTTATTATAATTTAATTAAATTATAAATTTAATATAAATTTAATTAAATTATAAATTTAATTATAATTTAATTAAATTATAAATAATTTAATTAATTAATTATATTAATAATAATTTTAATAAATTTTAAATTTAATTATTTATTAATTTTAAATTAATTATAATTTAATTATAATTTAATTAATAAATAATTTTTACCGTAATTTAATTATATTTTAATTAAATAATTATTTTAATTATAAATTAATTTTAATTTAAATAAATTTAAAATTTAATATAAATTTAATTATAATTTAATTAATTAAAAATTAAATTTATATAAATTATTTTTTTAAAACATTAATTTCATTTAATTTAATTATACATTTAATTAATAATTACGTAAAATAATTTACCACGAATTTATTAAATTAAAACTTTTTATTTTTTAAAATTATAATTAATTAAAACACCCGTTAATTTATATAATTAAATTTATAAAAATTAATTTATTAAAAAAATTATTTTTTTTTATAATTATTTAAATTATATTCGTTTTATAATAACTTTTAATTAATTATTTTATTAATTATATAAATTTAAACTTTAAATTTTTAAAATAAAAAATTTATTATTATATAAAAGTTTTATTTAATTATTTTTAAATTAAAAATTTAATTTAATTTAATTTAAAAATTAAAAACTTAATTTAATTTAATTTAAAAATTAAAAATTTAATTTAATTTAATTTAAAAATTAAAATTATCGTATTATATAATTAATTAATTTTTAATTTAATTAAATAATTAATTTTTAATATTATAAATAATTACGTAAATTATATTAATTATATTTTAATTAAATTATAAATTTAATTATATTTTAATTAAATTATAATTTTAATTATTAATTAATTATTTTTTAATTAAATTATAAATTTAATTATAAATTAATATTTATTTAATTAAATTATAAATTTAATTATAAATTAATTAATTTTAATTAATTAAAAATTATTTTTATATAAATTAATTTTTTAAAACATTAATTTTATTAAAAAAAATTATATATTTAATTAATAATTATATAAAATAATTTATTAAAAATTTATTAAATTTAATTTATTAAAAAAAACAATATATTTAATTAATAATTATTTAAAATAATTTATTAAAAATTTATTAATTTAAGTTTATTAATTTATTTTTTATAATTAATTAAAATTTATATAAAAAAATTTATTAAAATTTTTTTAATTTAAATTAAATAATTTATTAAAATTTCGTTAAAATTTAAATTATATAAACCGGATTTAAACCGGATATACTTAAAGTTCCATTAAAATAAAAATTTTAACCAATTAAAGCCAAGCGATAAATTATTATCTTAAAACTGCTTATTTAAGTAATTTTTCAAAGGACTTCCCAAAGGAAAGAAAAAAATCAACGACACAATAACCCTTCGTAAACTCAGGGCAGGCAATAACGGAACTTCGGCATCGTTGGACAGAATAGTCCTTTCCAATACAGGAAATATCATACCATGTATACCTAGGTAAGTATTACGAGGAAATAGACTTGGAACTCAGTCACTCCAAATTAATGCACTTCAAAGAACACGCCGTTAGACACTCCCTTGATTCTATAACCTCCACCTCTTGGGCATTCGTAGTAGGAGATATAACGTGTTTCGTAGCCTATAAACGGTCGTTATTGCTCTATAGATCTCCCTTGAATAGGTGGCAATTATATGGGAATAGTCACAACGTGTTGGTTGTCAAGTAGATATGAACTCGTGGAACTCGATGGAACGGTTGGGTGCGGTTAGATACCATCTTATACTCCCTTGATCTATAATGAAGGGAGTTACAACTATTATGAGCATATTGTGTTCAGTACTATAAGCTTAAAAAGTTCGAAACCTTAAGAGAATCACGGAGTCCTCATGACTTAGACTATTGATTACGCACTTTTATCAAAGGCTTAGGTAGGCACATTACCACCGACTGAGATAATCCTAGTAGACCATTTAAAGATAATTCTACCTAAGCAGCTACCTGTAAATGAGTAGGCTTGAACAAAATGGCTAAACGAATGTTGGAAACCTTCGAGCAAACAGAGTAGACGCGGTATCAAACCATCGAGTCGCTCACCAGTCCCAAAGAAGAGATGAAGGAGGATGTGGGACAACTTAAGATGAATTTACACAGCATTAGCCACGGGAATGACAGCTGTTTCAATTAGTTCCATGAAAAAAACCGTGTGGCCTCTCTATCTGGTGTGCTGTAAAACTAATATATAGGTATGGTAGTCATATAACCACCCCTATCTCCCCTCTTCACTTCGGCAACGTATGGCTATAGCTTAACCGACAAGGACAGGACGGCAAACAGAGAATATCTCAATTTACTGAGCTGGTAGACATTCCTTTTACTGCACACATTCGCGTTCTCTTTCGCCCCTTGAAACTTCTTACGTACACGTCAACATGCCGAACAGCAACCAGACTCGAGATAAACTGGGAAGTCAGAGTGACAAAGGCAAGAACGAACAAGAACACGGAAAAGACAACAGTCCCAATGGTAGTGTTACCGGACCTATTCCTTGGAAAGATACTACGGGAGGCGGGTCTAAGGTCTCATGGGGCCGCTAAGACGTGGAACAAGGGGGATAGGGGATCCGACTGGGACGATGCGATTTAAAACTGAAATCGACGGAAGTGAGGCTCGTGAAAAGCAGGATATAAATATACTGGGAGTGGCGGCAAATTATATTGCGTAGTAATAAACCTGGGAATGGTATCGTGGTTCATGGTCTGGTGGCTTCATCACAATGCGGGAAGTCCAGCGTTGGTTTACTGGCGAAATATTAAACCAAGGCCCTGAGAATATTTAGTAGTGTTTACTCGAATATCAACGTCAAGACACAATGCCTTGTATTAAACAGGTCATCCTATAACTCCTGAAAGCATATCCAAAAGAATAGTCCGCTACATATTAACACTCTCTCAAACGGAGACGCAAGGACATGCTTGTCGATGCTGGTATCTATAACATATCATGCCACATAAAATACAATTCGATATTTTTTTTTCATTGCCAAAATAAACCAAATGAACCTACACAAGTTTCACTGATTCACCGCTTCCCCTTCTTTCTGGTGCTGCAAACAGTCTAGTCATAACGTTAGCATCTAATTCTATATAATGATCATTTTGGGACGAAGTTTGCTTACTGAGCGCCTCTGTGCGAAATCATCATAGAAGCCATTCCATAGTTCCCGAGCCGAACAGTCCTCTTGACCGTTCTTCTCTACGCACTTAGGTTGCTTATCTTGCCGCATCGAATCAGACATCGAAATCCACGGCTTCGGTACGGGCCAATCGGAGAAGTGGAGGAACTTGGCCTCGTTGAAGATGGCAACAGGGTCCCACTCCTCCCTGTCAGTGCCAAGATAATTCTCGTGGTTGTCGCCGCGGAACTCGCCTGTTAATAGGTCATAAGGGCGATGAGGGAGGATCATGGCAGTGTCAATATATAACTGGTTCACAATTTCCATGTCGTAGTCGTTGCGGCCAGCCGACTCCATCTTCTTCAAAATCCTGTCGAATTCAACTGCACTCGGCTGGACTAGCATTAGTTGGGATGACAAGATTTTATTGTCCGGGAATAGCCAGTAGGCGCGAGGCATGGCGACAGGGCATGGTGGTATGAGGAACAACTCGTCCATGGTTTGAAGAATAGTGGCATCCGAGTCGACGTTCAGCACGCGTTGGTATTGGGTTTGGTTGAAAGCAAGAAGCTTGGTGAAGGATTCGGCCCAGGTAGCTGGTAGGAGTTAGAAATAAAGGGACGAGAATAAGCACTTAGATAGTCAGGAGAACTTACCATCACCACCGGCCCTTCGCTGAACCGAAACGGGTACTAGCTTGACCTTATACTCGTCCCGGGCCTTGACGATCAACTTAGCCTCTTCTGACGACGGGTTCGTCTCTCCTGGGTCCATCATGGTCTCGGGATACATCATGACACGGTCGGCTTTGCTGCCCAGTCGGAACAAGGTCTCGAAGATCATGACAGAGTTACACAAATACGCAGCATTAGTGACATATTGCGTGTAGGCGAATCGCGACCAATTGACCTGTGCTTCTTCGTAAGATGGTACGACGGCGGGAGGGCAATCTGAATTGGCGCCGGCAGCGGCAGTGCTTCCTCGAAAGCTCTCGATGGATGGTAAGCGATCGTAGTTTCGAAAGGCGAGAAAGAATAAGCCGAAGGTGGCGAAGGAAATGGCAGCATATCGCACTCGTTTTGACATCAAGATCTGGCCGACGCTCGGTTTAAGGTGGGATGAATCCGTAGCAGAGCTTGTCGCTGTACTCTGCTCGCCATTTTGAACAGCGCTATATCCGGATAGAGAACCCCAGGTAGAGGACCATGATGATCCCCAAAGCGGAGCCATGGTATGTTGATTTGCTTGGTGATAGAAGATCGAGGGCTTGACGATTGACGACGGAAACCGACAACCAACTAAGAAAGGAAGTTGAACGGGTACTTGGTATGGATCCACCGAAAAAGGAATCAATGCCAACTGAAGGATGAAACAGCGCTCATTAGGAAAGAAGGTATGCGCTCAAGTACCTAATCACCTAGATCATAGGTAAGGTGATGGATGAGGGGATATATTCACCAAGTGATGTTAAAACAAGACGCATTTGCCTACGTACGCATTGTATCGTGGCGTAGATGGTGGTGGAAAGGTTGATGTTTCATTGTTCCGCGCAGGCTGAAAGTATTAAGTTAAGCATTAGATACTTCATTGAAGAAGCACACGTGGTTTACTGCTTATCGACTTACCAGGATAGTGGCCAACCTTATTGTTTGCTACCTAGTAGGTGGGGCTATAAATAATTATGCAAGTAAGGATATTAGCTGGATATCTATGACCCTGATATAGTCATATATACATATGTCTAGTACCCTTCGTCCATCTTTGAACTTATGTACATGTTTCGTAAGCTTCCATCTTCATAAATAATCCTTCAACCTTGAAGCTTCACGAATATTCATTTTAAACGACTACCAAGACGTGTCAACGTTCATACGAAAATCCTTTCTTACTCCTAGGTAATTCATAAGCATTTTAGTCATCATATTTCCCATCCACCTGTCAGCTGCCTGTCCACTCTATCATTACCTACTGACCGGCTAGTTTTGGCCCCCAATTTGCCATGACCTGGAGGGGCTGCTGGACGTAGCTGGGGTGACCCGGACTTAGGGCATCGATGATCAGAACCTGTATTCTGCATGGATTTCACCCGTGCAAGTGCTATATTTGCTTACAAGCAGCAGAACCGCCTACTAGCAAATAAGCGACCGCCGAATGTGATCTGTAAAGTTCCGCTACAGCGATGTTCTCTTTCTTTGAGCCTCAATACGAAACCTTAAGCTGTCTCATCGAAACGTGTTCGTCAAAATTCTACCCAGCTAAGCTAGGTCTGGTCTCGACTTCATGAGCTAACAATTGGACCATGTCCCGCCATATAGCTACTCGTAGCTCTGCTCTTCGAGGCTTCGACCGCCGAGATTAAGACCTGCCTACCTGGTTTGTAGCAGAGCTTCCATCTCAACCACTACATAGGTACAATGCGTTAGTGGTCAAACTACCACATGCTGTATATATGTAGCGATATATCGTCAACAAACTAAGCCCTATCGGGCTTGAGATGCGGCGTCTCAGGCTGGGCATAGTGGGTATCTGAACCTCAAAAGAGCCTAGAGGTCAAAGACTTGACAAAGTCCATGAACCCACATGTCAGCCCTAATCAAACAGGTATCGATGGAACCACGAGCTGTTTAAGCTTTTTCCTACCTACCACCAGATTCTCATGTCGAAAATGCGAAACTACCTAACATCATATACAGAAGGCTTGAATATTCAATGAATTTGTGGCGTGGTCTAGACACTTCAACGGTTCCGGGATGTTAGGGATATTAACCTTATCTCTCCTTCACGGACTTATCTCAGCCTTCGAGTCTTATTTCTCAGGATGAGGGAATGCTAGGGAAACTACCCATGCGCAATGCTCAAATTTGGACCCGTCCACTGCGAGAAAGAGGCGCAGCCAAGCTCTCCGTCGACTATGCTTCAAGCCTTTCATCGACACGATTTCGTCAATGGAAAGCTGATGAAAGTCTTCGCCGAGTTTGGGCTAGGGGGCCCAGCATTTGGATCCCCCAAAGACCATACATTGGTAAGAATAGACCCTGGTGGGTCTCACGATCCACAGCCTCATCTCCTGAATTTGGATTTGGCCTGGCTTAGTGACCTGGCGGCTGCTTTCCGTAAGCGCTCGACAGTCCTACGCTACCGAATATACAAGCTACAATGGATGTACTGTACAAATGTATCGCACAAGGCGGATCGTGTCCCTAGTCGAGGCCGTCCATCGGTATAGCGGTGGTCATACCTATTCGCTCTTCTCATTATTTCTCTGATGTTGATCAAATCTTTCCCTCTTCCTTCTTTTGATCGCGACGCCGAGTGTCGTCTCGCACCAATCCACAAAACTGTGCGTGGTTCGCACCGCACCGTCGTGTGCTGCTTGTGATCATGGCTTTCTCTCCTCTCTCTTTGCCTATTTCACTTATTTCGTATCTGGCTATCATCAGACCTGTTAATGCGGCTACGGCGCCGGTTGCCGCAACATGGTCCGATTCAACATTTGGACCGGATGGCCCGTGGCCGGCAGTGGAGGTGACACTGGGCGACGACCAGACGATAGCGCTATATCCAGGACGGGAATTTCAAACTTTTCTCCTAACCACCGACTATTGTAACCAGAACAGGACATTATGCAATGCCAACCAAGCGGGTCTCTATAATGACGCCCAATCGCAAGTAGATGCTACAGGATCTACGGGACAAATACAATACCAGTCGCAACCTGATTATATGACGGGTGTTGATGTACGAGGCCAACCGACGAGTTCGTGGATCGATAACATGAACTTTGGTGGAGCAACAATAGAAAATGTTTCTCTAGCCTTGCTCAATGGATCATATATGGCATACCCGAATGGCCAGTGGTATCCTCTGACTGTGGGTTGTTTAGGGATAGGAGCGCCTGACACGGTGAACCAGTCCTTTTCGAATACCATGGGGCCGGCGATTAACGCGAGTCTCGTTCCGGGATATTTATGGGCACACAACACGACCGCATCTAACTCTTTCGGTATGCATATTGGCTCGGTATACCCTAAAATGCCCGGCTCGTTCTATTTTGGCGGTTATGATCAAAATCGAGTTGTAGGGGACGTCCTCTCGTACCAGGACGACTACACGAAAGATATTACCTTGAAGGATATCAGTATCAAGGTGATCGATGGCTCCTCTCCGTGGCAATTCGAGTCATTGGGTGGTCTCCGTAAGTGTTATCAATGCTCTATTTGCCGTCCCTTCCTAGCTAGTGTCAAGGAGCCGGAATCTCATAATCGCACTGATTTAAGTGATCGCTCCCTGGATGTGGTTTACAACTTCTAGTCCATTTATTTAAGGGAGTAGATGCTGACTCAGTTCTAGTCTCGTCTGGCAATTCATCCATCACTTCCGGAGGCCTTCAGGTATCTGTCGATGGTTGCTCTCCCTACTTGTCACTCCCCAAGTCGACGTGTGATGCCGTTGCAAAAAATCTACCGGTCACATATAATGAAGATCTCGGCTTATATTACTGGAATACTAACGATCCAAAATACACGCAAATCGTCAACTCGGCTTCTGTATTAGAATTCGTTTTCATCGGCGACTCAAACACCAAAAATGTTTCTATCTCGGTCCCATTCCGACATTTGAATCTCACCCTAACTGCACCCTTAGTCGACCAACCCACACAATATTTCCCTTGTTATACGGGACCTTCTAAGGGGTACACACTTGGTCGCGCTTTTTTACAAGATGCATTTGTTGGTGCTAACTGGGGTACTAAATCATGGTGGCTGGCGCAGGCACCTGGCCCTAACATTCCATCCGCAAATGTTGTCGAGCTCGCCAATGGCGGCTCAATAAAAGCCAGTACGAACGACTGGAAAGAATCGTGGTCTGGGTCATGGACGGCTCTTACGCCCGAAGAAGCAAGCAGCTCTTCTACCGTGAGCGCTCCGAGTGCGACAAACACCGATCCTGGCGATTCGACTGGTCTTGCGACGGGGGCAAAGGCTGGAATTGGTGTAGGTGTTGGCGTCGCGGGTTTAGCGATTCTCGGTGCTGTTGCCTTCTTTTTCATGCGCCGTCGTAAAGCAGCTGCCACCGACGGAGCGACGTCCAATGCAACTAATGCCACGCCAGAGCATGGATATTACGCACCTATTAAGAATCCCACCTCTCCTGGGATGACAGATTCGTCTACGGTCACTTCAGGGCAGCCACCGAACTTGATGTATAACCAGCAATACCCGCAGTATCCGCAGCCTTACTCACAGCCCTACCCCCAACAATATCCACAGCAGTATATGCAACCACCGTATGGACAGCCATACAGCACCGAGTTACCTGCCGTTGGAAATTCACCAACAGAATTGCCTGGGTCAACAATTTACGATCCGCATATGCTTGATAGCACTCAGATCAGCAGTCATGCATCTCCGCAACCAAGTCACATATCACCACACTCGCCAAGCCTCGGCACGGATCAGTCACAAGCTCCCGGTCAGTCTGGGCATACATGACAACGATATTGAGAGGGGCGGGCGTTAAAGGAGAGCTGGGAAATAGATTTTGGCATCGAAAATTTCTATGCAATTAACCGTTTATTGCTTCGTCCTTGCTTTGTGAAGGACTTTTTTTTGTATTCTGGGGTTACATACGATTTGCGCATGGAATATGCATGTCAGATTTTGGAATAGGGGTTAGCGATCATTGATACCATCTAGTTAGGCGGACTGGATCCTCATATCATATGACGGAATATTGCAGTAATGGCCATTTTTCTAAGGCAGACATGCATATCAGCTCTACTATTTACTATTTTCATAACCTGGTCACATTTAGTTGGGACTCGCCAAGTCTCACGCACCTTTTCCAAAATTGAGGGAGACCTAGGATAATACCGAATACTACTACGAGAGTCGTAGCGAAGAAACCTTATGATGCGAGATAATTATCAATGCAATGTCTAATTTAACAACTTGTTCTTGTATGAAGAGAAGCCGTTGTGACGCAGCTTTATCTAAATCATGAACTACCTTAGGTCGCCATTCTATGGAAATTAACCTACGTTGTGTTAGGCTAGTAGTTTTTGAGCGCTGTTGCGTGTCACTATCAGCTAATATCATAGCCGCGACCGAGGCACTGACGGCTAGAATAGAGCACGTACTAATTGGGGCTGATCCTATCGCCAGTCTTGTCACTCAGATTGGTAAAATAAACGCCGGCGCTTATCACATGTATCGTGCGAAAGGTCTTCCTTCAGCAGGTGGACTCGGACTAGACCCACACTGCCACGATGGAGTCGGGGTCACGGTCTCCTGGCCGTGCCATTCCACTGGATATCGACGTAGGTATGTACAGTACAAGTCGCGGATTGAGCGATAGGTGCTGGGCAAATCAAGCCACAAAACCTCCTTTCATTATGCCGCTTAAACCACCATGGCTTTTCGGATTGGCCAGCTCGCATTTTTGGCAGTCGAGATGGTGGGAAGCGAACGGGGACGGTCCTTACGTGAGACGGTAAAAGAGACGATGATCCTTATATCCAACGCCGAAGCTACATCCCAAATCTCCGCCGTGGATAGCGAGAAATGCGCGGGGCTACGATAGCGTCAGCGGTGGTAGGTAGGTAATTATTGATATATAAATTCGAAGCAGCTGTTTCATGGACACATCCACCGAACTATCACTTTCTGAACCGCGAAAAATACCTGCTTCGTTTTGAAATGAACCCGAATGCTGTATAACAACGGCATGGTTTTGCCTTTAACATACTTTTATTAGGGGTTTTTTGTGGCTGCGACACAGGTTTCTTGGGGACGGCATGGAGTTCAGCTGCATGGGGTCCCCGGCTAGCTTGCTCTGCAGGTGCATCTAGGGAGCTGTCTGACGTTACATACTTGAAGAATTCGGGTAGTCCTGATCAGGCAATTGCCATGCCTCGCTTAGCAGCCTAGGTACATCGCATACAGTTACCTCGCCAAGAGCTGAAAAAAGGATGGACCAATAGGTAGGAGACGCATCTGCGAGGACCATAAAGACGAAACCTAGATATATTAAAGCGTGGCGTTCGGACCGTGGTGGTATGTAAGGCACGTGGGTGGTTGCAACCAGACCAAGTTTTCGGCCACACCGTGCTTGAAACATCGCGATCTAGAGAGCCTTGCCTCACGCTCGGTGCGGGATATATTCGCATCACCATCCCGCCTCTTGTATCCAATGCTTGTTGCAAGAATGGGGGTATCCAGCAAGGTTGCATCGATGAGGCTGGGTTGCGGTGTGCTGAAATCTCAGCTCCCCCCACGTATGCCGGTAGAACGAAGACGGTAGTCGGTCGTGTGACCACTGAATACCTACTTTACAGATTTCAGGATTGATATTGAGGCTGAGACGCTCCGGACAACCAGAGCCTGAACGACTGGTTATCGACGACGACCATCGATTCGCTGGTACACAACCGTGACATCCGTCAGTGCAACCTCGTTCGGCTTCGCCTTCGCTGGAACGGTATCAACTTGGAAAATACGGACGACGCCGGCCGTCTTATCTAGGTATAACATCGACGAGCGGTGTGTATATGTTGCAGTGTAAAGAAATGACGTAGTGGATAGTCGTTCACGAGAAAGAGCCTCAATATCCAGACGTCCGGTTGATGACGCGGATAGGTACCTACCTCCGTAGGCAAGTTATGAGCACGAGTTGTGAATGACCGCCACATAGCATTCATCCCCGTATCAACGCATCCCATCGATCAAGCCTCCTATTATACAATATCCCAAAGCTGGAGGTGTCGCTCAGGGTGGATGGTCCAAGTACGGCCGGCTATTCGGCAGATGGTATTCTAGGACATGAGTCAATAACAGGTAGATTGGCGGTACTTTTATTCCGAGATTACCTACTGTGAACTGACGAGTATCTAGTGAGGTATTGGCGATAGGAACAGCTATGCTTTTTATCGATTCCTAACTCTCATGTTTCCTGTTCGGCAAATGCAGCTCCTCATCCTCACGAGCCTGGCCTCGTACTGGAATAGTAACCTTACTCGCAACCGTGTTTAATACATCTCGAGTTGACCTAGTGGCTATTTATTAACTGGTTGCCTTTTGACAGTGTGACGAAGGTTAACACCATACATATTATGTACCTACCTACCTACCTACCTACTAGGTAGGTAATTAACGGTGCGACGGCCTAACAATTATGCTTAACATAGGGAAAGTTAGCAAGTCTTTATCTAACATAGAAGAATCATGATGCTGTAAACAACTCACAATAGCGCGACCACTAGAGTCGCTAGCCAGCTCTCCTCCACACCACCATCATGTCCGCGTCACGCTCACCCCGATATCTACCTCAACAGCCAACAAAGATTCCGTCAAGTTGAACTTCATTCAGTGGGTCGCTAGAAGAGTCTTCATATAACTAGACTAACATGCCCAAGAGTTATCTTGCCGTGGTTGTTTACAACTGCTATTGCAACGTGGATTGGAACTGAACATACTATATAAGTCCTCGGAATATTCAGGGACATTTAGACAAATATCATACCAGTATTCGGTATATTTCTAGTACCTATTACCTAACCATGCATAAAACCCTCCTCCTCGTTAGCGTCTTAGCCGCTTCTCCCGCGGTCCTAGCCGCTCTCGACCATGAATCCAGTTCGACCCTGCTCCATCACCTCGCGGCGCGACAGACCGTAACGGTGACCGCGACCGGAACCGGCACCGGCACCGACACCGATACCGCTTCCGGTAGCGCAACGTCTGCTTCGGACACGTCCATGAGTAGCATGAGTAGCATGAGCAGCATGTCCACAACCGACATGGGCTCATCTACCATGTCCATGTCCACGTCCACCTCCTCCGCCACCGCTTCATCCACCCCTACTTCTTCTTCTTCTTCCATGGAATCCTCGTCCTCGTCCGGATCATCGACCATGGAGTCTACAACGTCCGGCACCGGCGGCACCGGAGGTGCGACTGGTACTTCCCAGTCCGGCTCGAGCAGCACCCATAGCTCGACGCACTCCGGCTCCGGCAGCTCGTCGATGAGCGAGTCCACGGGTACGGGTACGGCCACGGCCACCGGTGCCGCGGCTAAGCCCGCGAGAGGCGCGCCCGTAGCGGCGGCGGCGGCGGGGTTCGTGGCTGCCGTTTTGGTCTAGATCCGGCCTTGGGCACTTTGTGTGTGGGTAGATATACGCCGCGGCGTATCTTAGCGGTGGCAAGGGAAATGGGAAGGGAAGGTAAAGGTTGAACGAAGACGGCCATGACTTGGCTTTGCTCATATGTACATATATACATATTTATCTACCTCCCTGCGTATGTAGGTAAGGTTGTGGAAAATCACCATCGTTAGGTAGAGAGCCGCGAATAGGGGTTAGTTAGCGAGAAAGTGCCGTAATACGATGACCTCTCACAAGTCCCGAATACGACGCCGCTCAACTCCTATACCCCCCCAACCCCCCATTTCCCCAAACTACGTGCTACGGAAAGTGAGCCACTTAGCAGGAAAAGGCAGTGTAATCCGTACCGCCTACATAGCACTATAGAAAGTTCCGTCTGCGTCATATCGTGGGTTATAACCAGATCAAAGGGCTTTTCCATACTGCGTGTGATCGAATAAGTGACATTCGTCCATGACTAGTGCAACGCGAAAGTCACACGTACTAGCACCGTCTTGTGAGGCCTCCTCGTGCCTTCGGCAATGCGCTTTACCTAGGTAAACTGGCAGCGACTAAGACGTACCGGGGGTGAGCCGATATACTGATTTTTGGTGTAGTCTTTACCTATCTTACCAAGATCCTTACTTTCCTCGATTTTGGCGTGCTTATTAGGGAGGTATATGATGATATGAGAGACATCCTATATAAGTATCGTCTTAATCGCTGCCGGTTTTCCCAGGTAGGTAGTTAAATTGCAGTACAGAAGGCACGAGGAGGCCTCACAAGTCAGTGTTAGTACTCAATCCATGAGCAGGTTATGGGTCTCAATATCTATGTATCATCGTTGTTTCGGTGTTCCGAGTAGATGGTCGTCCATACATTGCTGCTGGTTCCCCATGGGGGCCTGCAAGATGATCGCGCCGCGAAATCGCGATCGATTTCGGTTCTCCCCGTAGCCACTTGCAGGGTCACATTTCCTAGTTTCGCTAAGCTAGCAAAAGAGAAGTGAATTGATGTAGGAGGGTTAGGGTAGTGTCATGACTAATATTCATCAGTGTTTACCTCAAAGATCGTGTCGTGTTTCATTTGAGCTCTATGGACATTTACCTCCGACTTGGTACCCTATTAAACTTGGTCCCGTTAGGCCGTGGCTTGGCTACCGTTAGGTATCTATGATATCTATAGATCTCTTTATACATAGTGCTATATCAAAAGCTCCGGTGCTTTGAAGCAATTCTTATCGAGACTAGGTAGGTACCTAGATATGTGGAGATTAATGGTTAGATCTTCTCTTCTTGATGAGAGGATGAGGGAGTTCCCCTCGTCCGTGATAGGCTTGCTATCTACTAGATAACCTGCAAACCTCCATAAATATGCCCATAAGTCCCAGCTGCGACTAGCTAGTGCCGAAGGTGATGTCCGGTCTCCAGTATTGGGGTTTCTAGCGTCTTTCTAGCATCATTCTAGCTTATTTCCAAAAGAATTGACTGCCAAGATGAACGAGTCGTGACCCCCTGAATTAGTCGAAAAGGGGTGCGAGCCGTCAGACGTAGAAGCCCACCATCCCTTTGACCCGAGCTCAGAAGACCCATGAGCCCATATTTATCTAGCCTTGCCGGTTTAAAGGGTGTGTTGGTGGAGCGGAGCTTGAGAAAGAATATAAACTTCGCCTTCCTCTTGCCTTCAGACATGAATCAGTATGATGTCCTTCCTGGGAATTATGCTCCTAACCTTAGGTAATGACACTTTAAATCTGGTCTGAGCTTTTGGACCTGACATTACATACCCGTATTAATTCAGTCCGTCTTGAAACGATACCAACATGACCACTCTTCTCTCACTTCTCATAGGTGATCCCGAAGACTGCACGCTGCTCTTCCTATGCTTGTCTCTCTTAGCTCTGTATCGCCATTTACCAATAAGGGAAGCATATAGATACTGCTACGATTCCCCCAGGAAAAAATATGGACTTAGCCTTCAATTCAACAATTCCAAGTGTATATTAGATATTTACAGCTGGTCTGGTTGGTCCACATTCTGATTTAGCTGCTTTTATTAACTCTTCATATACTCCATTCCTCTTAAACCTCCTCGACTTTACCCGCGCCCGGATTTAGAGAGGAACTTGCCTCGAAATCGCCGATGCCATTACGATTACCACGGCAAATAACGCTTCTGTCTTGACGTTAAATAACACCCAAATGGTTAAATCGTTGCCTTGGTACTGCTATCATGGCTTCCGATACCACCTTGGCAACTGTTGAGATCTTCGTTCTCTTGGGGATCAGCACAGCGATAATTGTGCTTCGGACGTACGTACGGATGACGGCCGTTGGGTGGGAGGGTCTTTGGGCCGACGACTACATAATGATATTAGTAGTGGTAAGTCATTCCCACAGACTTAGCTAAAATATATCGGGTTTCTAATGTTCGCAAAAGTTGATGTATTCTGTCCTGGCGGCGTGTACGCAAGTAGCGGTGGTAAAGTGCAAAGGTCTTGCCAACGATGACATGACACCGGAACAGCGCGCATCTCTCGACCCCGAGGGCGAAGAATATGCGCTCAGGTAGGACAAGTCCATGCGGCATTCACGACACGAACTAACGCGGAGCAGAGTCCTCGGGGCTAAGATTGAGATTGTCTCAAGAGTTCTGTATCTAGTAGTTCTGTGGATGACGAAGGCAGCAATGCTGGCGTTCTGCCGACGCCTTACCGTGAGTAATCGCTCCGTGACCTATTGGGGTTATCATATACCTGGATGTTAACTGGCGGCTTTTATAGGAGCGACTCGGAAAGTACAAAAAACGAATATGGGTCGGGATTATTTTGCTCGCCGCATCGTGGCTAGCGGACTTTCTTATAACCATTTTCAACTGCAGGCCGTTCCCGATGAACTGGCAGATATATCCGGACCCAGGTCGTATGCTATGCCTCCAAGCAAGATTTCCACATCACCGGCTAAAGCTAATGGCGCATTTAGAGATGTGTTACCCGGCCACTTCTCCTTACGGAGTATACGGTACTCTCAGCCTCAACATCCTTACCAGCCTTTACGTATTCTTTGTACCGCTTCCGATCTTATGGATGGCCAACATAAAGTTATGGAAGAAGATTGGTCTGATTCTGCTCGTTTCGGCGAACTGTTTCGTCATCGCGGTGGCTATACTGCGCGCGTACCTGATATTATCGACAGATACGGCTGGTGCTAGGCAAGCGAGCAGGTGGGCCTACCGAGTATGTTTTGTGGCAGTGGTCACGACGAATCTTCCGCTTCTATTCCCGCTCTTACGACGGTGGATGTCCCCTGTCATGAAAGAGAGCCATAGAGAACCGCGACGCATAAAAACGATCACGGCGTGGGATCGTTCGGGGTCACCTGGCAAGCTACCAGGGGCTCGTCGATTGTCGCGGTGGAACACTGGGTTCTGCCCGGGGCTTTCCGAAGATGGACGTTTGACCTTGGCTAGCTTGGGGCGTAGCGGACAGAGGGCTATAGTCGACACTGGGATAGATTGTGCAAGTTCAGATGATATTGAGATGGAAGAAGTAGAGGATCCGGTTAGAGAAATGGTATAGATTTGATAATTCTTAAGCATATAGACAATATTTTCAATGTTTAATAACATTATTTTCGCGGTCGATTTAATATTTACGGCGACAGTGAGAAAAAGGTCTTGAATAAACGTAAATCGTTACTTTGATATAAAGGCTAGTCTATACACGCCCGCCACATCCATGAATTTTACGAACCCCTTGAATCCGTCACGTCTCGTAACATATTATACCATAAGCATTGCACCCGTCCCAAGACCTAGCAGTCTGAATCAATGTATATAAGTTCCGAATGTAAATTCCAACTTCCCGTAGCCGTGTATCCTAGGAGATCCGTATCTCTTTTGAACCCAAACCCTCTACTCCAAGCCTGAATAGGGGCTTCTCAAAAGGAAGACGGGGTTTTAATCGGTAACACCAACAGGGGTTTGGCACAAGACACCTTGTTCCAGGATAGGCAAGACGCAGCATCGTGCGCGCTGGCCGATAGCAGCGCACTCAGAGGAGAAGTTAGAGGCGTCGGTGGGGACAGCAGGAGGGTTGGCGCAGTCCAGGTCCGCGACACCAAGGACGTCAGTCGCGCAACACTGGGCCGTGCCGTACAGGCCAGAGCAGGGGGTGTATGTCTGGCGCTCCTCGACGGCGGGCGCGGCTACGGCAAGGCCGGCGAAGATGGTGGCTAGGGCTGCGATGGAGAACTGCATCTTGTTTGTTTGAGTTTGGCTTTGATGTGGTTTGACTCAAGTCGAGCAATGGAAGCGAGAGAATGGAGCGAGAGGCTGGGTAGCGAGAGTCGTTAAGTCTTGAGAGAGGCTTTGTGGATGTTGGTATATGAGGGTCTTTGTCTGATAGTCCAGATGATAGTCGGGTCCGAGACGAGGGAGGAAGATCAAGACTTTATACTCCTACCTGAGATCACTCGTGCTTTCTTCTATTCCCATAAACTCTTGTCCGTATGTTTATCTAACGACTCGTCAGTTGCCGATCCTATGATGAAATAGGAGTGAGCTAATCTCCGCAACGTCCTATTTTCTTGTTTCATGAACGTCGTTCTAGAGCTCAGGAAGACTTAGCAAGCCTACCAGGTTCTAAGTGCTGGGATATAGCGTTGGGAGAACTTAGTCTACGTAGCAAAGAGATTTAGCAAGCTCGTAGTTCTTAAGATGAGCCAGTATAACCTCAGGATGCATACTAAAGGAGGTGATATCCTGTTGATCATCGTCATGGGTTGATTATAATCGTGACATCAAACGAAGACTTCAGGCTACGAATAGGAATGAGCCTCAATACCCTATTTGGAAGTCACGGCCGACGCCCAGCTCATTGGGCTCGAATCTGAGTTACCAACATGCACAGCCGCTAAGAGGGTTCATTTGCCACGGGTTACTTTATGCAGCAAGCTTGCTCTTCGTATGTAAGGAGCATGCACCACAGCCCTATACTCTGTAATTTGCAGCATACTTCTCGTTCAATGGAGTCGTGCCAGTCGTGCCTGGTAGCCCGGGAACATAGGTGATATGAAAATTTCGGGGAGGGTATCCCGTCACTTAGTCTACATACCAGCATACGTAGGATCGGTCAACCACCGTATCTCGATATGGTGACGAATTATCTATCGTCGAATCTTCTTGTTATGAACAGGGCGCTTATAAGACGGGTCTTCGGACTCCACAGAGCAGGGGCAGAGAGCGATTGTGATGCGGGCCTGCAAGGGGCTGACAACAGGGAGTTAAACACCAAGTGCCGACCCCAAGCGCTGATCTTGTCATTGTGTAGCATCGCGTAGCATCGCGTGGCATAGTGTGGTACTTATTACAGCATTGAGCCACTACGGCAGCACGGCAGCCACGGCTCTAGAAGAGTGTGCTACCCTTCTTGCGCCAAGGTGCATGATAGCCTCGATAGCTATTCGAGGGATCCGCGGAGATCTTCGCTGCTGAAGACCTCGTGTCGAAAAATAGAAACAAGGCGAGAAGACGCTGAATGCTTCTTCAGCTATATGCCACCGGCTGATCGTCCGTTATGAACCGGACCTTTTTGGTTAGGATGCAGAGTCATAGAATGTCTCTGCTAGAGCCGCAACTGGGACTGAGATTAGCGGGTGGGGAGAAAAAGCTCCGAAGCGAGATGGAAAATCCGCATGAAAACACAATCAAACCAGCCTACGGCTAGGAATCCCGATCATAGATTTCAGGGGTAGAAGAAATGAGATCGAATTGAGAGGCGAAGCGTGGCCGCGTGGTCCAGAAATGGAAAATACGAGAAAACAAGGAAAAAGATGAGAGAAGATCGTCAGAGATGCTTCCTTATCGGGAACTGAACCTGGGGAATTATATCAATGCGCTACCTGACTACATCAGCAGTGGCAACAACGAAGATTTACATAATATCGATGACTTGTTCGACGAGTATCGTAAGTAAACGCGATTTCTCGGTTGTTTTAAGTCAGATGATGTATTTCTTTTCTCAGGAACGTTGAAAGTGGTACAAGTTTTTAGAACAAAAGAGGAAGATATCCACTTTTAAAATAAAACTCAGCTGTGCTTTCCCCGAGTCGGTGCCGGTCCTGGGTCTTTGAGTACCTCCGTCATCCATCCCGGGGGCCCATTTTTAGATCGATGCTCAACGTTTAGGGCTGGCCATCGTCTTCTCTCCGGTAGCTTGGTAGCTTTAAGGTTACATTTAGACTCAGCTATTTCTAATGAACGTATCATTTTGGCCCGAACAGCCCGAAGTAATTTCTCAACTGTTTCAAGTCCTCGCTAGTCTTTCTAAAGAGCGGTATTGTATAAAATACTACCTATATCGAATTAAGACGCAACTAAAAGCTTTTGCTTCGCAGTACGCAGGAGATGCTCTAAGTGTTTTACCCAATGTTGCATGAGCTACGAAATGATGTTACATAGAACCCTACGAAGTTACACGTCAAGAACTATAAGAGGCGATTCATATACCCATTCGTTGGTGAAGTGCCGAATAGAAGAAACCTCTCTAAACTAACCGGTTTTTATCTCGCATTGCTAGTGGCCATGATTCAACACAATCCCTCACTAGTCAGGTCAACATCAGGACGCTAAATATACTAACCGACTAAACGAAACATGATAATTTACCAAGAACGACCAATGATTAACGATCAATGGTTATGTTGACGATGAATCGCCAAGAGCCTTTGAATTTGCACAGCCTTGTGATGTTGTCATCGATGATAAGTCTTGCAACATACCACTGAATCAGATACCTGTTTTTCGCGATCGATTACTATAAGGGTTCAAATTGTACTGAACAATTGTACCTAGTTACTGTAGATTCAACTTGGATAGACGGTCCTCACTTATTCTTGTTTGTACTAGGTAGCATAATCGGTCCTACCGAGACTATCTATGTTGTAAAGGTTGTCCGGAGCGGTAGACATATCCGCCTACTAGTACGTACGGGTAGGTCGGCAGGTAGCCAGGGTGCAGAAAGTGCTACAAGCGCGTTGCTACAAGAATCGATTAGGAATTTGACAGCTCCAGCAGCACACTCAAGTTGAGGACGTGAAGACGGGAAATATGGTAGGAGTGGGCGGACCATCTCGATTCGATGAGGCGCGTCAAATTATAATACATATTTCCTCTAGTCTGCCAAGGCAATTTCTATACCATGCCTGCCTCTCGCTCCACCTAGGAAACTTATGCGTAGAAATTGACCGTCTGGGAAGCAATGTTAGCTCGAAATGATCCATGAGAACGAAATAAACAGCAACTATACTCACATCCTTCTTCTTGGCTTGCACCTCCGCGATGGCGTCCACGTAGTGCTCGTGGCTAATCTTATTCTTGCCCATTCTCAGGGCAATCATACCGGCTTCGACACAGACCGCCTTCAACATGGCACCGCCGAACTCATCCGTACTCCGAGCCAGTTCGCCCCAGTTGACACTAGCATCCACCTTCATCTTGCGCGAGTGAATCTTAAGAATCTGAGCTCTTGCTTCCTCGTTAGGTAGCGGGAATTCGATCTTTCGGTCTAGACGACCTGATCGTAGCAGAGCCGGGTCGAGGACATCGACACGGTTTGTGGCAGCCAACACCTTGATACGATCATCCGACGCAAAACCATCGAGCTGGTTTAGTAATTCAAGCATAGTTCGTTGAACTTCCCTGTCACCACTCTTCTCGCTGTCGAAACGCTTGGTGCCAACGGCATCCAGCTCGTCGATGAAGATGATAGCAGGGGCCTTCTCCTTGGCCAATGCGAAACAGTCTCGAACTAGCTTAGCACCGTCTCCGATGAACATCTGAACTAACTGCGGCCCTGCTAATTTGAGGAACGTGGCGTCAGTTTGGGCGGCGCAGGCTCGAGCTAAGAGAGTTTTGCCGGTTCCTGGAGGTCCATACATCAGGGCACCTGTCATAGTGTTGTTAGCAACAAGATATACGACGTTGGGGTTTCGCGATCAACACACCCTTGGGCGCTTTAATGCCTATCTTCTTGAACCGATCAGCCTCCTTCATAGGCCAGACAATCGCCTCGACAAGTTCCTCTATTTGCTTATCCAAGCCACCAACATCGCTGTACTTCTCTGTAGGCTTCTCGTCAACCTCCATAGCCTTAACCCGGCTATCATATTCAGCAGGTAAGGTATCAAGGATCAGGTAGGAGTCCTTGTTGACACCTATAAGATCACCCGGCTTGAGGGTTTCCGGGTCGACGAGGCCGATCAAGGGTAGGAAGATGGTTTGTCTGGTAGACGTTTTGATGACGGCGGACTTGCCCACCCTAGTGGCATCGAGATCGATGTTGGCGCCTTCTTCCGATGATTCGGCGGTAGGATCAAGATCGAGAAGCTCAACGACATTACCGACAAGATAAGGCAATTGACTATGGGATAGTTATCAAATTAGGAACTCAGAAGCTCTAGATATTAATGCAGAAAGACGAACCGATTGTTTGCGATTTTTTCGTTGTTTTCCTTGATCCTCTCACCCATGCTCGCCTTCTCGTGCGATAACCGTTGGAACTCGCTCTTCATAATTCTAGCATCGTTTTCCAGCAGGCGTTTTCGCGTCTTTAGATCTTCTGTGGTGAGACCCAGGGTTTCCTCGTCCAGAATCTCGTCCTCTTCGGGCTCGGCATCCTTCATCACGGCATCACCATCGCGGTTAACGTTGCTGTTGCCATCCTTCGGTCCATCGTCGCCTCGTCCGTCCTTATTGTCCTTACCGTCGTCGGATCCGCGGCGCTCGAGACCCTCCACACCCTGGGTGCTCGACATGGTGGATGGGTGGGTATGTGAATGCGGCGTTGAGGGAGAAACGTAAGGAGGTGCTAGAAATGCTTCGCTAAGCTTGAAGGAAGCGTGTTTTTAATCTGTGTAAGGTGCCTTTCAATTATTGGGATAGTCGATTTACTATGTTTGCCGGTGGGTGAATTTGGTGTTTGTAATTCTGAAATGCTGAAATGTTGAAATCTGGAGCTTCTAAACCGGAAACCTTAAGCTTTTGGCAACGGTACAAAATATTGGGGCGAGGCTAGCGCTTGCAGGTAGGTACCCGTGGTAGCTTCCCCAGGCAGGCGTGTCGCGTAATCAGCCTGATGCACTAAATGAAGTCTTACCTTCCCTGCTCCCCAGCTCATTGCCCAGTGCTTACCTGATAATTGTTATCTGTAATACTCGTCTTAATTGCATATCATTATATCGGGGCTTGTACTGACAAAGCAGAGGGCCCCACTTTCTCCAATGCCATTCAACATTCAAATCTTCTACATCCGTCATCACTTGCAGTCTGCCATTCCCAACTGGAATAGTTTTTGGACATCCCAAAATCTCCCTATCACTACTAAGTAAAGAGTGATAAACCAGAAATGATTCCCCAGCTCCACTAATTTAGTCTATAGACTAAGAAATATAAGCGCAAATATCTCAATCTGGCTGGAATACTTTGGTCTCGAAGGCCGGGTCCAACGACGGATGCCGCCGATGCGACGAGTGTCCCTAGGAGACTAGTCTCTCGCGACACCATGGCCGAGCCTTCCGTTCAGCCTCACTTGACGCCGCAGTTTTGCTTCTCGACTATAGCTCTCAGAGGTGTGCCCTCCTTGTTGATGACTCTTATTTGAGCTCAGGCGCTTACCTTACCATGTGCAAGACTTCCTCCGGATATCTCGAAGTGCGATAGACGATTCAATTACGCAAAACCTCAATGCTCTTGTGACGCCTTCTCAGTCGGGCTTTGATCCTGCCTCAACCTCTGTTCGCATACCGCGAGCTCCAAGTCGGTCTATTGATCCTCGATCATGCCAGGCGTTCAAGGACAAGGTCTTATTTCCTTCATGGCAAGCAAGAGCGGATGTCTTGACTTATTGCGCATATGTGGCGACAAGCCCAGACCCAGATGATCCGGAGGTTGGCCTGCGAGAACGTGAAACGGAGAAGAACCGCGAGCGAGTTGTCGATGAGAGGTTAGATCCGTATTCCGCACGATATTTCCCCCGGGAACCTCGTACGGAGCAATTAGCAAACTTGCTCCGACAAGAAAGGGGTATCGAAAACATTGTTCGCTCTCGAACGTGGGGTTTAGTACGGGAGCGTTGCGGAGACAGCTTCCAAGATGCCGAGGAAGCCCTCAATCGCTGGAGAGCAGAGAGGGAACGTCGCAGTACATAATCACGATATAAAACAGGAAAAGTACATAAGTATATATGTCGGTGGCCTCATATCGTGGCGTGGGTAAGTGCCTACCTCTTAGGTATTTTCCTGCACTGCGTCCTTGAATTGGCCACGTTTTTACCCTCACCACTACAATGTAATATACCAAACCGTATAAACCTTAAGCTATCCTCTATTTGTTTCGTTGGTGTAAGGACTGTTCATATATCCCTGAGATGGATGTTCTCTAAGTATCTATGTAAGCACTGAACACTCCGATGTCCCACATTAGTATAGGGAGACGTTTACTGGCTGATATCTAAGTATACCGCATATAAAAATAAGCCGTCTTTTTAGTTGCATTGGTGGATCGGTCAATCATCGGTAGAATCAAGCTCTGTTTTTTCGCTGGTAGTAACTTTGTACCTAAAAGACATCCCACTTTACCACCGCTAAAAGTAATCGCAAAGCTCCGAGCTCCAACTTATTCCGCCTACAACTTTGGAACCTGACACAAATACAAACGCACTTCCAAATTCCACGCCGCCGTTATTTGAAGCTGGCCGAGTACCTCCATTCGTTCAACCATTGAACTCGACGTAGAACCACTATTTCCAAGGTTAGCATCAAGTTGTCACATATAAACTTACTAGCTACGTTGTAGCAGTCAGACCTTGAATTAACTCACTAACCGGTCCATATCCCACAGCAGCCTCGGTACCAGTTCTTTTTACGCCCGACATCATTGCCCACGAGAACGCCGTTGCCGTTGAATGTGAGGATTTGGTGGGGGAGCTTCTCGTAAACACCAACCATGCCACAACCACTCAGCTCGAAAGAGAATTCTCTCTTTCGGCAGGTCATCCGCAATTATGAAGACAAACAGTACAAGAGAGGCCTGAAGGCGGCTGAGCAGATCCTCAAGAAGAACCCTAAGCATGGTGATACGATGGCTATGAAAGCATTGATCATTAATCAACAAGGGAAGACGGAGGAGGCATTTGCGTTAGGAAAGGAGGCCTTAACAGCTGACATGAAATCTCATATATGTTGGCATGTCTATGGTTTATTATACAGGCACCAGAAGAATTTCGAGGAGGCTATCAAGGCCTACAAGTTCGCCTTGAAACTAGAGCCCGAATCTCACCAGATCCAGAGAGACCTTGCCTTCCTCCAGATCCAAATGCGCGACTATCAAGGCTACATACAAAGCAGAACAGCCATGCTCCAAGCTAGACCCCAGTTGAGACAGAACTGGACTGCACTCGCAGTTGCGCACCATCTAGCCGGCAATCTCTCCCAAGCTGAGAAGGTTCTGACTACATACGAGGAGTCCTTGAAGGTACCACCGTCCAAAACGGATTACGAGAACTCGGAGGCTGTTATGTACAAGAACTCCATCATTGCCGAGATGCAAGACTACCAGAGAGCCCTCGACCACCTAGAGTCTGTCGCGAAGCACAACCTTGACCGCTTGGCTGTCTTAGAGCTTCGCGCGGAGTATCTATCGAAACTCGGCAGAAACGAAGAGGCAGCGGATGCCTACCGCACCCTACTTGACCGTAACCCCGAACATCCTGACTACTACGCCCGCCTTGTAAACGTACTAGGCATCGATTCTAGTGACTCCGCGGCTAAAAAGACTATCTACGATGAGTATGCTGAAAAGAATCCTCGTTCTGACGCTGCCAAACGATTGCCCTTAGACTTCCTCGTCGGTGAGTTTCGTAGAAGTAATGATTCCTGGCAGGGAAACGCTGACAAGTCCTTAGGTGACGAGTTCCGAGAAGCAGCCCGAAGTTACTTAACATTCATGTTAGACAAGGGGGTTCCTTCAACGTTCGCCAATCTTAAGCATCTCTATACCGATTCATCCAAGCGAGATATTCTCGGATCCTTAGCACACGAGTATCTTGAATCAAAACGTACATCTTCCGACGGCAACACGACCACCAATGGAGACGCATTAAAGGGGGAACCAGCAGCATTGTACTACCTTGCGCAACATTACAATTACCACCTAAGCCGTGATCTTACGAAAGCGATGGAATTTGTTAACAAGGGAATCGAATCATCACCTGACAATGTTGAATTCCACATGACCAAGGCTAGAATATGGAAGCACTATGGCAATAGCCAAAAGGCCTCGGAAACAATGGACCAAGCTCGCCAACTTGACCTCAAGGATCGATACATCAACACGAAGGCGGCGAAATACCAGCTTCGAAATAACGAAAGTGAGACTGCTCTAAAGACGATGGGCCTTTTCACAAGGAACGACTCGCCAGGTGGTCCACTCAACGATTTACTCGAAATGCAGAGTGTGTGGTACCTAACGGAAGATGGAGAAGCATGGGTGCGCAACAGGAACATCGGACTGGCCCTCAAGCGATTCCACGCCGTCTACAATATCTTCGAGGTCTGGCAGGAGGATCAATTCGACTTCCACAGCTTTTCTTTGCGGAAAGGACAAATCCGTGCGTACGTGGATATGATTCGATGGGAGGACCATATTCGTGAGCATCCATTCTACACTCGTGCTGCCCTCGGCGCTATAGCTATCTACGTTAGTATGTATGATAGCAGCCGAGCAGTAAATGGAGTAGACGGATCTACGGGCGCCAACGGAGACGATGCCGCGGAAAGGAAGAAGGCAGCCAAGAAAGCCAAGAAAGAGGCGCAGAAAGCCGAGCGAGAAGCCGCTGAGAGAGCCGCCAAGCAAGATCCTAACAAATCAAAAGCCTCCTCCGAGCCTATCAAGAGGGATGACGACCCGAACGGATTCAGACTCGTTTCGACGACCGATCCCCTGGCCGAAGCGACGAAATTTCTCGCACCTATTCTTCAGTACAGTCCTAAGTACATCGACGGCCAAATTGCCGGTTTCGAGGTCTTCATTCGAAGAGGTAATGCTAGAAAATGTGGTTCATGTGAATTTATATGTGCTAACTCTCGTTAGAAAAATACGTCCTCGCTCTTCGATGTTTGAATGCCGCATTGGCAATAGACCCGGACCACCCCGCAGTTCACGAGCAGGTCGTCCGATTCCGTCAAATTCTCAACGAGAAACTCGGATCTCTACCTCCCAAGGTTGCCGAAGTTTTGAAGTCTGGATTCACTGCCATAGATGCCTCAGCAGACCTTAAGAAGTTCAATGCGGACTTCCAACAGAAGCATAAGGACAGCGCAGAACACGTTATCTCTGCTACCAAGATAGAGAGACTGCTAGGAGATGATAAGAAGAAGAGTGAGAAAGATCTCGCGGGAGTTCTCAGCCTGAAGGATATTCAGTACGACCAAGCAGCAGAAGCATTGGCTCTCTTGGAGCAATGGCGTAGTAGTGAGGCCGAGACTTTTAAGAAGGCTGCTCACGAGAAGTGGCCCGAGGTTACTGCATTTGCGTGATATACCCTCGAAAGGAGACGCGTGTAGTATGGGACGATTGACATCCACTTCCCCGTCATCAATTCATTATTTCATCTATCGTTGGGCCCTTTTTTCACGAAGAATCATGAGGATCGGGGTGGCAGACAACGCATTGCATCTTATTCCCGGCAGGACAGGGGAGGTGTAAGTATGTAAGGCTTGCATAATCCTGCGCTCGGCATGGGCTGGGGAGGAGAGAATCAAAAAAAAAAAAGAAAAGGGGCAATAGACAGCGGGTTTACGCTGTGTTCCGTGTATGGGGACGTAGCTAGGGATGGTTCTTGAAAGGGAGCCTTCAAATAGGTACAGAAAATGAGAAAGTCGGTGACTAAATGTCTTGTCTGTTTTTTTTGCATGCTCAACTACCTGGTGGGTACCCAGATAGCTACGTGATATTTGCTGGTGATCTATCTAGAGTGATGCGGCGGCCTATGAACTATCTTTACCTAGGTACCTAGGTAGATAAGTATGCCTAAGCCTGGAATAATCCTAAGGGGCGATGCAAAATAGACTTAAAGTCCTGTTTATTTTCTTGGGAATTTCGCTCCATAAAACCATCGTGCTGCTGGTGAGATTAATTTAGTATGTGTAATAGCGTAGCCTCCATAGAAATATTTCTTTCGTCTGATACAAGCGTTACTCACCTATAACTGATATGTGTGTCTCGTACCCCGGGTATTTGGGAGTGGTGGTCCTACGATAGAACTGCTCAGCTTGCTGTAGCGAGACTGTCTATCATCCAGTAGGTAAGCATCAAGTCTAGTTATTCGTATACGCCGAAATGACCATGTTACATAGGTAAGACATTCCCATACCCACTGCGGAGCCTCTAAGGCTGCGTATACTCCAGGGTACTTGGGGTGTTCACTTAAGGTCTTCTGGATGAATTCATGATCCTCTCTGGACAATCTTCTCGTTCCACCCCATATGTCTTGTGTTTGAACCCTATTGATGCTAACGTTCATGACAGTCTCTAAGTTGACATGGATACGGCCTCACTCCTTCGGCATTGGGAAGCAACGCTCTCCGATAATGTGTTTGTAAACAACGAAGATACCCGGGTAGAACTCATTGGTCAGAGCCCGACTCTCGCGGCACGCCCGGATGATGCTCGACGAATTGTCCGGTTGGAGAAATAGGGCAGTGGCGAAGGCAGGACGGTAGGCAGGAATATGTTGGTTCTCAGACTCGAAATCTAGAGCCACTCTCCAGATCATAATCCGTAGCTCGGGAGGGAGGAGTGGAAAGAGTGGGAAATTATGTGGCTTATATGATGCCATGATTGATGTTGGGCTTTTAAAGACTTGGGGAATAGCATAAGTATGTATGGTAGATAGGTAGACGGGGAAATCAAAGGGGTGTGGGTCAACGGAAAAGGGGGGAAGATGGTAGGAAGACTTAAGAGTGAAATGGAAGGATGCTTATTTTGCATGGGGGAGATAAGGTGTACACCTAGATAGTGTGTTTCCCTGAATCGTGGTTTTGTATATACTACCTAAGTGCCTCAGGAAGATGTACTTCAGGGGTTGAGACACCTGAAAGGTCGGAGTCAACTTCTTTATACCTACCTGAGGAATGAATGTCCTGGAATTGAAGGGTTGAGGCCCATCATGTCACGCGTGTATAATCATGACTTACTCAATATGATTAGGTTGCCCTTCAGATAAGACTCCAGGCTGACTTGGATAGAAAGACGCCTGGAAATCTATCGAATGCGCCAAGAGAAGGAATTAATGCCTATTCTACCAGTGTTTTACTCTTTACCTACCTCTTAGATATACTAACGTTAGAATCAGAATCAAGTACTTCACAAAAATATGAACGAGAAACCATCACAAATGCACCTAGATATCCATAGTATCTCAATATACTTCGTGAATATTATCGCGTTCATCATGTACGTCGGTGTCAGTGCCTATGTACCTATCTACGTCCCAATAAATGCAATGAACCACACCCTTCGTACTAACCAATACACCGCGATAGCTAGTATTGGATCCCCCAAGAATAGGTGATAACACCCTAGCAACTAAAATTGTGGCCATCTACAGGAGGCGCAAATAGCTCACCGGAACAAAAAAACAAATAGATACCAATGCTCTCTAAAAAGAAAGTCGATGGGAAGGCAGCACCTTGTCAACAAGGAGGGTAAGTCCCTAAGAATATGGGAAGTTATCATGGGCGGAGACTCGTTCATACATCCTATACATCGTCGACATCAATGCGTGAATATTTTGGTTTCCCACGAATAAAATTATGTCTCCGTTGTTTCCATACGAGCAACGGCATAACCGAAATTCTTCGATATCGGGATCCGTCAACACTCTGTACCTCCGAGTTTCATGAGGAACATCGCCGCAGATAGTCTTGACCTGTTCATCCCAAGTCAACTCTCTCGGTTCATATTTGGCCGGCAATGATTCCCCGGACTGCCTTTTGAAGAGATACTCCAAGAATTGGTTAGTCTCGTATTCTGTGTTAGGGCCCCACGGGAACATGAAGTATCGTTGAACCCCTGGGAATGCGCGATCGGACCAGAAGAGCTCTACGAAAGCCTCGGGGTACCGTCGTTTTTGGCAGGGGCAGGCGGCAGGGCATTCGGTGATGTAGCAGAAACCATCTGCGTATGGCGCAAGGACATTTTGTATACGAGATCGGATAGGCCAAATAGTTTTCGTGCGGTACTTTGCAGTGATTTTGGAGGGGAACAAGGTTTCACCATCATCGTGGAAGTGGCACATGGGTGCATCCATTAAACGCACCGTTGTCGGGAACGGGATTGGTGAATACGCAAATGTTGTCGGCGTCATACTCAATTTACTCAATTTGGTGCCATCCACCGGCTGGAAGTTGAGACCTGTAGTGAATATATCATGCTCGAGACTAATATACACGCACTTCTCGTCCTCAGGGGTATGTTGCGGAATAGCGAAGTCCTCAAGGTGCAACTCCATGTAATACCTAATGAAAAACGTCGCTTTGTCGAATAGGGATAGCTTCAGATCGAAGAACTTAAGGGCACATGCTCTACTCTATTTGCTAATAACCAGCATTGGCGAGACAAGAGATTTAGATGGAACTATATCGAATTGTGCAGAGCTGAGCACGACTATGCGTTCTGATGACTCCTGGAGTAATGCCTCTTCCCAGACCAGAAGTCGAATTTCCCTAGGAAGACCGTTGAAAGGAAACGACGATACAGCGGGACATAGAGGGTCTCGTGAATTGACCGTGCCGGTAGAAGGAGGCAGTTCAAAACCCGTGGGGGTAAGCGCAGTGAAGGTGAGATGATCCATCTTGAAAAAGATTCAGGACTAAAATTTGCGACACAATGTTGTCTCTAGTGGAATCCTCGGAATAGTTTGGGAGGCTTGGAGTTTTATATGATGCGGCATACTTCTAAAGTGGCAAATAACAGGCAAGGCATCACAAACCTGTTGGCTAAGTGATATACAAATTGATAGCAACTCACTTATCTAACATCATGCATCCATATGAAAGCACTATGAACATCAATAGCAAAACATGTGGGTGTGCCTATTCGGACAGGTGTCAAACCATAGCTCAACAGAAACCACAAACTAGAAAAACTCCAGGAATAGCTCTATCAGGATACGATTTATACCAAGAGTACAATGAAAATGTAGGCGTAAAACATAGGACTCATTATCAAACAAAAATCAGTAAAATCTTACCACAGTCGGAGATGATTGCCCTTGGTTCTAGAATTCACATTTCTCAAACCATCTTATCGACGCCCCAAAGAAGTCCTAGATACATGTAACTTTGAATCCGGAGCTATAAATACTTGCCCGGTATCCCTGAGTCTCTAATACGGTAATTGCAGGAATATTATTCTAATATATTGAGCTAACGCTTCCTGCGATGATATATCAATTTCATTAAAAGTGCCGTAAACATGTCTAGAAGATCTGCTTCATAGACGATGTATTGGGAATTATCTATACTACATAGTTAAAGGTTGTGATAATAATTGATAAGTGTCGTGGAATGTGTCATGCAGGACATTCCCCAAAAAGGGGTTAGGGGGTGCACATAGCGCCGAGAGTATATAGGCTAAGTTTACATCGGAGTTAACACAACAACAACCCCACCTCCCAATTGTTAGTTGGGCTGCCTGGCGAAATGGTATCGCGTCACTTTCCGGTTAATCCCCTGGAACATGGTGAAGATTGCGGGTTCGAGTCCCGTGGTGGTCGATCTCTTTTTCTACTTTATCCAAGATAATTCCCCTCACTTTTATTTTTTATTTTTCTCTCTCATGTATTATAACCATGTATGCCCTCAACGATTCATTCCCTTTGCCTACTAGTGATGGTTCCGGATTAAAAATTTTACTACATCATCCGAAAGTTACCCTCAAAGCCCTCGTCAGCTGCATACCCGCCAATAGCACCCCCTGACCTTATAAGGCGCTACTTAGGGGAGGAGGCCAACTCCTGCTAAAAACCATTTAAGAAAGATATCAAGGGAGTTGAAAAATAAAACTTTTCGGGGGCTGGTAGGCTACTGGGGACTGAAACATAGAGAACAAGACCTTCCTTGGCACTGATTACAAAGAGTGAGCTGAGCCCCTGAAACCGGCACTTTTACTGGCTGCCTGCCCCTTTTCTTTTAGCCCCCGTATTCCGAAAGTCGGTTTTCACACCTTGGCTCGTCGCGCGTAGGATCACCATAACCATTAAATGGATGCAGAAACCTAACCCCGGGCTTGACCGTTAGCCAAACCATCTCATGCTTGTTACCTGGTGATGTTATGATGACTACTAGTTCAAGTGCAAATCTGTTCGTGGGAAGACAGCTTTGACACAATCTTGGTTCTATAAGACTAAGCACATTGTTCATTGAGTGGTTTAATGCCAGCCTAGGCTAGCATTAGTAGGTAATTACCAAACCATAGACGACCATGATCACCTATAGTAATAATATTAACAGCCTCTGTACCATATATACACTTCCCCTTGCGAGCTTACAATAGCCTCACGTCCTTTGACTACCATTTAACCTTCCTACTCCGATCCGTCATTCCAAATCAAAGGCTCAACGGCCATCCCTATTACAACGGCATGCTATCGCATTTGACTTTATACAGCCATGCCGTTCTCCATGACCTTCTTGCCTTTCGCGTCATACGTAGTGACGCTAAAAGCCTCGTAGTCATTATCATCTTTCAGATCATCCTCATCCATCTCCACGCCTGCTAGACATCCCTGTCCGACTTTAGGCCAGGCCGCGGGCACGGACTCCGTCGACGATTCCCTCGCTGCTTGGTTTTGGCTCTCGGCGGCGTTGCCCTTGGCGGTGCTGGTCTTCACGGTCACGGAATGCGAGTCTGGCGTTGATACCTTGCTGGAGTAGTGTGTCGGACCGACGTTGATGTTGGAGTCGGTCTTCACGCGCGCGCTATCGTACGAAGACGGGCGGCCCGCTTGAGCGCCGCCGCGTTTAGGTTCGTGGGCGGGGAAGATGGGGAGATCGGGGTGGAGTTCTGTGCTGTACATGATGATGTTGACGAGCTGTGTATGAGGAACACCTGAGAGATAGGTGCGTTTCTACGCTGCTGTTAGAACCATTTCACATATCCAACTTATAGCCATGGCGCTTATACTTGGGTGTAAATGATGGAATCAAACATACCTGCTCAGCGCTCTTAGCTGCCCAACTCACCCCCTTGAAACCCTCGAGGCTCTTCTTGCGGGCCAGATGCCTCTCCCGCTTCGCCATGCATCCGCGACAAAACCACGAACGCGACTCGTTGCTGACGTAGTCGTCGTCGATATACGGGTCGTGGCACATCTGATGCCAGCAGCAGTTACACCCGTCGCAGAACACGATCTGGTTCGCGGCCAAGCTCAGTCCGCGAGTGCACACTTTGCACAGCGCCTGTTCCGGCGTGCGCTTGCCGTAGGCCTTGCGCTTCTGCGCCGCCGCGGCGTCGCGCGCGGACTGCGCTGACGGGTTGTACTGCGACGGCTTCTGCACTTGCCGGCCGGACTTTGTCATAGTGAGTACGGACTGGCAATCCCTCGCGCTGGTGGAAGCGGCGGCGGCAGCGGCGGCGACGGTGCCGGAGCCTTCGCTCTCGGATAGGTCGCTGAGACTCGAGGTCGCGTCGTCGTCTTCGTCGTCGTCTTTGCCGCGCTTGCGCTTCGTGCCGCGCGGAGCCTTGCCCTTGGGTTTGGGCGCGAGAGTCTTTTGCGCCGCCTGGGCTGAAGTTGCGGACGATGACTTGGCTACGGCTTGGGTTTGGGACTTGGCAGGCGCTGGCGTGCGTAGCTGGAAGGCGTCGTTCATGGGCATGCGCATGGTTGTGGGGGCTGATGGTTTTTGCTTGGCCGAAGAGGTCGACTGCTTGGGCAGGGGCATAGGCATCGGCATGGTTAGGGACGTGTTCATGTTCATGACGAGACGTCTCTTGGCATCCTCATAAGCTGACTTTTCGATGCTCGTCTTGGCCATGGTGGACGACGCGGATGATAGCGCCGACGACAGACTGCCTGGCTTGGAATTTATCCGCTTCAGGATCATCTGGGTCACTGTCGAGAACTGCGGGATGTAGGGAGGGCGACCAGTGGAACTAGCTGTACTTGGCGCCGGGCTTGATGCTTTGGGGGCCGAAACTTGCGCTGGTTCGGATGGCGCTGCAGTTTCAACCGGCGTTGTGGACGCATCGCCTTCTTTCTCTTTGATAGTAGAATCCATTGTTTTATCCTCCATTATTTTATCTTCCATTATCACTGCGGTCAAAAAAGTATCAATTGAAGGGACAATTGTACCACCCTATCTGGGTGCTGCGAACGGTGTCAGTGGCGGTTGCGACGACGAAATTGGTGATGATTACCTACCATAAAAAGGCGACGATATATAAGTATCCGCGCACCGGGGAAAACGCCTGCTTGTAGATTATTCTTCAATCCCCCGACCGTCTTACTAGAAGATGTAAAAGTTATCGAATTGACGATGGAAGGTTGAAATTCATAGGTGGAGGCCGATGCACGTGATATTCACGTGATGGTGTGATTTCTCGGAAGGTGCTGCCCAAGTTATCAACTCATTTGCACTTGGTAGCGTTTCAAGTTTAACCCGAGTTTGGGCATATTGTCTTGCTGAATATCTATGTCTTTTAAGGTTAAGGAGATAAGATACCCACCTCCGATATGCTGATATACCGTAACTCACCTTGAGTTCCACCAGCTCCTATTTCAATCATTTCAACTATTTCAACCACTGCCCTTCATCACAAAGTGTTGCTTGCTAGTGACTGCAATCAGCTCCAACAATCATAACAGAGAAATGTGAAATGACTTTGCTCGAATTATGTGCGGGTTTACTTAGTCATTCTATTCAACACAATTTCATCTTACAGCTCCTTTCTCCTTTAATGCGGCTACCTCACCAGCTTCTAAGCCGAGAATGTCTGATAGAATTTCATCCGTATGCTGGCCTAGAGTTGGAGGTGCAGTTCTAACGCTAGGGTTACTCTCACTGTACTTAACAGGAGTGTTAACCAACTTGATCGGACCGCATTGCTCGTGGTCTACCTCGACTACCATATTTCGAGCCTTGGTATGCTCGTGGTTCAAAGCGCCCTGGACATCGTTGACTGCGGCATATGGCATGCCTTTTCCTTCGAAGATCTCCAGCCACTCCTGCGTCGTCTTCTGAGTGCTGATCTTCTCGATCTCGGTTTCAAGTTCATCTCGGTTGGCCACCCGTTGCGAATTGATGCTATATTTCGGATCCGTCTTCCACTCGGGTCGGCCTAGACCGTCACACAGAATCCCGAATAATCTGTCGTTACCGCCGCCGAATAGTACGTCTCCGTCTTTCGTCTTGAAGGATTTGTATGGCACAATTGATGCTGCGAGATCATCAGCAAGTCATTCACGGAATGAGGGTTCCTTTTTTTGTAGGCTTACGATGAGCTGTGCCCCATCTACCTGAGTCTTTCTTCCCACTGATGAGACAGCTACTTGCAATGTTAGCAAGTGTCGCAGTCTGGCAATCGCTCAGGGCAACGTCGATATGCTGGCCACGACCTGTTTTGGCTCGAGACAGAAGAGCAGCCATGATACTATTACTAGTGTAAAGTCCGGTGGTTAAGTCCGTAACAGCGACGCCGACTTTCACCGGAGGTCCATCTCGATTACCGGTAATATGCATCAGCCCAAACTCCGCCTCGACCATAACGTCGTATCCCGCTCGCTGCGAGAACGGCCCCGCTTGACCGTATCCCGTGATCGAGGCATAAATCAAACTAGGATTGATCTTATGTAACGTTTCGAAGTCCATGCCGTACTTCTTCAGAGTACCTGGCAGGTAGTTCTCAACTAGGATATCACATTTCGCCGCAAGCTTGTGCAGAATCTCCACACCCTCGGCATGTTGGAAAGACAGGCCAACCGACTTCTTATTGCGATTAACCTAAATAGAAATTAGGATCAAGGGTGTATTACAGCGTCTGCGGCCGTCTGCAGCCGTGCGACTTACACCTAAGAAGTAGGCAGATTCACCTGGGCCTTCGAGATGAGATCCGTCTCGGTAGGTTGCATACGGCGGCCCCCAAGCCCGCGTATCGTCCCCGCGCGTCGGGTGCTCGATCTTGATTACTTCCGCGCTTGCATTCGATACGATATTAGCTCAAAGTAATCTCGACGTCATAAGAATGATATATCGTTTATACCCAAGGTCGCCAAGGATCTGCGTACAATACGGCTATGGCAAAGTGGAAGTAAGCGAATGCGTACATAGCTGAGGCTGGAAGGATCATCGCTACATACACCAGCTAGAACCCTAGTCATGTCCAACACGCGGTAACCTGCTAAAGGTAATGACGATCTTTCATCTTTCACGACAGAATATCGTCGTACTAAGCCGCCTTGATGACAATTCCTAAGGAGTGTCGTGCCACGACTGGCGCGAGCTACTGCGCGACTGAACATGACGATCTATCTGCGTTATTGATGTGTGAAACATAGAAGATTAGCTATATCGGCGGGTACCCGAGATCTTCGTGCCGTGGAACGATTTACAAGCTGACGCTTCCAAGGCTGTGGGCCAAAGTGCAGATAAGACAAAGTCGAGGTTTAGTGAAAGAATTGACTTTTGTGTATGTGTTGCACCAAGGGCTTCCCATCGGACGTCCTCGCCAGGTACGGAGGATCATTCAAATGATACCGCGGTCCGAATATCGACGGTGGAGTTCTCCAATAGCGAGAAGCGGCCGCTATCCCCGATCAGCTGGAATGTCTACCCCACAATCTCCATTAATAAGACTATTCTTAGTGCGAAGAAAATGGTTCCTGGATTCACTTCCGCATCCCTTACTACGAATGGGCAAGAATGGATTTCCCATTACGGTCCTAGCTAGCGGCAGTAAGCTGACACCACGTTCTTTTCATCATAAACGCTAGACTAGCTCTTATGAAAGGATTCGACGATCGTTATTGTTGGCTTCTTTTAATCGGAGCTATCATACCTAATAACCCGGTAGTTATAACAGCTGAGACTCAAATATCCTTGCGAACGAAAACGAACGGTGGGCAGTGCAATGATTGCGGGCACAGGATAGCTAATTTGAGCTAAGGGGAAAAAAGATTCGACAAAATTATTAGTGCGACCATCGCCGAATCAAGCTTGAAATAGATACCGTATGATTTGCGTTACCCCTTGGGTGCACCTTGTCCTACCAACGACAAAATTCCGAGATTGGTTCTTAGGTTGTCAACTTGACAACCTGACAAAAATCGCTGTATCACAACATCCATCATAATGATCCGCGTAGCGCAAGTGGTAAAACTTAGACACGGGTGTATCGGCTTCAGGCCTATGAGGACATACATTGGTTACACTGATAGCGCACAAGGCCAAGCAGAAATCGCCTCGTCGATCTCAAGGCGTTCTTTTTCCATACCTTAGGTGCGTTACAGATCATTTATTGGCAGTTCATGGCATTTCAGTTTCGGTAGGCTTAGTTGACGTAGCCTTGAACAAGGCCCACGGGAATGCGTCTTTCGAGGTGGCTCAGCCTTGAGCGCTTGCGACAGAACTTTGCCCGATGCTACCTTTGAGGCCTTGCGATAGGCAGACCAGCGCTAAGCAGAAGCGAAGAACGCAGAATACCTCTGCACACAGCATATTCCCTGCAAAAATCACGTACGTGTTGAGGGAAGGATGAGAAAACTTTGTACTAACATCCACCTGCACAGATATGTTGGTCTTTTCTGTCTTTGACCTGAGGCGTACATCATTCTGCATGGGTGATGGTCGGGTTAACCACTTGCAGCGCCTCTTCACCCCATGTCTCCCGGCTGGCGTTACAGGGATCCCGATAGCCCCCGTCATCGTCCCGTATAGGTGGGCGGGATGTCGTATGTAGTATGTAACCCAAATAGGTGACGGCTCAGATGTGATTGGTCCAATAATAGAATCTTGTCTCGGTCATTCCAATCGGTTATCTCCTCGTATTCCTAAGTGATACATTGGAAGGCAGGCTATGGACGCACTCGAAAACGCGGGGGGCAGATCGGAACTTAAAAGATGTCATCTTCCCACTTCGTTCACACCATGTACATCTGATTTCTTTTTCTCGCCTTGGTATGGAGCTGCGGTAGATATTTGGAACCAGCTTCATTGTCGTCGCTTCGTTGGGCCTGGGAATATCACCCGCAGTATATGACAAAACCGACATGTCGCCGATTTTATATCCCCGTACGGCAGATGATGTGTTCGACACACAGATAGATTCTCCACCAGAAGCAAGAGAAGCTACCACTAATGGCAACACGATGGAACCGTGGTTGATAGTCGTCATCGTCATCGGGGCGCTCATCTTAACATCACTATCCGTCTTTCTAATAATCCACTTTTCGAGAAGACGGCAGCGGATTGTGCATCATGTCTACCAAGACCCGTTGAGTCAAAAAGTCCGCCACAAGCGGAATAGGAGCGAGACGGACCGGCTAGCGGCGGAGGAAATAGAACGGGCTGCGATGATACGGAAGTCCCTAGCAAGTCGGACATCTTCGTGGGGCGGGAACAGTCTGAGAGAATCAGGAATCTCGGATTATCAGATGGACGAATTCGACAGGCCATCACAAGAGGAACGTCAACCGATGGCGCCGAGGGAAAATTGGAAGGAATTGGAAGCCGGGGCTCAAGGAGGGAGAGCGACGCCCGGCGTGCACGATACGGAGATGGGAATCCACCCGGCCCTTCTGCCACAACCTCAGCTAGCGTTTCCGCAACCGTCGAGAGGACCATCGCCGATTCGGGGGCCGCAACCACCACGGTTGATCATTCCTTCGTAATTGGAATACGAGTTCCTATGTCGAAATTTAAACCGTCACACTATTTCTCATTAGTCTCATGTCGTCTGGGTATAGATGATACTGGAAGGACCGGGGATTTCATTCGGTTGATACCACGGGCAGCATTGCATCGGCGTTCAAGGGATGGAATAAGGTTATTCTATTATTACTATGGATCATAGTATCTATGATAATGATCGAAATCTCAATTCAAGCGATATGGCAGTTGGTGTTGAGATGTGAGAAGTATGATGATATTGCATATGATTCTTAGATCAACTGGCTGTTAGAACAACTCCTTGTGCCTAATCTAAATCTTAATAACACTGTGAAGGTATCAGATGGTAACAACTTTTGTTCGCTATTTAGGCGACTTACTATACGTAGGTACGTATTTTCCAAGATAGGGTGATACTACTTAAGCATTGACCAGCCATCAAACTCACGATGCTAAAGCTTTCCCAGCAAATATTTAACTTTGTAATGGCACGTTTGACACCTCAGTCTGTACTGCCCCGCTAGCCACCTAACCAGACAAACAACAATAGTATTTGTTGCTTAGCAAACCTTTACCACGCCCGGTTGCTGCGATATCTGAGTCACCTAAAGCGGCAGAAAAGGTGAGCGGGCGGTGACAAAGGGAGACTTACCTGCGTGCCCCTCGTCAAATTTTTATTCTAACCTTTCCTTTCCTTTCGTCCAAACAAACCATTCTTCTCACCTAAACAAACTCCTTCAACCATCAACGTTCTTTATCGCCACATACCTCTGGGAGGTGCATAAAACTTGGAAGGTATGTGATATTCAAACGATCAGTTCATTTGAATCAGAACCTTTCCTAATTGTTTTATTTTATTTTTTTTAGGAGGTGAATGCCACCTTTCAAGCATCACGATTCAGCTTAGCGTATCGCATCGGATCGTCGCGTCAAACTACATCGTGCATCTTCAATTCGAAGTACATAGGTATCGCGCTAATCTGCATAAGCAGACGAAGGTACGTACCTAGCTTTTTCACTCGCTTTTGCTTAATAATATTTGCCTTTTTCTATGACCCACTCTGACCCACTCTGACATTCCACAGGCATCTTCCTCGCGTGTAATCTTTGCGCCCTCTTTCCTCACCGTTGACTTATTTTCTTTACGTCTACAACAATTTTTATCAACCACCACTTCCGAATAGCACGTCGCCAGCACCATCGCCATCGACATTGACGTCTTGTAAAACTGCCATAATGGCGACCGGCGCGTCCCGCCCCCGTCCCCGCCGGGACTTCGATATAACCGCTTTCGGTTTTGGTGGACGACCTGCACAGAACGGCGAGTCCGAGGATAAAGAGTACAAGGAGAATCTCAACAAGCGGTTGCAATGCCCTGATTGCAAAGAGGACCCTCCCAACCTCGTTGAAGAGTTCTCATCCGGCGACATGGTCTGCGGTTCGTGCGGTTTAGTTCTTGGCGACCGCATCATTGACACGCGAAGTGAGTGGCGTACTTTCGCCAATGACGACCAGGGTAACGATGACCCGTCTCGTGTTGGTGACGCCCTCAACCCTCTTTTGAACGGCTCCCAGCTCGAGACCGGTATCGCTTTTGGCGAGGGAATGCGCGCGCGAGAGTTGCATCGCGCTCAGAACCGAGCTGTCAGTGACAAGGCGACCAAGACCCTCTTGGCTGCCTATCGCGAGATTAGCAACCTTTGCGAAGCTATTAGTATTCCAAAGACGACTCAAGATTCGGCTAAGCACATCTTCAAGCTGACCGAAGACAACAAGCTGTTCAAGGGCAAGCCCCAGGAAGCTGTCATCGCTGGTTGCATCTTCGTCGCGTGCCGTCAGTCCAAGGCTCCCCGAACCTTTCGGGAAATTTATTCCTTGACTAAGGTGTCCAAGAAGGAGATCGGCCGCACTTTCAAGGCGCTTGAGAAGTTCCTTCAGAGCAACCGCGACGCGAACACGAGCGGTTCATTCCTCATGGTTGAGAACTGGGAGGCTACCGGTACGACCGGCGCAGCCGAGCTATGTGCTCGATACTGCAACAACCTTCTCTTCAAGAACCCCCACCTTATGGAGAAGATCTCCAAGACGCTGGCGGAGAAGAGCTCCTCCCTCAAGGATCTCGCCGGCCGATCTCCTCTGTCGATCGCGGCCGCCTCGATCTACATGGCGTCCCACCTCATGGGTGATCCCAAGTCTTCAAGAGATATTGCTCAAGTGGCTGGCGTTAGTGACGGCACCATAAGAACGGCGTATCGTCACATGTATCCGTCACGAGAACAGCTTATCGAGAAGGACTGGCTCGCGCCGAAAGGCACCGGAAGCATGGACCGTCTACCCGCAAACTAGAAGTCGGGGGACGCCATAGCTCGCGAGTATGCTAAGCGGCAGGAAGAGGGATTTTAGACGAATACGACTCTAGAGACAGTAGCTGGAAAGCATTGGGCGGACCAACCTGCCATAAAAAAGATCGACTTATGGGATTCGCAGGTCTTTCGGTAACCCCCATCTTTGATCGTCGTCTACGATCGTATATTTCCATGGTTGTTCATTTGCAAATCCTCACTTGCTTTAGAGGTTGAGGTAAAGAAAAACCCCCCAAAATTCGGAATGTGGAATATTACAAATGGAAGCAAACCGTACTCGCCGAAAGGGTGATTTCCACTGGCCGGTACATGTTTCTTTTATTTCGATTCTACGCTATCTTGCTCTTGAAATACAGGGCTTGTGTATTTCCTTGTCCGCAGGCACATACGTGGATGGCTTGCGGACGGTCGGCGGTTCGTCGACATGGGTTGCATCAAGAAATTGATTATAGCCTACGATGGTTATCTGGCAACGAGGTATGACACGGGATGGTGATAGGGGGGCAAAAATTGAGATTATGGCGAGTGCTTAGTTGGTCGTTTGCGGTTTTCAGCTGGGAACTGGAAATCGCAAGTCCAATTGATGGCATTCATAAGACACTGCTGAGTTGTATTTCGTGTTACGTCTTAGTCAAGTCTAATACGACTTCGATTTAGCAAATGCTGGGTACGTAAGGTGAGGTTTGTTTTTTTGATGATATATACCCTTCCTCCTTTTCCTTACCTTACCTCCAAAGATTCTCTAAGACGTCTAAATAATTATCCCGTCGTGGGTTAGGTGTTCCCTAGATTAAATCGCTGTACCAACTAACTAGACGAATGAATCATGACGTTTTCCGGCACTCAGCCATCTATGTGCTATCTACTGTCTGCTGTATATTTGTGTCGTTTGATCTGTTAGTATTACCTACTACTGTATGTTACCGATAGTATGACGTAGCTTCCTGTTCCTTGCCTACCTAGACTGAACCCGAAGCTGTGGATACTATAGAAACTAGAGGAAGCTACTCGGTGCGCAATAGCCCGGCAAGATGGCGGCAGATGCCCGATATAGGCTCCTATAGGACCCCGCATGCCGCTCTCCGCCCCCCGCGTTGTAGGACAAAGACTGCATTGCATAGGCGCTGAAACTTAACTCTATCTATTACGTGCGACAACTGCCCAATCGTTTATTACCCGATTTATCTTCCGTTGCAAACGAATTGACTACTTCCTTATTTGTATCTCTCTTCCTCCCATCCCATGCTCCCCTCCAAACTCGCTCCTCGACTTACCTCCTTCACAACCAGACGTATGTACTCCTCGTCGCTCGGAAACACCACCGCCGCCGCCGCCAATATGAAGCTCCTGTACCCCACGTCCCTCAAACTCGACACCAAGAGCCTCGAGGGCTTCAGCACCGAGCTCGTGCCCTACGACGTCAAGGCGCCCATCCCCGACGCCGCCGCCGACGCCGATGTCCTCGTGACATGGTGCAACAGCGCAGACAACCTCAAGGACGCGGCGGCCAAGCTGTCGCAGCTGAAATGGATCCAGTCCCTCGCCGCGGGCCCCAACGACGTGCTCGCCGCCGGCTTCCCCAAATCGGTCGTCGTGACTACAGGCTCCGGGCTCCACGACCGCACGGTCGCTGAGCATGCTATGGGCTTGCTGCTTACGGCCGCTCGTAGGTTCGATGAGATGCGCGAGTACCAGTTACAAAAGAAGTGGCCGCGGCACCTTGGCGGCCCGCAGCCTGATCGCCCGAAGGATCGGTTCACGACGCTGCGAGACGCGAATGTGTTGATTTGGGGCTACGGTAATATCGCTAAGACGCTGGCGCCGCACCTGACGGCGTGGGGGGCTAGTGTTAAGGGGATTGCGCGAAGCGCGGGTGTGAGGGAGGGGGTGGAGGTTTATGCTGAGGATAAGCTTGCGGAGTTGTTGCCGAAGACTGATGCGCTGGTTATGATTCTTCCCGGCAGCGAGAGCACGCGCGATGTGCTGAATAAGGAGAGGTTGGCGTTGTTGCCGAAGCATGCGTGGGTTGTGAATGTGGGGCGCGGCACGAGTATTGACGAGGACGCGCTCGCGGACGCGTTGGAGAAGGGGGAGATTGGGGGTGCGATGTTAGATGTGTTTAAGACGGAGCCGTTGCCTGAGAGCTCGCGGCTGTGGACGACGCCGAATTTGTTGGTTAGCCCGCATGGTGCGGGAGGCAGGCCCCAGGACGCGGAGGCGTTGATTGCGTATAATCTTAGACGGTTCTTGGCTGGGCAGGAGTTGAAGAATGTGATTTAAAGGTTGCGGAACAGGCTTTGGGGTGCTAGGAAAAGGGGGTGGTGGCAGGTGCTGTCATCGAGCTGTGTTCAAATCGAACTGCTTGGTTTCCATTGCCCTTTTATGCGCTTAGCCGATACACTTGACAGCCCACGATGGCGGACGAGAAGAGCATCATGATCGGATGCGTTTTGTTCTATTTCAATTTGGACCAGCACTTCTCGTTAGATTACGCAGCACATGAGGAAAGGTAGAAAATTAGAATAGGCTGTATCGGCGTATTTCTTGTTACACGGATCTCATAACATCGTCTTGCGAAGGAGATTCTCATTCCGGATATTGGGACCGGGACCAAGGCTAATTCTGAAGATTTATGAAAATGAGAACATTCATGAGTATCTGCGATTTCCTAAGGAATTTTCCATCAATATGATCAACTGGCGGGTCAATTGACGAAGCTTCGGTGATACCGCTATGCCTGCAAATGGATAGCTCCCACGAGCATAGTAGATGATCATCGACAACCCTCGTCGTCAAAATTTCATTCGGTCTTTCAAAATGAGACTTTCGAGAAGTGAAGAAGCGATCACATCATATAAGAACCCATGTTTCGGCTCTCGATATACACCGTATGCATGGCTCTTCAGATGATCGTCAATTAATCCTTGCTTCAGCTCCCGGCAAAGGAGCCGCCACATGTGCTCAAAGGATTTCATCCCATACTCAGGGAAGACAAGGCATTTCTAGAAGGGGGAAGATGGTAAATTCATTTTTCTTAGTGCTGACACTTGCCGAATAGGTTTAGGAATGGTTTTACGACGAGAGAAAGCTGTGCCTTGATTTTTTAGCCCGGCAGCCTCTCGTCGACAGTGGGAGTTCCAATTCGCGAATATGCGAAATGTTGTAGATTTTAGCAAGACTATCAATCGGTATTCTTTCATTTTTCATCTATCTGGGTAATAAATGGATAATATTGATCGTCATTCGCGTCGACGATGTCAGTATCACAGAGGGTCGCTCGCTGGATTACATAACTCCGTACTCCGCCAACCTCGAGGTTAGATTCCGCCTCAACGGAGCCGAAAATTTAAGCTGGGCCCCAGTTCACCTAACCAAAGAATTTACTCGTACGTAAGGCGAATGACTAAACTCTCGGCAAGACTAACAGCCCTTGTCTACCGCACAATTGTACCTGAGGCTCCTCACGCCGGGATGCGCCTAGAGATTTCCTAAGTGCGGCTGTATGCTAGCTCCCGTTCTGGGTCGAAGGATCCCGTTCATCTCACCATCTCAGCAAATTGTACCCCACGAGAGGACAGTACGGAGTTTCTTATCAACGCGTCGTCGTCATATCTAGTATCGATGATTGGATCGGCGCTGTGCCACATAGTAAATAAAAAGAAGCCTAAGATGTCAGCCTCTCCTCCTTCAGGTTCATCCACTAGTAGGCAAGGACTTCCTCCACGTCCGCAATAGAATCTAACCACGAACTGCTCGTTTTCCGCCATGAAGTTCACCACCACTCTCCTGGCACTCCTCGCCAACAGCCTCTCCTCCCTCACTAGCGCAACCCCCTTCCTCGCCCCTCGCGCCGGCAACCAGACCCTCCCATCCAAGACCATCTTCCAGTTCAACGAGACGGGGACCTGGTTCGAGAACCTATCCGTGCGCCCCAACGGGGACCTCGTACTCACGAGCCTGCAGCCCAGCGCGCAGCTCTGGACCCTCAAGGCGCCCTGGTCGCCCCACCCGCAGATCAGCCTCGTGCACACGTTCGAGGGCGGGAAACCGGGGCTCGTCGGGATCGCGGAGACGAAGCCTGACGTCTTCGTCGTCATCGGCGCCGAGTTCAAGGGCGAGGGCGACCCCGTCCCGGGGACTTTTGCTGTCTACGAGGTCGCGTTCCACCAGCACTACGGGGGCGCGGAGAACGCGACGATGACGCGCAAGATCACTGATTTCCCCGAGGCCAAGCTCGCGGGCGGCGTGGCGCCCGTGCCGGAGTCCGGGAACACCGTCGTGCTCATCGGCGATAGCTACGCCGGCTCGCTGTGGCGCCTGGACACGGTGACAGGCAAATACGAGTCCGTCCTCGCGATAGCGCAGATGGCGGCCCCGGCCGGCGCCGCGCTGCCGTTCGGCATCAACGGCGTGAAAGTTCGCGACGGGTACGTGTACTGGAGCAACTCGGCCTTGGTGTCGCTTTACCGCGCCAAGATCGATGAGAAGGGTTACCCCGTGGCCAACGCGACGGTCGAGAAGATAGCGACGCTGGATTCGGATTTCGTGGACGACTTCGCGTTTGATGAGCAGGGGATGATTTGGGCGGCGACGAATGGCGATAATAAGGTTGATATCGTGCGTCCTAATGGCGTCTTCGAGACTGTGGTTGGCGGCGCGACGTCGGATACGGTTGGTGGCGACTCGGCGGTTGCTATGGGTAGGACAAGGGCTGATAGGAATACGGTGTATGTCACCACGACGGGGACGCTGCCGGGGAACCGGACGGAGCCGGCGAAGGTCGTTGCTATTAATAGGGCTGGTTTCCGGTAGAAGAGTTTTTTATAGGTCTTTATTAGGTATTCGGATGATTTAATCTTATTATAGAAAAGATAGCACGTGTTGGTGTATTCGTGGAACTAACAGAAGAAATGCAAAAATGAGACAAGAACATTTCCAAGCCAAGGATAGGGGTTACCACGTACATTCATGGAGATGATGGGTATACGGACGAGAGATTCGCCAAACACATCAGCGAGTGCCGCCCACCAGATAATTTTAGACCGGTGGGATTTATCGACAAGGGCTGGGCTGTAGCTTAATGTTGGTCAAATTTAGATTATTTCTCGTGACTTCACTTAATAATATACATGCGTTCGGAAAGGCGTTCGAGATCGCGACGGCGCGTCTATAGGTATTTAGCTATGTATTGCCATATAAGTTCGGGGATATTTCGCCTGTTGTCGTAGTGACCGTCATTAGCATACGACTCTAGTCCAAGGCGGATCGCAAATGACACTTGCCTGGACCTTGCGCCGGATGGACGTGAGCTCTTCGAACGGTAACGAAGACTGAATAGCGGATTATGCTTATACCGCGGGAGGGAAGGCTACTTGAAGACAGAGTCCCCGGAAGCAAGACGGACGGACGAGGCACGTCACGCCTCTCAGGGATATAGAAGCTCACAATTCGGAGGATGAGGTACGTTTTGTCCCTTCGATTTCCCGTTTAATCCTTGGCCCCAATGGTGGATCGATCGTTTTTGTAACGAGAATTAGGAGACTAGTAGCGAGAGCAGTAAAAGAAGCTCGTCACCAGTGTTGAGGAACGTGAAGAACTATATCGGCGATGAGCTAACCCTCTAGCATCTAAGTACAATTAGTCATGTCTCCGAATAGAATAAGCATCTCGATGTCTTACCTACAGCTACAGTATGGTCCTTCAAGGATCAAGAACCGTACTCAGTTGGACCGCATATTTTGGATTTTGGATCGTTTCGTGTCTAGAAAATACCTCATCGTAGAGTTCAAAAGCAGAGAAGGGTTATGCTCTTCTAGACAATCCAAGATGAGGATTGTGGTTATCGTCGTCTGACAACTCTGCCCGGCTGCGAGCCTTTACAACTGCTCAGCGCTTTATGGACGGCCATCTTATATAAATGGAATTTATTAAGTTATTGTTCGCGTGACTGTGCGACGGGTAGGCGAAAGTGATGCAATGAAAGAGTTGTTGTGGTAGTTGATTATATATATAAAGGTTCCAAATTAGTTAGACTGGGTTAGAAGACTTAGGTTGAAGTCCGAGAAGTAGATCTGACCTAAAAAAAGGAGAGAGGGCGCATCTCCTTATAGAAAAATCAGAGACACAAATCCTCATTTATGTGAGAGCTCCCAAGGCCACACCCTACCGGCGGCGGCGGCCGATTTCTCGTTTGCTTCATCAGAGGTCTGAGATACGCTAAATGTAAGTCGACATCACGACTCACTTTTGAACATTGCAGCATCTCCAAATGTCAATGTCAGTACCCGGCCCTGCTAGCTTATCTCAGAAGATGCGAATATCATTGGCTGACCCATATCTATGCCTAATTGATACCTGCCAGCTCCCGTACCTGAAACTCATGAAATCACCTCGCGCCTAAATACCACATGTCTATACGTAAGGAAGTTGCTGACCCCATATGCCACCGGACGTCACGTCATCAGAATGCTGCCTGAACCCATCATGCGGCTGTCCACCCGTGCCCCTTTTTGAACCACATAATCGTATCCATACCCGTCTGGACACGCATACCGATACGGGCATCCAGGACAAACGCCTCCCACTTGGCCACCTTGTCAAGCCAGGACTGGCATTCTTCCACCTTCTCGTACAGCCAATCCTCTTCGTCCTCCTCGTCGATTGGCCCCCGAAGTTCGGGCTTCTGCACTTCGATCCACGCAAGCACCGCCATCTCGTAATGAGCTGCGGGCAGTGCGTAATCGTCTTTGGTGGCGCCCCTGAATGCCATCCTATTGAGACATGTCAGTCATACCTAGTAGTACTCGCCTTGTGGGGCAATATGAACTCACTTATCCATAGCTAAAACACTGTCTAGCAACTCACGAGCGGAGTCCAGGTTGCCTAGCTCGCGTTCCACCGCAGCCCGACAAACGTCTCTAGAGGCTTGCTCGTCGATCTCCTCCTTGATCTTCTTCCGTGCTTCACCAGAGGCGGTCAGTCTGTCCCAGGATAGAGCTCTCTCTGACAACTTGAGTTCTGCCGTTTGCATCTTCCTTGTCCCGTTCCACAGGAACGTCATCTCCTGTGCGGGGCTGACACCAACGGCGTCGACTAGGTCAACACCTAGCGCCTTGGATCTCTCCTCCCACTTCTGGAGCTTTCGAGCGACGAACTGCTCGAAGGGTAGAGGCCTAGCTAAGAAGCGCTTTTTGCCCGCGAGGGTAGGCGCCTTTCGGAGGAGTTCATCTGCCTTCTTTTTGTGGAGATGTATCAGCGACTCATCCTTCTCCGTGCTGTGGAATGCGTTCCGGTAATTCTCCAACTCCGCACACCCAGCGATGTAATAGTACAATGAGGGACTCCAATCGTTGAGTTCAACACAGCGGAGAAAGTTGTCGCGCATGTCATCGTAGTCATGGACGAACATGGAGACTAACGCCATCTCAAAATTATTGAGAGCGGTGACCTGTCGCATCTTTGACTCCCGGTTATCCTTAAGAATCTCGAGCGCATCACGCAATTTCCTGCTATTGGCCAGGACTCGAGCTTCCTCAAATCGCCAAAGTCCGCTATCGGGGTAACGTGAACGCATCTGAACAAGCAGTGCACTACACCTGGCCTTTGGATAACCCCCGAATGCACCTTTCTCCACATCCTGATCGGATGGTAGGATGTCAGCAAAGCTTAGGAGACCGTTATAGTAAGAGAGTAGCATGAGGCCTGCCACGGCTCCGTTGATGTTATCAAACTTAGAGCTCTGCCAAAGCATATTTATGCCACGCTCCCGGTCGCCTTTGAAGCCAATGATGGAGAGTAGACGCGAGAAGGTTGGTGGGACCATTGAAAGTAGAAGTAACAGGGAGCCGAAACACATGTTAACACCGCTGTGGATGAAAATATCTACAGGATCTTTGAAGATATCCGAATCAGGAATGGCCGAAGATGAGCTCACCGGTATGCTCGTCTTTTTCGACTCCGGCCTTGTTGTAGATTTAGAATTTAAAGATAGTTGACTTAATTGTTTCTCGGGAGGGATAGAATCCTTGGCGAGATGACCGGCATAATTCAAAGGAGTATGCCCTCCTGAATGTGCCTCATCCGCATCTTCGAACTCAAGATCAGTGTCGGTGTCGTCAGTTCCGTTAAGGCGTCCGCTAGGTGTTGAGCTTGAAGACGTAGCAGCTTGCCCATTCGACAATGACGAACTTGAATGAAGTCCCTTTTTCTTCAGGTAAGCCGTCTCCGCTTGCATAATCTCATCAAGCGCAATGAAGGCCTTCCGCAGCTTATAGAAGCCTTTGAGAGCTTCAGTCAAACTCTCATGAAGGACGGCTATAATAGCAGACATGAGTTGGGCATCGGCAATGACCAACGCGTACTCGCTTCCGGGTGGATATATCCGGTCTTCCCCGGGTTTGGCCTCCCTCTGAGCTCTCTTCAACTCGTTCCAAGCACTGTTTTCGCAGGCAGTCAGACGATTGCTCGCTTCAAGCATGATCTCTTTCTCGAAGCCGAGGATACTCCTCATAAAAGTACAGATGCCCAACCCGAGGAGATGAAAAGGCGAGTCGCCTTCCCGCAGTCCCTTTTCGGCGCCGTCGATGTCATCGTTCATGATCAGGGATGTGTTAGCAATTGCGGCTTGCAACGTGGCTAACCTACGAGCCCGGAGGTCTGCTTGTGACGGTGCCGAGCTCGAACCCAATTGTGGGGCGGCTCCCCGAAACCAAGCCCCTATTCGACTCATGATGGCGATGGGTTCAAGTATTGTTCAGGTAGTGAGCATGTGACCTCGAACCTGCAACAAAGTGGGCCCCGTCCTGGCGGGAAAGGGAAAAAAAGGAATTGCTAGATCTCTGTCTTGAATGTAGATGTCTTAATTTCAATGATGATGACGTATTCGTATGATTAGCGAGAGTCGGTTCAATTTTTTTTCAATTTCTAAATGCTGTGATTAAATTTGTAGACATTGTATGTCATGATAGTTGCTGGAGAAGAACAAAGGATTGAACTCCTTTCAGAAGTCTTTTTTAGAAGAAAGTTCGAAGGATTATGTAAAACAAGTAAAGTTAAAGTCGGATATGCACAAGGCATGCATGTATCCCGAATTGACAATTGACTCGTGAGTCGGAGCTGAATCTCCTATCCTCCGAGTTCTTTCACCTTTGACCTAAGGCAGTTACCTATTTGAAGAGGAAGCCGGGATGACGTCTTAAAGCCGGAAGGGAGCTGCGGAATAGGTGGGTCTCCGCTGAAGCTAAGGAGTTGCTAGATTGGTTAGAGTGATAATATTCATTCCTATTGCCTCCATTAATACATTAGGAGAGAGAAATGTTAAGGGTACCGAGTATTATGTGAAAAGGCTCGGGAGTCTGCCATATTTGTAAAGTCTGAAGTGAGCCCGATCCGAATTAGATGGAACGTGGTAGTTTGCGGCTCAGCCACGAGGATGGACCTTTCCGTCGGGTTATAAGAATTAATCCATCCGCCAATCTATCCGAAAACCTGCTGCTAGGCAACATTGAGCCGTTGAATGGCTCGAAGAAGAATATATATGACAGGTATACGTAGGTACCTTGTACTAGGCAGTGCAAGCAACGTTTTCTATGGTATATGCGAGATACGAAAGTGCGACGCACCCAATTGTACGACGTGACTTTGTTGGGTCAATCAGGTCAATCTGCACCTAATCTATTAGCAAGTGTAATGATTGGCCACGCGGGGTTAAGCTTACATCCTAGAGGACGTTTTCGGGGACAAACAACGTGCAACTTCCGGCTTACATTCCATTTCGCATAAGTGCATTTCCTCCATAAATCTATGCAATAAACAAGCTTATCAGCAAACGTTGATTACTTAATACGACAAGGTTGACAACATCAATTACCGAAACCCATCAGCTTCGACCAAGCCTTGTTTTTAACTTCGTTCTATATTTCAGCCTCGCGGGCAAACACCAACACAAATAGCAAAAAAAGGATATCACCGCCTGTCATACACACCCCCTCAAACGACCAACTTCTCCAGTCATAAAAAAAAAGAGGCACCGAAACGAACCATGTCTGCACCGCCGAACAAGACCAACGAGAAGCCCGCGGCTGAAGCTGCAAAGCCGGAGCAATCGCAGGCCCAACAGAAGAAGTCCGCCGCCGCGCTAGAAGAAGACGATGAGTTTGAGGACTTTCCCGTAGAAGGTGTGTTTAGCCGCATATATTTGTTTCCCTGCGACCAGATTAATGTTCCATGCTAACGTACCATAAAAAACAGACTGGCCAGCAGAAGAGACCGAAGCCGCAACCACGACCGCAGCAGGCAGCAACGGCACCACGACGCAGCACCTATGGGAGGAGAGCTGGGATGACGACGACACGTCCGACGACTTCTCTGCGCAGTTGAGGTACGTAGCATCCCTTCTAACATCCGCATACCGTTCAACTCATCTCATCCCATGCCGCCCCTTCCCCCCTGTCCTCAGGAAGAGCCCACATATACAATAACAACCGTACACTAACACAACCCCCCCAAACAGAGAAGAGCTCAAGAAAGTCGAGTCCTCGAAGCGAAGATGAACTAGCCCGTCACTCCTATCCGGCTCGAGCATACCTACCAACCAACCAAACAGGTATCTAGCATATCTAGGCACCTCAGCAATAAGTGACGTGACATAAGGAAAAGGGGTCCTCGTGAACTGTATCTAGTTCCACTCGCCTCCGCGGCACAATTCATGGGAGGCATGGAAGATGCAGTGAGCAAGAATTCGATTAATAGACAGACGGCTTTGGAACCGTCGTGACCAAGATAACCATATTTGCACAATTGCGGTGACTGCCTATTGTCTACTTGTCCTACTACGTAGTCTAGATGAAGATAACATTGAACGTATGTAGGTATTTCTGCAAATCCACACATCACGACTCCAATCCTTGTCACTGTAGGTCATTGACTGCCACACTAGTGTAAATTTAATACATATTTGTATTTGTATCTGGTATTCGATATTCATCTAATTTTGCTACGTCATAAAACATTCAACACGTAACATTAACAATAAAGACACCGCCCAACCCATCAGGTACCGTACCCTGCGACCCAAACCTGCATCCCGATTTTACATACTAAGGATGCTAATTCGATGCTCATAGCCGCACCGAGTTCTCTAACCTTCATTTGGTGCTGAGGGCAACCACACCAGGTAGAGCCTTGCCCTCTAGTAGCTCTAGGGAGGCACCGCCACCAGTCGACACGTGAGAGCACTTGGACTCGGCACCGTACTTGGCAGCGACGGTAGCGGTGTCACCACCGCCGATGATACCGATCTTTCCAGCAGCCACGGCTGCCGTGAAGGCGTCCAAGGTAGCCTTGGTGCCGTTGGCAAACTTCTCAAACTCGAAGACGCCGGGGGGACCGTTCCAAAGGATGGTCTGGGCCTCGTCGATAGCCGCCTTGTACAGCTTGATCGACTCCGGGCCGCAGTCGAGACCCATCCAGCCGTCAGGGATGCCATCCTTGTCAGTTGCGGAGCTGGTAGTGGCGTCCTTGTCGAACTTGTCCGCCGTCACGTAGTCTACGGGGAGAACGACCTTGACGTTGTTCTTCTTTGCCTTCTCGATCAGCGCTCCGACGTTCTTGGAGCCAGCCTCGTCGAAGAGGGAGTTGCCGATGCTGACGTTCTCAAGGGTCTTCTTGAATGTGAAGGCCATGCCACCGCAGATGATGATGCTGTTAACCTTGTCTAGTAGGTTGTCAATGAGCTGGATCTTGTCGGAAACCTTGGCACCACCTAGGATGGCAAGGAAGGGTCGCTTAGGTGATTCGAGGGCTTGAGCGAAGTAGTCCAGCTCCTTCTTCATGAGGAAACCGGCGGCCTTCTGTGGTAGGTCAACACCGACCATGGAAGAGTGGGCTCGGTGTGCGGTTCCGAAGGCATCGTCTATAGTAGCTATTGTCAGACCTGATACCATCCCAGACACATCAAGCTAATGCAGGGACTGAAACACAGGAGATACTCACTGATGTAGACGTCACCAAGGGCAGTCAATCCCTTGCGGAACTCCTCGACCTTAGCCTTATCCGCCTTCACCTTCTTGCCCTCCGCGTCTTTGGAAGAGCCCTCCTCCTCGGCGTGGAATCGCAAGTTCTCCAATAGAACAACTTGGCCGTTGTCCGCCTTGTTCACGATAGCTTCGACCTTAGGGCCGACGCAATCCGGGGCGAACTCGACGCTCTTGCCCAGTAACTTCTCGAGTTCTGGAACGACGGGCTCCAAGCTATACTTGGGGTTGACCTTGCCATCGGGACGGCCAAGGTGGGACATTAATATGACAGCTTTGGCACCATTGTCGATGGCGTACTTGATGGTGGGGACGGCACCGGCGATACGTTGGTTGTTTGTAACCTTCTTGTCAGCGTCGAGGGGGACGTTGAAATCAACCTTTCGAGAGAAGCCATATTAGTCTGTGAGGTAAATATGCGCCATATGATCGAAGATATGGTAAAACATGATATTCTATGCAAACAAGACCCTCAAGAAATAGGCTTGTTCACTCACCCGGATGAGAACTCTCTTTCCCTTCAGGTCGACATCCGTGATGGACAGCTTGCTCGACAGAGACATATTGGCGGATGATAAGTTTCAATTGATATCTTCGTCTTAGGGAGAGATTTACGAAAATAAGGAGAATAGATCAGAAAGAAAGTTGCGGTATTTCAAGGGCGATATTTTTTAGGATGTCCGTTTGAAAAAAAGCACGCAGAAAGGTAGAAGGCGGCCGGACTAATTCTAATAATAAGCTGCTCTTTAGGATGGAGGGGTAGAGAACCTGGAGGGGTAGCAGCTTTCTCACAATTTGGTGGGGTGAGGTCAACGAGCTCGACGGGTGACGTCCACTGATGGTCCCAATGTTGCTAAGCCGCTAAAGCAAAGCATCCAATGTAACTACGCTAGTCAATTTAGCGGGTTGGATACATTCGCGTTTCAGACTTGCTATGGGTACTATAGGAGGTTCCCGTCCCCTGAGACAACTACACCAACCGCAATTCTCCGTCAACTACGAAAATCCCATGTAGGTGATGCGATAATCATGAGCCGATCCACCCAATCCCGGCTTCTGCTGAGTTATAAAGGCGAATACCGCGATGAATTTTTCAATATTGTTTTCAACACAGGTATTGAGGCCACTGAATTGGCCAATGGCATCCATAGCCCGAATAAAGCACCACCCACCTACGTACATACGTTCTTCCACTAGAGCTCTTCGTGACGCATCCCAATGGAAGACTTCCAATAGGCTCGGGGAGTCCAAGTGTCACCATTGATGTTGGGCGTTAGAATACGCGTATGGATAATACCTCTGATTTCTCGCATCTAGGTACAAGGCAATGCTGAGTTGCTGATCCCGAATATTCAAATTAAAAACAATGCGCCATCCTATATCGCCTCGACCACCTTAATTGCCCGATCAAGGATGTGCTCTTTGATCCCTAACGCCTGCCGTCCAATTTTTGATAAAAGTCGCCATATAACAGGGGAAAACTCTAGCAGTCCTATACTAGGTGGTTGATGTGGTTTACTGGAGACGGATGTTAGGAGAGTATGGTGCGGTTTTCGGCTCAACATCTTCGGAGGCATTTGTAAGGGATAGGTATGCTGTCCAAGCAATACCGATAGTGGAAACAAACGGCTACGGTAGACAGTTAGCAACAAAGAACTTTTCGTAGGTACCTAGATTAAGATATGGGTGACATCGGAAGAAACTCACCAGCTGGAACTGAACGGGCATCAACCTGAAGTTGATGATTTGAACAGCAGGCCACACCATAAAGTTGGCTTTCAAAGTCGGAATGTACATATCCCTAAGCTTGTGAGCAACGGCCCTGCGTCCACCACCTTCTGCGACAGTCATGACCGTGAAGAAACACCCGATACCGAACGGGGCAAAAATAAGTTGGTCGAAAGCTACTCTCTTCATCGCGGGACCGAATGCGCTAGTCTTCGTGATAGGGAACGCTCGCGAGAGGAAACTAAACCACTTGTACTGTAGGGGGGCCATCCCGAAACCATACGCCATAAATCTCGTTAGTCGCTCGAAGTCGAAGGGGGGAGGGAGGTCTTTCGATTCCGGGATAAGGTCTCGGTCGCTCCAAGAGTTTTTGCGATCTAGCTCATGTATCTCTATTGCCACGGTGTCATCCTTGGTGACGCCGCCGGGTTTTCGCAACGCTCGTTCTCGGACTGATGTGATGGTCTGGGCTACGGTGTCGGCAATACCTCCGAGGACAGCATTCGTCACCATCATGGTAAGAACTATCATGAAAATGTTAGTCCCATGCATTGCAGCAACGTGGTAAAGCTAGGAGGTTAGTACCTGGCCGCTCATCATAGTAGGCGTTGAAGCGCGATACCAAGCGCGCAACGATAACCATCTCGATGAAGAAGATGACGGCATGAAGAAGAGGCTATACGGATAGATAGGTCCAGTTAGTAAAATAGTAGAGCGAGTGAGTGAGTGAGTGGGATGTTTGGTGATGTCTTAGGATTCAAAGACAAAAATTGACGATGATTTGGATGATGCGGACATTGGTTATGGTTGGATGTGTAGGGCTGTTTTTTCTGATAGGTTCTGTGCGGGATTCGGTAACGTACGATGCGATCGAATATGAATTTGCTATTGACCGCACGAACAATGCGACGCCGGGTAAGTTCCCAAGCCATTTTGGAAGGAGTGGAAGGGACTAGATTCCCAAGAATTATACAAACAAAATCCAAATGGGAAAGGCCCTCGTCGGATCGGGGGCTTGAAAAAAAAAGTGTGGGTTCGAGGGCTTCACGAAGGCTCGTGCTGGCTCTTTCCTGTACGATCGATGACGACAGATTGATGATTTCCGATAAGAAAGTCGCCCCGTTTTGATACCCGTTGTCGCCGAATACCAATCTCTAAAAGATCTAAGGGGGTCCACGGGTCTAGCTTCGAAACGATTGAAAACCAGTTCAAGTCTCGGCTGAGGTTAAACAGACGTCTAATCCTGATCGAATTATACGTGGACGAATGGACAGATCGCTGTTTATTTGATTGAATTTAGAATTCCAAAGGAAAAGAATTCCCAAACTGAACCTGCCAGTCTACCACTCTTTCAATGTTGGAGAAGGGACAGTAGGGGACACGCACGGCACACTTGCACTGCCTGCTTTAGGTGATTATCAATTTCCAAGTCAAGTCAAGTGACTGTAGAATTAGTTCCGATCGGCACTTGCTCCTCATGAATTGCGCAGCCCTTTTGTTACTCGGTATTTTACAAATAGGAGAAATACATGGTAATTTTTAAGGAAATGAAATATTTAAATCAATATATTTTCAATGAGAAATATGAAAAGAAGAAGAAATTGTGACGTAAACTAGAATGTAGTACAGTTACCAATAGACTTTCCGTAGCAGTCGCAACTTGAAGCTGTTAACAACTACCTAAACTTTCCTATTGGCCATCTGTCACCTTCCTGGGGAAAGAGCGCTTAGAGAAGCGCCGCTGTTGAAGGTTTAATATTTACATTCTATTCGTCAATTGGAATCACTTAAATGAATACACATTGTGGGCCAAGTATACACAATTCATACGTTCAAGTATGGCTACGTCGTCCTTGTCGTGTCTAAGTATTGAGAACAAGTGTACTCAATGCGAATTAGTGTACCTAGGGGGAACATGAGTATGACAAGAAGTTCTCATAAGTTCCTCGACAGAAGTCGCCTAAATTTAATCGATGTAGACCGAGAGCTTCGTATGTGGAGAAAAAATAAGTATTCTACTAGAAATAGATAGCACATGTCAAAAAGCAAGAGTTTGTAATCTACCGAATACACGGTACTGGGTTGAGTTATAGGAGCTAAAGCGTAAGGGAAGCTTCTATGCGTAGAGCTGCATAGGAATGTTGTCTAGACAGTAAATGTCTCTCGCCGTGTCCAACACGATGTTCAGATCTCTTCTCGTTGCACTTCACAGTAGGAGGTGGCTAAAGACGCTACTTTCTTCTGTGACTAGGATTTGGTATAACTCCTAAGCTCTCGGATGGCTAGATCACATTTAATATCACAATGCGGATGATGGTTTGCCTACTATATAATTAATTGTCTTCGTAGGTTTAATGAGGAGACCTTTCAAAAGCATATTCAGAGCTCAAATATCATCTACCAGGTGAGACTTTATAGAGTATCTGCACGTCTGTTGAACCTCAGCCTCTATCACACATAATCCCCCGAGCTCATGAGCAATATCACTCATTAGCTATTATTCCCACTAATCATCGAATTATAAAAATGGGTTCGAACAAGAAGCGACTCTATCTCGCCCTTTATCCCAGCGGGAATACCTCTGGGCGCGAGGATCTAAACGGGACGGCAAATCAGACGGACCTCGAGCTAAAATCAGACGGACTCTAAGCCCAACTGAGGCTAGTCGTGTGGATACCTACTTTAGAGTACATTCCCCCATATAAACTCAAGTACCTTTTAGACATGTTGCCTTTAGGGTTATTATTCGCGTCGTGGACCTTGCTGTTGCCCCTTAACAGCGACAGCATTTAAGAGCTTTCGGTGATGTTAACTACCTACTCATTTAATCTATTTTTCTTAGGCTATAATGAAGTTACTAGTAATATTATCACCGACGAAGAAGGGTAGAATATTTATGGTATAATAAGCGACGGCGAGATTGGTAGTAAAGTAGTAAAAGTTTTTCTTAAGGGGCAACAAGTCTAAAAGGTACTTAGATTTGTGTGGATGTTGTACTGTATGATCATGTATCCGCTAGACTAGCCTCAATTGGACTTAGAGTCCGTCTGATTTTAGCTTGAGGTCCGTCTGATTTGCCGTCCCGGATCTAAAGTATGTTGTCCGCCACAATGTCCTTCGATTATGCAGCTAAACCTCCCTCCTTAGATATCATTTTGCTTTCATCATCGGTCCCAAAAGCGAGGATAAAGAAAAGGTTCCCGGTATGGAATTTCATATCAAGAACTCGCCGGTAGGAGGTTGGCGATACGTGGAAGATGCTCTGCCGGATGTGCAGACATCAGTGCGTCTCCTCGTCCGAGTCCTTATTGCCAAGATCACCAACGAATCTCAACTCATCGAGGTCTTTCGAAATACTCCGATCTTCTACAAAGACCCGACCTTCAATTGTAGAACGTGGGTTATCGATGCGTTGTCGCGGATATCAAATAACCGCAAGGTCGTTGGTACGTCACAGCTGGATTGGAAGATGATTGAGGAGCGGGCTCGCAGTTATATAGCAGTGAAGACTGTGGTTGGGAGGTTCGGTGCGGGTCAAGATATGACGAAGCCCAAGCCTACATGGGATTTGCTGAAAGATAAAGAAATTGTGCCTTGACCACACGGCCGTATCCATCCAGAAGGGCGAAGGCAAATCTTCTGACGTCTAAAGTCTTATGCTTATCTGTATATCAGCTGGGCTACCAGTACTGTCCTGGTGGAACTTCATCCACCTTGATCACCGAAGCACATGAAGTCTGAACTTTCATCTAGAGATGAGTGCATCGGCAGCCTGATGTGGTTGACATGTGATGAGTGTATGAATATAATAGACTACTGTACCTGAATTTGACCCGTCATCTTTGTTGTTTTCTCCATTTTCGCTCCTTTTGAAAAGGGGTCGAGAAACTCTTGGACGACGGCGTCCTAGTGTAGAGATTGCTAGTAGCAGACAGAAGCAAAATCCCAATAAGAGGGATACCAATCGGCCACTTCCCGATCACGGTACATCCTGCTGGCTACCATCGTTTCGAAATATTTCCAGTCCAACTCATTGTAGCCAGTGAATCCGTGAGGAAAGTCTCAACTGAAATCTTCCGCGAAACTAGGAATGAAGACCCCCAATCGTCTTGAATGGCCAGGCCATACGAGAATCGCGTAATGAGCCGTCGATGCGACTTTCAACCTCACCCTAGGAGGGCGTTGAAGTGCTCTCAATTCTTATAGCAAATAGCGTGGTTACACTATAATGCTCTTGCTAACTTTCTTGGTCAACATTCACCGTACGGTACTAACAGAATCCCCTTCATCGGGCAACCTTGAAAGAAACAGTGATGGAGTGAATTGAAATAATAATGAAGATAGAATCTCCAAAGTGAAGAACGTGGGGAAGATTTCAAGGATAATAGCTGGCGAATTGAGTTATCGCATAAACTACCCCTCATTACTCGCTTAATGTATAATAGGCAGAAAAAGACGTGATCACTAATGCACATTTGTTACAATTGCACCGAGTTATTCTTATACCCGTCATTATATTATCCCTTTTTCGACGATCTGCATAATTTATTTACAATTCCAGACTTCTCTAAGCTGGCTTCTCGAGGATCACTGAATCGAGATTGCAGGTCACCGTACCACCAGTCGCACTTGCGCTTAACCCTGTGATGGAATATGTTGTAGCTGAGTTATAGTTCTCGGGGCTCGTGTTGCACCAGCTCGAATCGGTACCGGTGCTTGTCTATGATAAAATTAGCAGTTGGCCCAGAAGGATAGAAGATATCCAAGCAGAGGAAGTGTGCTTACAATCACGACATTGGAGAACGCAAGCGGTCCAAAATCCCAACTAACGTCATATCTAGACATAGGTTAGCCGTCTGAGCTCAAGTACCAACAGACATATGAAGTTACATACAGTTCAATGGCGAAGAGGGCCTGGTTGAAAGACTTGCTACCTATACGTGGGATCGATACGTCAGTTTTTCAGCCGGTAGGAAACATCAACTTCGAGGGACTATTCCGGCTTACCCAAGGCGAAGCTATCCGTCACTGTCTCGCCAGTAGATTCGCGAGTGAGAGTCGACGTCCAAGTTGACCCACTGCTATCCAGCTTATTCTCGAAGGTAACCTTCTCGCCAGCATAAGTGTTGAACCCGCTCCCCCACGGCAGGCTGGGGTTCGAGCAGCACCACCCCGATCCAATCCACCACGTTCCGCTGCGCCCATCAAGAACGTTCTGGTAAACGCCGCTGTTATCGGTGGGCTGGAGTCCGGGCCACAGATAATACGTCGCGGCCTGTGGCAGAGGTGGGATCGTCATCTCCCCGGAAAACGACGTGAATTGCTCTCCGGAAGCCGGGTAGTACCGGAGGAAATACCACGATACTGCTGATGCATGGCTGGCGAAAGCCAATAATGAGATAAACAAGGTGGTTAGCAGCATCTTGCAGACGGGAAACGACGTGTTCGAGATACACCTAAGGTTCAAGATGGCGCGCGAGATCGACCGGACAGGACCGAGGGCTTATAGGGCCCGGATAAATGACAGCATTTATACGCTTCATATTAACCAAATGTTACAGTCTAGATCTGTATCTTCTGTCAAGATATTTTATCAATCAGTTATTCCCTTGGTCGTTTGATATCAACCGCCCCTGTGAGTCGTAGTCGTATTCACGCTGGCATACGATAAAACCGGGCCTGTTCTGGAAGGTGGGCTATTAGCTAAACCGGTTATCGTCTTGATAGAGATGCTATCGGGGAATTAAAAGAGTTATATCATCCCACCGGATGGCATTTTTCCACGATTAGGCTTGGTTTAAACTAGCTACCCTTGGCGAGGTCTTGCTCATTGCAACGTTGAGTGGTATTAGATGACTTAGACGCTTTGGTTCTTATAAAGATAACAGCCACGAAACTCACATGGTTAGATAAATTAAGCCAGTCAGCTCATGAAAATTCATCTATGAATTGCTTTATGGAAAGTGGGTGATTTCACATTGAGTTGGTACCTGCGTTAGAGTTGCAGCCAGAGTACATCAGTTTGTGACATTTACCTATCTCCATCCGTTAAAACGATCTACCTGTGTTATATGCACCAACTGCAATTGCTAACCCCTCTAAGTGATTTCCTGAAGCACTCCCATTCAGCTAATTCAAACCACATCCCATAAGAATGTGATTTGATCCAATATCTCCAGGATCAAAAGTGCCCGATTCGGGTTCGTTTGCAACCTTCATCCAAAGATATCTCACTCCCCTGTTTCCTTTTCAAGTCCCGGACATTACACTGGGGGCGAGAGCGTAAACCGGTAGTCAGCTCCGACGTACCTCCTTCGTACCGGCTTTCTTGTTCGCATATTTTTTCTTCATCTGTTGCTTGGACAACGTGGGGAGAATCGATGGGAGTTTTCAATTCCTGCTCGTGCTCGAACTTCGAGACTAGTTCATGCAGCCTAGATATTGCATTTTGACCAGAAGGGAAAGGCTTGCGCGGAAGTAGGAGACGAACCCATCTGCAAAAGTCGTTGGATAATCTGGCGCCATGTTGCACGAAAATCTCCGTAACCTCGGCGACGTGTAACCTTTCCTCGCCCTCTAGAGATTTCCCTTCAACTGAACTTAACCAATAGGACCATGATGTCGCTGGATATTTACGGTCGGAGACTTGAAGATTAGGGTCTGCGCCATGAGCAAGTAGTAAAGAGACCATTTCCTTAGATACATTTCCCAAACCAACGTTTTTCCACCGCCACGCCGAAATATTCCCCTTTATTAAGAGAGGAGAAACGGAATGATATAGAAGTTGAGAGAGTTGTTCCGGATTTGGCGTTAACGAAGAATCATGTTGGGAGAAGAGATGGCCCCTGACGAAATTGACCGCGCCGGCTTCAGCAGCAAGCAATAATGATATTCTGTTTGCATCCAGGGGTCTTGCCGCAGCTAGAACAATCCGTGGAATCATATCATTTTCTAATGAATAATTCGATGATAAGTGGTTGATGAATGGCCGAATAACGTAGAAGATGTTTTTTCCTCCATTTGGGTCCTCCAAATCAGCTTGCGCCCCCCATTGGAATCCATCGCGAAGGAATCGGATTGCCTGTGGATCGCCACCCGGTAGACTTGCTATAGCTGAATAGAGGCTGATGAGAGACAACTCTGTACCTACTTGAAGTCCACTAGGGGGCTGCAAGCACTCGAGATCCCATGCTCGCTCATTGCTTAAAAACTCAAGCACAGTTCGATGCATGAATTCGACTCTACCGTCGATTTTACCATCGTGGTCTTCTTTTCCCTTCGCCCCACAGAAACAGTACTGTGTACAGCTACTTTTAAGACTCCAATATGTCTCTAGTAACCCTCCGGTACGGCTTCTCAACCGTCCTTCAAGTTCTTCACAAAGTCTGTGTTTCTGTTCTGCACTCAAGGTTGAAATCTGTTCTATGCTCTTATAGTCGTCATCCATTAGAGCCAAACCAAGAGAACTTAAGTTGCCAACCTCATTCTTGTCCCGGGCTTGGGTATTTGTATAGCATATCTTCAACATTCGAGAGCCTTGTTCTCGATGTCGTTTGTTAATCTTATTCATCATATGCTGAAACATATCTTCAAGTTCCGGCGGTAGCTCATCCACTCGTTGTCGCAGCTCATGTATTTTGTCGTAGTCTGCAAAGCCCGAGAGAAGCGATCTACATGCGAGGATGACCCAGAGGAAGACGCCCGAAGACTTAGTAACCAAATACTCCATGATTTTCGATGATTCATCCGGGTGTCGAGCCATGAGACCTTCCATATATCTGTGTTTGCCAATGACGTCTTCCACATAGGCTTTGATATCGCCATGAGTGAGATGGTGTAGCTGTAAAGATGGTAAACGTTCGAAAGAGGCGACACAATCCGGAATTGGTCTGCTGGAGACCAGGATTTTTATGTGAGAGTGTTCAGACAATTCCTTGATAAAGGCTATGCCATCTCGATAGTTTCCTATAAACTCGTCCAGTCCATCGATAAAAAGACAGAATTTGCCGATTTGTGAGGTCTTGTTTGCAAGAACCTGGAATGCGTACCTAATTTCAGGTGCAAGTGGCAAACATACTTCGCCGTCGCTATTGTAAAGTTGCTCCCACATATTTGGAAGGGCTTCTTTGATAAGAGACGGGTGATCTGAGAGTATCTGGTGTAATAGAGCCCTCGATAGCCCTTCTTGAGACTTCTGTTCGTACGTACCCATATTCCAGAAGAAAAAATGGTACATATGGTATGGCATACCGCCAGCCCATTTAGACAGAAGAGTCGCTGTCTTTTTGTGTTGGAACAAGTACTTCATCAACGTAGATTTGCCACTCCCGGCTTTTCCAGAAACCCAGTATATTCCTGAGTCGTATGATAGCCATTTGGTGATGTCATCCCATGGAAGAGTTTGTTCTGATGGTTCAAGTACCCAGTTAAAGGTTCTACAATGGGCTGGTGAAACGGATTCCTTTCTCAGGTCGATGGTCCTGAACCATAGTAGACGGAGGATCTGCTCCTGACATATGTGTATGATATGCTCTCGGGTTGAATCAGCGATTAATCGCCTTCTTCCAACTGAGGCATCGAGGATGAGCTTTAGTTCCCTAAGGGTGCCAATTGCAGTAACGTCTCTGTCGGATGCATGTTGAGCAGCTTCTTGGCTAGCAAATACCGGGACAATTTGCATGAGCTTGGTAGTAAAATGAGCCAACTCCCTGACCAATTCTTCGAACTTCTCCTTGTCGCGGATGACCCAGCGAACCTTCTTGCTAAATGTTGTTGTCTTGTCTAGCATTTTACTTCGTAATTTCATTGCCTCGAATTCTCGTATAAACTTTGCCATCCGGGGACCGCTGATTACGGCTGCACTGTTTGTTTCGTTGCCACGTCGTTGTTCTACGTCTTCCTTTAGGCCATATCGAGTTCTCAGTTGAGCCTCGTCGCCCATCAGGAACTTGATGCACCCTAAGATTCCGGCCACAGCACGTCGAACGACATCGTCGTCTAATCTTCTGTCGTAGTCAGATTTCAGAAGTTTCACATTCTCAGCCCATTGTAGCAAGATGGCCCTCTCAATGTCCACTTTCGTATCCAATATTTCATAATCACGGCCGAACTCTCGCGAGCTCATGAAATCGTTGAAGAGGTCAATGGTATCTTTGAAAGCACCAATAACCCCTGCGACACCAACGACCCCAATGACAAGGCCGGCGATCTCGGCCATTTCGACGTCATAATTAATCGTGTAGTTATTCAATCGCTCAGACGGTAGAAGACAGACATCATTCTCTGGCGATATCACCGAGTGATAATTGAAAAGCAGTGCGTGGTCATTAGAGCATATGGGCTGATACTAATTAAATGTGGCTCAGGGTGTGCTCGCGTCCAAGCCACCCTCCTAGGCGCACCGTCGCCCTGGCACAGCCACCACATTGACGCGGGCACGTTGTGTCAATTAAAGTCGAAACATCGTGCCTACATCTACAACGTTCTTATTGATGCCTACCTACTGACCCCGTACAAAATTGGGATCCCAGAATACGATTGTGATAATCTTACATCGAGATTTAGTAACTCCGTCATGCGATGACACATTTATGATAAGTAAGATATTAAGATTTCGAATATGCCTTGATGCTAGACCTCGGTCATTTCTAATCTGTACATACCTACGTTAAAAACGCACCCTACCTCAGGATGCGGGGCGGTGAGGCTCTCACTAATAGGGGAAAGATCAGCATCCAATGCTACGCCGAGAGTAGCTGAAAACCTACCATCAGGTTGCCTTGGGATTGGGGGTACGTATGTGTATGTCTTGAGATCAACCTGGTCACTCATGCAGAGCCTCCAAAACTGGAATCTGATAATGGTCAGGTTTCCTCGGATAACTGGGATCCATCGGCAACCAAGATCCCCGGTACAGCATCAGAGTTCAAGCAGTTCCTAGCGAGTTCGCTATCTAATGTATGAAATATCAAAGGATGGTCAGCTCAATGTAACCCATACCTAATCGCACAATTCTCAACTTATACATTTTCCCGCAATTACCGACACTGGTTAAAATTCCCTTGTATTAACCGGTTAACAATACATAGAAAGCCATTATCTCCTCGATTTCCGCCATGTTGCCGATGTGACACAGTAGCAAATCACACCATGGGCTGCAGCGAAAATTGGCGTATGTCCGTGTCGGATAACGGTCTTTTTGTCTCGATCGTACATTGGTTGTATCGTATCGAGGATCTTTTTAGCTCGCTCTTCATTTGACGAAGCCCACATAATTCCTAACTTTCACCTTATAATCATTGCCAAACTCTTTGTTAAGGAAGTTCTCCATTAACTTGAGGTTAACAAACTTTCCAGCCAGCGTTCTTGACTCGGTAAGTGTCATATTTCTCACCTCGCAGCCGCCTGAGACTTTCCCGTAACGACTTGACGTTCTTCTCAATGATTTCCTCGGTGAAGTTCTCCTACCTAGACATAACGTATCTTGGTATGTGGTAATATGTGCAGTGAAAGTGTTGTTCTCGCTTGATATTATCAACACCCAGAAAAAAAGATTACAAGCTTTGAAAGGTTGCGGAAAGACAAGTATTTAAACAACAAGTGCCCCCCAATGTGCCATTCTAAGCATCCATATCATTGCCAATATAATTCGACCGGCCAATCAAGTAAAAGGTCTCACACACCCCCTAACCCCATACTTGGAAATATATGACGGTGCGGTAGAACCATAGAATAATACCAATAGGGATAACGGGATGTTCAATCAAATACGGTATTTTCTTAGGATCGGACAGAAGAGTAGGGGCTTGTTCCAGCTGTGATCATAACGGCACGACCTGCCTTAAGTGATACTCTCCTTAGCTTTGCCACAGACTTAGCTGCTGCAAACTTACCGGAATTACCTATTTAAGCGTGTGGCTGCAACTATATTACCATACTATTTCGGGAATGGTAGCTGAGTTCAATAAGCTCAACAGAGTTGTGTGATGTAGTTGAGGATGATTATTCTCAGAATATTCTCTGGTATATATGCCTTGATATAAAGTAGTGTACGTAGGTTATTACAAACTACCAATTATTCATGATAGTTTTCACAAAACCATGGAGAACCAATAGCTCTGGTCTATATCTTTTCAGGTTAATTAGTGATTAATTCATTCAAATTCCCCCTATCCGGAAACCCCACCAGAGTTCCAGTCAGAAATTGATGTATGTATGTGAATGGCCACAATTTTTAAATAGAGGGCAGGGCCAAAACTAACAAGAATTAACATAGTAGACAGCTTGAGCACCCTCGTACAATCCCTCCAATGAGTGAACCGATAGAAACTTCAAGCTCTGTGTCCGGGTCAACTCGCAACGGTTTGCTTCCAAAGCTTACTGTAACGTATATCGACAATAATGAGGAAAGAGAAAAAGAGACCTATTCCCGCCGAGATGAATCGGAATCCGAGCGAAGTTGGCTCACTCTAAGCCTTATCCTCAGGAGTAGGCTATACAATGCTGACCTAGGCAACCCTATCAAGTAGGCTATTTTAAATACGAGACTTTGGTGATAGGCATAACCAATCATTCTTATCATGTTAGAATCGGCTGGGCTTTCGGTAGGTATGTGACTAAACATACCTAGGTAATTATCCGTTTTGTCCACGTCATGCATTCAAGTGGGGATGCATCTTGTAGGCAGGCTACATCGGCTGCAAAGCCTTACCATACATGGGCGCAAAAAGACCGTCTTATGGAGAATATTAACTCTGGGGGTCAGATATCATCCAAATCATAGGACGGCAGTGTTATGGCCTCTCCTGCATCTAAGCACTTACAACCACAATTATATTCTACCTCTAACTCTACAGTCAGAGGCTAATGGGATCAAGAAATAATGGATTGGTTACGAGAATCACCTCATATGACCACCACTGATGCTAGCATTTTCAAGTTTCAGCACGGAGTCAGTACCATCTTTGAAATAACTCGTGGTCAAAATGTGAGTAAAATTCCAAGGCTACCTACACATTTTCCTCCAAGTTTGGGTTAATCTGTTAGCGTAGAGAAGTTGTTGGCAGACTCAAGCTACCAATTTATCATCTGACTCCGAATGGGTTTCTTGGCTGGAGAATGTAAGTCTTATTCCAATAGTCTTCGATACCTATTAAGGGTTGACAAAAAATTAGAGAGATTCAAGTTCACATTCCTTGGCCGATGGAATTTGTTTAGTGTTCGTTCTATCAATCAAATTTCGATTATCACTATTCCTGTTCTTATTCTGAGTCAACAGACTGGCCGGAAGGGCTGAACGAGAATGCCCTGATCCCACGTTGCTTTCGAGACTACCATTTTCTGAAGAGATATTCGGCAAAATTTCCAAGGAATTGTTCATACACAGTTCTTTTTTACGAGTAATCAATCGGAACACTGCAGCACATTGTTCACGCCAGCTCAACGCATGGGGTCTAAGCGCTCCAGCGGCCATTGGTAAGAATACCATTATTGTACTGGAGCGTTCTCGAGGAACCAAAGATTCATAAGAATTATGCAACGAAATTTTATGGAAACTTCTGGCGCTTGCTATTACTAGGTATTGATATATTGGGACTTAATAATGCTAATACCCACTGAAACAGTTTATAATTGTCGATCGTCAGCATCCTGGCCCGATGACATCGCCCTCTCAACTACCTACATCACTAAGCGAAGATTCACTTACGCTATCATGTACGGCTGTCGAAGTGATCTGGCAACTATTGTCATGTCGCGCCTCTCCAATTGTGACCTCACTACTTTTCATCCCTTGAGTTTACCTATGTTTCTTGCTGATATTGAGCGCAATCGCCAAGTGGACATGGTAGAAAAATACGTTAGTAAGTTGCTGCAACGAGTATTGAATATGAGTATCTTGTCAAGGAACTTCATGTCAGAGGATCGATCTGAGTATCTAGGATTGAACACAACCAATACGAATGGCTCTAGTCTTACAGAGGATCATGAGTCTATATTGGACTGGTTGGAAATGAATCATATCCGTGACGGACTCAAAAACTAGCAGACTCAACTCGAGACGTTTGTACAACATCTCACTGAGCTAGAGCAGGTCCTATACAAAGGAGTAGGAGCTCAAACAGGTGAAATATCACATAGCATGAGAAGCCAAGGCGCTCGGATTAAAGATCGTCTATTGCAAATCATCAACGAATGGGATGAAAAGATCAGAAAATGTTCCAGTCATTGATGGAATGACTTTTGCGACGCAAACGGTAAGCCAACCCTTATCAAATTAGCTAAGAATGAGATGATTCAATGTGGGATAGGAGTGGAATCATATCGCGAGAGCGGATACGCAAACGACCTTACGACTCTCAAGTTTAACCACGGAACTTTCCAGAGCTACTCAAAGAGATGGGATTCAAATGCGAACTGTTGCTTTATTGACTACGGTTTTCCTCCCAGGCACCTTTGTTGCTGTAGGTAACCTGACCCGAAGCGTTATCCGCTACTTCAACTGAGATGCTAACCTGTCTTACCCCAGACTCCATTCTCCCTGACGTTCTTCGATTGGAAGCTCAAGGACGAGGACATGATATCGCCTTATATTTGGATATATGTTGTGACTACACTTACCTTAACGCTAGTCACTATTGGAATTTGGTATCATTACACGGGAAAGGTCCACGCTAGTCGCCGATATCTCCTTCCTTCATAGACTAATACTCATGAATTTACCGGTCTGCAATGACAAATAGGTTAGACTTATGTTGCGCAGTGAACGGAAGTAAACGACCTGTGAAATGCGACTAAAGGCGTGGCATTGCCTACGTCTAAGCCACCCCCTGAAACATTGGCGTTCTAGCACAGCCACATTAGTACTGAGGCGTGAAAATAAGGAGGAACGGGAAGTATTGTGGAAAATCAGAACCTTAGGTATTTTTTCAAGAACATGTTTCATGCCCAATGTATCAAACACTTGTTGGTTTGGTTATAAAATAAAGTACCTTAATATTATGGATAGCTTCCATGTTTCTATTTTCTTAGCTAATCTGTTCTTCACCATACTCACAAAGGTTTTGAAGATTAGACAAATACTACTCCGGTACCTAATAAGCATCGAGGAATAGTTTTAAGAACAACTTACCGTTGCGATGCTTCAATTTCCAAGGTTGGTACCTATAGAAAAGTACTTTTTCAATAAGTGTTGTCATTGCTAAGGTTGCCTCGTACTGAGAGTGTGCCCTACCATCTAGAAGCGGGGTAGTGAGGCTTTCGTTAGGTGCTTAGATCTAGGAAAGATCTGCAACATTAACGGCAGCTAGTAAGTACCCAAATAAGCCTTTGACTTCGCTCCCGAGGGTTGAAGTTCTAAGTTTAATTGAGCTACCTATCGGATTTCGAATCTAGGTAGGTAGCCGTTGAGATTAGGCGTTAAGGTATGTTCTCGGATACCGGATTTGCTTCTAGATATTACACGTGGTCTGCTCTAATTGTCGGTTATGAAAGTACTTGAACAATCATTATGTACCCTTATCGACCTGTTAAAACTTGTACCGAGATAGGGACAGTTGCTATATGGAGTCCTTTTCATGCCCGCTTAACCTTCGGCTTCTAGCACCCTTATTTCGAGACAATAAACTCAGTACGAGAAGAATGACGCTCATAACTCGCGTATATCTCGAAAACTCGATCACAATCGACGGGCCGACCGGCGTCCTGAACGGCAGCGATGTGGCCGCTACCGCCATAGAGGCATACAAATGTAATGTCTACTGTCAGGATTCCCAAGGAGTAATACGCGAGTATGCCCATTCGCATGGATTATGGACGGCGACAATTTCGTCGACTTTTAGGGCCAAGATGTTTAGTCCTTTAGCTGCCGTCAACTTCAACGGGGGTAAGGAGGTATATACAGCGCATTATATGTTGTCGCCATTTTTTTACCGTATAAAAAAGCATCTAACACAGGAGCAACGAGACAGATCCGTGTCTACTGCGTCTCGGAAGATGACTACCTTGAGGAGTGGTGTTACTCATCTGGACTGAACGGTTGGAGCCCCGGATACCTCACCAAATCGAAGTTCCGCGTTGATGCGAACACGAAGCTCGCCGCTGTGTGCTGGCTAGATAATGGACAGCCGAATATTCGGGTTTATGCTCAAGGTGCGATGCTCTCGAAATCACCCCAACATGATGTAATTAACATAAGAGCAGAACCGTGCTCTAATCAAATACAGGAATACGTTAATGGGAATCCCTGGAAGAAGGGAGCTGTACTCCCAGCCGCTCACACTGGAACAGGTCTTGCCTCGATATGCTGGCTGAATGACGGAATTCATATCCGAGTGTACTACCAGGCTCCAGATATGACTCTGAGGGAGTACTGTTGCGATGGAGGATGGTTCGCAGGTAAGCAGGTGGAAAGACGTACTTGTAGTTGTTCATATTCTAACCAAGATAAACAGGAGAATTCCGCACCGAGGGAATGCCACCCTGCACTTCAATTGCAGCAGCCGGGTGGTTTAACTCCATCTCACGGCTACGTGTGTACTGCCAAGATGCTAGAAAGAATATCGTGGCACATAAGTCAGATGATGGGTGGAAGTCCGACGGCATAATCATCGGACCCCTTAGATGCAAAAGGTTTTCTGCGGCTATTGAGTGGAACACTCAGGGTGAGCTGAGACTTTACTATCAGGGGGACGACAATAGAATTTACGAGCATTGCAAGTCTGGTGACAATGCTTGGCTTAAAGGATTTTCTTTTGGTTCCTAGGTTTCTAAGTAATGTCGCGACCGGATTGAGGGGTGGTACTCGAGATTTTCGCTCGTCCACATGGACCTCTTTATCTTTGAAATAAATGAATAAGAACTGCTGTGATTCGAGAATATCCGGAAGCAAATTGATATTTAGTAAGAACTAAATGTCTGGCCCTTCTAAGAGAAGTGAGAATGGGCAAATATACCTAGATAGATACGTAAACAGAACGGAGTGCAGAGAATACCCCTGATCCCGCACCCTACTTTTTACCGCATAGTTCTCCACTCTGAATCTCGTCGTACTCTGAGGCCTTCATAGTGACTGAAAATATTCCAGAAAATTAACATGTGTGATCTTATAATGTCATGGGACGTGAATAGGTACTAGGTGTCCATTCCATACGGGGGTGTTAGATCACACGATCTGGCTATATCTAATCTGGGAGGGGGAGGCAAGCAGATTCTTTTAAAGTAAATAAGCCACCGATTTTACACGATGGAATCACTGTTATGAGAAAAGTGTTAACTAAGCCCCCCCATGTCGTCTGCTCCGAAGTCACCATGTGGTAACTGCTTACCTTCGGCTCTCCCCCTGCAGCCTTAAGGTTGCCCTGGGGATGATGATCCTTCGCCATTGTTGGTGAGATTTCGTATATTGTGTACCTGCTTTGCCTTTTTCCGGCGGAAAACCGCGAAACAATCAACGTCATCAATTCCCTTTTTAGCCCCAACGAAGTCCTCCCAATTATGTCAGCATGGCCTTGACATCGCTTAGAGCTGATGTGATGAGAATAGCTTCTAGGATTCTAGGATTGATCATTCCCGTTCCAAGCGAAAATATGACTAGATGCTCATATTGTAACAGAGCATGACCTTTATATCCGGCGAGAGTGCTGATGAGTCTTCTTATGATTGAGACGTGGACATAGAGACTCATATAAAAAGGCAGGTAAGGATTCGTTGCTCATTAGTTTAAGGATGAATAAGTAGAGTCCCAAGGAATAATTTACTACGGTCTTTGCACCCCATAGAAAGCATTATATCTTGGCAAAATCCCCTGTAAAACTCTAAGAATGTCAGACGCCAAGGACGTCCACTCTCCTCTTCTCACCCCCGGGTCTAGGACATCCGTTCCTCAGTTAGGATCACCCTCGGTGCCCAAACCGTCTAAAGCCCCCAATTCACCTCAGAAGTCCAACCCGGCAAATCCCACGCCAACAGATCCAGCGCCTATCAAGACAGTCACCAATCTGTCATGGGGAGCACCAGCCGGTCTCGCGATCCGTGGTCCCAATGACGAGAACCTCGTTATATTCAGAAAGGCTCTAGGGATAAATTACCACCGCGAAGCCACTGATAGCGGCACTCTTGAAGAAGGACGCAAATCCGCTATTGGTATATACAAGTCTGTCATCGAAACCCAGCAAACTAAAGGCGTCCAACATGCCTTACTCACTGCTTTTCTCTACCTTTGCTATTTTGCGCAGATCGTTATTGGCGCGGCACTGACGGCTGTTGGTCCCACATCCGGACGATATGAAACGCTCATTACTGTTCTTGGCGCTATCAACACGGTCCTAGCCGGTGTCTTAGCTCTTATCAAGGGCTCCGGGCAACCTCAAAGGATGGAAAAGGACCGTGTTGGATTTCGAAGGCTACAAGATTGGATTGAAGAAACCGAGGCACTGCTCGCAGTGGGTGTCATCGGCCGGAATAGGAAGGAAGTTGGACTGCTTGTTGAAAGTGCCTTCAAGCGCTACAATGCAGCAAAGATGAGTGTAGAAAATAACAGCCCGGACTTCTACGTCAACCAGCCCGAATCAAACGAGGACCAGACAGATACTGCTGGAAAACCACTGAAGCCGGCAGGACCTTAAGAAGGGGGGTTATTCCGTCTAGATGAAGGTGTAGTTACTTAGGAACTGGTGTTGAAGTCTTCGAGAATTGGAGTTAGAGATTTGTTAGAATATTGAATAATGTATCATTCGAAAGTGGTTCTGGGCAACTTCTACAGTTGTTAGTAAAGTCATGATAACGGACCTACCCATCCTAGCTTACACCAATATAATACTACCTATAATCGACGTCGTATTCTGTCCAGGTTGAGCGATACTAGACTGTATCACAGCTTCGCCGTGGCCATCCTCATCTCATACAATCTCAGCATGTTGATGTTCGTAAATAACATCACACTTCCTGAATGTTGCGCAGAATATAACTGCAGAGAGGCATTAATGCCCGCCAAGCTAGCATACATGATCACTAGCCAATGACTCTTAGACAGTGGTTCCAGTGCAATACCGAGCCCTGCTGCTATTGCAGCCGCGACTTCCTGAAGTGCCTTAACCAAAGCTTTAATGTTGACCGAGGCTCCAGAATATGTGTATTCGTTCAAAGCAACGAGACCTTGAATCTCGCCGACGGCGAGCAAGAATTGCAAGGGCGTTTGGAGCCAGACGCTTACATCGTTGGGTTCCCGAGTGCCTATGCTTCCTTGTGTGTCCGCTGAACACCATAGAGGATATTCATAACAAGGACCGATCCAGGCATTAGATATTAGAGCGAATGGTACAGGAATCAAGTACTGAAAGAACAGAAACCCATTCTGAATGATCGTAGCTTTGGCCTGACCCAAGCCCAAGGCACGAGGAAACAGAGGGTTTCCTCGTGGATTCTGAAGATAATTTTCTACGACCAGTTAGAAGGTCGAATATGATGGGTCTGTTAACACTGGCGCCATGCGACAGTAATGCCAAATCGTGCCAGTTGCGATGCCGCCCCAGTAAACGCCAGCAGCTGGGCAGTGATTGGGACCCGTTCAACTTCGTGGATGAATGTTTGGATCTCCTCGACTGTGGTATACCTGGGAAACGATTCATCCATTACAGAAGACCGACCAAGCCCTTTATACTCCATGATTACATGCGAATACCCCGGAAAAAGTGTGCTGTTGAATGAATTACCTTCGGAAAATTTAGAGGTAGAACGATTCGAAGTATTCAACTGCTATGGCGGGTGAGAGCAGGAGTCTTCAAAAGTACTTAGGTACCTGGAACAACGACTCTACTTTCACAAAGCTGCTCATTCCCGTATGCAGCAGAACCAACATCACACTATAGAGAGCAAGGGAAGGGCTAGAGCGCTTAACAATCTCTGAAACTCTTATTCCAGAGATCCGGAGGAGCCTTACCTAGATTTATCAGCTCTGGCTTCAGTGAGAATCGCAGCGTTTCCACTATTTCAAATCAATAACTGGCCCGACACAGTTAGTCGGCACCAAGCATAAGACATTTTTATAACAAACTAGCTAATCTGGGTAATTACATCGTTCTAACTGACAGTCGATCAAGCAAAATTTTCGGGTCGTTGCCCACTTTTGTAAGCGCTAGTGCTGTCAAAAAAGGGGGAAACCGATAAACTTATTTTATATCAACGTTCTAACTTTCAACACCTACTTTCGAAACTTAACAGCGGAGGAAGCTGGGTATGATATCGTTCGTATAGGTCAGTCATCAAGGTCACTTCAACTCGGCAATAGCAGCTATTAACAAAGAAAAAGTCTGGTGTGCAATGCCGAGTTGGCTATATACAGAGCTTACTGGATTGGAAACCATGCCGAATTACCAAACAAAGGACTTCGGCCCCGTCAAATTGGTAGGTATATTGTGAAGAAAGTGGGGTTCAACGGTTGGATAGTAGTATTGAAGGAGTCACATGCATGTTGGTTTAAGTTGTAAATAAAGCCTCCCTTAGAGCCTCCCTTGAATTCATAATTACTCTCTTGGTTTCCCTCTTCTGTATGGGTTGCCATTGATAACTTCGCTGGAGTCAACTTATTGTGTTCACATAATGGTCAACATCAAAGAAGGCATCGCGGAGTTCAAGGTCCCTGGCCTGGACCAACCCTGCCAAACGTGGTACAAAATTGTTGGCGATCTAAACGCATCGGTGACGCCTTTAATCGTGATACATGGAGGTCCTGGAGCATGCCACGACTATCTATTGCCCTTGACCGACCTTTCGTCGTCATTGCCTTTAGTATTTTACGATCAAATTGGAAATGGGCGATCGACGCACCTACCAGAAAAAGATGGTGACGAAAAGTTCTGGTCCGTAGAACTATTCAAGAACGAGTTAGACAACCTTTTCTTTCACCTTGGGCTCAAAGAACGATCTATCGATGTCTATGGGCACTCTTGGGGTGGAATGTTGGCAGCCGAATGGGCTGCTTCGCCCTCAAGTTCCTCAAACCTTCGACGTCTCATCATCTCCAGCAGCCTGGCAAGCATGGATGTATGGAGGGTGGGCATCACTGCGCTGAGGAAGAAGCTCCCCAAGGATGTCCAAGAAGAGCTCGATCGTGCTGAAGAGAAGAAGGACTTCGAAGACCCGAAGTATGAAGCTGCCATAGAGGTATTCTACAAGAGACACCTGAGCCTGGCTCGGCCGTGGCCATCGGAAGAGGTTCAAGCTGCACTCAACTGGTTTGCGAAGGACCCAACAACCTATGGTACAATGTAAGTGGTGTAGCTTCTTGACCGGTCGCCGGTCACATCAGTAAGCTCACGATATATGCAGGTATGGTCCGAGCGAGCTATACATCTCCGGCTCTCTTCGCGATTGGAGCTGCATCCCGCTCTTGAGCGCCATTAGCGCCCCGACTCTTTTGATCAACGGATCCGAGGATGAAGCTCAGGATGTTGCCATGCAACCTTTCTTCGACCATATTAAAAGAGTAAAATGGGTTACGCTAGACGGTGCCGCTCATTTCTCTCATGTTGACCAACGAGAGAAGCATATGCAGCACGTTGCGGCTTTTCTGACGGGTTAAATTCACGATGCCAGTGCGGGGATAACTGGAGTACAGAATCAAATCATGATTGAATTATGATTATGAGTTTATTATCCAACCAGACTTGGTCTACGGGGTGCTTCATTCATGATGTTAATAATTTGGTTATATAAACCGACGGCTGGCGATTTGAAAGTAAACCGTTAAATTAAGGTTGAAATTATAGTGAGTTTGGTGATGCTTCTGCTGTAATCACACCGCTTTTAATTGTTAAGTTCCCTGTAAGAATAGCGTTGCTCAGTGCTAAATTTGCTTAGGTAATAACAGCTCGCAACGGCTCAATGACGGCTACCGACTCTGATGCTATATCAATACATGTTATATCGTTCAATTGTTTATTTGAAAAGCTTCACTTCAAGCTAGGTTGCATTATCTGAATTACCTACCCACTATATTATGTATAAGTAAAGTTTTAAGGCCTTTTTAAGCTATTATCAAACCATTGCAGGTTCAAAGCAAGGGAGGTACTTAAATACCTACTTAACTAGGTAAGTGCCTTACAATTTAATTGATTGAAATTACCTACTACAGTTACCTGATCACTAAAACCCCCTATTCCTACGGGGAACTTAGCGATCAAATATAGTGTAAGTACAGTAGAAACGCCACTAAGCGCACGATAAATTCAACTTTAGGATGATTTAAGTCTACCAACATGCAAGCAAAATATTACTTATCACACCATCCACATTGGAACATTGCTGCCAACACTACATCTGCCCTGGCATAGTTAGTTGCTTGTGAAACGTACTTAGCCGTAGTCACCCTCCTTACCCCCCTCAACAACTGGCTCCTCGCTGAATTTCTCTTCCTCACCTAGAAGCCGACCACCTAGGACGAGACAGAGAGCTAGCGACGACATGGAGACGGAGTTTCAATCCCGTGCTAAGGCCAGCTCGACGGCTACTTTTGCGGAAGACGTGAATGGTGAGGGCTACAGCAGAGATGACAGAGACCTAATCAGGCTAGGGAAGAATCCCGTATTGAAGGTAGATACGTGACTTGTCCAGAGTTCACATAGTATGGACTAACTTGTGAATAGCGCAATTTTGGGTTTATGTCCATCTTGGGCTTCTCTTGCACTGTCCTGATCACATGGGAGGGGATGCTTATGTATGTATTTTAATGCCATTTACTAACGCTGTACGATGTTAACTGGCGCATCGCAGAGTTTCTACCCAGAGCTTGGTGAAGTATGTACACTCCTGAAGCACCTGTGCCGAGCTGACTCGAATAGCGGAGGTCCTGCGGGTGTTATCTGGGGATACCTTATCGTTTGGATTGGCACTCTCTCGAGTTTCACTGTACTATCAGAGTTGGCTTCGATGTAAGTCAAGCTCATTCTTAGATCGTAAGGATGATACTTACTGATTCTCTACAGGGCCCCAACCGCAGGTGGCCAATATCAGTAGGTAGTTGCCTTGAAGACCATAGCATGGCGTGAACATTAACGCCGGCGACAGCTGGGTTGCGATGCTAGCCCCGGACAGTTCGAGGCGCTTTTTAAGCTACATAACTGGTAATGCTTCAGAGTACGCCAGTAACATAGCCGCTAACCAAGATCTAGGTTGGATCACACTTACCGGCTGGCAAGCAGCCACTGCTTCTGCAGCATACCTCACAGGATCTCTTCTGCAAAGTATTATCATCATGTTGAAGCCGGATTATACCCCTCAACCGTGGCAGACTATGCTATTCTTTTGGGCGATAGTAGGCTTCGCAGTGTTCATAAACACCATCGCGAGCAAGACCCTTGTTCATTTCGAGAGGTTAATACTTATCTTACACATCCTCGGATTCTTCTCCATCTTGATTCCTCTTGTCTACCTTGCTCCCCATGGGGACACTTCTCTCTTTACAACCTTTGTCAATGAAGGCGGGTGGCCTACCCGGGGCTTGTCGTTCATGGTTGGCCTACCGACCTCCGTATTTTCACTCGTTGGTGAGTAAGATATCCAACGCCGAACCCATGCCACGGCCCATCTAACTTCGCGCAAGGTGCCGATTCCGCTGTCCATGTAAGTGACCCAATTCCCGTGTACTCCCATGGATGGCCAACAAAATAAATTCCTATAGATGGCCGAGGAGATAAAAAACGCCTCAACTGTAGTGCCTCGAGCTATACTTTTCAGCATCGGACTCAATGGCGCGCTCGGATTTGCGATGATGATCGCGTATCTCTTTTGCCTAGGAGACCTTCAAGCTGTGTTAGAGTCGCAGGAAACACTAGGCTACCCTTTCTTATTCGTGTTTCAAACCGGGACCAATTCAACGCCGGGCGCGGCAGTGATGGGTTTGATAGTCGTAGTTCTTGGTTTATGCTGCACCGTGAGCGTTCTAGCGTCATCATCGAGAATGCTTTGGTCATTCGCGAGGGACCGAGGAGTACCAATTTGGAGGACATTTGTCAAGGTACCTCGCTTTCTATTGGATATATTCTACACTATCATCTCTTCTTCACCTACTGATAATTATCGCCTACCTAGCTTGAACGTCGCACATCCATTCCCATTTATACCATCGCGTTTACAACAATCGTCTCCGTACTCTTATCTTTGATCACGCTCGGCTCAAGTGTTGCTTTCAGCAATATTGTCAACCTCACTGTCGCCGGTTTATATTCCTCTTACCTGCTTAGCTGCATGCTTTTGCTTTGGCGGCGTACTCAAACACAGGGAATTAAACCATACGACTTGCATATATCCAGAGTTGGGCCCGGCAACCTTCAATGGGGGCCGTGGCGTATTCCAGGCATACTAGGTGTACTTAACAACGCATTTGCTTGTATGTATTTGTTGCTGTTGTGGTTTTGGTCATTTTGGCCTCCAGCCATGTCGGTTACACCGGAGAGTATGAACTTCAACGTGCTGACGTTTGGAGCGGTGGTACTGTTTGCCGTTGCTTGGTATGCCATCCGAGCTAGGAAGGTTTACATAGGTCCAATTGTGGAGGTAACACTGTAAACCCGGATGCCTGAATCTTTCTTCCTATGGGTCTGCGATGACAACCCTCGGGTGATGTAACAGAGAAGTGGTTGGGTGATTTACACAGCTAGACGATACGTATACCTAGCTTAAAAGGGGGCTACTAACGTGCACCATCCGCTCAAAGTCAATGAAGCAATAAGCCTTGATCCGTTCTTTTGAATTATGGTCTGTCGGGGTTACGGATTGACGTTCAGATAATCACATGTACAAATGCCGTAGCGAGAACGAATCAGGACAGCGCTGAGCACAGCAGCTTGCGGCGTACTCTAAACCTGTCAGCAGTATTGGATGGAACATCTCGCGATTGGTACTGGATTACGAAGCTTACTCTGAGTAGCTTAAGGATTTCATGTAATGTGATTGCTTTCACTGGCAATTGCTCTGATGTCAGCCAGTCATCTTGATCTTATCAACATCAGCCTCCCCCTGGTTTGGTGGAGAAGCTGACGACATCAATGGAACTGAGGGCTGTTCACTTCTCAGAAACACAAGCTATGAAGGGCCAAATTTAACAATATAGAGTCAAAAGCTATCGTCACCTTATCACTTAATATAATACCATTGAGATATTTTCAGCACGAGCTTAATCCCTACCTAGGTACATAGCCACCTCTTTGTGATCATCGTCTTAGTAGATCTACCAACTAGAGTACCCTCTGTCCCAAGACAAACCGAGTAGTCTTAGAGCCAAATGGAATAAAATCGTTATGCCGCAACACAAAGGTTTGTTGCGGAATGATGGTGGGCGTTGATAATAGGTGAGGATCTTCCGAGCGATCGTAGACCAACTTCGTCAACCTTACTCCGTTTTCGTAAGTAGTTCATCTTCCCTTATACCGGGGTACCCTTCTTCAAGGGGTAGAACTAGAGTACTAAAGTAGATCTATGGTAGTTTCATGATATCACCTTGAAAATGCATCAATCACAGGGGGAATCTTAATGCGAGAGTACGGCGATAGTCATAAGTGGAGAGTAGGTACGTTTTCACAATTCATTAATTGATGTTGCGAGCTAATAGTCCAAGCGGGACATCCAAGAGTATCATTTGTGCAGAGAAATGATGAATTGAAGTCGAAATAGGATGAGATGTTTAGTAATCACGGCGCTGTTGCGTTTAAGAATACCCCTATTTAAGTTCCTTGGCATTCATCCTCAATACCCACTGACTAGGTACATATACCAGGTTTTTGAAGATAGGGGTAATAGGGTGTTTACATTGATCCTGTCCTTCGACCTCTATAACTGTGTCTGACCCGGCCAGCTACCTCGATGTATACACCATTCTATCAACGGCGTTATCTGCATCAATTCGTTCTCTTCTTGGGGAATCTCATGTCCTCCTGAGTGTGTATAGATCTTTCTGATATATGGATCACAGAGACCTGCGAGGTGGATCGAGCTTGGGAACAGGGGATCTTTCTCTCCCCATATGTGGACTGTCGGTATCCTGATCTTTAGCTCCAGGGGCAATCTGTTCAGATTCAGGCCGAAGCAATCATCCGAATTAAACACAGCCCGTCGTGCCTTCGTCACATGAGCCGATAGCGGGCCAAGCACTTGATCGCGCTGTAGTACGGCCTGCGTTATTGCAGTCTCTGCCTCTTTTGAGACTGGGGCCCCGATATCCTTCAGAACCTTGAGCGAAATACTTCCGCTAATGAAAATGGCGAACTTAAACGCGGGCGATAACTCGGGGTCATACCATTGCCGGTATAGGAGGAAGCCGGAAACAACGGTGACGCCTTGAGAAAACGCGATCAAGCCATCATAAGGCCCATCACTATCTAGTTTCGTCGCTAACCACTCGCCGGCCTTGCGAATATCTTCGGCTTCCTCCTTATCATAAAACTTGAAATGAGGTGGTTGGGGAGACTGTGAATCCTTTGCTAACAAATCTGGACATTGCAAAGGGCCATTGGCAAAATCAAACAAGAGTTCAGTATTTGAGTGCTGTAATCTTTTCAATAGAGAATCTACAGGCCTTGTCAGCAATGAAAATTAATCTCCATGACCCACGGGCGCGTTGGTAGGTACCTACCTAGGTTAGATTTGAATATATTTTCATTCTCTCCGTCACCATGGAGGCAAAGAATTTTCATGATGCTAATACAAATTCCGAGAAACGTGCTTCACTACTGAGATTTCTACTATGCCGAAAGTTGGCTTGTCAATCAGATTTTTCTGTCCCGGATTTCCGTCCCCCGGAGGTCCGGCTTCGAGAATTTCTCGCTTACAGGGCTTATTTTCTTACATAATACCTCGAGCGAAGTAGTTCCAACGTTTTGATGGAAGCAAGTGAAAAGGCAGTGACGACCTTTGCTTCTTTTTTCAACGCATCGAGAAGAATCTGATGGATGTTAATATAGTCACAGGATGACTTCATAAAAATCTCGATTGCGAACCTGATGAAAAAACAAAAAGTAGAAAAGCATAAGTAATTAGCACATGGTATCATTCTCCCTATCGACTACCTGATCTCCCTGGCCTTAATCTCGGGGTGAAGACGACCTTGTAGGTCTATTAGGCATTAGTATGATGCATCACCCATATCTTCTGTGACCCACTTACACAGGCTGGGAACCAAATGATCGGGTTGTCCATCGCACGTAGAACTAGGCCCGTGATAATCGGTCGAACCATCACTACCGCTCTTAACCTATCCTCATCATCCTCTCTCGAAAGCCTCCAGGCGTATATATCAACCCTCCCCACCACCTCCTCACCTCCGTCCCGGCAACCCAGGCACACCAACATACCGCTCCTCCCGCTCCGTCAAGAACATAACCTGGACCCAGAACTCCTTCAGATCGGCGTCCCACCAAGTCCAGTACCGGTCGCCCGAGCGATCGATCTCCCTAGCCTGGAGCTTGAAGCCGCACGTCTCGTACGGCTCCGCCGCCACGAGCATGTACTGGAAGCTCTTGTCGGGCGGCTCCTCGACGCGCTGCTCGAACGCGCTCATGAACCGCACCTTGGGCGTCACGCCCTGCCCGATCTCCGGGTACTGCAGCTGGAACAGCAGCCCTTGCTGCCTCGTCACCTGGTCGCGCACCTTCGTGATCTTGTACCCCGGCCTCCCGATCTTGACCACGTTCCTCCGCACCATGTTCGCGCCGAACCCGGCGCCCACCACGCCCACCGGCAACCCCGTGTTCGGGTCGACCTGGCCCTTTCCTTCTTTCTGCTCGCGCGCCGCGCGCCGCGCCAGGTTCGTCTGGTGCTTCTTGCCCTGCGTGTGCGCGAGGTACGAGCCGTCGTTCTGGTGCACGGTGAGGCAGAGCCGGCACTCGAACGAGCCCACGTGGTTCTTGAAGAAGTACGGGTCCTTGTCTAGGTCGATCGTCTCGAGTGCCAACTTGCGCAGCCGCTCCCTCCGGTCCGCGTTCGTCGCGCTGTGCGAGGCCACGCCTCCGCCGCCGAACTTGGAGCCCGCGCGGTTCTGGTAATCCATGTTGAATTGTTTTTATATCGTTTCTTGTCTTTTCTCGTGATGTGAGGTTAGATTATAGATGTAGGATTTTATTCTGACGTTGTGAAAGTCCCCGTGCGGATAGAATTGGCAATTTCGTTGATGTTGAATGGCAGTATGAGAAGAGAGAAATTGAAGTTTGAAGTTACGATTGGCGTTTGTATGTAGCTTGAGAGATAAGATAAGGTACCTAATTTTGACGGCTGGGACCAACTGCTGGGGTGATACATGTACCGGTATACAGAATCATTACATAATCAACCATATGCTTAGGTAATCATTTGCGCCCTTTTCAACATGCTAGGGATTCAGAGATGAAAGCACAGGACTTTATTTAGATCACGATTTGAGGTTGTCTAACTAATTTGCATTGTTCTATCGCGCCACGCGCCAGTGTTACCGCCCCTCCAGAACGATACGGCATCCATGCCACCGTCATCATAAGTTTCATAGCCAGTAAAGCATCGTTATGTCTGTTTCTTGTACGTCGCGTAGAACATAGCGAAAACCATTGCAAAATACAAAAAGCAAAATTGGTTCGTGGCTTTTTACAGCAGGATATGCGATCAAGCAGACTATGGAGGCCTATTCTCAAGATGAAGTGCGATGTTCTCTGTACAAGACTACCAGGTCTCGGAGAAATGTTATGTCATGTGGTCTGGGGGAGATGTTAGACGAATCGCAAACGTTAGCTAAATCCGGTATTGTGCAGCTTCAACTTTTTGGACTTTGACTTGCTGAATCACAATTGAAAATTGGATTCAAGACTAGGTGAAGCATGCGCGATTAACGGAAGTTATTGTCAAACCGCTTAAACGTGTAGCCGATAAACGGTAAACTCATCTCAGGTGATTCCTCAACCTGTTTTCCAGTCGCGATAGCCTGGTTTCGCAGGTTCGTCGCGTTATCAGTCTGGTCGATTTCGTCAGTAGGGAAGTATGTAGTGTCAGTGGCAGACTGTAAGCGCGGTTCGAACGGAGCGCGAATACGACGAAGACTATCGAATTCGACACCGCGGAAGAATGCGTGACTCTTGATCTCCTGCGCTCCACCTCGTCCGAGTCGCACTTCCGTATTGCAGATAAGACTAAGGTTTTGTTAGCAAGTGCGAAATTGATTGGCGCGGGTAAATTTACCTTCGGATCAGGTGTTCAGCTTCCGCCCCAAGGGTGATATCGTCGGGGAAGTAAAGACTCTGGCGCCAGTTGACAATCTTCCTATAAGTGTCATGACTATCTTCCGCGCAGAATGGCGGCCAGCCGACAAGGCACTCGAACATAATGGTGCCCAGCGACCACCAATCGCAATCGAACGTGTAACCATGCCCCGTAAAGATCTCGGGTGCAATGTAATCGGGCGTTCCGACGGTAGAGTACGCCATCAGTCTTCGGGACTTTCTCCAGTCGTTGATCTGAGAACGGTTGCTGACCGTCAGGTTAATCTGGTCAAGTGCAACAGAGTTCCGATCCTTCGGACGGCTTGATTTGCCCTGCAAAAGTTGTTGGTAATAATTGTTGTCGTGGAGCTTGTGGAAACCCGTAGATAGACCAAAGTCGGTAAGCTTCACGTGCCCACCCCGGTCAAGAAGAATGTTGTCGGGCTTGATGTCACTGTGAATCGATTAGTTGAGATTTCATAACCTCGGAATTTGGATTTCGTACCGATGGATAAATCCAAGCTTGTGAACTGCTTCGATGGCCAACACGATCTCTGCGATATAGAATCGCGTTATATCCTCGGAGAAGATCTCATACTTGATGAGCATAGTCATAAGATCGCCACCCGGTAAGAACTCCATAAGCATGTACAAGAAGTTGGCGTCTTGGAAGGTGGTGTACAACTTGACGACCCAGGGGCTGTCAGATTCGGCTAGGATATCTCTCTCGGCCCGAACGTGAGCCAACTGATCCTTCTTGAACATTTCGGTCTTGATGAGGGACTTCATCGCATAAACCTGACCGTCAGCCTTCTTCTGAACTAACTTGACTTCACCAAAAGCACCCTTTCCGATGATCTTAACCGTGTTATAATTCTCTGGCTTGTCTTTAGTGCGCAGAAATCGGAGATAACGCGCTTCTTTCTTGCCGCCATTCTGCCAGATCTGCTCTCGTCTTGGCGCAGATTGATTGGGGTCCTGTAACTTCTGCTCCATCTCGCTCTGCCTATTTACAATCGAGTCGTTAGCACATTCTTGGATATGATGGTAGTAACCTGCTTTGATAGCTAGTATATAAGATTGACAAAGTGGCTTACCTCAAATTGCGCTCTCGAGCCCGCTTCACGCTATCCTTGAAGAAATCAGCAGCCAATTGAGAACACTTCTTCTGATTGTTGTTCGCATTGAGGCCATATTTCTCCGGGTTACGCTCGGGCGCGGGTTGGAAGTCGGGCTGGCGAGAGCCAGCGGCGGTAGGCATTGGGGGATGTTGGTAGTTGTAGGCTGGTTGTTGACCCGATGAACCGGCAGTGCGAGGTCGCTGGCCTGACGAAGGGCCTCGCGCGGCGTAAGCGTTAGCTCGTGCGGCTCCTCCAAGATTCTGATGGGAAAACTGATGGGCTAGGCCAACGTTGGGATCATTAGTACCCGGCGTGTTAGACCTAGGCTGATAACCAGCTGGGCCGCCAACGTAGTCAGAAGGACCTTGATACTGGTTAGGCGCAAAGTAGTTGTTAGAAGGAGCGTAACCGCCAGCGTACTGCTGCGCAGCTTGAGCTTGTTGAGCTGCTAGATGCTGCTGGGAGGGCGCTGGGAAAACTGGCTGGGGGAAAGTTGAGGGCGTGGTAGGATATTGTCGGTCGGATGGTGCAAGCCGCTCGTTATTATTCCCAAAGTTTAAGTAGAGGCGATTGTTGGGATCCATCTTGATCGTAATTATATTGATATCTTAATAAATGCTTATAGATAAGATATTTTAGTCCTGTAAAGATTCACGTCGAACGGGCTAAGTCGTGACGAAGAAGCTGAAGCTATCGTACTAATCTGTCGAGTTCGAGACCTTAGAATGAATAATGGGAGGTAGACTTTGTTCGTCTTATCCAACCAAATGTTCGATTTGACAATGTCGGGTTCGAGTTTTGCCGTATCAGCGTCGAGGTCTCAAGACACTTGAAAGCGAACTGTCGAAAATCGAAGTGTTGACAAGGAGTAGAAGTGCCCAATTAGAATTTCGGCCCGTAACGGTTTTTGGCACGCGATGTTGCGCCGCCGTTACAGAGGGGTGGGTTACTGCCACGCCGAGGTATCCTTTTATCTTCCTTCTTTTCGCATTGATGTTTAAGTTGATAGATCAGTATTCGAAAGATATAGTGATTTGTTCTTTTCACCTGACCTGGTCGAAACGGCGGTAGAAAGTTTAGAGGGGGGAACTTTATAGAATTATATGATGGGAAGTTGTTCGATGGACCCCAACCTTTGAATGGAACAAAATGTTACTGGTTGAGGTGACTTCCCAAACAAGGTGATTAGTGGATGCGACAAAGCCCCTGAAAACACTTGTTAGCAGTCCAACCGCCTGGGGCTTCACTGGGTCTTGCTGGGGAGGGGCACTATCAACGGCGCTATCGACTAGATGATTAGCCCTATTAGGTCTAGTGTGCCGAGACTACGGGCGCTCCCTTGTTCAGGGTCAGTTGGTGCTTCGTTTGTTCCTTAAACCATGGCCACGTGCATAATGATGCATAATGGTGGATACTTATGTAAGTAGCCGCTCAAACCCCTGGATTGTGAGGCTATTTGCATATTGACTGCATCCAAAACTCAAGACAACAGCTCTCTTCCGATTGTATCAGCCCATTTCTATGCAGACCTACCTTAAAAAGACGACATGAGTATCTATTTATATCACGCGTCTATCTGAAGGTTGCTTGTGGTGCCAGAGACACATTACACAATCGTAGAAAGATGCTGGTAAGTCAATTGGGAATACCCCTATCTCTATCCACCTGCATGTGACAACATGGTATCCATTGATGCTAGGTCGCTTATATGAATAACGAAGCTCAGACTCCAATGCTAGGGTCCTGGTCCCCTTAATACTTGTCCTTAACATGTAGCCATATATGAATCCATTGATTGATTTCAATTACATAATCTCGAAGAATAAAACGGTGAAAGCCAATGCTGTTTATCAAAACTGAAGCATGAGCAACCGTGTCCCTTGGCCCATCACCGCTCTTAGCAAGTTATTGTTGAGAGTTTTATTTGTATAATTTATGCAAAAGATCATGTTGGCATCTTCTAGTGTCATTCCTTCCTTTCACTCTATCAACATCATTATAGCAACTTCCATCTTACTAGGTAGGTATTCGTCATGCAGCAGAAAGTTAAGTTGAGTTCAGGTCAAGTTCCAGGAGAACACCCTTTAGATGCATGTATTCAGTTAACCGTTGTATGAAATGCGACACTCTAATTGGCCCAGGATGCCTGAACTGGTAAACCCAAAAGCTAGAATGTGGGGTATACCGATAGGATCTACATAGATCCGGGCCGTCGAAATTTTGTTATCGGGTGAATTAATTCGTCTCTGTTCAATTGAAGATTGACGCAACTGCGAATTCCTAGGTCGCAACCAAGATTCCGTCTTGGAGTCCTTGTGAAACTGCCAACATCCAGGTTAATCCTGTGATTCTGACGGACACCTTGAAATAGGGATCTGTTCTAGGAGAAGATTCCTACGGCACTTCAAAATGGCAGATCCAACACCACCTTCTGGTCAACCAGCTGCGTCTGCGCCTGCTGCAGCAAACTCCGGAGCAGCATACAAAGCCGCAACGCCAAACCCAGCTTTTCGCATGATGGGCATTCCCTACCTTCCCAAGAAACTTCCCTCCCGCAACTGGATGATCTTCTTCGCTATCACCGGTTCCCTCTCTGCTGCTATAATCTACGACAAGCGCGAGAAGAAGCGCGCAACAGCTCGATGGGCCAGAGCTGTCTCCCACCTCGCCCGAGAACCCATCTCTGACCCCAACCAACTGCCCCGGAAACTCACAATCTTCCTCGAAAGTCCCCCTGGCGATGGGCTCCGCGTTGCGCAAGATCACTTTACCGAATACATAAAACCGGTACTGGCTGCGTCGGGATTGGATTGGGAGTTCGTCCAAGGAAGAAAACAAGGAGACATAAGGGCGGCTGTGGCTGAGAGAATACGGAGGACGAGGGAGCCGGAAGCAGTGGCGCAGACCAAGGACGAGATTATAGAAGAAGTAAGGAAAAAGAACAACACACCTCAGTGGCACGGTGCCAAAGGCGACATTGTAGTCGGACGACACACGTGGAAGGAATATGTTCGCGGTTTACATGAAGGCTGGTTAGGACCTCTTACCCCACCACCGGAGCCGGAGCCAGTGAAGAAACTCGAAGAAGCAGGAGCGTTGGACGGAAGCGAGGGAGAAAAGCAAGAGACGAAACCCGAAGAGAAGCCGGAACAAAAGCCAGAAAGACCCCCGCAACCACCACCGTACAACACCACCAATGACTACCCCACCTCCGCTCTGCCTATGTTCATACCTGCCGAATTCTCACCATCATCACCTATAGAGTTTCCCCATATCCTCGGTTTCTCTAATACGTTTATCCGACTACGACGATTCCTCAACCGACGGCATCTAGCCGACGACATAGGCCGCGAAGTAGCGGCTGTTTGCCTCGCTGCAGCACGTGAGTATCACGAAGATGCGGATTTGTCTCGGTCCGAGCAACAAACTGCTCTCGAGCACGAAGAGAAGGACTGGGTCAAGTCCGTATGGAAGGACGAGAAGCCTAAAGAGGAAGAGAACGGTTCTGCCGCCCCCACGGCTCCTCCCCCGGAAAAGATATGGGCGAGTCCCGTGGTCTTGGATCCGCGGATTGCAATGCGTATGCGGCGTTTTGAGATCCAACCCGAGGAAGTGGCTCGCGCCAAGGAGATAGTCGTTCCAGAAGAGGAGATCGAGGGTTGGATCAAGGGCAGCCTGCGAAGCCTCTACCGCTGGGCCATTTCGAAACCCGAGCCCAATCCATCGTGGCCTGACGAATAATCGCCGACCACCTAAGTAATCTGATGTTTATAATCCTGATTACCCAGATCCGAATGTAAGGTGTAATATTATACTTAGAAGGATAGATACGACGTCGCATTTCCGGCTGGCATACAAATGTGTCTGTACAACACATCATAACGCATTGGGTCTATAGAGTGTTGATACACGGGGGCTGGTGACGATACAGGATGTGTAATGCTGATTTACGAGGTTATTGAGACGATGACCTGGTGATTGTATATGCGAATAATTAATCACAACTCTACATCTAGAGCTTGATTTTTGAGATGATATTCTTATCTCCCACGGTTACACCTGTGGCATGTAACCCCCTATTTCGTCAAACGTCACCTTGAAGGTGGCTCGCAGAACCTGATAGCTGTGTGGATATCCGTGCTACGTTCCTGTGAGATGAAATACAAGGTTCAATAGTAGTGAAACTTACTCGACTAGGTAACATCTCAGGACCATATAGCACTGTCCTCATTGTCAATAGCCCCTTTCGAAGTCAACAGGCTCGAAGTCCAATCGTCTAGCAAAGTTAAAGCTTTGAAGGGACATCAGCAAGTAGTAAGCCGGTCCATCATTTACGAGGCTCGAAACTCTCCTCAAGCCAAAGCGAATCAGTCATCATCATCATCATCAGAACCGTAATCCACCAAGCCCAAGCTCGGCTTAGCCTTCTCTTGGTCCGCTTTCAGCGCTGGTGGTTTAGTCTGGTTGGCTGTCGTCGAAGATTTCGCCTCAGGGTTCGTGTTCGTAGCCGGCGTAGTCTTCACCTTCCCTTCATCCCGCGTCTTTACCGTCTCCGTTACAGCTGTTGCCTTGGGATCCTTCTCATGCACACTAACCCTCCTCTTTACGCCTTTAACAATACTCTTACTCTCCTTATCCCTCTTCCGCTTCTTTCCCACGCCGGCCCACCCGACGGGATCTTCAACACCGACACCGCCATCATCGTTCTTAGCATCATCCGCAACCACTTCCCCTTCGCCATCATCTCCACCATCAGCTGACACAGAAGGACCAGAAACACTCTTCTTCTGCGCCTCCCTAAACCTAGCCAGCCTCTCCTCCGTCTCGCGCTTAACCCTCTCCTCCTCTTCCCTCCGCTCATCCCGCACACCCTCCAAGAACTCGATCTCGTCGTCGTCCAACGCGCGGAACTGGTTGCGTATGCGATTCTGCTCTTCGAAAGCCGCTTGCTTGGCCGCTGTTGTCGCAAAACCCTGGTCAGCACACACACACACATACTCTCTCACCCTCTCACTCTCTATCCCCTCCATCCCCCCCCCCCCCCCCTTCCCCTACTTTTCCCATCCAAAAGAAAGAAAAACATATTGCCACTAAAAAGGAAAGAATAGCTAAATACCGCACCTTTATTAGCCTGCAAAACCTCAAACAAGCTGCGCTCCCCTCCCGCGCCGCCCTCGACCTGCGCGCGCCGCGCCTCCTCGCGGCGCCTGCGATCGGCTTCCAGCTCGCGCTGCACGGCCTCCCACTCCGTATTCCTCTTCGGCGGCTCGCCACCCGGTTCGCTGCCCCATTGCGCAGTCTCTATTTTTGCTATTGCTGTTGTGCTTGATAAAGGCGACGTTTGCTTAGGAACGGGTTCGGTCTGGCCGTCGCCGGCGATCGTGCCGCCTGAGACGAAGCGGGATGTCATTGCTTTTGACAAAGTTGGATCGGGTTGGAAGGATCGCGTAGTATGGGGAGGTGTCTATATCAAAAACAGTCGATCCAATTGATATAGAAAAGGTTGTCAAGACTGCAGCTTCCACTTTGACGAGACTTGAGGAAGGTAAGCCGTCAAAGTCCAAATCGTAGTCTCTAAATCAAAGTACCGGGGCACGGGATATACCTAGTAGCTTAGCTATGCAATTATCGATAAGCTCGTTGCAACCTAGCAGTGGCCCTCACCAGCTAGCTACAGACCAGCTACAGACTTGGATGCTTCCAATTCGACCAAACCTGTAAACAATCTCGCCCTTGAATAGCACTGAAGTAACACATCGATCAGCTCTACAATATGTCTAAATAATTAAATTATTGCCATCACATAAAAACCAATTCGAAATACCATACGAGCCACCAAGGGCCATAGTTCCAAAGTTTCACGTATGGATGCATGTGGAGTTGAACAAGCCCCCAAAGATTTAAGCGAACTACACACAAAGGCCACTACTAATACCTTAGATATCATGGCACTCAACATCCACATCGAAAACACATCACTTGCAATAAAAGTCTGGACAGGAACATATTAATTCTGGTCAAGTTTGCACAGTTTAATATTTTTAGTCTAGGTTTATCGGTTATATGTAGTAACGAGCCAGAAGAGAACCTCATCAGACTGTCAGCCATGCCGTCCCCGTATGCTTTAGGACGGCCACGGCCATGCAAACTTCAGACAGCCAAACCCCCTTATGTGGCTACGCGTGCGAAAAGTCTTCGCGAGATCACCTTCGCCTTCCCCCAGCCCCAAAGCCGCTGATTCCGTAACCCCAACCTAGCCCCTTGCCTGGGTTGTAGTCATGGCCCTCGTGAAAGAAATTCAAGTGGAAACGGCCCATAGCAAGAGCCAAGAACAGTAAAAAAGAACAAAAACCCTAACGCTATTAAGGCCGATGACTCGAAATGCCCAAAGCGAATTTTTCCTTTCCTTGCACAGCCAAATGACGGGACCACCATCAAGTAGCATCCGTAGACCGACGGTGAAGCAACAAATCGGGTCGGCAGCGGTAGCTGAGAACGACAAGGACAAGGACAAGAGAGCCCGTGGCCTTTGGTGGAAGATGCTAGGACGTGTACCCCTATACGCTTCACACCAATCTAGAAGAGTAGGAACTCAAATATTGCACATGCAAAAGCAGCAAACCCAAGTTTTTTCATTCCATTCCCAAATGTTACCACCCGCAGTGGTACAAGTGCCTATTTTCTTTATTTCAAGCCAAGAAAAGGAAACCCAATGACCACATTGAATGAGTCCTGAAAACGTATTTGTTAAGACCGCGGCTAATTTGTGAACCTTGTGGAAGGAACATAGAGCCTGGCCGTCTAGAATGAAACCGCCCGAAACCAGACGAGCTAATGATGTCGTGCCAGCGTCGAGTGAGGAATCGTGAATCGAATAAACGTAAAAATCGTGAGTGAATCGTGGTAAGTGTAGAACGACAATCCCAATTTTAGCCACACCCAACGCAAGGTGCAGTTGAGGGCGGTAGGAAGGGAGAAATCAGCAACCGACTATGGTAAGTAGCGACGGATGATACTGAGGAAGTGAGATCTATCATTTGTGATGAATAGACTCGAAGTGTGGTTGAGCGACTGGACGACGAGGATGTCTGGATTGTCCATCTCTTACTTTTCTTTAAAAAAACGCCCAATGTAGCCTTGACTTTTTTTGCCGCCGTCGCTATAAATATGCGAACCCGAATAAAATGCCATATTCTATTGCAAATAGAAGAACACCAAACCAACCGAGAAAGAAAAAGCAAATCCAATAAACGCCACTATAATTACCGATGCAGAAAAGTCGTAAGAACAAAGGAAGCATCGCCTCATAGGGCAAAAGTCACAACTAGACACGAGAATGAGGTGGTCTTATTTGACGGACCGTCAAGTCGAATTCGTTCCGGCCCCCGTGCTGACGCATGTTGCCGGCTGGGTAACGATGGGTGCGAATGGATTAAGATCGACCAACCAAACCGTATCCCCCGACATTTCCCTCCCACTCCAGTAGTATGCCTCTTATGCCTATGTTTCGGAAACTCCAGGGGTATCTGAACAACAAATTTATGTGCCTAACCATGCCGAGAACGATGTCGGAGTAGACATTAGATGAAGTATTCCCAAATCATAAACGTGGCCTGGCTTTACACTCAGGCCATCCAAACTCGGATCGATGATACAAAGAAATGTGTCGTCATAAAGTAGCCTTAACCCATCACAGCTTGGCTATAACCATGCTGCGGGAAGTAGGTAGGCGTCTTGTGGTGAAGTTGGGGCCTGCATTGGTTACAGGCGCAGTCAGAACTGGTCGAGTCCCATATTCCCGAACTGAAATGGCTGGAGAAATTGTGCGAGTGAGATCCGTTTCGAGATCCGAAACCGCTGTGGCCGGGAGGCTTGTAATGCCTGTTGTAGCCACCGTTGACAGCCTGGGCAAACCACTCATCGTATGAGGCATTCACCGAGGCAGCCGAGTTGAGATACTCGGGAGTCCCGTAGCCAGAATCGGGAGGAGTCAAAGGAGCCTGAGGCTGTGACCAAACGTTCGGATATTGGCACTGCCAGGAGCCTTCCCGACCTCTGTAGGCGGCGGTACCAGCATGAGCGAATCTAGCGTTCAAATCAAATAGTTCCTGATCGACCAATTCCTCATGAGTGTAGCCTTGAAAGGCAAGAGGATGGTGCCGCACAGGTTCGGGGTGGAGGTTTGTGACAATTGGTGCCAGTCTCTCACGCATGTCGCGCATAGCAATCTGGGATTGCTGCTGCTGCTGTTGTTGTTGCTGAAGCTGGTGGAATTTCTTGCTCTCTTCCCATTCCTTCCAGCTCTTGAGCCAAGCATTGTAGTCGTGGCTCTGGTCAAGATTGACATACAGCGTCCAGCCAACGTGCCTCAACCACTCGTTTTCCATAGTGTTGAGTTCCGACACGGCGATTCCACTAACGTCAGACCAAGAACGGTTCTGAAAGGTATTGTCATCGAGAAATTTGCTACCCAGTAGGAGAGCAACGGTAAGCATTTTCCACATCTGACCTTCATTCGAGCTGAACTGTCCACTCTGGTTGAGCATGTTGACTCTCTTGGCCAAGTAGTTCATTCCAAGCAGGACGGTAGTGCTTGGTAGACGAGTGGAGCTGAGGATCTGATTGACAAATTTCCGAAATGCACCAGACACTGATGATTTGGGGAGGACAACTCGGACTGTCATATCAGCCACATACTCTGCCATCATTTCGGTCTCATAATCGAGAACCGCGCATACGCCGCCGCCGACCATGATGACGGTTAGAGGATGAACTCCGTCAAAGACCCTGTATCGATCTTTGTCGGAGGATTTCTGCTTCAAGCACGTAGAGACGGCACAGTTGAGTGGGAGGACCACAGTACAACCGGTTCCGATTCCAAATGCTGAAGAGAGAAGAGATTTGTGGAGGGAAGGTTATTGGGAACCCTATTGAGATGCCTTAGCCATGAATTGGTTGTCTCAATATGAGGCAAATCCTGGTGGAGATCGGATTGATGATTGTCTGATCGAAAATCTGCTTCCAAGTAGGATGTAATATCGAGTTAATAAGCCTGAGAGAATCACTCGAAGGGCTGTTCCGTCAAGCTCGGCCGATACCAGCTGAGAGGATTTTGAAAATACGAGGTCGTGTGTAGGTAAGAAAAAAGATGCGAATGCCGTCGATATTAAGGGAAAAAAGGATCAATTAAGACCTCTAAAAAACTGAATCGGTATACGTTAGCAAATTGAAGGGCCGCGTATGAAAACAATGGATTGAGTCGGAAATGTAGATTCTTTCAAGACCGCTTGGAAAAATAACGGCCGAAACTAAGAAGTTGATTGTTCGAGATCTCAACAGAAGGAAATGAATGGCTTGGTGGAGCTGACGAATAGACAATGAATGAATAGAGTAAGGTTCTCTGTCGCGAATGAAAATGCTCGATGAAAGGTAAAGTAAAATAAGTTTTACAGGTTTCGGTCGCATGTAGTTCTTTTCGATTACTCAAGCCTTGTGTTGTGTGACCAAAAAGATACTCGGAAATGCGTCGGGATGTACAGGATAGCCAAGTGGTGATGATGCTATGAAGTCGACAAACCACAACAAAAATAACCAAATAGGATATTGAAATATACAATAAAATTTACTTACTCCGTAGGAAGGAAGTGGGCAGTGGTGAGAACGCTTCTTGGTCTCGACAATTAAGCTGCTCACGAAATGCCGTAAAAGTCCAGCTAAGTCGTACCTGGTTGATGGTGGTGTTCGTGTCGAACAGCGATCTGTCGTCGTGGATGCCGCTTCGTTTCGCTTTCGCTCGTGGAGACGGGGAGAAGACGTTATATTTAGATCGATAGCGACAGATCCGACAGCAAGACCAATTCGTTACAGTCCAGAGCGAACACGTTCTCCTGCACAACAAAGTACAACTTCGTTGCGCCTCTCTCTTTTTCTACTCGTTTCCAATAAATCGCAATAAACCTGAATCCTGGCGTTCGACAACTTCCGAGAATCGAAGAATCGAAAATTCGGTCGAGGTCGAGTAGATTGGCAAGCGACGGGATTGCGAGGTGTTAAAGAAAAAAGGAAGGTAAGAAAAAGAGGGAGACGGAGGTAGAAGCGTCAAGACGGTAGTAAGGTGGAAGAGTTGTTTTGGGTGGGAAAAGGTTGAAGGATGGGGAGAGAGACGAGAATTAGAAATGGCAAGTGATGCAAGGTAAAAGAAGGTAGCTGGGTACTATGGCAGAGGTACCATGTAGACGTAAAATGGATCCCGGCTTGGAAAGGTAAGAAAAAAAAAGATGGAACCCACACACCACGATACAACACAAAACACCAACACTAACACACCTGGGCAAGTACGCTACGGGCTATTAGTAGTGTACGTACACGCTACTACCACTATGTATGGAATATGCATGCATTACACACAACGTTAAACGCACCTGCGCAGTTATACTACTAGGACAACTACAACTAGCAATAGCTCAGACGCCCGTACCATCCTTCCTAGGTACATAGCAACTTCTTTTTTAAGTTGGGAAAACAATTCAGCCAATCAGTCTCCGTGCAGAGCCCAAGTGGGCACGGTCTTTGACCGCTAGCGTTAGCATGTACTTCGTACCTAGCCACTCTGCCACCCGCTATAATAAAGAAAGCATGGCCCTGGAGCGGCGAGCGCGCAGGCGTTGAAAAAAAAATTTAAGAAAAAGAGGGGAAAATGGGAGTGGCCACTGACCACTTAGATGACCACTTAGAAAAGAATGGAAACAAGGTGGTGTGGACTCACTTCACAATAGGTGGTGGTCCAGGTTTCTTTGGTGGATTCATCACCTAAGAGTCTAGCACCATTCAGGTAACTGCTAGAAAGTTTACTCGTTCACTCTCCCTGCTCGTCTATGGGCGCAGTACCTAGTACATCCATCCTGTATTCAACATTAAACAGGAGTAGAAAGTGCGTCTCGCCAATGTGTTGATTCCACCAATGAACCAATCCGGACCGAGTTACCTCCCCCATGGAGAGCATGGATATTGCACAAACCGTATATACGTACATATTGTACATATTTATACCTTCATACACTACATGAATGAATGCATTGCACAAGTACATCATAAAGTTATCAAGCTATGGCGCCAAATGAGTAAAGGGCTTTTCAATTCCAGGTCCTGCTTGTCCATTTTCATTAATACAAGTTTCTTAAATTAAGCCTTCCCTATTATTATTTTCACACAAATTTCTTTGAAAATCAGGATCCTACCTATTCTGGTTACGCCGGGGTTGTTAAGCTCGTACTATGTACGTCTTTTCCCTTAATGTTAAAACGGTTGTCACTACCTAAGTGATGGCGGCAGATTGGTAAGAATTCGGCCGAGGTTCCCATCCTTACATCCCTTAGGGAGGCGTCGAAAACCACGCGATCTCAAGCCTTTAAGCATTGGCGCCTCATCGCTTCATTGTTACCTTTAGACTTTTCCACTAATGCGAGTTGGCCGATACTTTTATTTGCTTATGGCATGTATTTTTTACCGATTATTCAACGCAAAGTTACAGTTAGCTAGTACAGGCAGGGCCAGCCAACTTACTTTAAAGAGATTAGAGGCGTAGATAGTTACTAGCCAATGTAAGTAAAGCAGTGAGGCTGTATCCTTGCTACCTCCTTTTCCACGTTCAACACAGAACCAAAGTCGAAACTTGAATCAATCAAGACTTGTTACCCGAACGGACTCAGGGACTACGTATCACTTCACTTCTGGATGCGGAAAATATTCCTTTCTCTGAGCCATTGTCCTTTTTAATCAAGATTTAATCGGGAGTCATTGGTTCTACTTATTTCGGAACCTTCGTCTCCTCCTTTGTTTCCATCAATACTGCACCGCTCATCTGGATAAAGGTCAACCCATCATCTAGTCGAAACGGGATTATTCCTCTCGCACGTGGGATACGGACATGTACGGAACCTACGGTCCTATTGTCCCAGCACCTTCGGCAATACGAAAACGGTTCCTCCAAATTTTGGTGTCTAATAAATAATCAAGTATCATAACACGAGCAACATCTTTATTTTCCCTCTTTACCCTAGCCAGCAAGTCGCAGTATTAGGCCCAGGTAAGATCTACCTCATCACTATGTAAGTAGTTGTACCAACCCGAGAACTTTGTCAATGGCAATCAAGGATAACATCAAGAACAAAGGTTTGTACATAGCTTGTTTTGTTTTGGTTACTACCTCCTCCTGCTCCTCATGCCACTAACCCAGGCAGCCTAGGCGCCCAGGTAAATAAGCAAATGGTTTGGAGATGTAGTAAGGATAACCCCAGGTATTTGGGGAGATTTACAATGGTACCATGGGTGTGACTTTATCCATTCAAGATCAAGGGCTTTGGAAACCCACATTTGAGCCCTGTGCTCGGGACGGTGCAATGAATGCCCTGTGCGCCGCAGGTTTTAGATGCCATAGCTGTAATTTGTAAATGAGTGCCCATTGATTACCTGCCAACCTCTTCTCAAGAAGCATACCAAGGACAGGTTCACTAATACGAATAATGATATCCAGTTCATATTCCTACGTAAGAAAATCTGCCTAGCGATGACGATACCTAACATCAGATTCCTCCAAAAGCCACTGATGACACAGAGATGAGATGAGAGCATCTAACCAGATCGTCGAGTTCGCCTCATTGGCTGTTTATCTGGAAGAATGTCCCGCCGATGAACGTCCATGTGGATCTAGCATGTACGTATTCAGGTACCGATCCGACAATTTCCAGAATAGTTCAACGGCCCACCGGTTACTAGCCAATGAAAGACGTAGAAATTTATACCAAAGGAACAGATGGATCCCAACATAGAACCACCCCCTTGAGCTAAGCTCTCGAAATTTCCTGGGAAAAGTTAAATTAGCAATATCCAGTGTCAAAGAAACCCGGAACACTTGAGGCATTTCGAACTGAAGCAGGTGAACTCGCATTGCTAGTTTGCTTAAGTTGCAAGTGTAAATTAAGTACGATTGGTTTCTGCCAACTTTCGGGCGCCCCATCAACATGTTCGAGGTTTTCAGTCGTACGTTGAAGTTAAAATTTTTATCATTTTATTTTAATTTTTCTATTGTGAGCCCCAGGCTAAGGATCACCGGATTTCGCTACCCCTTGCTTCATACTGCTACTTCGCCCATAACTATCATACGTCACCCTCTGCATGAAATCTCTCCTTGACATTAGGCGACCGCATTGATTGTATGATCTAAAGGCGTCGTATATACGTGTACATAAGCCCCTATTAGGAGCGCTGACATAGTTCTAATGTCGAGTTCGAACAGCATGGCATCCTTCTTAGCCCAGCCTCGTCAATGAAGTAGGTAATAGATATACACAAGCTGCTCGTTATTTCGGCTATCGATCTAACCAATTACGTGTTTGTCAAGCGGATCACTTGCCCTGCGTCTGGCGACACTTCGGATGTGGATTGCTACTATGAATATCTTGCCCCCTGGACCCTTCTGCCTACCTTGCGTTGCCCTTCGAACATTTAGGTACATAGATGGCTAGCTGATTCCCTGGACAACCGAATCGGATTTCCAGACGATCCAGAACATAAAACGGTCCCCGTGCCGCATTTGTGCACGAGTATTACCAATCTCCGCAGGATTCCGGCAACTGTTCCTCGATGGCTGAACTTGCAAAAGCCGGAAAAGCTCTACCATCCTGCTGGCAGATTTCGATGGCCCGTTGAGCGAACACCGCAGCTCTCCCACATTGTGTAGAAGACACGCTATCCTCTGTTATGCGGGTATGTTCTCAACCCCCACCTAGCGTAGCCGCCGTCGGTTCATAAAATTCCCCTCTGCGTGGGGACGGAGTGGTACGGAGAGGCCAGACGTTGCTTTGCAGTGCTCCACAAACGATAAAATTTTGGGAAGCTCAAAGAAAAAACGTCGAGAAGGACTTAAACTAGTCTGCTGCCTCTTTTTTTTTTCTACCCCATCTTTTGCTTCCCAGTCATAGTTCCTAGTCGAAGAAGAATTTTTCTATCGCATGAGTCCGCGTCTGCAGTAGCGGCCTCTTCAGTTTTGAGGATGAGCGGATCAACGAGAGCAACACTTGCGTCTCCGTGGCTTCGGTCGCGTGGAAACGTCCGTCTTCACCGCGTCAGATCCACCTTGACCTCTTTACGCGAATATTGATGTAGGTATTATGTATTACGATACCGAGCTACCAGCCTCGGCCTAGACGTAATATTCGAGTCACCAACTGTTACGGTTCAACATAAGAAATTGCAAGGTCGTGCAATTTCAGTAAGGGAACCCCATATATCGAAGCATCGGAGTCCGTAACACCATCATCTTTGAGTCTCGACCATTAGGATCGTTCGGAAGACCATCACGGTACACGCGGAGGGTATCTCGAATATGTCTTATTCGTCATTTAGCAGTAGTCATGTAGATGTAAGATTTCTTCCAGGCAGGTAGATATTCATCAAGAAGTATCTCGCTTCTTCCACGTGCTCTCGCTTCCCTAGCATCGTAGACGGAACGGGAAGCTGACAGTGCTAATGTCATACCACTGTATCGAAACAGTCATCAATATCTTACGTATGCCGACCTAAGCGTTGGGAACCTCGATCGAAAATCTCAGGAGGTAAAAGGCAATATGCAACCATATGACACCCCCATATACCTCATTTGGTAACGCTCTTTAATCGGCCTCGGGTTGGTCTATTCGGCTCGTACCATCGGGCAACGTCAAGACTTACATGGCAGCCATGGCAAATATGGGTTGATAAGGTAACCGAGAAGTAGTAGAATGCAGCCAGCACTGGGATAAGAACTTTCTAGCGGTGTGAGCAAGCTTCGGACTATGAGTGGAAGCCTTCGCAACCCCTCACGATCAAAGTCTCCGCATCCAAGCACGTATGTGGTAGCTCTAAAAACCCTGACTCTGCAGACCTGCTGCAGCATCCAAACCATCCATCTACGATACTTACACGGTCGGGAGGAAACGCAGGCACCAGCCTACTCGAGCGGAGGTCTTCTACCCACGCTGCATGTGTATTTGCATGTCCAGGGATAGGTGTATGTATCTGCAACTTGAGGCGCTAGCATTTATACAGGATCTTTTTTTTTTCGTCGGGTCCACCAAAGGTAGGAGGTTTCTTGAGGAAGGGAAAGGCACCTGCACTAAAAGTACGGCGTCTGCCAACGCTTCTCGTGTAGGAGCCGTCGCATTATTTGGCTCCTCTCCGAACTTAGCATGGCTTCTTGCCGCCGTTGATCTGGCCTGATGTGGACCACCAACGAATCTGGTTCCCCCACTGACTCACCACCTAGGCGGTCCCCATCGCCACCTACCCGAATCTGTCACCCACAGAGAGTCCGGACAGTTAACGGCACAATAGGCCAGATGGTCATGCCGGTCTCTGCCCGTCCTTAACGGGTACCCCATTCCTAATTCCAAATGGGTGGTACGCTTCTAACACCGGCCATTCTGGCGGATCTTCCAGAACGAGCCGAATGCCTAGCTGGGTCTTATTTCTCTCTGTAACCCCATAGGCTAGAATAGAAAATAGCAATATCGCAAAATTTAGACCGCTCGTCCGGAACGCTACCACAACGCTGTAGACACGAAGCATTTAATACGACCAGCAAGCCAATACGATTCCTCAGAGGCAAAAGAGGACCGATGCGGGAAGGGCCGTCATAAAAACTTCAGAACTGTTTGGCACTTGGAAAACTCTTTCCTGTCATGCCCGCGGCCAGATGCGGTTTTCCAGGGATATTAATGCTAGAAATACTGGAAGCGTGTAAAGAGCTTGCATTAGTGTCGCCCAAAACCCTCGCCTCGCGATCAGCACTTGCAGCAACGCACCCCGAAGCCAGGCGAGGCACCTCCGCACTACGGGCTGAAAGGTTTATTCCCAATGTTCCCAGTCCCATCCAAGTCCTACATATGTTACATAGTCGAGCGGCAAAAACCTGTCACCGCGCATTAGACTAGCTGACCAAGCAAAAATCTACCCTTCGAGAATGCACTCGTAGCCGTTATCGCTTCCGATTTCCACTCCAGTATATTGTATTCGTACGGACCCTTCCTTGCCTTGACAGAGGCAGAAATAGAATTCAATAGGTAACTTTGGGCATGACATAAGAATCCGCTTGGTTTCAGGATCGGGAGGCGGGAAATAAGGAATTAGCCAACTTAATCCAGCGGAATTGGATTTAGAGAATCCCATCGCGGGCTATACATTCTGACACCAGCGAAAATACGATACCTAAGTAATCCAATACCGTAAGAGGAGTCCCCCATTGCGGCATCCACCATCAGTAAACGGTCCCAACTACGTTCGAACCTTGCTGACGCGCAGATCGGACGCGGCGGGTTGATCACCTGTGGGTTCTCTGGTACCCTGCCGAGCCTCCTATGCGCTCATACACGCGCTATCTCAGTACCTCTCGCGAATTTGAAACCCTTTTCTTTCTTTTCTACCAATGTCCAAGTTGGGAAGAATCAGCCACTTACCGTATGGCTTGACGTCTGATGACGTTGCCTAGATCCAGGCACTCCATCTAAGATTCCTCGTGTTAGATGATTTTTTTTCTTATTTTTGCTCTCAATTATTTCCCCTCTCTTAATGTTCGTTTCCTAGTGAGGGGTTTCACATGTATGTAGGTGCGTATGAGCGTATGAGCACAGGATAAAGGGGGGGTCCCGACTGTTGGAAACGGTTTTCCTTCTCCCCAGAATCCAAGGGCCAGCAAATCCATGATGCAATGATACCCAAGCAAACCCACTACCCACTATCTGGGAGAGCACGCATGGATGGTAACGTTGTCGACAACGGCGGAGAAACCTCCTCATTCCTAATAATAAAACTAGAGGAGAAAAAAAAAAAAAAAAAAGGAGGAAAATTAATCTCTCATGGGTTTTCCCCACGCACTTACCCGCCCACTGGGTGAGCTGTTGTCTTTGGTTTCTCGGCTTTTTGCGATGCGAGCTTTCTAGGCGGAGGCGAAAAGGGAAGGGGAAAATCCACCGAGATCTCGTGTTGCAACCTTACGTGAGCTGTTCGGATCCAAGCGGCTATTCGGATACACTCATCTCGCTCATAATATGAATGATATGCTGTGCCACCACCGCCACATGGCTTAAATCAAACAGTCAAAGTGTAAATAGCTAGGTACCTATTAGGATTAGATGCACCTACCCTATGAGCGGAAGTATCAACAACAATACTTCTCATCTTTCGCGGTTGATGGCGTCATAAATATCATGCCTCGAGCGTTCCAAGCACGGCTCGTTATTTACAATCACTAAGCTGCGTGCGAACCTAATATGCGTGAGAACAACGACGTCGTTGCATGAAGAGCCATCAACAGATCTCTTACAGGCCAAACTCCGATCCGACCAGACCTCTAACATGGCAATAAGGCTTGTCGGTTGGCTATTTTAGAAGCGTAATTGGGGACTATGTCACCTACATGTAGCAACCTAGCTAGCAAATGGAAAAACATATTATTTCTTCACTTACACTTCTACTAGTTCTCACATGAATAGACCAGGCATCACTACTATTAATGCTTAAAAGCGAGGTGTTGCTATGTGTCGAAAATTTTCCCAGTGGATTAGTACCTAGGTAGGGTAGATATTAATTCTAGTAGATAGAAAACTAACCTAGACAACAACGTTATTACCTAAGCGAGGAGTTGTAACCCCTTTTCTTGAAACAACGATATATACATGAATCCCTTTTCATCTACGTTGTTAACCCGACTGTATTGTCGATATATTATGATTATGCAGCAATTACGATTGATGCGTGTCATGTTTTTCATGATATCTAATAAATAGGTACCTAGCTGTGTCGAAAAGAAAGCTGACGACCAGCTGCAGGGAGGGAACCTATCAGGCTGTCAGGTCAAATAATCTTTCGTACCTAGATGCTTACCTAGGTGCCTAACTACCTACCTACGCGTTTAGATTTCTAAGTGTTATATTTTCCATTTTGAGCCCGGCCACGGCTTCAGAACCAAGCCTTTATATTGAAACAATTGCTGTTGATATCACCGACTCACTACAATGGCTCGAGTTAAGACTTACATTCTCGCTCCTAACTTCACGTACAAACCATCCGGACCTATTCAGATTGGCAATATTATCACTGATCCTCTCAGGCCGACAAAGGTGCGTCACATACGTTTCAATCTATGACTTTGATCTTATACCATAGTTGTTTTATGTTTCACATATTAACGCGTTCGCGATACTTATCTAGGTACTCTCGTCATTGTCCACGGATTCTCAACCCGCGATCGAAGTAATAACACAACATGAGTTCGAACTGGTCGACGAGCAGGATCGATCTATCCATGCCGGTGTGTGGAGTACGTTTCTGGAAACAATAGGCGCCTCGCTGGGTGCCGGGCATGAAACAAACCGATCACACACATACAAAGCTACTGAACTCGAGACACATTACCTGCGCGATGAGCCATCTGAGACTGATGTGGCACGGCGTACAGCTGAACCTTCAGTACAAGCCGTTATCCGTGCGGGATGGTTCGGTGCGCGTCCCGTATACATGGTGACCGGGGTGAAGGTTGCGCGAGGGTTCGCTGTGAGTAACGGGATGAATAAGAGTTGGACTACTAGTTCAACGGAACTCTCCCAGCCTCAGAAAGTGTTGGCATAGGTGGGGAGCTGAAAATAGAAAGGAGAAATAAGACGACTTCGGCATTTCAAACCGGGAACGAGGATATTGTCTTTGCATACCAGGTACATGTGATCAAGGAAAAGAGGAAGGGCCACAACACATCCGTTTCGGCGAGTATATTTGAATCAGATGCGGCGCTGCTGCATGACGAAGATAGTAGCCATACTGAAATATTCATGACTCCCGGTGGTAAGGATGACCTCCAAGATCTGTTAAAGGAAATGGGAGAAAATGTTTCTCTGATCTGTCGGGAAGCAAAAGATGGTAGTGAACTTGTCACGACTATTAGTTTAATATAGTCGCAACACTAACCCTTAGGTGCAATATGCTTCGGGAATACAGAGATACGTACATAGAACCAAGATACATCCATGCAGCCGCGAATAAGGGGTCAAGAAAGAGGAATGTTAAAGGTCTGGTTGGCCTGTAGGAGATCGCTGATCTTGGTGATAAAGCAGATACAAGACTATTTCCTGTATTTAACCTCAATCTAGGAGGAGCCTAGTACTCTACGCGTAATAACTTAGTAACCCATCTCTCTTTTATACCTGCCGAGTCTGCACCGTGACAAGCGGGACGGCTGGTCAGATAGACATCACTTAAATCAGACGGACTTTAAATTAAATTGAGGTTAGTCTAGTAGATACTTAACCTTACAATACAACACTCATACAAATCTAAGTACCTTTTGGACCTGTTGCCTCTTACAGAAGACTTTTATAGCTTTGCTACCTACTGACCTTATTTGCCAACATATACTGTAAATAACCTATTCTTCTTTTCTTTTTCTTTGACGAGGACATTGAATTTAGCGAACTTCTCGGGATACCTAATGCTGCAATTGATAACCTTGATACTGAGCCTTTAAGGACATCGCTGGTAACTCTCTTACAGCCGGGAGGCAATAGTGAGGTTTGCAATAAGAAGGATAACCCTAACGGCAACAAATCTAAAAGATAATACTTGAATTTCTATAGGGAAGTGTACTCTAGAGTAAGTATCCATACGACTAGCCTTTATTTGACTGAGAGTCCGTCTGATTTTAGCGGATGTCCGTTTGATTAGCCGTCCCAGTGACAAGAAGTGCTTTAGAAAGGAAGAAGTCCAATTTACATGGAAATGCCTCCCCATACCTTCGGCACTGCGCTTTAATTAAGAAAACAGCCAACGATTGAAACGATACTTCTCTTTTAAAGAACATTTCTCACATTGTCACAAGGTATATTCCTAATAAATTGAGTATACGAAAATAAAGAAAGTAAGAATCTTTATAAATAACGACTACCCCCTAAAAACCAGTATATTAGTTAACCTCTGGTATGTCTTAATTATTACTTGTTTTCTTAATTAAAGTGCAGTGCCAAAGGCACGGCGAGGTGTCACAAGCCAGTGCTAGTAAATGTACAATCATTGTCGGTATTAGTATTGATGGTATGATATAATTATGTCTCATTCATTAATCTCCAACATCCTTGGAAGTTCCCCCCCTTCTTGAAGAAGTAGAGTGGCGATAGAAATCTGGTTCTATTTCCCATATCTTGCGACATCTTGGCGAACAGTGCAACCATTCCATCTTGTGTTCTCAATTTATCAACGCCTAAGGGAGAGCAAGTGCTATGCCTGCGCTGGATAGTTGCAAATAAGAGCATCATAGCTGCAATTCCCGCTGCGATTGCCGTAGCTACAGATGTACCGGATTTTGTGATCTCGCCAATTACATTTGACAACCATGCCGAAGGAACATTTTGTCCTAAAGTCCCATAGACGACTGGGCCATCCATATTGACTGGAGGATTGTTATCAGAGAATTCCCCTTTTGCGTTTGTCTGTCGAATGGAGATAACTGAGCTGTGGCAAGCTGGGAACCACTCTACGTCGTTTCCTCCCGAGTTAGATGCTGCAGCAAAGAAGAGGATACGCCCGGACCGGATTCTGACTGCGTTATAAATGGCATTACTGATTTCTTGGTTCTCCTTTGCGAAACCAAGCGACATTGAGATAATATCGGCCTCGCAATCTTCACTCGCCCATTTGATTGCCTTCATCATTGTTAGCGCCTAAATGTAGACGTGATGTTTTAGGATGCTTGGATACGGGCTGTTAAATGAGAAGAATTATAGAAAAATAAAATGAAATAAAATTATTTGTAGATGGGAATAGATATATTCTTCCAAGAAATCACTTACTTCGCATATAGCCTTGGGTGCGTTTTTCATCCCCTCTGTGTCTCTGGTAATTCTTGCCACATAGAAATGTGCACCGGGAGCAACCTTCATAGCCAGAGCTAGGGTATGTGTTCCGTGGCCGCATTCATCTACTGCACTAGTCTGTTTCTCGTAAAGGTCCTTCCAGCCTTTGACTTGCCGCCTTCGTGGCATATCCTGGAAAAAGGGGGTATCCTGGTCATACCCAGTATCTAGTATGGCGACTCTAATGGGGTGAGCTGATTCGTAGACATCTTGATATTCACTGCGCATTTTTCGATTAATTTCTTGCAAGCACCTAATCCATTCAGTAGATTCACCCGTATCACGATCATATCCATCTACCTTAGTGGTATTTGGTATATGGCCTGTTTGTTGTGGGGGGAGGACCCGTGGGGCTTGTTCTGGTCTAATATCGAAGACCGGGATCATATCATCTATGGTATCCAAAGACTGATAGACTCCAAGTAAGCTGCGAAGTGGTGCTATAACAGTATCATATAATATCTTCCGCCTTTTTGGAATGTCGTGGACCAGGCATTGTGGATCTCCTTCATATCGGATAGTTGGTTCGAATACTCCACTATCAAGACACTTATCGATTGCCTCTTTAAAGTCAGCGTATTCAAAATCCTCGTAACGCCAACAACTGGAATTCTGTATCAAAGCCTTAGCTATTTGCCAATTTTTGTTCATCCTAGCAGGTATTGAGTCGTCAGTGGCCAGTTCGAGACCACGTCCCGTCCCTAATTCAAGCAACGTGATACAAAGATCTAGCAGGCGTGGATATCGGAATATCACAGATGGACACTCGCAATATTCTTCCAGGATTTGGTCGGGTTGATTGAAGTTGATAGAATAATATGGCTTGCAGGCATGTCCATCCTTAGTGAAGTACATGCTATGCTCAGGAAGATTAGGGAAGAAATGAATTGTATCGCTTGACCACCTTGACGCCATCCATGGAGTGTCATAGAATTGCCAGACTGACCTTGCTACAATGTAGCATAGAATTAGCTTTGTCTTACTCGGGAGCCGATAACTCTGGAAGATTTTTCTGAGTGGAATGCTTGGTCCGGGTCTGACGTTCTGTAGAACACCTAAGCTGGACAACTCATAAAGTGTTGACTTTTGAGCTCTCAAGCAAACTCTCGACGCAAGCTCTGACTTTAGAAGGTCACAGAAGTAGCCCGGTCCTAGTTCCGAAGAACGTTCTTGTAATTGGTAATCGCTATTGTCACCAGGAAAGTGGACAGAGCTGTTGTTCTTGTGCCTAGGTACAATCTATTAAACTTTCATGACATCTAAGGGGGTACATAGTTAACAGATGACTCACGTGGCAACCTGCAATTCAACATCCTGCCAGTGACCGAATGATGTATGCATGGATGAAAGGAGCAGATCAAACGCAAAATGCTTATCTTGTTTTTTGAGTGGCCTTCTCAATTGGAGCCTCGCATGATGTCTCTCGCTAGAACCCTGAGGAGCTTCACAGGTGCAGCGAGAATGTCTGTCTAAAACTTTGTGTAATGTGATGTTGACCTCGTCTGGATAGTCATCTACGTCTGCACTAGGATGTATTATCGCACTTTCAAACAATTTGCGATGTTCACCATTCGAAGGGCTCAATCGATTCGCGAATTTCCTGAACTTCTTGATGTATGGCAAAATTTCGTCCTCCGGTGACGCAGCGAACGAAGAAACCCCTTTTTGTACCCTGCTAACAGCTTGTCGTCTTAACTGGTTTGTCTCTGGCAGGATGATGGCATCAAGAACAGATAGTGTGGTGGTTGAGGAGGGGCTAGGTTCAGGCCACTAGGTATAATAACTTCTGTTAGGACACACGTTTTGCGTAGCCCTGGATAGGCAGGCGCGCAGGTGTAGTTGAAGGGCCTTACGTAACAAATCTGTTCTACATAGAACAGAATACTTCGTAGGCGGCGTCGAAAATCATCAGTTACATTCGCTGGTATGGTTTTTGTGATCTCGTAGAGCGATGTAAAAACAGTTGAAGCGGCGCACACTCCTGTAGCAGCTCGACGGTCTGTAGCGTACAGTTGTATGACCACAGGCATAGCGAGGATACAGACAGACTGTATCGCGCGATAAGTGTTTTCAAAATCAGCTCCCGAATCGGGAACACTGCGCAGGTTCGAGGTCATAGTTCACTAAGTAACAATATTAAAGAGAAATAAAAAAATAAGGCATGCATGATCTTTTCTAGCTTTGCTTACCTTTGATCTGACATATGCCTGTGTTACAACGGCGCGACTTTGGATTGGATGTAAGTTTCGACTGAGAACTGCTTCCCCTCATTTCTGGCCACGTGAGAATTCTGATGCTTACAAGGTAGGTAGGTAGGTATGTTGATAATGTAAAATTCAAGAAACCCCTTCCACACACCATCAATGGATGGTAAAGGGCATTCCACCATGGCCGCGCAACCCTTACCAACAGAAGGCGATGAAACTATCTACCAGGCAGCCTTAAGGTGCAAAGATGCTTTGAATAGTTGTCTTGAATTTGACCAGTTAATGCACCACGAGTGGGCAGAAAATAGAATCTTCGATTTTAATCTCTGGGCTGCTGGAAATGGAGTCTTTGCCTTGAATAAGGCGTCCTTAGACCAGAGACTGGCCGGAGAACAGACTACGTTAAACTTCGTTGTAATGCTTTTGACGATGCTTTATCATTGCATTGAGAAATGCAAAGTTTTTGGTAAGAGTACTACTACGTTCATTTAAGCCTCTCTAGTTTCTTATCAGCCGAACCATAACAACCTTTTACTTTAATTCTTTAAAAAGGTTCCAATAATTCATGATATATACTGTATCAAGATACTGACAGTTCTATAGCTAGTGGTAACTCTCAAAGTGAAAGTGGAGATGGCGCTACGTTGCTGGCTGATGAGTTTGCCCATAATAAGCAGCAAAGCCCCGATGAATTTCGAAATATTCCACGGCCCCTCACACCTTGTTCAGACCAGTCATCTGATTCCGAAGATGAGGAGTCAGATAAAAGATCAAATGGTAGTCTTTCGCCACTTTATCTGGCAAAAGAAAGTGTTGTAGACTCTCTTGACAATCTTCTTCGGCTTTGCGCAACGATTCGCAAAGCTGGAGCAAATTTTCGTTTCCAGAAAGCCGATAAATTATACAACCCATCCGAACTTTCAGAGTTCCGACAATATTTGGAAGCTATTATCCACGCACGAGGCTTCTACAAAGGCGGATTCGATCCTAAGGGACAAATTCCTGGTGTTTCCCCCTCTCAAGAAAGGCTCATCGAAGCAAATTTGCGAAGACGAAGTCGCTTTTTATATTTTCAAAAACACTCTGAAAAGCTCGCCCCGAACCATGAACGGTTACTAGGGACGGATTCTTACCAAAAAATTGGTAAAATTGGTACGAAAACTCCTAACGTCGACACGTCTTGTAAAGCTCCTTTAGCTATGGGAGGTACCACCTCAAAAGAAACTCCGTCTAAACCGGGCTCTAGAATTGCACGAACGGATACAACTGCAACCATGCTAGATACAGGTTTTATTCCTGCGCCATATCAAAGCCCACCGTCTCAGGTGACCTCAGCCGTTTCGAAAAAAGTAGAATATCCAAAGCCTCCTCTTCGTAAGGATGACCTGCGATCTTTTAAATGTCCATGTTGCGGACAGACGTTACCAGCTACGACCTATGAGAAAAATAATTGGAAGTAAGTGGCTATCTATATATGGATATATTCGTGCTAAATCTAACCGAATCATACACAGAAGGCATCTTATTGACGACGTACAGCCGTATACATGCATCGCCGAAGAATGTCCCATGCCTCATAAATTGTACACTCATAAGGAAGAGTGGATGGATCATCTTCGAGAAGACCACCCTAAGTGTTGGCACTGTCCTCTTTGCAGCACCCCACGCACGAAAGCATTGATATTCCCTTCCGAAAATGGGTTATCGCAGCATATCAGGGAAGCGCATACGGATGCTGTCTCAAGTAGCTTATTACCGACATTAATTACCGCGTCGGTAAGGCCAAAGCCATTTGGTATCACTCATTGCCCACTGTGTGATGAAATTGGTGAGGTAGACTCACACCATCTGTTGGATCATATTTCCGAACATATCCATCAATTCTCTCTGGAGTCCTTACCATGGCCCGATGATCCCTTAAGTGGGGATTACTTTGAAGAAGGAAAAAACGTATATTTTGACAATATGTCTGATGACTCGTTGAACGGGGATGACATCCCAAGACATCTTGGTTCTGATTTTGAAGGCTTGTCATCCATATCATCAGACAAGGAAGATGCCCCAAGGGAACGAGTGCTATTAGCTGAGGAGGTAGTATTGGAGGTTAGGACACCAGACTTGACCTACGATCATGTTGAAGGCTTGAATGATACCATACAACATCTTGCAAAGATACCCGAAGCTGAGCACAGTAACATTTGCCATGACCGCGGCGACAGTGCACACCTTGAGAATTCCTTGGGTCCCTATCCACCAGATATAAATGATTATCCTACCCAGAGCACAGATGAATTGCTCGCAAAAATTGGCACAGGTATTGATTCTCAGGATCCCTATCACGAGTTTTCCGACATTCCCTGTGTGAAAGGTCAGGATAAAACACTTGAAGAACAGCTGCGAAATGCGACTCGGAGGTATCCCAGAAACAACGGTCAAAAGTTCATCCCAGTTGGCGACTTTGACAAGATCATTACTCGGGAGAACGTTCGAAGGGAAGTCCAGTCTTGGTTACCAAAAGATAGAAGCCTTGAGGTCTGGGTTGAAGCAATATGGGATAAGTTCGATTACGATGAACATGCTGCCAGAAGACGGAAGGCATTTACATCTCGGAGGAAGATTTTTGCCATCCTAGTCCTCTTCAAAGCGCAAACGAAGATAGCGTTATTCATTCGCGAAGAACTATATGACAAGGATCTTCCTTTTGTGCAGAACGAAGAGAACAAATGGGTGCATTATTCTCTCAAAAGTCAGAATGAACAACGCCTTGTCGAATGCCTGAACCAATTGGAAGTGCACGATGCAGATAGCTTTGACAATTATCAATGGCTCATGCTATCTCCAATCTTCAACATGGCTGAGGACAAAGTCATACACTATGATCTACATGCCCGTATTACTCTGCCGTATCTGGAGCATGAGTTGGCGCATGATCCTGGGTTGATTGGTGTAAAAGGTGATGTATCACGTATCAGGATACATGAATCACATTACACATTGGGTTCGTCGATGAAAGACCCAGTAAGCTTCTTACCCGCCATATAAACCTTCTATATGTAATTACCTGATATTGACCTAAGATAGTCTGAGTATTTCGCCATTAAACAACTATCGTTTCCGGACAAATCCCGATTTGACGCTAAAGTCGAGTCCTTAAAGAGGTTCAGCTGCAGTAACCACCCGCACTTGATAAAACTTCTTGCAACCTACCAATATAAGGAGAAACTCTATCTCATATTCCCATGGGCTGATGGGAACCTTAGAGATCTATGGCGGATGAACTCAAAACCTGTCCAAAACTATTCAATGTGCCGATGGATTGCAGATCAGTGTCGAGGGATAGCAAAGGGGTTAAGGATGATCCACAACAATGAATTCAAGCCTAACATGACCTCGTTACAGCCGAATGAGAAGAAAGTGGAGAGGCATGGCGACATGAAGCCTGAGAACATACTTTGGTTCAGAGGACCTGGAGACAACGAACAATTCGAAAGTAACATGCTGAAAATATCTGATTTCGGACTTACACGATGGCATGGAAACATGTCGAATGATGAAACAGATCTACACAAACTAGCCGTCTCTAGAAGTTATCGAGCTCCTGAGTACGACTTGTGGAAACCAGTATCTCAATCATGGGACATCTGGTCCCTAGCATGCGTATACTTAGAATTCATAACCTGGTACCTTTGTGGGTGGAATGAGGGCGTCGACGAATTCTCGAAGGATCGAACCAAGGAAATCTCAACCTTGACCCGAGAAGGAAATCGTGCTATAAGCGAGGATGATTTCTTCAACCTTGTCGCGAAGCACGGGTCTACTGCCAACTCGAATGGAAAATACGAAGCAAGCCTGAAACGTAGCGTAATCTCTGTAGGTTCCCTTTTCCATGATCGTCGCACATGAGGAGCATGCCCTAATCATCATAGTGGATTGACAAGCTGCATGCGACTGAAGGATGTTCACAATTTATACACGACTTTCTGGACCTCATATCAGACACGATGCTCCGCATTCGTTCCGAAAAACGTCATAAATGCGAGGATATTGTCAGGAAATTAGACGCCTTGTGTAACAAGTGCGAGGACGAAGTGTATTGCTCTAAGAGCAGCCCCTGTGTGCGCAAGAAAAAGAGAAACGACTCCGACCCTCCTCAACCTTATGATATAGACACCATACAAATGGCGGACTGATCTCTGGCCTTTTCCTCCTGGGGCTCGCTGGGCGTTTTGAAATATTAGAAGAAGGCGGACTCGAGGATTTTCCTGGTGGAGATCGGCTGGCTAGTGCTTACGCCAACTACTTAGAATGATGCTAGGTGAGGGCTAGGAAGTGGAGGATGGATATTTCTTATGTCAAGTTATACTCTAGCTATGTCTGTCTTCTCAGAGAGGTACTCTAGACATCTAATGCGCCACTGATGCACACCGCTCTATATTCTTAGGTAGTTATGCTATATCCTATTGACGCAAAAGCGCCCATTGTCACTATAATCATCATCAAAGGAAACAGTAAAATCTCTTGCATGAACGGGCAACGATAATCACAACCATGGAGTAGGGACCGAGGAAAGCAAAGCACCTTTGTCCGCCATAATCATAGGGATCAATTGAATGAGTAAGATAGACTTTCGCATCCCTAAATATGATTAGTTTTGAGCCCTTTACGTAAAGGTGTAATTATTTCTGGGCATGTTGGATCCGCATCATGTCAACGACGACTGGAGGAGGAAAGGACGACACAGGGAAGTTTCAATTTCTTTGATTAAGGATCATTGAATTCGAAATATACTTACCTAGGTACGTAAATCTAGGTACTATTGCTGTAGTATCAGCGAAGCCATGGGATTCTTCTATAATTGTTGTAGTCTAGCTTGTATCTACTATCAAGGTTTAGCTTATAGAAGCTCTTCTTATGACACCTTTTAAACTCAGGGTATAGTTTAGTGTTGGATGATTGCGAAACGGTTGGCAACGATGTTATTGTCGAAATAGATATTGGTACATTTATTATAATGCCTCCATTGCCCAACACCATAGATAGGTACGAATGCTTCAAGAAAGGGATAATGCGATACGTTCTAAAGATTCTTAAGGAGCTATTCCACGCCAATCAATAGCTCTTTTTCTTCAATTCCCTACTTGTCCTTGACTATTTGCATCCTAACTCGTCAGCCGGCGAATTTTTTAGGATATTCGAATCATTCAAAACGATATGGATCCACCTCATAAAGTAGCTGGCCGTTTCGATGATAAATTACTCGTGGCGTTGGATAGTCCGCGGATCTTTTGTATTGTGCCCTACCGTCGACACAGTGTTAGCTACACCAATAACACAATGCACCGCGAGAGTACTCACGTGGGTTAACTTTGCTTTAGACTTGATGTTATATACATTATGACGCATCTGGCGCTTTGTAAGTCCCGCTGAAATATAATAATGGGAAAAAGTACTTCTAGTTCAAACTCCCCCTTCCCGACATCGCTGGTCAATATATCGTTCAGTTCTCCGGGGTTGGGGATATATTTAGAGGGAATAAATATATGGATATCGAAGCCCGTCGTGTCCATTACTCTGCATGCAGTCGCCTTGGTAGTTATCGCCATTAGAATCAATGTGGGGAAAGGTCATATAATGACTGGCGAGTTATAACTGCAACAATCCAAACAAAAAGGTGAAGATTGGTATAAAACGGAAGAGTTCGTAATGACTCGTAGTACCCATCTTCACCCAGGAGATTGGACGGGTTTATGAATTATCCTGGTTGTCACTTAGTAGGTACTTACCTAGGTTGGTAAGTACCTGGTTTGGGGGCAGGTCAGTCGATTTTGTCGGACTTTTCCACACGATGTCAATTTCCATTCGGTGTGTCGAATATTAATTATAGTTCCCTAAAAGGCGAATGGTTTCAAATGACGCCCATACTGACACAGCCTTAACCTTGAGGTCAGCCCCCTTTCCTTCCACACCCTCACTGAAAGTCCTAGAATTTCTAAAATAGTACCTCATGTGTCAGATGTAAGAGATTTATTACACTTTTGGGTAAGATAGAATTAATGGGATGCGACTGGAATGTTTGCATTAAGCAAATATTGAATGCATTAGCCGCAAAGGGGCTGGCTGAGCGGACATGCACTTACAAAGAGGAGGCAAATAATTGCGACCGGCATTAGAGTCAGCATGGTCAGCTTTCTTCGGCTTTTTGTACATCTACTTTATTCACCGGTCGATTTTGTAAGGGTGGGGTTACATCTTTGGGCGGAGGGTTGGCTTGGGATGTTCAAGTGTTTCTTTTAATAACGACCATCCTACAAGTCGTTCCCTAAAACGAGTCAGCCTCGGCACCTGTCGACAAGGATAAAGTGATATTTTGGTCGTTGAACTTTAAAATCAAATAAAAGGAATAAAAGTAACTAGTCCTGAATGTATTAATCCGTAGTATAGGTAGAAGTAGGTGGCTAAAGACGGATTAAGTATTTATTTACCTACCTACCTATGTAGGTAGTAATCATTTATGCATGTTAAGGTACCTATGTAGGTGCTGCACACCATATCCCATTGGTTGGCACAAGACTACAACTTCAGCGGATTTTGTAACTGTAATGCGGACGGTCGCTGGAGTCTACTGGGACCCTCAAAATCTTAATTCTAGTTGGCTAGATTCGCTTCACAATTGCTTGAAGAGCCTCAGTGTTTACTGGGCTGTCCCACCAAGCAACTATCACCATGTACACTACCCGTTTTGTGAAGAATATAGTCTTGTGCCAACTAAGGAGATATAGTGTAGCGTTATTTGGTAGACCTTAACAGTTAAACGTACCAAGTTACCTACTACCTAGGTACCTTAGGTAGGCATGCTCTGACTTGGGTGATATATTTCGAACCTAAGGCTGAGAGTGGCTAAGTAGTACGTAGGGGCGACGTACATACTTCGACCTGGTATGCCATTCCTCACAACCTCTTCTTCAATTGGCAAACTCCTGCACCGCCTAAGTGACCCGCATGATCTGTTTCAATTCCCCAAATAGCTAAAAGTGAGGTAAGATGGCTAAGGCGGAAAATCCTTTTCTTCTGCCTGGCAGTTCAATTCCGACCACTTTCTATCTGGAGAAATATTACGGCACGGCTGAAAAGTACGACGTGTAGCACGGGAAATGGGCGTTGACATACTCCATGTGCCTACTAAGTAGGTATCAGCCTGTTTAAGCCTACTTCTATCTCTACGAATAGCCGTAAAAATGAGATCTAGTCTGCATGGTGGCTGCATTATCTTGATTAGAAAGTAGGAGAAAAACTAGCATAGAGCTAATAACACGTAGTCGCTTGTTGCCCGATATAGCTGTCAAGTAATCTTTAAGCGCGCTCTGACCGAAAATTGAAAGGCTCTGAGTGCTTTACAAGATATAAGTTTCTCCTTAAAACACAAGAAGGTGGTTGGATTTGGGGGATATTGTATAATAAAGGTACTACATTAAATATACCTTGTTCCTGCCTATGGATTACTTCAAAATTTCCTTTTAATTATCACGCAAAACTGATCGCATCACTAAGCCTTTCAAATTTTGCAATATACTGACTCCAAAAGAATGGAACATGAGCGAGCAAAAGGTAAGTTTAACAGATAAACAATCCATTACTATTGTAGTGACCTTAGGAAGCATTCGCCTTTCTTAGGATACTTTCAAGACCAAAATAGACTGACCGAACTCTTTGCAGGCGCCAAAACAGACACGCCCACCGTCTTTAAGCGAAGCAACGTCATGGAGGGATCAGATTCATCAAAATTCAGAGCTGATTATGAATGGATCTCAAAAACCGTTAAATGAGTGCTCTGATGGATTTCTAGAGTATGAAGAATATAATTCCTCGAGGTTATCTGAAGCCTGCCATAGCAGTTCCTGCCATGACCATGGTGACAGTGCGCACCTTGAAGAGGCGACGGCCTACCCTCATAGGGACGCGTATGCGATCCAGAACAGAGATGAAGCGCTGACAGAGATTGGATCGGGTGTGAATACCTCCTTAGAGGAAAATTTGCGCAGAGCAATCAAGCATCCTAGAGAGGATGACAGAGGATTCATCCCAATCAATGACTTTGATGAGATCCTCACTCGGGAAAGTGTCCGACTGGAACTCCAATCCTGCTTGGAGAAACTGTCTCCAGAGAAGGATCTAGAGACCTGGATCAGTCAAGTCTGGGATATATCAGAATGCACTGACAATGATCCAAAACGGAAGATAGCTACAACTCGAAGGAAGATGTTTGCTGTATTAGTTCTTCTCAAGGTTCCGGAGAAGATCCAACTGTTCATAAATGAAGGATTTTGGGATAAAGATCTCCCATTTGTGAGGTCTGTTGACCAGAAATGGACGAGCCAGGCCAACGGACATCAGTGCAAGGCCCGCATCGTCGAATGCCTGAATAACCTAAAGGATTGGAAAAATCACGAGGTGGATAGTTTCTTTAACTATCAGTGGCTTGTGTTGGCCCCAATATTTAACATGGCTGACGAAAAAGTCATGTTTTATCACCTTCATAGGTCTATCACCTTACCCTTTGAGAGCGAAGACAGTGGCGTCGACAATGAAGACGATGACTTCCTTGGCGGTGGATACAGTGACGTAACGCGCGTCTCGATCCACCCCGCACACTATAATACAGGTATGTCAAGGCAAGAAAAGGTATGCTTAAGTTTCTCAAAGTTCACCTTATATATTTCTGTACTGAGTCAATTCAATAGGAAGTCTTTGCAATTAAAAAGTTGCGCTCAAAGAACAAGAAGCAATTTGATTCCGAAGTTGAATCCTTGAAAAGATTCAGTAACGGCAACCATCCACATTTAATAAAGCTTCTTGCTACATATCGCCATGGCCAAGATTATCATCTGATATTCCCCTGGGCCGAGGGGAATCTCGTAGACTTTTGGAAGAGGCACCCAAAGCCGTATCGAACTTACACGTGTATCCTCTGGCTTGCAGCCCAATGCAGGGGGATTGCAGAGGGTTTGAGGATGATTCATGATGGAGACTTTGGGGATTCCTCGCTGAGTCTCAATGACGTCAAAAAGGGCAGACATGGCGATATAAAGCCAGAGAACATACTTTGGTTCAAGAACTCTACTAGCACGGACACAACAGAGACCGACGTACTGAAGATTTCCGACTTTGGGTTGACACGCTGGCACAGAGACATATCAAACAATAAGAAATATGCGAATGGGTTGCCTGTCTCTCCAACTTATCGGGCCCCGGAAAATCATCTAGGCCATCCAGTCTCTCAGCCCTGGGACATTTGGACCCTAGCATGCCTTTATCTACTTTTTCTGACTTGGTATCTTTGTGGGTGGGAGGAGGGTGTTGATGAATTTTCAAAGCAGCGGACTGCTCAAAGTTCCTCTTATATTCCTGAAGACAACTTCTTTAACTTGGGCCAAAAAGGGACAGGATCGGAATATGGAGCCAGCCTTAAGGATTGTGTTGTTGCTGTGAGTTCCAAATTACCTAATATTATTCTTCACAATGAACTTACCACATTTTCCTCAGTGGATCAACAAACTCCACACGACTGAAGGATGCTCCTTGTTTATCCACGAGTTTTTAGATCTCATATCTGATGATATGCTTCGTATTAGATACGATAAGCGGCATAATTGTGGAGATATATTAGACAGGCTAGACAACATGTACAAAAAATGCGAAGTCGAAAAATCCTATTGTTTCGAAAGCGCCCACGACCAACCGAGAAAACGGAGAACGAATGACTCTGATCGCCAGGATCCCTGGGATACATCAATAATTAAACTCCCTGAGAGTATCTCCGAGCAAAACGACAGAATATATGGCTGTGAAAAGGGAAATGACGAGCGAGGAGACGAAATCGGTCGAATCAAAGCCGATTCGTATATTAATAGCTGGGAACATAATCAGAACGTCTGGCGGAGAACTGACTACGACCATTCGAGCCCTTCAGCATCCCTGGAACCCAACTCACAACTGACCGAGAGCCCAGTGTCGAGATATCCGGCTCCTTGCCCTTCTCCAGTAGGTAGCTCTCTTGTTGTGAGTCGGTTAAAGAACACAGAGTTCTCGAGAAATCAGAAGCAGGATATCCCGGAAGAGGATTTCGAAGGGTGCGGGGTTACGCCATCCAACACAGGTTCTATCAACATTGTAAATGCAAGTTCACATACAACAATCAACGGCAGTGAGAGCCCTGTCAGAACAAACCCGCAAGACGGGAGCATATCATTTTATCCCCAGACACCAAAGCGCATGGCTTCTAGTCATGATACTGAGGTCGAAGACGATTTGGGATCAGGACGATCACTTCAACAAAACGAAGTAATTCAATTACATACGCCAACAATCTTGAAGCCTGAAGATAACCGGCGGGATGACGAGGAGAATTTTGAGAGGTGGCCTAATTCAAAATCCAAGCGGCTGTTTAAAAGGTTGAAACACTTATTCTGCTTCTAGTGGGAGCACATTGGCCCCGAAAACAGATATCGGGATGGAGTTCTATGATGGAATGCCATGAATCCCCCTGTTTGTTCCTTCGGGTCTTCGATATTTCTGTTCTTCTTATGATATATACACATGTCCCTTCTAAACTAGCATAATAGACGGTAGGCAGTGAGAGCCTTGCGGTATTAAATGATAGAATATGATAAACTTTGAAGATATTTACAGACGTGCTTTATCAGGTATTGTTCTAGGTGAGGCTGTGCATAGCACATATCGTGAAACCACACAATGTAACCTTATATCAAAGTGAAGAGGTTGTAATAGGTGCCTATATAAGATATTTCTTACTTGCATAGGTGGCTTGCATATGCTAACCAGAGAGCAGTGCTATCCATGATATAAATCTTGATCACATTTATATCGTATCAGCCTAAAGTTGCATCTTCAGTCTGTAAGGCTTTCGGGCTTTACGAGGTACCTTGACACAAACCCGATGAGAGAATTACGGATCTAGGCTTCTATGGCTTGAGAACGTGGAAGAGGCAACTTAGTGTGCCTGAATCTATCTTTCCATTGATGCCTGTATTGGCTCTATAATGGTTCTCGTCCTACTCTAAGCAATAATAAAGCCCTCTTATGATCCGCGGCCTATGTCTCTAGCTCCCGCAACCGGAAGGGGCTTGTCCTGCCTTAATATTATATTTAAACACAGTCGACATTGCCGCAAGTCTAATCTCAACCTTTAGCAAAAGACATCGAAAAGAGTTTCTAATTAAATTGATTGATCGCTGACATCCCGCCTAAACGATGGCATCCAATGCACCATCCATTCATATTTCCCCGCCAGATAGCAAGATAAACTGCAAGACGGCTTCTCAGCAAACAAGTTTCGCTTCTTCTGATGCAGACCTTGATTCATACAACTCTCTCAGCAGTCTCCTAATTGCTAAACTAAACAGACACCCGGAAGAAGATCATTTTCTTACCTTACATTGCCTACAAGTCTTACTTTCGAAGCCAAGGGTTCAAAGATATATCGTGGAACTTCATGATAAAGCTCGCTCATCAGGCTATGAACCTATATTTTCAGACATGGATTATTACATAGGAAAAATCTGCGATGCCACACAGCCCATGACGTTCATTCGGGTCTTTGCAATCCTAATTCTTGCCGACAAAGAAATGACTATTTTTGAGTTTGTCGACAATGGTATATGCGACCAGGAACTACCAGTGACTGGTGGTCGAAGTCTTGCCCCATTGTCACAATCGTTTGATTGTATTAAGACGTGGGGTCGTCTACAGCAAGAAGCATTTGACAAGTGGCTTTGGAGGATCGATGTGCCCTTCTTGACAGACGGACAAGACATAATAAAATTCCATCGTCGTGCTGTGCTACCATTCATTACTCGATCTACAGAACAGTCGAATGGCCTGGAGGATTCGGACTATTCAAGAGTTGAGCCTTATATGCCAGGAACTGGAGGGTACGGAGAAGTCTCTATTGTGGAGATACATCCGAAATGTCACAACTTTCAATGTAGACCGGGATTGGTAAGTAACAACCTCTTGCTGGGGCAATAACTTTGTAGCTTACATGTATACAGCAGTTACATAGACCAGAGGGTCCATTTGCGCTCAAGAAGCTCCATCCTACAAGGAATCGAGATATTGAAAAAGATTTCATGAACGAAGTCAAAATGCTTAGGACGTTTAATGGCAACGTTCATCCACACATCGTGACCGTCCTAATGGCATTCAAGCACGGGGATCGTTGCTGTTTTCTTTTCCCGTGGGCCGACTGCGATCTTTTGACGTATTTCGAAACAAAAACCATGCCAGATATGAATATCACAAACTTCCATTGGGTTGCCGAACAGACTCTCAATATCACGGAGGCTGTCCACCACATTCACTTCCCTCCTGGGGTGGATAGCCTAAGTCCAGATATGAAACTTTATGGCCGACACGGTGACATAAAGGCAGAGAACATACTCGTTTTCAATGAGAAGAATAATCCGCTTCTTGTCCTTTCAGACTTCGGACTTGGTTCCATGCACCATGACTGGAGCAAGTCGATGGTTCCGAATCGGCAAATCCAAGCAACCCCGGGGTTTCGGCCACCCGAATGTGATATGGAAAATGGCCACATCAGCAGGGCATTTGATGTTTGGACTCTAGGATGTGTCTTCCTTGACATACTGATATGGCTTCTCGGCGGCGAGACTCTGAGACGTAGTTTCGAGTCAGATCGAATGGCGGCGAGTCACCCCCAGGGACTCCAAACTCCTACCTATTTCGAGGTCATACAGACTGATAATGGAAGATTTGGATTCATCATAAAGGAGCAAGTCAATAAGGTTTGGATTGTCCTTTTCCTAGGATTTACTACACTTGGAAACCTACTAATCGATTGAAGTGGTTTGCCGAGCTACACCGCCATGATCGCTGCACTGACTTTGTCCACGAATTTCTGGAGTTGATCCAACAGAGAATGTTGATCGTTGAGACCCAAAGTGAAAAGAGGGCAAGGACTCATGACCTAGTTGCTAGTTTGAAAACCCTTCGTGACAAGGCGCTACGTGACGAACGCTATTGCCTTGGTGCTAATCCCTATGACCGGCCTAGCAATGTTCCTACGATAGCTGAAGGAATGCTAAGCGAGCACGCTAAGCGTCATATCACGGCGTCTCATGCCATTCCTAGGACAGTCAGTGGTCCTACACAGCTAGCGGAACAAACATTTGAGGAAGGGGATGTGCTTATAAGAGATCTGAGAGATCGGAGAGATCGGAGAATCTAAGATGGGAAGGTCATATATCATTTCGTCAATGCAATAAGCTGTGCAATGTACCTATCCATCCATCAATTTCACGCTTTGTGCAATATGGTCCAAGTATGAAACGAGAAGTCGCAATGCTTCACACTCTACCTATATAACTCATCACGTTTACATAGGGGCCTAATCCCCAGTATCGACGTCCTTGAAATTTGCAGGAGCCTAAACAAGGAGTAGGTTTAGAATCCTGTCTTTCATTTTATTGCACTATCTCTCGTAGTGGTCGGTTTCGAGTGCTGACTGTACATCCTCGGTTTCCGTCTGGTATCCAACATTAGCTTCTGCCGTACAGTTTCTTTTCTCTACCTAGATTGTCTCGTACTGGTGTCAAGGCTCGCGGTATCGTGCAATGGAACCGTCCTCGTTCAAACTATAGAAGGGATGTAGTCAGATTCGGCATCTTGAAGAGGAGCTGAATACTATTGTATGGTTTGTGAACGCACCCGTATCTGAATTGTTCCTGTTGGAAATATCTTTCTCAATTGTCCGTATAGCGATACTTCGTCGGTATATCTCGCCCGGAAAACCGATACGGCGGCCATGGTTTGGAATTAAGCCGAAGTTCAAGGTAGTACGCGGCGCACAATAGCGATATGCACAAAGTTTCGGTCAAGACAAGGTTGAGTTAGGAATTGGACTTTGGATGGCGGTCAGAGTCAGACGTCGCTGCCGAAGAAGCAAATTTGATTCTGCCTTATAATATGCCTTGTAGGTACCTAGCCTATCGGTTGGTACTTGTACTTCCTGAGTACATTATCCGATAATCGGCTACATGTAACCTTGAAGTAACCTTGCATACACTGCCATTAAATGATTGGGTGATAATGCCACATTAGGCAGTAATTCGATACCACGAGAAAGAAAAAGAACATGAAAATTATGAACTTTAATTAATTTGACTGTCCTTGTCCTTAGTATTAACAAAGTAATTGGAGCCACGATGTTGGTATCACTTAGGGTAGCGCGCTAGTGGTGTGGGTTGGGGTAGATTAGGATAATCTACCCCAAGTGGCACGGGCCACATGAATTGTGGCTCGTTGGTCAGGACCACGTGGTGTAGTCCAGTTTGAGTCCGTTTGTTAAGGCTCAAGTAGCGCCAAGGCGCTAGACCTAAAACCGTTATACTAAGCTTAATTGAGTAATTCTAGCCTTGCTGCTTTATAGATTCGAACTTCACTCCTACAACTTTTGGAATGGGATCAGGCAAAGAACTTACGCCTCAACTAAGGTCTCGTATTTGTGAGTTATATGCTACAGGTTACGGCCCAGCCGCTATTAGTCGAATCTATCCCGAAATACCACTTTCTACAATCAAACCAACCCTTGCACGCGAAAAACTACGCGAAGACAACGAGACCAGGCCGCGCCAGGGGCGAAAAAGGAAGATCACGGAAGAAGATCGAGACCACGTATACGATATCGTGAATCATATAAACCCTCATATTGTATTACGGAAAGAATTCCGAGCTATGGGCAGGTGCTTGCGCCACACAAGCTGCGGCTTGTCCGTAGGGACCAATTGAAATAATGTTTAATGTCAACAATAGGTCGCATGATATTGAATTTTTTAACTGGAATATTATTCAATATAAAACGACCAATACAGATCTTTTATTAAGCCGTACCATTAAATTATTCCACGTAAATATAATAAATATATAAACCATCAAAATAAAAGCTTTGAGTGTTAAAATTGAAAGATCATTAAGAACCTTCAAGTTGAAAATCGTCGGACTTCAATACTAATAGGGTTGTAAACTTACCTACTTTTTCGAAATTCCTTGCTGCAAGCAATATCGGTTAAGGGAAGTGGGCTGTGTCCTGCACTGCCCACCATATACCAATAAAAAATTTTTCATCAACCGTCGGACATCAAAAGTACACCTACACATTCCTTTCGAAGCCTAAATTTTGGAGAGAAGAAAATGGATTGGGCGCATGACAATATTGGCATAAGTGAAAAGGACATGGAAAAGGTTTTCAAATACCGGCCCAACAACATGTGTACCGTGGTGAGATTAGGGAAACCAGATACAGTAATTCCGTGTTGAATACCCTAATACTTTTGATTATATACTAAAACAAGGCCGTAGGGGGTTCAAGTATATCCATTTGCAACAAATCAACAGTTGGAGAAATGGATGGACACGGTATACTTAATCAGCGATGGTTGACCGAAGGTATCTTATATGCTAATATGGAGCAGGAATTCCTCCCACCTAGCGAGATGAGGCCAGGGCTTGTGCTTGTGTGAGTATAAGAGAATAAAGTTGACAAGATATGGTGCTAACTTCTTACAGGCTTGCAAGTAGAATCTGTAAAGAGAAAGAACCGGATGCATGCTACGGGAACGATCGAAAGGGGATTGAGAAGAACATCTCGACGCCTAATTCGCAGATAACTCTGGATTTTGCCATCAAGAATGGCTACAGTTCAAATACTCAAAAGGAGTTTCTACCAAGCCAAGGTGGAAGTCGCAAAGCTAGCATTCTGCCGTTCTCGCGCAAAACGTTCGAATCGATATCGCAAAAACTCTGCATACACGGTTCGATAGCACGAGTTATAAATCGGTCCGATGTACCTACTTTCACTCGAACGCAATTATATATGACACTGCCTAGTAATGGGCTTAGTCTTGCATACGGTAAGTTACTATCGGGCTGCACATAGCACTCAATAACTCACAAGAAATCAACTTAGTATACAATTGTCGGACGTCAAATGCATGGGATCTGGATCTCGCTCTGACTGTCACTCATTTCCCGCGCTTCAATTCGACATACGCTGTTCTATTTGGTAGTTCTATTTCGACTGAAAAAGAAGTTATCAGACGACTGAAGTACTCGGGCGTAGAAGCTAGCTACCCTATGTTACTCCCTGGGATATTTGCTGAACTTGAAAGAGACCGGCACTTCATGATATTTGAGAAGCACATGAACAACATCGAAGAGGAAATATCGGAACTCGATTACCAACCATCTGCGGAGCAGCAAATAAAGGCCACTAACGACGAGAGCCGCAGAAAGACCAAGAAATCACAGTGGCTCGACACACTGTATTTGAAGAATGGCCTAATCTCGTGGAACGCGCAGTTATCCAAAATGGCTAGTCACACTGACGAGCTCAGAAATATTCTAATTAAACCGAATGAAGGTGAAGATTGGATCAAAGAAGACGTAGAATGCGAACTGCAGAGGCGCAATATGAGGAGTATAGGAGACAAAGTTAACGATCGTCTGTTAATTATCATAGAAGAATACGAGGAGAAAATTCGAGAGTGTACTATGCGAATCGATGGGATGATGGTAGCTACACAATGGGTTCGACTAGACCCCCTTTCCCCAACTCCCGCTGAATTCGATGATTTCGCTAACATGTAGGTTGATAGTCCCATGGGGAAACAAATGTTGAAATAGCCCTGGCAACAGGGCGGGATTCGAGATATATGCGATCTATCGCTGTAGTAACCATGGTCTATCTTCCAGGCACGTTTTGTAGTGTAAGTACTCAGCTATTCTTTGACCTCGACCCCTTGGGTTTCTACGGAAAATAAGCCAATAATCACTAAAACAAGGCTAATCATTTGCAACAGAGCATATTTTCTACGCAATTATTCAACTGGTTTCCTGGTAAGGGTGATCTTGTCGTCTCACCTTATCTATGGATTTATGTCTTGGCCGCTGTGATGGCGACCATACTAACCCTTGGAGGATGGTATTGGGTATCATGCCGCAAGAAACGGCGGAAGATCACTTCTGAGGATGATTTGATGGCTGATTAAAACCACTCTTGGGCTAGGAAATGCTTTGAAGGCCTCTTTCAATATCACTAGTTCCCACATGGCGCAGTGGTTAAAGCATCTGGCCGCGCATTAGCGTACGACTACGTGAAGCGAGTGGGTTCGAATCCCGCTGTGGGCTACTTAACCAAGGTCTGACTTCAGGTTTTTTTATCCCGCTTTAGGGCTTGCTGGACGTTGGAGGGTAGATTTGAGACGTTAGAAGAAGGTGGGCCCGGAGTAGGGTTTTTCCTGAATATAGTCGGCTAGCTAGGGCTGGTGCTCATTGGCTAGAGTAATGCTAGAGGCAGGAGTGGAGGGATAAAAATTTCCTTGTGTCAAGCGGAACTCTAGCTCTGCCTATTATCCAGAGGTACTCTAAACGTCCCATGCGTCACCGATACGCGCCGCTATGTGTACTTAGTACTGCTATAGCCCCTGGATGTAACAAATTCATCATCATTATTATTAACATCACTAGTATCAGGAAATGTTTCGTACTGTTTAATGCTGAAAGATACAGTATATGGGACTTAGAGTGTGTTCATTGACTTATCTAACTAACTATTGAGTGATGAGGGAAGTCATGCTTATATACACGTTCCTGCCAAGATGCCATGTACTGTACCTACCTGAAGGTAGTCCCTTGACTTCCTCATTCAACATATAAAAACGAAAGAAAGAGACAGGCTATGTATCAATAAAGGCATGGAGTAAACCCAGAATGAAGACATGAAAAAGATACCTGACACCTTGTTAAAATAGACACAGGTTACGAATATCATTGGTGTATATCAAAAGGTCAAGTTACTAGAAGTAGGTACAGGGCGTAGACTCCCAGCCTCCTAATATTCCAGCATGCTAATACCTCTTCTAGGACATATTAATGGAAATGGCATGGTGTTGGTTATGATTTACCTGGCTACCTAGGTAGGCTTGTTTCAGCATATACCAAGGAACGGGGTAGTATTAGAAAGGTCGATAACATTCGATTATATGCTACTATAAGCAAGGCGTTGCAGATAGAAGCCTTTAACATCCATCCAGTCCAGGTGTATAGGCAGTTAGTCAGTACCTAGGTACGTATGGGAGATATGCTTGATAGTATGCTACGTGGCCATGAATGAGAAACTATTTGTTTACTTAGTTACTGACCTACGTGTGTCATTGTTGTTCAGTTCCAAATTGTGTTTAACATTTTCGCTTGATTTATTACTACCTAGGTACCCAAGTACTTCCTGCTACCTACCTAAGTATTCTCAATACGGTTTTCAGGGGGAACATAAACGTAGGAGTATAATATGATTCGAGATTTGATTGCAGTTCTTCATTACTTCGGATTCAAGTATTATTACCTAATTACTTGGAGTTTTGACTAATATAATAACTGTTTACCCTTAAGAATGAATGTATCGCTCTAGATGAGGTTTGGAGTTTATAACTTATCGCTTGATACTTAGGCTAATGTATAACTGTTGAACAATTAGATTCCTGCTGTCGTTGTAGATGTTTTCCACCTTTTACGTTTGTTTAAGCAACTATCTACTTGACGCATGTTGGTACCTACGCCGCATACCAGTAACTTGGTACCCAATCACATTTGTTTCTTCAACTTCAACTACCTAATTGGTCCTTGGTTCCGCAAAAGGTAATATTTAGATCTAACTACAATAGAACCTTGATATGCATTGGTATTCGATGTATAATGTTGGTCGAAAAACCTCATCTTATGTTAATCCTCTTTTGGTGGCCATTGTGATGGCCGAATTATGCGGGTTTATTACAAATACGCATGTTCTGTTTATAAGACTGCTATTATTCTCTTCTAGAAAACCACTAAGTTAGTAAGACAGGCATTAATAAGATATCGACTAAGATGGCCTGAATTCAGTCACCATCAACGGCGTTAAGTAAGAGGTTTGGAGAATCTCAGTCTCCACCGACGCTATCGTTCGCGATATCTCCGGACTATTATTAATAAGCGATATTACTAGCTGCCGAAAACAATGCTTGGTGGGGGTCTTAACGCCATCGATGACGCTAGTCATCGGGTGCCTACCTTTCCGTTGCGTACCTAGCTTGCTACCTAGTACTTAGTATTCGGCGATAACGTTACTTATTACCTATTGCCTATACTCAAATTCTGTGGATACTTATTTATGGCGTCATCGATGCTATGGCTTCACCATGTCCTCAATTAGTAAAAGTCAATTAGTAAACCGGCAGGCCGGCAGGCTAATTGAATAAAACAGGCAAGGTGCCATTATATGAAACATTCGTACATGCCGAACTGCCTACCAAGGTTCTACATGAAAATTAATAAAAATCGCCGGCTGTCCTCTTCCCCTCATGTCCCGTTTACTTCGTAACTTTTCAACCGTCACTTTAAGAAGCCATCATCAACTACTACACGCAAGAAGAATAGCCACGATGCCTGCCGTCAGATCCGCATATGATCCTAAGGACATGCAGTTCCGCCACCTTGGCCCTACTGGTCTCAAGGTGAGCGTGTTGTCTCTGGGTGGATGGTTGACCTATGGAGGTACCGAGAAAGGCGAAATCGTCAAGAAATGCCTAGAGACGGCTTGGAAGCACGGCATTAACACCTTCGATACGGCAGAGACCTATGCCAATGGAGAGTCCGAGGTTGAGATGGGCCAGGCCTTGAAGGAGCTTGACTGGCCTCGTGACGAGTACGTCCTCACTACCAAAATCTTCTTCGGCACTGGTCGCAAAGAGCCGAACACCCGCGGTCTCAGCAAGAAGCACATTGTAGAAGGCCTCAAGAGCTCGCTCGCGCGTCTGCAGCAACCCTACGTTGACGTAGTGTTCGCCCACCGTCCTGACCCCGCTACACCCATGAAGGAGATCGTGGAGGGATTCACCCAAGTGATCCAAAACCTCAACCTAGCCTACTACTGGGGAACATCCGAGTGGAGCGCAACTCAGATCATGGAAGCTACGCAGATTGCAGAGCGATATAACCTTATCGCCCCGGTGGTCGAGCAACCCCAATACAACGCTTTCCACCGCCAGCGCTTCGAGGTCGAGTACGCCCCGCTGTTTAACCAATTCAAGTATGGTACGACCATCTGGTCCCCGCTCGCCTCCGGGTTCCTGACCGGCAAATACAACAACGGCATTCCAGAAGGCTCGCGATTCGCCAAGCACGGCGACTTTTTCGACAGCACGATTAAGTCGCTGCAGAGCGAGGAGGGTAAGGCGAAGATCGAGAAGGTCAAGAAATTGACGGCGCTTGCCGAGCGCCTTGGCGGATCCACCGCGTCGCTGGCCTTGGCGTGGACCATCAAGAACCCGAACGTCAGCACGGTTATCCTTGGTGCCACGAAGGTCGAGCAGATCGAGGAGAACGTGAAGGCCCTTAAGTTCGTCGAGAAGTTAACGCCGGAGGTGATGGAGGAAATTGAGAAGATCCTTGATAATACTCCTGCGAAGCCCTTCGCGTACGGACGTGAACGGTTATAAGGGGTTTCAGGAGTAGCGGACACGCAAAAATAGACAGCTGCATATCTTGGTAGACAGGGTGAAACCGCATTCGCTGTTAGAAGCATATATATATAACTGACTAGAACAATAAAATAGGGGTTAGTTCTAACACTAAGACACGGGGATAAATATGAAGTATGTCAGCACTTACCAATTAGTTGCTTCAGTAATCCAACATGGATACCTTCCTATGGTATCTCTTAGGTATCAATAACGCCAGAAAACATTTTGTGCCCTCCTTTTCCTTTCTTCTTAGCAAACCCTCTAGACTCTGGAGCCCCAATACCAATGCCAAATCGTTGTCTCGTTTTTCCATCTTCTCGTTCGCTACCATGCTCGTCCCACCATCCCAGGCTAAACCGCCGGGTTCCAAGTAAAGCCTCTAGCTCGCCCTTGGTCATCCACTGCGCATATTCTGGCAGATATTTCCGATTGCAGAACTCGCTGTCGGAAAAAAGAGACATTAGACTGGCAACCGAGAACGGGTTCCGTGGAACCGTGCCTCGGATCTTGGTTAGGAAGAACCCCGAAACCCCTAGCACCGTCATGACAGCGAGTAAGATCTGAAGAACCAGTTTGGATTTGTAGTTGACCCTGAGGCGCGAAACCGTAGTTGAAACTGTACCGGTGAACTTCTGCGTAGATGGGCTTGAGGATTCATTCATCGGGGTTCGGAAAATTGACGAGGTTAAAACTCTGGTCATGTACATTTTGTACATTTTATTGACGGTGTCGGCGAGGAGCTCCGTGTTATTCGGCTCAACCATCGACTCAAGTGAGGGCATGCCGAAACCTCCACAGGCAATATTGAGGCCGAAGGAAACGTTAGCTTGGATCTATTCTATCTGATGGTAACAAAATAGTCCTGTAACTTCGTCTTTGATCTTTTGCGCGTTTTTCCAGTCAAATCTTCCAAACAAGACCGCGACTCCTGGGCAACCGGCTGGATTTGAGGGTTGGGGTAGATTCGGGATATAATCATAAGTGCCGCTCGCCTCCATAAAACCACTATTATTCTCATCCCAAGAGCCCATGTGTAAGTCGTATATGTCTCCGATCCATGATGTATAAGAATCAACCGTGAAAAGTATCTATCTTTACATAGGTACGATCGCCTCCAGGGCCTCCATGGCAGTGTTGAGGAAGAGGATATTTAGCTATAACTTCCACTGACGTGTTATCTTTAAAATTAAATAGGAGTTGAAGGTCGGTGATTGGCTGACAACTTAGTTTTGGTCTTAATAGAGGGACTACCAAGGAATATTGAAAATTGGCCTGGGTTGTTGGATCAGAAACGTTGATAGGCGAGCTGTTAAACTCGGCCTCGAGTGCAGCAAGGTTGGTGATGTCTGGGAATACTGGATCTTCCCAGGTACCCTCAGGGCTGGAGGAATAACTTGGATAAGATTCAATCAAACGTTGTGCGGTCCCTCTGTCGTAAGTACTATTACTCCATGATAGGTTCCAAATGTTGGCAATACGCGGTGAGTCCTGCTGATTTTGGCACGAATGAATCGATCACCCATAGACCCGACACGACAATTGTTAAGGTGCTACCTATTAACCTCGTCTAATTTGATAAAAACGCACCCAAAACCCGGTTTGTGAGTGCGTTGTACATCGCAAATAGTGGCATCATCTGAACCAGATTTGTTAGGATCGATTGTTTTGCCGAGACGCTTTTCGAACGGAAGGCTTGTAGTTGGGGCACTTCCATCAATATTCGAATAATTCCAATTGGTCAGAAGGGTTTCGAGATAAGGCGTCTCATCGAATTTAGTAGTAATCATGACTGGGAAGGTCCCAGACAGCGTAGTAGTTGAAGGGATCAAGAATGTCGTCGATATGACAATGATGGCTTTTAGTATCGTAAATCCAAGTATGGAGGCAACTATGGCCCAGTGTTGATTCTTCAGAGCTCTCCATAAGCTTGTAATCTGTAGAGGTGAGATATAGTCTAGCAATAGTCTTGGATGAAACTGCGGGCCCTCGTCTTATCTCACTCCAAGAGTGACTTAATTTGCACTAATACCTAATTAACCTGTTTCCAAGACAGATGATCATAGCGAGGATAGCTGTTGGGCCGTATGTCCAGGTGTAATGGTTGAATGTGAGGGCCAAGGAAAATCCATTTTCTTGGATGTATGCATCAAAATGATTAGTTACCCAAAATATGTAAAAAGGATAAGAAATCCAATAAAAGTTCTTTCTTGAAGCCAGGATGAAGTCCACAGGGATCGAGAGTCCAAGTCAGGTGTGAATCTTTTGTTGTAATAGAGGTTTGGACCTTGTGGTAAGGAGTAGCATCGTTGATAGAAGTGTTGAGGTTGTTGATTGATCCTCAGCTGTCGAATAAGGGTAACGAGGCTCGTTCATGATGTTATAATTTGTTATATCCTCAATCAAAAATTGGAGGTGGAGTTGCTGTTGAGTCGACGCATAGTCAGTGTTATCCCACTGTTCTGGTATGTTATCTTCGTAACGACGGTGTTTGTCATTTGATACCCCTAACATCACTTTTTGTTAACGGGTGCAATCTATTACCAACAGGCAGGGTGATTATAGAAGCCGGGCATTTAGAGGGAAAGAAATATAATGGATCTACCGAGTTAATGTCCTATTCTTGGAGTCGAGTTGACATTCTTTTATCTATTCTCTCAATCTGCCTAGGAACTAACCGCCACCCCCTTGTTCCTGGAACCAGCCCCTTTTTCCCACCCCCAATGTAACACTATCATCTCCCCAAGCAACACAACGATGCGATTTGTAGGAGTTATCCTCCTATATAACCATTAATTGGAGTATTTATAAGTAAGCACCACAGTTGTTTGGATTGATTCAAATGCGATTAGATTATTCCATTGATATGCACGAGCTATGTTGTTCTTCGCTCGCCCTTCTTACTTACCCCTGGATGCATTCTCAAAAGGGAGGGGTACCTCCCTGCGAGATGTCTATAGCGTACCAGCTAGCCTTATGGCAGCAGCGCCGACTTCACTGTAAATAAAGGCCTTTATAAAACATAGTTGACAGACCCATCTCACGAAAGCTAGTGAGGCTGAGCTAAGAATGACGTTTGATGATATACACACATACAGCCCCTTGTCGACAGTCAAACCTCGTTTTCCAGATCGTTTGAACGATTCTGAATGACAATGGTGTTGTGACGGTATGAAATGGGAGTTGAATCCGTTAGCATGAGGCACAGCAAGAGGAGGAACACGCTACCGTAGATCCAGGCCCACTTACTATGGTCGATTGAACTGCGCGATACTCGATCTACCAACACATTTACCTCTTTCATCGACCCATTTACCGCCCATAGTATAAGATATTGTGGGTTATGATCGTGTCGCGAATACTTGGGAGCGCGCGTGTGTACCTACGTACATAGGTACCTACCTAGTCAGTTTCTTGTTCGCTGAATTCGTCACGTTTTAGCCGATGGTAGAATCAAAAGCTACTTGGACCTCAAAGGTTGCCCGTGCCGCTGAGACTTAGTAACTGGTCCAATGACAAGCGAGGATCCATCACGCCAAGACGGGATTATTGTGGTTTTAGCTGATGTGTACCCGATTATTTGCTGCTCTCTGAAGGCGTGTAACGACTCGTTTTACGAGAACATCAGGCGGTGAGCTTCATCACAGAACGGAGTGAAAGAGAAGCACAACACGAATTGAACCAGCAAACATGTTCATGAATACAGCTCATGGGAGCTTACGTGGAGGTCGTTCCGGACGTGCCGACTCAGACTTTGTTGGGCTTGATACTTTGTTTATAAGTAGATGGTTGAGAATAGTTGATACCGTTTATACGATGTTGTATCTGATTACTTGATTTCATCTCATCCATGCTAATATAGCTACGCTATTATTGGAGACAATTATATCTTCAGACGAGCGAAGCGACAAATTTCTCACGACTTTGTTTCAATTATCAAAAGGAATCGTCAGCTAGTCGCGCAGAGTAAATCGTCATGGAATCTATCTATGACTTCGTAATCGTTGGCGGTGAATATATTCATAATTCATTTGCCATCAGATCTAGAGTTGACATTCTACAGGCGGACCGTCCGGCTGTGCCGTAGCATCCGGTCTAGCGAAGTCTCCCAAGAAGCCATCAGTACTTCTACTGGAAGCAGGAGGCGACAACGACGACCACAATCTTCGTGTCGACGGTCAGCGATGGACGACATCCATCAACAAGGACCTGAATTGGGGATATAAAACGACTCCCCAGGAGTATTGCGGAAATCGGGAGCTAAACCTACCCAGTGGCCGGGGCCTGGGAGGTGGAAGCGCTATCAACTTTGCCAACTATACCATCGGTTGCCGAGATGATTACGATGAATGGGCAAGGATCGTAGGCGACGATACTTTCCGTTGGGAACGCATGCAAACCCGTTTCAAGGACTTGGAGTCGTTCAACGGCGAACCGCCCGCAGGCGTCGGCAAGAAGTATGCTGCCCCTAAACCCACAGACCATGGTACTTCCGGCCCCCTGAAGGTAGGGTATACCAAGGAGTGTGTAGAAGATCTCACAGAGATACTCGACTGCTTCGAGCAGGCCGGTTTTCCGCTGAACCCAGATCACAACTCGGGAAATCCGATCGGGATGTCGGTATCTATCAATTCTTGCCAAAATGGTGTTCGTTCGACTGCGGCAGATTTGATAACGCCGGCCCCGGATAACTTAACAGTCTCCACGCACTCTCCAGTGCAACGAGTGATTATCGAAGGCAAGAAAGCTATCGGGGTGGAATCAAACGGAAAGAAGTGTAAGCGTATTCACCAATACCTGGCAGTGGATTAACTTACAGGTTCGCTAACAAATTTTAGACTTTGCGTCAAAGGAGGTCGTCTTATGTGCTGGCGCCCTACACAGCCCTAGGATTCTCATGCACTCTGGGATCGGACCCGCCAAACAATTAAACGAATACCAAATTCCAATAATACAAGCGAACGAAGCGGTGGGTCAAAATCTGCGAGATCATCTATGCATTCCAATCGTCCACAGCCGGAAGGAACCTGGCGTCTCCAGCGCTTCGTTCTACGGCGATGCGAAAGCAATGGACGCCGCACTAGAGCAGTGGAAGAAAGACGGTACGGGGCCGTGGGCTAAATACGGGGCCCAAGCCGCCATCGGCTTTTTCAAACTTGACGATATCGCCAAGATGAAGGAATTTCAAGATCTTCCCGCCGAGGAACAGAGATTCATGCTCCTAGACACGGTCCCGCACTACGAGATCTTCACTCATTTACCGGCGCATATGTTTTACCCGATCCCCACCATGAACTACCACTGCCTCGCGACCTGGTACTTCAACGGCCAGAGCCGTGGGGAAATCACCTTGCAATCCTCCGACCCCGACGTCCCCTTGAAATACAACCCTAGGTTTCTGGCCTCGCCGTTTGACCGACGGGTGGCGATCGAATCCATGCGCTCCCTCCTCCGCTTCACGGAACACGAAGCCTATGCCAAGAACACCGTCGCGCTCATATCCGGACCCAAATCAGATTCCGACGAGGATATCTTGGAGTATTGGGCCGAGAGGGTCATTTCGAGCTTACACATGACGGGGACGGCTAAGATGGGAAAGCCTGGAGATTCGAATGTGGTTTTGGACAACAACTTTCGCGTCATAGGCATTGAAGGCCTTCGCGTGGCTGACTTGTGTGCTGTCCCCGTTTTGCCAAGCGGTCATGTTCAGGCGACTGCTTACGTTACGGGGGTAACTTGCGCTGAGAAGTTAGCAAAAGAGTACCACCTTGAATGATCGTGCGATGTACAGGTCGATCAGGTGCGCCGCCTCTCCTGTAAATTTTCAATGCAGAGTTTAGAATTGATCGGTACGAAAAAAAGACACTTTAAAATGTTGGATTCCTGATGGCGGGACGTTAAAATCCATAGGCTAGTGGATGGGTCACCAGGGATATGTGGGGCCCTTCACCTTAGGTAAACTTAGCAATGTGGACGGTGCGCACTGTCCTTTAGGTGTATCACCTCGAAAATACAACCACCTTTAGCCTGGATGATTAGAATTCCTCTATAAATTAGGTTTCGCACGTACTGGAGCACTGACGGGAAAAGCACGACTTCAAACAAGCACCATGAGAGAATTAAGTAGGTAGTAGGCACCTAGTAGCTTTCAGACCTTTCTTGCTAATATTCCGCAGAATCACGTGCCAAAGAATGCACATGTGACCTCCCTTACGACAACAGTACTATCAAGACTCCTCTACTCCTTGTAGTGTTCCTTAGTCCGCTGCTCCGCTAGTTCTAGGCATTCGGCCGTCATCGCCGTGTCCCGAGGAATGAGCTTCACTTTGAAGTATCGCGGGATCGCTACAAGCGCGGTCTTGATCGCATTATAATCAACATAGTCGGTGTTCGGGGGCGCTTCATCGCTTGCAACAATCTTGTAGCTAGATATGATGCGCACCAGGGCCGCATAAAGAAGTCTGGAGGCGATGTATTGACCAGAGCATGCACGAGAACCGGTTCCGAAGCTCAAGTGGCCGAGACCGTTCACCTCTCGTTCTTGGGGAGGGTCCAGGCTCTTCAGCCATCGCTCCGGGTTGAATTTTCCTGCGTCGTCTCCGAAGTGATCAACATCTATGTCTAATTAGCAGGGGCGTCAATTGATAGTTGCAGTACGACCTTACCGTGGTTGCCAGCTTGAGCATTAATTAGAATCATTGTCTTGGGTGGGATGATGGCACCATTCCAGTTGACCTCAGTCACGGTCTTCCTCGGCAAACTCATAGCACTGACCGTATAATACCGGCCGGCTTCTTTGATAATTGCGTTGATATAAGGAATCTTTTCTTCCGTATAGCAACTAGTCCAAGCATCACGCATATCGGGATAATGGCGCTTAATGTCCTCGTATGCGCGATCTTGCCATATCTGACCCTCTGGAGTCGCAAGCGATCCAATAGCAGATGTGCAAGTTCCTGGAATAGTTTCGAACCCCCTAATTTACTGATGTTTAGCGAATGATATAGTAAAAGCAAACTCGCGGATTATGGCTGAGTAGGTTGGGCATCTCATTTGGGCTGATTAGGGACTGCTTACCCGGATACTAGCGAAAGGCATATAGAGGAGACTTCAACGCCAGTAAGTTTCGTTTCCTCGTCCTTCAGGATAGCAGCTGCGATGCAAGGCTTGTCAGTGCCTTCTTTGATCATGTCTCGGACCTTGTCCAGAAGAAGATTCAAATAAGCATCCCGTCTATCACGAAGCTCTTTACTTCGGGCGTTCTTCTCGTTATTCGGCACGTATCGTAGTATCGGAACGTAGTCTTGATAATTCTCAGATGCACTGCGCAGAAGTGAAATAGCGGAGCCAACGTGAAGAATCTCGCGTAATAATTCGTCATAAACCGCGTCCATGCGAATTCCATAGCAAAGCGTGAGAGTCGTGTTGAGAGCATATCTTTGGATGTAAGGACGAATGTCGAGTTCAATCTCGCCATTGCGACTATCCTTTTTCAAATCCCGAAGAATGCAATAGCTCTCCAAATCAAACATGGGGTGGTAATTGCGCAGTGCCGGTCTCCCAAGTGCAGTCCCTGCGGCTTTTCGCTTCCTCTTGCAAGAATCGTCCCAAGGGGAAGAGCCAATGGTAAAACCTTGAGTGCTGCTGATGACACCATGGAATGTGTACAGTTTTGGTCTGTCGATCACCGCGTTCTGGTTTCCAAGAAGCATTTTCTTGCAGTCTTCAAAAGAATTTACTACCACGGCTCGCGTGTTCCCCAAGGCGATCTGGTAGACCGAATGATTGTACTGTCGCCACCACTTCTCACAAACAGTGGCATGATCTTCCCCGAGTTTGAGTAGATGTCCAAATATCGGGACTGCGCCAGGAATCTCAGGGAGGCCTTTTATGTGAGGAATATCAGTGGCAAACATAGCCTACTTCTGTCAATTCATTTCCCAAACTATAGTAACAGCGTTGTGTCTCACCTGATAGATAATTATTGTGAAAAGAACCACGGCTACGGCGACTAGGGTCGACAAGGTGGTAGGAGAGCCTTTGAGGCTCTCCAGCCATAGGAAATCAACTATCGTCTTAGTTTGAGATGACATGATGACCCTGTCTGATTCAAAAAGGAGGTTGTCAATAGGGGTAGGTCAACTTGAATCGTATGTAGGCAACTGAAGTGGCTACTATATGAACGCAGACCTAAGCGGAGATCTCCTGTTTTCCATATTTCGCCCGAGTGCAGCCGTCGTTCTCCGCGATAGAGGATTGCTACATCAGTTCGGTAGTCCCGAAACGACTGTCGGACATACCGCCAAAGTAAATGTGGGGATAGACTAGCCCAACCAATAGCTTCACACGAGAACACAGTATCTAAATGACTTACAGTATAGAATAGGTAATGGAAAAATGGAAGTCGTTGTAGTCCATTTGCAATATCTTATCTCTTATTGGTACTTTCTTTCGCGGCCTTACTGCAGATATCTTAAATCATTCTTTGCACCTTCCAAGGTTACTACCCCTATTTGGAAACTCTCAACTCTTAGGGATACGGTAGAAAAACCCGTGCTTCTCGCCACAGCTACCTAGGTAGGTAGCTTAGCGGGACTCATAACTGCTGTCATGCGACTTATGCTAAAAATTATTACCGAGTTGTCAATTATGCCACGACTCCAAACGTGTGACTGAGCGAATTAAGGAGTTGTTAGCCACAACAAATCAAGTCGAAGTTAGCGAAAAATCTTACATAGCTATTCAAGCTATTCTAGATATCTGGAGCAATGTCAAGCATCTTGTAGAAGAGACGATATCTGTTATGGGTAGAATTGAAGTCGTGTTGTCTAATCTATTTAATACACTGCCACAGCAGACTCGGGTAATGAAAATCATTCGCACAACTCATCTTGCTTCATTCTTGTCCAGCCAATGCTTTATGCTACTAGAGTGTAGCCGGACTCTACTACCTCACTAGCACTGACACAAGCAGAAAACCCTTTCCATGAACCCTCTTTGATGGAAAATTGGTAGAACCCCTGGATAACCCCTTCGTCATTCCAAATCACAGATCCACACATGCCATCAGGTAGTTTAGCTTTGATATTGCCTTCTTCTTGTCCATGGTATAACCAGTCATATGCTACATAACGAAGCCTCTCCTCTATTGAATGAGGGGTTCTCTCTGCTTGAATCTTGATAGACTTCGCTATGATGACTGAATCCAACAGGCCGGTGTATGGGCTATTAAGGTAACATGTTGAGAAGCTGAACTCATCACCTGAGGTGGCTAGTCTTGTAAACTGAGGGACAATACCTTCATTGATCTCAAATGTCTGATTCGAGAATGAAATACTTCTCTCCAATTTTACCAAGCAAATACCAGTAAAGGGGATCTCGACAGCGACCTTCCCGATAGTTTCTGCCGGGCGACGCGACTGCCAGACCCTCTCAGAATCACCGACGGCGTGAAAAGCCGCTGTCATAAAGCTATCGCCGGTAGTATTCTTGACAAGAACGCCGGCTGTGCTAGAAAGCGTTGCTGGATGAGAAGCTCCTGTAATGATGGAACTGCTGATCATCACTCCTGGCCGTAGTACATCATACGCTGTGTCGTCTGCTATTTCCATCGACGGATGCGGCTCGGTTTCTCGTCTGTCGGGTTTATCTATCCAGGCTGGTCTGTTGAGATCCTTGTCATGAAGGTAGGCCACCGGGTAATTCGCAATTTTCCCAGGCCACTCGCCAGTCTTCAGTTCGGCATGGTCATCGATGACTATGAAGAAAGTATGCTGACATGTGAACATCAACTCAATTATATGAACGGCCGGCAGGTTAAGCTGGAAATAGGTGTTGACATCACGAGCTAATTGACGAAGACCCCCGTCGGACATGTTGGTGCCATCAAACCCGCTCTGCAAGATCGAGATAGAGAGCCTTCCCGGCATCGCTCTTGGAAACATAAGTGCACGACCTCTCCCGGATCGAGTCTCGGAGACGGTGATAGGTAAACCTCCTACTGTGAGGGGCCACGGCGCGCTTGGTAGCTGCTTGACTTGAAAGATCAAATAGCCACGAAAGCAAGGTTCCGTGACATTTTCCGTGCCAGGAAAGATACTATGAAGAAGGGAACAAAGTTCGCCATCTGTAATAATATTATTGCTCTGTTCTTGTAGGTTGTATGGTATAAGCACATGACGGTTGTGCCAGAGTTCCTCATTCTCGTGCTTCTCGGCAGGAGGCGTGTGGTTGTGCGTATAATGATTAAGAATAGTAGCGATGCCTGAAGGATACATCTGCTTTGGGCCATAGAATGGTTGGATAAATAATGTACTGCTTTGACTAATGTTGCTTGGCCCTTTGCTTGGCGTTGCAAGGACCAATGTTGTCTTTGACAATGATTGCTCAGCCGACGGTGTGATTTTGCGCTTCCTCGCTAGGATATGAAGCTGTAAAGGACTGTTGATGATAATCGAGACCGACATTGTGAACTGTTTGGCTAGATTGCATGGCTTTAGACAACAACGTAGATGAATGTGGTTGTGAGAGGCAGGGAAATTGGTGTCTTCACGCGTGTAGAATGCTAGGATACACGATCGACCAACAAGGTGCAATGTATTATAATTTTCAGAAGCCTCCTCTGTGAGGGCTTATAGCCAGAGGTCTCGCCAGAGTTAGCTAATAGCCCATAAGGATCAAGAGTCGGCTTGTGCGAGGCCGCCCTGTTGGCAGTTAGTCCTCTAGCTGTAGACAAAGGAAGGTCTATGTATGTATACCGCATCCCCTGGAAAGGCGTAGTTAGAGCTCTTCGCTCAACAACGTCATTGTTCCTAAAACTTTTAATTCCACCTTGTGGCAACAATGAAGAACGGTGTTGGATTATCTCAGGCGTGTTGAATGAGTGTTCTGGTTGTTGTTTTTTTAAAGTGGCGATTCCTGTGTCTGAGCGAGCTTAGTCTAGAAGTCTTTGGCTTAAGGTTAACTCAGAAAGCTTAATCTAGAAGTCCTCGTGTGAGCAAGAATTTTGAGTTTATCAGGCCAAGGCTCTGACGCCCCTTCCAAATCATGCTAGACCATACTATACCAGGCCAAGATCACCTATAGGTATAAAGCAGGAGATCCATCCCTATGAGCATTTACTTTAGTTACCATCCATACCTTCCTGCCTTCTACTATCATTAACGGTAAACACATAATCCTGCCAGCGACTTGTACTCCACTGTCCATCTTTCGATACATTCGGATTCACAAGATTTGGCTTAATCAAAGCAATGTAGCAGGCTATGCCTATACAAAAATCAGCGAATACTTCCACCATGGCTTCAACAAGCAAGGGAAAACGGAGCAGATGGGGACCCGAGACTACCACGATGGGGACCACCTCAATTACGGCGCCTATGACGAGCGAACAGATTGATGCATACATATTGCATTTCCGGATCAAAGAGATCACTCAAACACTGAACGTAGACGATGTTGCCCTTGCTAATTATCGTCGCAGATCTCCATCACCTGAACCCCTCTACGACTCATCAGGTAAACGAATCAACACACATTATCGTCTCTACCGAGAAAGTCTGAAGAAGGAACGCCACACTCTAATACAGACTGTCATGCGCACCATTCCTAATTATCACCCGCCACAGGATTACGTCCGAGGCAGCTTCCGATGGAGAAACCCTACAGAGAAGGTGTACATACCCGTAGAGGAATTCCCGGAAGTGAATTTCATCGGGCAGCTTTTGGGACCACGCGGGCGCAGTCTTGCCGAGATGAACACCAAATCTCATGCCTCTATAGTCATTCGCGGCAAAGGTTCCGTGAAAGAAGGCAAAGGCCGCACCGGCCCTCGTGGGCCCAGACGAGTCGATACTGACGCTTACCAGGAACCTCTCCATTGTCTCATTACGGCGGATACACAAGAGAGTGTCGATACGGCAAAACAACTCGTTCAAGCAGTCATCGAGAATGCCATTACCACACCAGAACACGAAAATAACAGAAAACGCCAGCAACTCCGAGATCTCGCTTTAGCGAACGGGACTTTTCGCGACGATGAAGGCATAGGGAAGGCCACTAACATGACCCACAATATGCCTGCATCAATTATTGTGTGCCATAAATGCGACGGACTCGGTCACATTGCCCGTGATTGCCGCAATACGAAGATGGCAGTCTCCCAGAAGACACCGCCGTGGAGGAAGTCGACTACTAATTTGGAAGCGAAGGATTCTCTGGAACTTACTTGCTCCAGATTCCTCGCCGATATGGAAAATGACGTACGGGCTATTAACTGGAACCTGTCTAGACATTGAAGGAAATACCATACCATTGTTGGGGTATGATTCGAGAAAGAAGCGATGCTGTTTCATATTAAGTTGGATTGATGTGACTTACTATTAACACATATATATTACCTATATTAAGCGTTCTAAGTATGCCTGAGTTTCACTCTCGTCATTATACGAAGGTTCCGAACGGCCAAAAATTTGGACCATTTGCTCCAGGTGCTGATGGTCAAAGTCGTGTAGACTGAAGAGCCTTTAACACTCCAGTAAAGCGTTTTGTTTTTAGTGGTTACTATCCCTAGACTCTAGCGGCTATGCACTAAAATATAGCCAGCAATTACTACAAGGTCGAGCCCGAGTTCGAAACTGATACAATAGCCAATCATTGCTTATTTGATTACGCACTGTGGCTAGGGCCGTGGCTCAGTGCTTCCTTTCGTAAGCTCCTATAGCTTCAACATCACTCATTCTACTTGAAGATCTAGGCCGCGAAGCGGCACACTAGGGCCATGAAAATCTCTCTATAATAAACAGTGAAATGAAAACCAAGCTGCGCCAATGCGAATTGCGGAATAAACAAGGTATGGAAAAGGTAACTGGCTAATAAATTACAGATGAGACCCCCAAACAGTGATAAAGAAAGCCGTAGTCCGTCATCTACTTCTAAGCTATATTATACTTGTGCCTCCGATGTTTTCGTATCCGGAGTTTTAGCAACCTCGCTAACCGGCTTTCCAAGTTCGCTATCTGTAATTGGCTTATTGCCGTCATAAGCTTCAATCACGTCGACTTGGTCAACGGGGATCCCATGAAGACGGTTGTCGATCTGCTCGAGGGTCAAGCCCTTGGTTTCGACATATGTGTAGTAGATCACGATAGCAGCGAAGATATTCCAAACAACGCCGATGATGTAAAAGCTGTTGAATCATAAATCAGCATAAGCTTGTACACTTCAAGGAGCAAGCTTACCGCCATCCGATTCCATCTAGGCCTATCGGAATAACATATTGAACGAAGAAACCGACTAAAGAATCGAAGATCGTATAGAAACTGCGAGGAATATTAGCTATAGTGTGCAGTCAGCAAGCTGGTAATTCATTCTTACCCCATTCCTTTCGCGCGAATTGTGAAGTTTAACATTTCCGCGCAGTAAGAGAATGACAATGGTGTCCAGCTCATAGCGTAGCCCACTTGGAATAGGTAGACCATTGCGATGATCGCATTTCTTCCTCCTGCGCTATCAATCGCTGCCGCCGTAAGTCCCGCCATGCAAGCCAAGACGGCGCCTGACCATAGTGTGCCTCCAACGAGCATAGGAACCCGACCGACCTTGTCGACAATAGAAATACCAATAAGTGCGATGACAAAAGCCACGCAGTTCTGACTGAGGTTGATTGCGAACTTGCTTGATTCGGAAGTGATGCCAGCCAGGGAGAGGACGTCGTCGAGATAGAAAGTAATGATATTAGATCCAACAGTCTGCTCGAAGCAGCCAAGACTCAAAAGGATGAAGCCGCGGCGAATATTCGCCTTATCACTCAAGAAGGCCTTCCACCAAGCAAAGATAGTTGGAAAGCTGTTTTCCTTCTCGAAGGTGATCGTCTCCTTGATATCTCTGAACTCCGCGACAACTAGGGGATTAGTTTCATCACCACCACCATGGAACCTAGCGAGGACGGCAAGTGCCTCAGGTTCTCGGTCGCGGGAGATGAGCCAGCGTGGGGATTCCGGTACCAGGAACAGCGAGAGAATGCAGCTCAATGCGGGGGCGGCCATGCAAATGCAAACGATGCGCCAACTCCAGTCGCCTTCGACTCTTCTTGCTCCATACCCGACCGCGGCAGAAATAATGGCACCTGCAAGCCAACATGTCCAGTACAGACCGGAAACGAAACCACGGTGCTTTGGAGGTGACAACTCCACGAGGTAGGTTGGAACTGATGCGATGTCGACGGCTTTTGCGAACCCGATGACAATACGTGCGACAAAGAATTGAGCGCGGGTCGTTGCAGTGCTATGAAGGGCGGTAGCGACCAGCACAATGCATGAGGCCGTGAGAATTCCTCCCTTACGACCCCATTTGTCAACGATAGAACCGGCAAAAAGACTTCCCACAATAGCGCCAAGGTTTTGTACAGCAGTGAGCAACCCCTTGATGTTTGAGTCTATATTGAATCTGGCCTGGAATACGTCCTGCAAGTAAGATGTTAGTAAGGATATCAGCACCTCTAAAGTGAGAAAGAAACATACGGAAATGTTCAAGGAGGACATCATGCTACTGTCATACCCGACGCTGGCGCAATTCAGCGCAGCGATCAGGCAGACAAGAAACATCGGACTCAAACCAGCCATGTTGGAGGTCGTCGCGTGTTCAGGCGTATGAGAAAATAGGAAAAATACGACGTAACGTTCAAGTCATTTCTAAGTGGAACATGAGGAAATGAGTGGAACCCATATATAGACCTTGAAGGCCCTTCTAGGAACCTAGGTAAATCAACGCGCGCATGGTTCGCGACTACGATATGCGATAGATACCAAAGAGAAGATACCGGGTATTTGGGTCACAAATCAAGGTCCTGGTCTCTGTTATCTTGGCGGAGAGTCCGACCCTAGCAAGACTTACGACGCCGTCGGTTCAGATCCGACGGGCACTAGACCGAAACGTCCCCACCAAAGCCTTATGCCTCGGGCGGGGAACCGCATATTCAGAGCAGAGTCGGGGTAACAATACGTAGATATAAACACACCCCAAACAGATAATACGACTTAGTACCGACGAGAAAATCGGGAGCTGAGTATAGTGGTCTATGTTCCATCTTCATACGCGTTCTTATCGATCTATTCCCAAAAGGAATATCTACATTAGATAAGCGGTATCCAGTATCTAAATCGTTGTCTCAACATCGCACACCTAGCTGCTTGAAGCGAACACATACCTTCGACCTTGAAGTCGTATTTACCTTCACCATAGCAACTCTCTAGATATGCCAGGCGTCATTGAAAATTGGCCGGCATGGAAGGAGTTCGGCCTCGCTCCCGATGAGTCTTCACGGGGCACGGACTTCGCTAACGCCAAGGCGGAGATTATCGCCCAATACGGGGAAGAGGCTCTACGACAAAGTTGGCTTAAAGTCTGCAAGGAGCTCGAAACGGTTACCGAGAACCTCTCCGCGCTTGGCAAGGATTCCGTTCCCGTCTTTCAGATGGAAGAGATCCGCAACCATGGACTTTCGGATGAACAAAGCGCAACAGTAAAGTCTAGAGGATGTTGCGTTGTCAGGGGCGTCATCCCCGAAGCGGAAGCAAACGTTCTGTTCCAGGACATGAAGAAGATGGTCGTTGAGAACGCCGCACAGATTCCGGGCTGGCCACCAGAGTCTCCGGCAATGCTAAGACTTTACAACTCCCCAACGCAGATAGCTGTGCGCACTCACCCCAACCAGATCCTTCTCCAAAGGACGCTGAACGCGCTCTTTCACGACGAATCCAACGAGACAAGCCCCGAACCTTTGAGTTATACTGACGCAGCTCGAATTCGCCCGCCGGGACAATTATTTCTGGGCCTAGGACCGCATATCGATGCCGGGAGCTTGTGTCGATGGGCGGATCCACAGTATCGCAAAGTGTACGACTCCATATTTTCCGGCAACCCAGAAAAACACGACGCATTCGATCTCAGCGTTCGGAAAAGCGCCAACCAAATCCTCTACAGGGCAAACGCACACTCCGCCGTCTTCCGCTCGTTCCAGGGCTGGACGGCGCTGACTCCTACGGCCCCGTCTGAGGGTACATTGATGCTATACCCGAATATCTCGTCGGTCATAGCTTATGTACTGCTAAGACCATTCTTTTCGCCTCCCAGGGACGAAAAGGACATCATGGATTCCACCAAGTGGACTTTCGACCCGAAGTCTGACTGGTATCCGGGAACGATGAAGGATCAAAGCCAACGATTGAGTCCCAGTTCGCATCCTCATCTCCGTTTGAGGGAATGTGTCACCTATATCCCGCAGATGAATCCGGGGGATACGGTGTGGTGGCACACAGATGTAAGTCTTAACCTAACCTAGCACCGTTTCCGGTTGGAATATGATGAACGATACTTACTATTGATAGATGTGTCATGCTGTTGACCCCGTGCATAATGGTAAAGGAGACGCCAGTGTCGTCTATGTCGCGGCCTGCCCCACGACAGCTATAAACAAAGCTTATATCAAGACCCAAGTACAAGCCGCTCTACTCGGAAAGGCCCCACCGGATAAACCTCACGTTGGAGATGTCAATGAGACGAAGTTGAAGGGTTATAAGGGATTTGATGATATATCACCAGAGGGTAAGGCCGTGTTGGGTTTTGGTCTTCTTTAGGTAATCTTGTGACCAATCGACCTTTGTGATGTTTCACTAGGTAAGGCAATAATAAATTATTGGTCGGCCATTACTCCTCTTTCTGAATTGAAAGGTATAACAATAATCCCGAAGGCCATCTTCATATGAAATTTGCTGCCCCCTTGACCGCTACCAAACATTTGAAAGGCAGGCAATTATTTCGTAATAGACACATTCCGGAAAGGCACACAAACGATTTGCTGACTCATCGTGTGTTCCCGTCAGCTCTTCGTGCACAGACCACCTTAGCCGCCGGAGCTCTGTTTTTCCGCCATCGCAAAGGCTAGTGCTGGTAAGCTAAACGGCTGACTTGTGGCTGTGGTGAATCAGAATGAACATCATACACGTGACGAGCCACACCGCGCTGAAGAGAAAGATGTGTGCTGCTATACGCCCACTAACAGCTGATCTTGCTGGACGAGTAGGTACCTAAGCCTGAATCAAGATGAGCATCATACATGGATGTGACGAGGTGCACTGCCTTGGAAGAGAACGTTTGTGGCGGATCCATCGTTCGTCCATTGCGCAAGAGCTGAACATTGGCGGAGTGGGACGGTATTAGTTCTACTAAGCGCATTCCGCTAGCTGCATAGGAGTCACAAAGTCAATGTCTCGTTTAGTAATCACGAGTATCGAACGTCTCAAAGGTAGAGTATAAATCCGGGATCCTGCCCTGTCGATGACAACATCTTCAGCACTTCTAGCCACATCGACGACCTGAGCTGTGTGTACTGAAGCTTCGGTACACTCATTCCACTACACCATTCTATCCACAACATCCTCGCTATCCCTCATCCTGTCACAATGGCCTCTACTACGTCATCAGACCAAATCCTCTTCTTCGATATCGCCCTTGGTCAACCCATTCGCCCAGCCGCGCCCAACCCGTGGAAATCCCGGTACGCGCTGAACTTCAAGCGCGCGAACTTCGTCACAAAATGGGTCGATCTGCCTGACATAACGCAAACCCGGAAAAGCCTCGGCGCAGACCCGGTCCGCTTCTTCGCAGACGGGGAGCCGTTCTACACGCTCCCAGTCGTCCAGGATACGTCCACCGGCGAGGTGGTGGGCGATTCGTTCGACATCGCCGTGTACTTGGATAAAAAGTACTCCGGCAGGCCTAAGTTGTTCAACCACTCCATCGGCTTATACAAGGCGTTTAACGCGCACATCGACTCCATCTTCCCCTCGGGCGGGATCCTGTTCTCGCAGTGCTTCCCCTTCACCCCGGCGAACGAGGAGCAGATGAAGGCCGAGTTCTGCAGGCGCGCTGGCGTGAAGTCGTGGGATCAACTCAACGTGAGCGGGGAGGAGAGGCGGAAGGTGGTAACTGCCTACGAGGTCTCGTTGGGAGAGGCCGCGAAGTATTTTCAGTTCTCTGATGGCCCTTTCATTGGAGGCAAGGAGGCCGATTATGCGGATATCATTATCGGCGGCTGGTTGATGTTTTTGAGCCAGGTACTACCCGAGTGGGAGGAGATCCGCACGTGGCATGGTGGGGTTTGGGGTAAACTGCATGATGCTTTGGAGCCGTATAGGGGAACGTGATGAGGTTCAGGGAAGACTTAATGCACTGCCCATTAGCGCGCATCTTTGAGGACCAGGACAGTAATCTGGCCATGGTTTCTGATTCTGAATGGGGCTCTGGAAAGTGGGAAAGGGGTTTAGAGAAAAGTTTGAGATAAGGGTACATATATCAATGTGATATATTAGGTTCTTGCTAGCTGCAAAAAAGAGTATTGGTTATTATTTTTTCAATCAAAGCCCCTTTTGGATATTTCTCATCTTATCCCTAACATCGAGAGCAAGGTTTTGCATCTCCTCATCAACCTGGTCATTCTCCGCGACCTGATCAAGACCCTTTTCCCATGACTTCCAATCCTCCATACTGAGTCCCTGCGCCTCCTCTTTACACATTTGGTAAATCTTCTGCCCGGCAATAGAAATCCAAGCAGAGACTGCGGGTATGTGCAAAGCAGCACGAAATCGTGGCTCGGGCGTTTCGTACTCAGCAACCAGTGCGTCACTCATATTACCTTTAATGTAAAATGCCATGCCAGACATATATGGCCTATTTGCGAGACACATTGCCGCAAATGAAGTCGCGTTGAAGTATGAGGTTTTCTGGGCAACCCAATCGTTGATATCCATTTCATCGTCCGGTTCGATGCCTGTTTCCGCCAATAGTTAGAACCAGAGCACAGATACCCACCGCAGTCGAAGAATAGCTCAGAACTTACTTATCCCGTACTCTCTAAACATGAGAGCAAATGATGGTAAGTTTGTCCAAAATTTAGCAGCCCCATACTTTAAGTCATTTCCATGATCATCCTTGACCTCGATCTTAGCTAGATAATCCAAAAGCTCGATAAGACGTTTGCTCGCTGCCTGATCGCCTCCTACGTGCCGTACAATACCGCAGAAAAGGCCCCAAACGGATGCGATGTGCACGTCATCTGGGTTTCTCTTGATAAGTGGCTCCAATATGGTAGAGATACCATGTGCGCTCTCCTCCGGTGTCAATTTGTTTTCCAAAAGAGCCTGATAGACGTCAATTAGACGCTGCTTCTCTGGACTTTGATACTCTGTCGAAGATCGCGCTTCTGTTGCCCAATCTTGGATAGACATAGTGTGACGTTTGGTGAAATGATGGCCTGCGTAGTAAATTTGTTGTTATCCGTGTCAAGGGAACAATCTTCCAGAGGACTTAAGAGATATGGTATCATAAAACAACGCATTGTGATAGCACGTTACCGCGAATAGCCATACGTTAACCGTGGCTATGTTTTCGGCTTTAGTTCAGATGTGAAAAGGGCGATCAGAGCTCGAAACAGTAGTTCCTATTCAACTAATCATTCTCTTAGGCACCAAGGTTCTTGATCCCTTCTATTCTTCCTTGAAGGGATCTATTGGACCTAATTATCAATGAGGAGCTAGAGTTACATTCTAATCCTAAACGCCCATCAATCCGCCTCCCGACTGCATATCTGTATGCAATCTGCTACCAACAAATTCTTGGCACTTGTTCCCGTTGACATCACGTCGACTCAAATCCACTAACAAAAATGAAAATTTCTCAAGTAACTCGCGATGAAGATCCGAACATCACAACAAAGACACTAAGAGTGAGAAGCATGAATTCAGGCTACCGTAGCAGGTAAATGAGTCCTAACATGTAACAACATCTTTATAGATAAGATATTACAGACCTATTTCTATAAAATATTACCTACGTACACAGCGGTAATGAAGGAGAGGAGTCGAGAGAGGCAATACCTAGTACTCCGTAGAATAGGAGGAGTTAAAGGAATGCACTGTCACGTGCATACGTGTGGTGACTAAATGACACAAGTGGGGTGAGCAACCGTCGAGCTTTGAGTCACGTGCCATAGAGAGCAGCTACGGACCGAAAAGTACTAGGTATCTTTTCGAGAGCTGACCCACATTTCGAAATCGCGTTGAGGTTACCTTTCCGACTTTCAAGGTTCATTGATTTCGCATCTTGAATTCTTCCATCATCACCAGCCTCGACTGCGCATTATCACCCAACCGACAATTGCCGACCAGCTTCGCCGATAACTTCAAATATGCCTCGACGTCCTGGTCGCGCAGCCGCTAAGCGTGCTGCTGCGAAACTTGGTAAGTTATTATTTGTTCTTTTCCATCAATCCTGAATCGAAGATTCCCAGTTTCCATCTTTTGCGCACGCGCGATTGACATCTGATGAATCCCTTGCGCCTACAATCCCCACTACACTCATGCCTCCCATAATGTTACCTCGTTTATGAATAGTCTACTGACAATTTCAATCATCCTTTAGAGAGCACCCCGAGAGCTCTTGAAGAAATCGAGGACGAGCCTATGCCCGATATCGAGGGCTCTGATGCAGAACAGCAAGCAGAACCAGAAGAGCAAGAGAACGAAGAGTCGGGCGCAGAACCCGAAGAAAATCAAGAGTCCGATGTGCCATCCGTGAAATCTCCTTCGCCTCCTCCCGTACCGGTTATCCGACGACGACGCCTAGGTCGTCCTCCCAAGAACCGACCCCCAGACTGGGACACTCTACCTCTTGAACCTCCCCAACGTGATCCTAACGAGCCTCCTAGGAGACGCGGCCGTGGCGGTTGGAAAGGACGAGGTGGTCGCAAGTGGGGTGGTCATCAACCTACGCAGCAGACCATTGATAAAGAAGGAAATATGATGGACATTATTGATGACGAGGTTGCCTTGCCGGAGGATCCCGAAGGAGAGACCAAGGTAGACAAATCAGGACATCTACAAGGCGGCCGCGAGTATCGTTGCCGTACATTCACCGTTGCTGGCCGAGGAGATCGCCTCTACATGTTGTCGACCGAGCCCGCCCGTTGCGTGGGGTTCCGAGATTCTTACCTCTTCTTCACGAAGCACAAGCGACTCTACAAGATCATTGTAGACGATGATGAGAAGCGTGACATGATCGAGCGTGATATCATTCCTCATTCCTACAAGGGCCGTGCGATAGGAATCGTTACAGCCCGGTCGGTTTTCCGGGAGTTCGGCGCGTTGATCATTGTAGGCGGCAAGCGCATCATTGACGACTACGAGGTTGCTAAGGCTAGAGCCGAGGGTGTTGTCGAAGGCGAACTCGCTGATCCTAACGACAAATTCGTCGAGGGCGAAGAGTATAACAAGAATCAGTACGTGGCTTGGCATGGTGCAAGTGCTGTCTATCACTCTGGAGCGCCTTCTGTGCCTATGCAGAATGGCAAAGTAGACAAGCAGAAGAGACGAGTCAACATTACCGACGTCAACTGGCAGCTTGAGCACGCTCGTGAAGCAAGGTATATTCCTCATTCATCCGTCACAGCATTCCTACACCGCCCAAGACTAACAATGTTCCCAGTCGTTTCAATGCCGAGATTAGTGCCGTTCGACGTCTGAATCTCTCCGGTGTTTACGATGTCCACACCAACATGATGCAATTTCCTGCTAGCATGCAACCTACTCATGCTAGGTTTGAACAGGTTGCAGATTCGGCTGCTCCCACCAGTAGCGTCCGCTTCCCTCCGATGGACCCCAAAGTTCCACGCAACTTCAAGGTTGTTGACACTCACATGGAAATTCCTCCAGCCGGCCTTTCACATGCCGTGTACGAGCAGCGTGAAGTGCCCGATTTCTTAGCTCCCTTCCAAGGACTTGGGGCAGTGTCAAAGGAGATCTTTGATGAACTCCCGGATGAATGCAAAGAATCATTCAACAAGGCTTTGGACCAGGAGAATACCTGGAAAGCCAAGTGGGGCAATGAATCGGTCCATGGCCACAGGCGACAGCCAATCATTGATGCTGCAATTGTTCCTTACAGTCGACAACAGTGATGGACCCACTATTCGAGATCCCATCTACAGCTTTGAAGCCATGTATTGGCTACCACACTTCCATCAAATATTTGCGCTGTGCGAATGATGGTTACTCGTTTATTCCCATGTCGACCCCGTCGGATGACCGAATCCCTTTACGAACCAACTATGGACGACAAGCTACTGGCGGACAAGGTTTGATGAGGTTCGACTATTGATGACTATGCTATCGCACCCCTAATGTGTACACTACCTAAGTCAAGGCGTTATTGGTTGCGAAAAGGGATAATGGGGCGTTATCCAGCTGATACCACGGATTCGACTCGTACTTCAGGCAACTAGGTTATTGGTAGGCTGGCATTCGTTTATGGTGGGCGTTTGGCTTTGCTGAAGTTGCTTGTACATTCCCCTAGCACATTCCCCAATACCATCCGATGATATGGAAGGGCACCAATTGATTTTATTCCCGAGTTTAGTACTTCCTGACGCTGCAAGTGACGTATGTAGGTGGAAGCCCGGCATATAAGGACGCGTCGGCTCACATCAAGGCGATACATTAGAGCCCCCATTCCTGGCCAAAGCGAGAGATATAATCGTCACTAATTTTCATGACGTAGGCAGCCACCATTGGATATTGATTCCTGTTTTGTAGGCGACACCAAACCCTGCTTCTGTTGTGCCGAAGTCCAATAGAGTGAGGCACGCTTAAGTCGACAAGCTAGCAGCTTCAACAGCCTCAACTCTGTTGATTGAGGGTTGATGAACACGCGTGGTTCGAATCAGCAATATTATGTGGCCTAGTTTTCGGGCCAGGTTATCATAGGTAGATATTTCAGCCAGAGAGGCCGTTGCGGTAACCCGATTTCAATTGTCCAATCAGAACATTGAACCCGCCGATGTTGATTCTAATCGGAAAATATTGCACCAAAATAAACAGAAATATAGCATCGCAATAGATATTATTATATGCCTAATTTCGTACACCGTAATACTTGCTTCTTGTGTATTGTTTTTCTTTACTAGTAGCCAACATGCGACAGGACGCAAGAATGCCCTAGGCAGACACAGATAAGGCTATGGCGTTTGATGCTTACTGCTCCACAGTAGTATATATATACCTAACCCTCAGCTACGGTCAGCTTCCTGTTCTCTAAGAACCCATTCACACAAGGCTACGCTATTACATTCTTCGAAAGTTAGAAGCATCTCAAATCACAGATATACAACACCACAGTGGACCCGATCAGATATTCATGGCTGAAATCCGCACCAATGGAACAAGCTATCATGAAGCCAATCAGAAAGCAGTTCAAATCACGCGGAGCAAATTTCCGATCCAAACACAGCTCATCGATAGCCGCCACGTTCGGGATCCGATGCATCTCGTGGTACTGTTGAATGACGAATATGGGAATGGCAATTATGAAGTCGAGGTAGGTAAATGTTAAGAGGCCTGTTAGCTCAGAGTTACTGTGCTTATGCTCCTATTACCTGAACTAAACTTTATACTCTGTGGCATAAGATGCATTCTCATTGATATCCTGTTATACAGATGCGACACAATTACTTCACCATTCGCGCTCCCGGGAGACTTCAGTGGAGCCAGGTATCTGCCAGATGTCGTTAGATACGAAATGACACGACGAGATGGATATTTGACCCAGGATGAGCGGAAAGAGTACATCTTTGCTGCGATCTGATTCGTTATATTGATATGATTTGGCTTTCTTTTCTCGGTTTCGGCAATTTTGGATGAACACTCGCAATTGGACTTGGAATTAGGTTTCGCTTCTCATCCTGAAAACTGCGCTCCGGTCACAGATTTAGGAATCGAAAGTGTTACACTACGATGTCACGAATATTTCAGTCTATTGGGATCTAAGCAGTACACGGAGGAATTAGGGGCTTGGTGGAGGAGAAGGGTTTCTTTTATGAAAACTAGAAAAATCAAAATATTTATCTATCACGTCTCTCGTTAATATTTCAAGGTTATTAGATATATTAAATAGCAATAGCCAATATTCGGCCAACTCTGTTTTACTGCTTCGTGCATGTTCTTGTACAGAACGAGAGTGCTTCCTAGTAAGGGGGTAAGGGAGCAGTTGATGATTTCATTCTATGATCCATGACCTTTAATACCTACACATATGTGCATATTTCCATCGACATATGAAAAGAAAAACAATCCCATAACTTTCCAGATTATTTCTAGTTTATATTTTGTGATTGTACACACGTTGAACGCTGGTTTTACTTGGTTTTTCCATACCTAAGTACCTACTTGATTGTGTCTCAGGGGTAAAAGTGGAGTTGATATGAACTTAAGGAGGCTTACAGTTTGGGATTAGGGATTAAATCTATATTTAAAACGTCCGTAACTTCTTAGGATAATTACCATCGATTGTCTTTTTCCATTATACACACCATATTACAACTAGAGTCCATTGCTATCGATTTTTGAATATCCCTCAGCACCCTGATACAGTCATATCGAAAATTCTGCATAATGAAGCTGTTGGAATTGCACTAGCAAGAATGTCCACGGAACATTGACATTTGCAAGTTCCAATTATATTTTGTGAAGTTCACTTCTTTCAAGATACGGATAAGTTAACACTTGAAATACGTACCTAGTAGCTTAGCGCGATAATGTGCGTATACGGATATTGCGTGCTTTCACGTGACCGCCACCTCTTCCTATTTTCCAGACTAAATAAAACTTGTGATCAATCAGCTCCGAGTTTCAGATTTTCAGTTCTGCGTCGCCCAATCATAGACCCCAATCAAACATATCTCGAAATATGGCGGGAGTTGCCATGCTTCGTCCCCTTGCAAGGGCTCCGATTAGAGGTCTTGCAAGAAATTATGCCACGATACCGGCGAAGGCTCATCATCGTGTTGTAGTCGTTGGAGGAGGAACTGCCGGCGTAACAGTCGCAGCTCAGTTACAACGAACTCCCGAGTTCGAGAATAAAGACATCGCCATCCTAGACCCAGCACAGACGCATCATTATCAGGTGAGTCCTCCGGGTTTCCAGATAGACGCCAATATGCTAACTTTGAGATAGCCCGGATGGACACTTGTCGGTTCAGGCTTAAGGTCCCTTGAGGATATGCAGAGACCCCTTTCCAGCGTGATTCCGAAGGGCGTCAAGCACTATCCTCTACGGGTATCTACTTTTGACCCCGCAAATAACTCCATCAAGACATCTGAAGGAGTTAACGTTTCATACGACTACTTGATTGTTGCTCCGGGCCTCGAGACCAACTTTGCCGGGGTGTCGGGTCTGGAACAAGCTCTACAAGACCCCGCTAGCCAAGTATCGTCTATATACTCGGAGAAGACAGTTGAGCAGGTCTGGAGAAATATACAGGCTTTCAAAAAGGGGCCAGCTATCTTCACTCAACCTGCCGGAATCATAAAATGTGCCGGTGCCCCTCAAAAGGTTATGTGGATGGCTCTTTCGCAATGGAAGCGAGATGGCGTGCGAGATAATATTGATATTACTTTTGCTACTGGAGGTCCCTGTAAGCACTAAATTGTCATGCCATGCGAACGATCCTCTCATACTGACTCTGATATAGCTATGTTTGCTGTTCCAAAGTACTCACAGGCTCTTGACGAGCTGCGTAAGCAACGAAACGTCGAGGGTCTCTTCCAGCACAACCTCGTAAAGGTGGACCCGAAAACCAAGGTCGCAACATTTAAAAACTTAGATGGGGGTGCCAAAGGGGCGCTTGTGGAGAGAGAATTTGGATTCCTGCGTAAGTTTATTATCGCGAATACTTTAATTCCTACTTCGACCCAGAATCATTGCTGACAGTAGATACCAATAGACGTCGTACCACCGCAGAAGCCGTTCGATTTCGTCGCCAAATCAGAGTTAGGTAAGTCCAGTCTCATAGCCGATTTATGTGCTAGTTCGTGTTGAATGATTTCAAGGTAGCTGACACTTCTTTCCCAGCTGATGCCGCGGGATGGGTTGACGTTGACAAATCCACAACCCAACATACGAAATTTAAGAACGTTTTCTCTCTTGGCGATGCATCCAGCCTTCCTAATAGTAAAACTGCGGCTGCAATTACAGCACAAGCACCGGTTTTAATAGACAACCTGCTTGCAACTATGAAAGGCAAGGAACTTAAGGCCTCATACGACGGTTATGCAAGTTGTCCGCTTCTCACCGGCCATAATGAACTTATGCTCTGCGAGTTCAAATATGGTGGCATACCTAAGGAGACCTTTGCAAACATACTCGGAGGTCAGGAATCCCCTAATCGGTTATTCTACCATTTGAAGAAAGATTTCTTCGTAAGTCATTCGCAAAGTCCCCTGTCGACGTGGACTGTATCGCTAACATTCTTGTAGCCGTATGTTTACTGGAGCCATTTCGTTAATGGCACTTGGTACGGACCGAGTGCATTTTTCAAGCCTGATACCACGGTTAAGGCTTAACTTAAGCTCAACCATGTTCAACAGCCTCTGCGATACAGACTCTAGATCGCTCTTGTACATAGAACTTCCGTAGATACCACATTAATCCGTTCTTGCTAAGAGGCATATAAGGAATGTTAGTGAAAATGTATGTGCTCAGGACTTGCGTTACTAGTTGGAGGTACCCCAACATTGTCCAAGGCAAATTTATTGTTCCCCCTTCTTACCCCTTTTTCCACTTTTCGGCAGAAATTCTTCGATAGGTCAAAGGGGGCTTCATTTCTCTCTTTCAAGGCTACCTGGCCTCGAGGCCACTATCTCTGTGGGTGCGCCTTCCAAAAGACTGATAATAGATCAGGGAGACGTCCTTATTGAAGCCCAAAATATGACAATATTATATAGTGTTGGAAGACAACATCTCACGACGAGTCTTTCGGGCAAAGGACGCGTATATATCCACCACACCCTATGCAGTGATGGAGGGCGATGAACGAGCTTGCTTAGAGCATGGCTCAAATCAAATAAAGCCAATATTAACCCTACTTTGACTCGAAGTAGTTTAACTTGAAGCATGAAAATTCCTGTTTATAGATACGCTAAAATACTTGGCCCGATTTGATTAGGAATTAACGAAAGGGGGGAAACTTTTACCCCTGCTTACCTAGCATGGTTCGCGATATCCTCAATCTTAGTGGCAGCAAGGGTCGTTAGAGCCTCATGGGTCTTCGTGCGGCTCTGCTTATTATAATGGATCCACTTAGTTATTTGGATTCCTAGGTTCACTTGCGAATTCTATACTATGTAGTTTGAAAGTGTGGAATATCTTTGATGGTCTCGAACGATTGACTGGGCCTTGGTAGTTACGATGCTTCGCAGGGACGAAAGGCTTGAGCGGAGAATGAGCGCAATCGGAAGGACTGGTGTTAATAACTCTGTCGGTATTATCGAGATAAGCTACCGAGTGAGTCCAATGTTGAGTCGGCCCCTCCGAAAAGTGGATATCGTCGGTAGTAAGTACCTGTAACCCTTAAGGAAACCATAGTATGCTGCTTGAACGGAAATGAAGCGAGTACTATGGGCTAAACACGTCTCTATATCATATCAAACGCGTCAAAACACGAAACATGGCTTCTCTTGATGTTTCGCGGTTATTCGGGGTGAAGGGTTATACCGCGGTCGTTACAGGGGGAAGTTCGGGTCTCGGCTTCATGATCTGCAAGGCACATTTCGGACATCTATTTGGCATCTTCAAGGCTAACCAGTAGCAGGGTCTCGTAACCAACGGAGCAAAAGTCTACGTAGTCGCCCTCCCAGCTGAGCCGATAGACGAGCGGGTTGCTGAACTGAATGAAATCGGGAAAAGCTCTGGCGGAAGTGCCGTGGGGTGAGTCGATGCGACTACGGGAAGTGAAGTGATCACACGCTTACAATTCGCAGTATCGCTTGTGATGTCTCATCGAAGCAGTCGATATCTGAACTGGCTGCTAAAATTTCGCAACAAGAGCAATCCATCGATCTTCTGGTATCCAATGCTGGTATCAGGAGAGATCCTCCTATTTTGTGCGATGTTCAGGCAGCGCCCCTAGATGAGTTGCAAGCCTCTATGTGGTCATCCGAACATTCAGATTGGGGCAACACCTTCAGCGTGAATAGTACCGCACACTATTTCATGTCGGTTGCATTTCTGCCCTTACTAGCTACTGCCGCGGAAAAAGACAAAAGCACCGGTCGTGGCTCGATCGTGATAACTAGCTCGTGCGCGAGCATGCACAACGTTACCAATGTCGACTTAACCAGCTACGCAACAAGCAAAGCTGCTACTGATCACCTGGTCAGGCTACTCGCTGCCAAGTTCAGCCGATTCTACGTCCGAGTAAACGGTATTAATCCAGGATGTGAGTTGAGACCGTTGATTCCCGCCAAGCACTTAACTCGTCACGTCAGCTAAATCTAAAGTCTTAGTTGTCCCTAGCAAGATGAACCCCGTTGGCGAGGAGGGCAACGTGTTTAGCAATTTGTTTGATAAAGTTCCGGCACGGAGGGCTGGGGGAGAAGAGGATATCGCCGGTGTTGTCATCTACTTGGCGAGTCGCGCAGGGGTAAGTGCGGATTTCACGACGTTTCCAAATGGGAGCAACCTTGTGCTAACTTAACCCCTGATAGGCATATGTTGACGGGATTTCTGTTTGTGTAGATGGAGGTCGCATTTTACTAGCCAATGGTCAATAAGTGGGAGGTAGGTACCTACTTAGTTGTTCCCTTTTCTAGACGGGATAATGTCATTATATCGATATCCATCTGTCTACCCCTTTACCTATGATCGCAAGGAAACGCTGGAGAGCGTGCACCGCGGGCCTACTTTTAGCAAGTACCCCGCGCCATAATACGGTGCTCAGATGGTGAAGGCGGGGTAACAAATTCGGCATTACTCAATAAAGGGGCTCACTATAATTCACAAGTTTTAGTGGAAAGCGCCCTATAATTAGGCACAGAGCACGCTGTAAAAAGTGGGTCAGTTTTCACAGATTACCTAGTAGCTGTTCTTCTTCGTCTACCAGTCTCCCAGTAAACCAGTGTGATACTATTCAAAATATCTAGTATTTAAACAAAATCCTCTCTAACAGTAGGGCCAAGCCGACGATGTTGCAGTATTACCTCAGGACTTTTGAAGGCTTTTCTGTTGGGTAGTCAGCCCTTATACAGCATCGGCCCATCCGAATAGCACCTAGGTGGGGCAAGTCGCACTCTAGGCGTAAATAGGTAGGTATGTAGGTACCTAGGAGGTCAGTCTCAGCATTCCTTCATCTCACTACATCGTGCCCCTTATTCTAAGCATTTTGCATTATTCTGGAATATGTCGATCATTTCTATTGGAGGACCGAGTCAGTTAGTTATTCCTACCATTAGATCATCATAGGCTCATCTTAACTCGTCTTTAGGTCTGACCTCAGCGAGGACACTGTCCATCAGCTGGCAGCAAGTCTGTCGGTAGAAATCACCAACGCAGCTGATGCGAGAGACTACCTCATCCTTCTAAGGTCACTAGAATCAGTTTTAAAGCATGTTAGAGATGCGCCAGACTATATTCATCCTGAGCTCAAACCACAGCCTGTGGTTGGATCTCGACAGTATTGGAAGCCAAAGGATGAGGACAACCCGATGAACGCATGGAATTTTCAATGCAATCTGAAGTCGTCAAATCCCACTTCTGAGCAATTGAAAGATCTCACTATAGCAATCAAAGACAACATCTCAGTTGGCGGTTTACCGACGACATTGGGAACCGTTACTGAGGCCTTATCGCGCGATGGCTCTCTCCCTATATCCCCAATTGACGCTTCGGTGGTCAGCCGTCTTTTGTCTGCCGGAGGAATTATCAGGGGCTCGTCAACTTGCGAGAATCACTGCGCGTCTCCATTATCGTTCACATCTGCCAGTGGCCCTGTGCACCATCCTCTCCTTCATGGATATACATCAGGCGGAAGCAGCAGCGGTTCCTGCGCGCTCGTTGCTGCGCATGCTTTGAAGCGACAAGGACTAAGTCAGCAATGGGGCGACACAGTTGAACTTGGGATTGGTAGTGATCAAGCGGGCTCTGTCAGGATTCCGGCCTCGTTCACTGGTATCTACGGACTTAAACCAACATTTGGTCTGGTTCCCTACACTGGCGCAGCCTCTATGGCGCCTATGATAGACCACTTGGGACCTATCGCCTCGTCTTTAGAGGGAATTGCCACTTTGTTGAAGGTCATGGCTGGGTATGATGGTCTGGACCCGCGAATGACACCTGAATCACCACTACTGGATCAAGTGAAGGATTATCCTCAGATGTTAGCTGATTTCAAAACCAAGCTTCAAAGTTCTGGCACGCAAGATCAAAAACCTTTGAGGGTCGGATTTTTGACGGAATCTTTCACTATTGCCAGACTGAGCCCAGTGGTGCGCGACACCGTTCGCCTGGCGGCTAAATCTTTCGAAGCTGCAGGAGCCGAGGTCACGGAGGTTTCTATCCCACTCCATTCCGAAGGGCCTATCATCTGGACTGCTTCCACTCGACCATCGATGTCCCAGACTCTCTGCCAGGGCAAGACGGGGGGTCATCTGTCGTATTTACCCCCGCATCTTCAAGCCCAGTGGCCTCCAACTCAACAAGCGTTCGAGTTGCAGTCAAAATCCAACCCCGCCTTGGTCAACATTATGTTGAGTGGCCAGTTCGCGCATAATCACTTTGGGTCCTGGGTTGAGGGAAAGGCGCATCGCAAAGTTTTTGAACTCCGATCAGCGTACGATAAAGCGTTCGAGGAGGTGGACATTCTGATAACTCCTTGCGCCCCAACGCTCGCCATGCCGCATCCAAACCCGGAGTCTGGAATCTTGGAGAAACTCAGTAGCTCTATTGGAGTCACCAGTAATACTTGCCCATTTAATATTACCGGCCATCCGGCGCTTAGTGTACCTTGCGGGTCCGCAGCAACTCCTGAGCATCCTGATATTTATCTTCCTATCGGAATGCAGGTTATCGGAAGGAGATGGGAAGACGAGACAGTACTCATGGCTGCAGCGTTGTTTGAGCAGGGCAGAAAGACCACAAAGACATGAATAGTGTTTATAAGACAGCCCATAACCAAAAAGTATTGCTACATCTGAGACTCTAAGCTTTGCTATGTAGCCATGACTGCTCATCTCCGACCATCATCCCACAAAGTCCTTTATTTTACTGTCTATCCATTCCTTATCTCTGATGCTCATTCCAGACCCCGCCACATGGCCCCAAACAGATGGTATAATCTCACATTTCCCGTTTGGTAGCAACTGGGCCTCCTTTTCACTAGCGGTCCAACTGAAATACTGATCAGTACGGCATGGTAAGAGTAGCACCGGCGCCGTAATTTTGGACAAAGCGACTTCCAATGATCCGCCGCATTCCTCATTACACAGTGTAATGTCGCCACGCTGCCACATGCATAGCATCACCAATAGATCCTCAGGGTCCCAATCCCGGTAGTTGACGTCCGTCGTGGCTTGGTCCCATTCACTCAAAGACTGGTATCCCAATTCTCGATAGAGCTCGTCCTCAAACCAAGCAACACTCGTGAGCCAGGCCGAGTATGCCTTGCCAAACGCTCTTAGACCCAGAGGCGCTTCCAATTTCCCCACCTCTTTCCTCTCCGCAACGTAGTCTGCGGAATTCTCCAGCGCAGCCCTCGGCCCCTCCAAGAATTGATAGTTGTGCCGGCTTGTTCGAGCGGAAGAACAGATGATCACGGCTTTCTTAACCATCTGGGGATATAGGGCTAGCCAGTGGTAGGTGCATTGTCCGCCCATGGAGAAGCCCACCATGACATCGATGGACGTGATACCGAGGCCTTGGGTGAGCAGAAGATGCTGTGCGCGAACGCAATCCCGGTACTCGATCTTGGACGGGAAACCTAGGGTGTTGGACGGACTGGATGATTCACCGTTCCCTAGCAAGGCAACCACGATGACCCTATGGTCACTCAATGCGCCTTGGGCAAAATTCAGTGTCGACCGAACCCTCCCACGAAAGCATGTTGGGATCAAGGCCGTCTTGGTGGCGTCTTTGTTGAATTGCAGGTATGCTAAGCGAACATGATCCAGAGTGGTCCCATTTTGGAAAGTAAAGTTGGGTATGTCAAAATATTCAATTTCACCTTTAGTCGAAGACATCTTGATGTTGAGACTTAGAACTGATTCCGGCAAGACGCCCGTGATTACATTGATTCAAATGCACCATGAGATGTAGATACCTCCTTGTTTAATCCGAGGTGGTGTATAAACCGAGCTTTCGCATGTAACCTTCGCATCGGAGGTTTCCGATCGGTCCTTTCGGAGGTGCCGATAAGTGAGGTCAATTATGTAATTACCTATATTAAATGCTCAAAGAAGCGTTAAGAACGCCTGATAATGGCCTATTCCAATCGATGAATCCGAAAATAAGAAAGCAAATATCTATCCGGAATTGCAGGACGTCTAGATCCATACTCCATTTGCTACGAATTAGTGATCATTTCCACCTACTATAGCGATTTGAAGCGCTATTTTTGTGCGAATTCCTACCTCAAGAATATACATCTACTCAATCCTTCTTGTACGAGCTGTTCATCATGTCTCCTAACGGCGACGCTTTCTTGCTTGACCCAAACACACCTCCTGGGCCATCTCGATACGCCCATGCTCGCATCGCGCCTGCATCAGCTCACCGTACCATCTACGTCTCCGGAATAGCGGCCGTGACTCCTGATGGAAAGCTCGAAGGCGCGACGCAGAACGCAGACGGTACCTGGAACTTGGACATCAAGGAGCAGACAGCCGCCGTCCTACGAAGGATTGATGCCATTATTAGCGGCGCCAGTAATGGCAAAGGTGGCATCCATAACGTCATCGATTCAGTCGTCTATCTAACAGACATGAAGTCTCACTATGCTGGAATGAACGAGGAATGGAATAAGGTCTTCACTGACCGTGTGGGTGCGCCGGCGCGAGCTACTGTCGGAGTTCAGGAATTGCCAGATCCGCGCTTTATCGTGGAGGTCAAAGTCGTAGCGGTAGTCGACTTCGAGTAATGTTGAGGCTACGCTATATATGCTAAGGTACCAGGTTAGTATATAGTCCATAACATTACATTGGTCTCTAGAATACTGACATCGAAAAGGGGTCACCCCTATCTTGTCCTTACGTAAGCCCGATATCAGCCACAAGTCCGAAAGCCCGAGCCAAATTTGCATTTCTTTCCCGATTAGGAAGTTTCTGTCCCGGTCGGTTAAAATTCGCTGTCTCGCTTGTGCTACCCCGGACCCGGTTATCAGATTCGGGGTTGCAGTCAGGGTCCAGGTGTTTCTAATCATAGGAGGGCCCACTAGTAGTTATTCTAGATACTACCCTAGCTGCTTAGATAGAAGCCCAGATAATACTACCCCTCCAAATATTTCGGAACCTCCGCAACCACTTTCTTTCTGATAAGCTTTGGTCATACTCTTTACTCACTAGAAGAAACGTTATGGATACTCCCGTTATTACTGCTGTAGCGAGGACATCCTGCCAGCGGTGCTACAAGCGCAAGAAGAAATGTGATAGGGCTTTACCGCAGTGCGATAACTGTAGAACGGCCAACGTGCAATGCAGTTTTCTAGATGGCGACCAGCAGAGTGGCACATATCCAATTGCGTAGGTCATCCAACATTCTCGATCGTACGATTAAATCCTGCACAACATCCTAGATTGACACGATCATGTAACTAGGTTTGTTCAAGGCCTTGAAGCCAAGATTCAAGAATTGGAAGGTCAACTCGCATTGGCACTAGAAGCTGCACGCGATCGTCCAGAACCATCGCTAGACAATGGCCAGTCCGGGACCCAAAGTATCGGAAACTCAACGCATGTCGACGAGGCCCTTGGGAGTGACTTCTCTCCCTTTTCTAGTCATGGACAAGCACAGTCGTCCATTGAACAAGTTCCGGCCATTTCTATGGCCCGGGAGCTACGCATTCTTTCCTTGGAGGCGACAGCAGAACGACACTTGGGTTCTTCTTCGGGTTTGTCTTTCGCCAAGTTGACGCAGACAATCCTTAAACGCCTCACGCCAGATCGAGCAGATTTCGTTTTTGGAATTTCCCAAGGGGACGACTTATTAGGGCAGATAAACTGGGACTCCCCGCCGGATTTCTTTCACCCTCATATGATGAATTTCCCCAACATCTCTGGATTTGGACCGACCCTGTTTGGAGATATGTCCTTGTCCAGCATCATAGAGCCTTCTGGTTCTCTCTCAGATCTGGGCCTACCTACGAAGTCGCGCGCCGACCAGTTGGCGTCTTTTTACTTCGCGCATAGCCATACTTTATACCCTATAATCAACCAAAGCGAGTTCCTCACCTTGCTAGATCGTATCTACGAGCATCCTCTAGATCCCTCTACCATGGATCCTACATCCTTATTTAGAGTCTGGATGGTTTTAGCAATCGGCTCTTCGTCACGTTGTTCGGTCTCGGTGGTCGAAGAGTCGGAAGCTTTACTCTATTATAATAAGGCCCTTGAGTACTTCGAAGCCGCATTTGACTACGGTGATATGGTACGCTTTTCTTTTAATTCTTCTGACTATATTATGGGACTAATGTGACTATAAGGTAGCGCTAGAGACCATCATGCTTCAGGTCTCCTTCTCCTTCTTCAACCAGCTTGGCCCAAGTAAATTGACCCCTGAGCAGCTTATGTAAGCGCCATACTAATAACTTTTCAGACACCTGGTTCCTAGTTGGCACGGCAGCCCGTATGGCTATCGGCTTAGGTCTCCATACTTCTTCCGCATATGAAAGAGTCCCTTTCGATGTTGCGAACATGAGAAAGCGGATTTTCTTCTCCATTTACATGATGGATCGGTTAGTCATCCTCGTATTTCAGACAGTCGCAAATAAAATGTCCTAACATCTTCATACCCGGCATAAAGTGTGATATCTATAGCTCTTGGACGCCCTTTCGCGTTACAAGACGACGATATAGAAATAGAGGTGAGATAGCGCAATAGGGTTTTATTAAACGTTTCTCGTTGCTTACTTCTAATAATAGCCTTTTATCGATGTTGATGACGACCACATTAACGATCTCGACGCTCGGAGCCGAGACAGGCTAGAACCTTCTCTCATGTCTATTCCACGACATATTTTAGACTTGAGGAGAATTGCTAGTAAGATCAGTAGACAGGTCTACGGCAATCAATCAATCATCCAGGCAAATATGCCTCATCGAGAAGAGATTATCCATTCTCTCCACAAAGAACTTATTGACTGGCGACGTAACATGCCGTTCCCGCTCCCTGACGTTCATCCGAGAGTACCTCATCTCAGTAGTAATTGGTATGACTTCAATTACTACACACATATGGCTATGCTATACAGGCCTTCGCCACTATTCCCGACTTTAGACCAAGTCATGGTCAAGAAGCTGGCGAATGCCGCGTCGATGTCCATTCGCCAGGCGTACACCATGCACCGTCAAAAGAGGTTCGCCTACAACTGGTTGAATTTGCTTTCGCTGTTCATGTCAACTATCTCGTTGATATACGCATCTACCGCCCAACCACAGGAGCTCGTCAGTTATTTGCAGAAGGCTCAAGTTATCGATGATCTCGAGCTTGTTCTCCAGCTTTTTGACAAGCTGAACGGCAAGTTCTCAGGTGCTAAGAATATTCAATGTATTATCGATAGGGTCCTTCGAAGATACAAGGAAATGTGTAACATGAATACGCCGAGTTAAGTTGGGTATGATTTAAGGTCATTTAGCATGGGATCTGGAATTAGCTCTTATGAGGTTTAAAGGCGTTCGTCTCAACTTGGGAAGTGGATTGATTTCCCATTGGAGTCATATATTTGATTATCTACCTACAGTCATGGCAGTTTCGCAGGTAGATATTCCCATTCGAACAGGCCAAGTCGGTCAAATAAACATGTGTACCCAGCTTAGCTAAGCATAAAATAGGGGTAAAACACCTGCGTACGACATGGTCGCGTTGAAACTTTTGACCATCCACATTGACTTGGAATTATTATCCCTTCTGATATTCAGATGAAATAGAATATCACCCCTCGAATTCTTCTGCGTCGCGTCCATCGGTATATCGAAATTTCTCACTCCACTCAAATAGCTGCTTGAAATCCCGACACTGATGCACGCTTCCAAAGCCGTCCACGCCGTTCCCTTGCGTGCCTCCGTCGAACGGAGAGAGGAAAGGCTCGAGGGCGCTGTCCGCGGCGCATATGATGCTCTCCCGGAGATAATCGAAACAGTGCAGAGAATGCGAGCCGTGCAATGAATGCGCGTCTGTCCCTAGTTCACCGTTTAGAGCGCGTCCGAAATCGGAGTAGATCAGAAACTGGGAATGATTAACACCTAGGTAGGGGTTTGAGAGGTCACGATTGGAATAACACGTATGCTTACGAGGCAGTGGAGTTGGTGGAATGCAGCGACACAGAAGCGTCCCGAGCCATCTGTACTCATGTCTTGGAAGATACGAGGGATGTCTCCTGCATTTTTGATCGTGTCCATTGATACGTAACCCATCCCAGCTGAGCTTCATTTAGTATAAGGCCCGGTGAATCAAGGACGGGACATACGAGGGAACAGTGACATCCATGCTTCGCGGGTGACGTTCATATCTTTAGCGTAATAGGCTGGCTCGCCGATGTAAGTTCGAAGAACGTTTCCGAGCGGTGGAAGATTCAATGATGGAAGGAGCTCTTGTTGTGGTTGACTTGCACTCGATATGATATGGGACGTCGGTAGAACGTTGTGCATGATAATCGTCCCTATAGCGGAAACTAAAGCACTGACTAGAGCAACGACGACTAACAAGAACCGAGTCCCTCGGTCGTTCTTGTCGCCTCGGCATATTGTCCGTACAGCTTCACTTTCCTTGGGGAGAAAGGGCACTTCGTTTTCAGGGACCGACTCAAGCATTTTTTCGAACTGAAAGCTAAAGATGTAGTTACGTAGAAAGTAGAAGGATTCCAATTTCCCGTCAAAGGGTGGGCATCGTGAAAGCTTTGGAAAATCATGGTCATTCCCACCTGGTTCCATCCATCGCGGGGTAGGTGGAAATAGTCAGAATATGCTTCCTCGGCTTACAATGGAGTTGTCTAGCTTATATACAAGGGTGATGTCTTGAATAAGCCGCATACATGTACATTCTAACTAATGCAGTGTCGCTGTGGATCCGCTTAGGGCAAGAAGGTGAGGGATCGAGCCATGTAACCTACTACACTAGGTAGGTACCCTACCTGAGACCGAAAGTGAAAGCTTTAAGCCGGAAGTAATTGTCCAAGGTAAACATCACTTCACTCCTTGAATCTCATCCATCATAGTAGCTGCTCTCATTCACCTTCGCACTTTCACAAGATGGCCTGGTCAAACACAGCCCGCACATGTTTTGCTGTATGCATATCCTCAGCTATAACCGTGGTAGCACTTTTTCTTCTTATCCGTCCTGGTCATGATAATATGGTAGCTACCCTCGTTGACGGCGTGCGAGCCGGATCCTCAGTTTATACTGCCGGTAACTCTCACCCTAAGCCTAAGGAGTGTCCGTCTGTTCATTCACAAGAGCTATCCCCCGTCAAATTCATCAAAGATCCATGGAAGCATCCGGTTTACAATAGAAAGGAACCCAGAGAGATAGACTGGTGGGAAGATCTTCTCACACCAAATGGAGGTTTCCTTATGGTCAAGGAACAGGACGGCGAGACAAACCAAATCGGGGTATCGATGTTTCATCAGTTGCACTGTTTGAGCATGATTCGAACAATGATCCTAATGGGAGATATACACATGGATCACGTTCATGTTGAGAGCCGTGACATGAATCAGAGTGCGAAAGACCGCGGACATTTCCTACACTGCTTTGATTACATAGTTCAGGTATGTAATTCACTCTGGTAATTTCTTGTCTCCTCCCAGATGCAATGCTAATAAGCCGCATAGGCTATCCTCTGCACAGCAGATGATACATTGGAAAGATCGGGTAAAGTATTGGTTCCCGGGGGTGAGGAGGTGGATGGCATTAATGGCGTAGGCCAGATGCACCAATGTCGTAATGCTACGTTGCTTTATGACTATGTGCTGCAGTCTGAGAAGGTCCCTGTTAAGGCGGATTTAGTCGGAGACTACTTGGTATTCCCATGAGCGAATAAATCTCATATGCAGCATAGTTGGTATAATGCAGGAAGTGGTGAAGCTAAAGGGTATCACATGATCTACGATAACTTAGATAAGAAAAGGGGTACCCCTGATGACTCCACCTATAGGTAACATAGGTAGGCCTTAATAGAAAATGGAAGCGAGTTTCAAGAAGCTAGACACGTCGTATATATTTAGACCTTTTTCACTCTAGGCCGTTCGAGGCCGCTTACATGCATGCTCGGAGGAAGCTTTCCAGGGTTACATCCGACATGGCATTTGCATGGGTATAAGATAAGCTTATATCTAATAGTACCAATGACACCATACGTATGCGGCTACATCTCAACATCCTAGATAAATTGTATCCTCAAGCTCCGACGGACCAAGTTCGGTTGCCCCTTACGGGGGCCTCGGCCATACCTTGGAATCTTTAGGCATGGGGTAGCCAGTTTCCGGTGGTTGTGGCACTTCGTGCTCCTCAATCCAATTTCCTATGCTATCCAAATCACGGCATTTATGCATCGTGTTGAAGTTGGCATAGGGATCCTGGATGTCCTTGACCCAGTGATGGGGAATAACTCCTACGTCGCCATTGCACATGATGAGCTGTCTAAACATCTCAAAGCAGTGGTCTACGAGATGCGGTCAGCAAGTCATCAATCAAAAGTATTTCGATTGGCTGAAAAGGAGAAGTGCTTACTGATGTGCACTTTGATGGTGACAGGGTTATCGTTCAACCAATCTGCCCAGATCTTATTTTCTGGTCTTTCATAGTACTCTCTATGGTACGCTTGTCGAATCACATTCAGGCACTAGATTACCCCAGTCAGCTTTTGGAGCAAGGCGAGACGACTACTCCGGTTGTCACTTACGTGCATCTGGTGACTAATCTCGAGAAACCCGATATACCCTCCTCCATATTCCTCAGTGAATTTTGCAGAACCTTCCAGGTCCATTCCCATTGCTGCGAACTCATCGCGAGAGAAGCTGGCATATTTGACTAAAATTGTGTTAACAGAAATTGTAACCAAACGCATGGTGGGCTTCACGGACCCAACTTACCGAACCCCCATTTATTCCAGTTGCGGTCCATGTCTTCATTCGGGTCGCCCCAATGCCCAGAGAACTCTGAGTTCTTTCCAAGTGTGCCTATTGGATCATAAGCTTAACGTATATAAAAAGGAACATTAGGTAGGGACGTACCATTGAACTTTACCTCGTGAAGCTGGTTTGGGATTTCCTCCATAATAGTTGCTAGGGAATGTGAGACCTAGTTATGGTATGGAAGTGTTTGAAAAGACATACAGTAGGTCGAGCTATGCCTCATGCATTTCTCATCTATATGAGGTTGCCAGGCTTTTCCGAACAGGAAAGCGCCCACGGCAGTGAGAATCAGAACACACGTTGCGGTGATAACCGTGACGATACTAAACCGTCGACGTGGGTGGTAGAGAGGGTAGTGCGCCTCATCTCCCATAAGAGCATCTTCCTGGCCGTCTTGAGTTTGATCATCAGAAATCCTTGATGATTTCTCCAAGTTGTCAGACGATACTGCTGAATATGTCTGTGGTCGGCGGATAGACCCTTTGATGAACTCAATTAAAGATAACATTATGACTGAACTTCAAGTTTTCGGGTTATAGACCTCGAAATTGAGAATGTATGAGAGAGGGAGAAGAATGCAAGAAGAGGGGCTGATAGAAATACAGGAGGATACAATAGTCAAGGACCGACCCTAGACCTTTTTGACAAGTGCTCTGCTGTACCTAACCCCCTTAGCCTCTGACTTAATATCACCACTCGGATAACCAATTGGATTTCTTCTCACAGGAGAGATTAGCGCGAATAATGTGGACTTCGAGAAGAAATAAACCTGTTTCTACCTATATCACTTATATCCTATCTTGAATCATGTCGACAGCCGAATTCGGCTATGTTGAAGGGACCTTCAATATTATACCGCTTACTGCTGAGCGACCTAAAATCCTCTTGCAGCCCGTCACGCTCTATACCTATTGAAGCAGTTCCTTGTACTGACTAACGCACAGTCTCACAGCATGCAAATGCATTCCAGGGATTACAAGCGGAGCCAAGTAATAGTTTGATATCGGACTCCGTTCTATGTCCTGGTCATGATGAGACTGACCTTCGAAGTACCGATATAGGACGTTGACTCGGTGTTTTGAGAAATACGATATAGTCACGAGTACGAGTACATGAAGCAGCTCTCATTTTAACATAAAAGGGCGTAAGAGAAGGTGTTCAGAAGATTGATCAGCCCACAGCATCGAATCTCAAAACTCCCACATTTCATACTCTTATCCTTACTTCTGTGCACCTATCAATTGTATGTCCCCTTATGATACCAGTTGAAACTTACGCAGCTAATACTTTATAGTATTAACTAGACAACATGGTCAAGTTTGCCACTATCGTCGCTATCGCATGCGCGGGCTTCGCCGCGGCAGCACCTGTTGCTCACACTGCTGTCGAATCCAACGCTGAAAAGCGCACCAACTCGTACATCGGGTACGGTTCTGAAGGGGAATATGAAGCCGTCAATGCCGAGAAGCGCACAAACTCATACATCGGCTATGGGTCTGAAGGAGAGTATGAGGCTGTCAACAACAAGAAGCGTACGAACTCGTACATCGGTTATGGTTCTGAGGGGGAATACGAGGCGGTGAATGAAAAGCGTACTAACTCCTATATTGGTTATGGGTCTGAGGGAGAGTACGAAGCCGTGAACGAAAAGCACTAAGGATAGGACATAGATAACTTTTGACAACGATGTATAGAATTACATCGTAGAACGCTCCCTACCTAGACATATGCAAACTAGCTATGAGCGTTGATAGGGGATAGGGGCATGTACAAAGGAATGATAAAGTCATCCGCTCAATTGTTTCTTTTTAGCGATTACGCCAATATCAAGTGAATGCTCATCTAGTTAGAAATAATAGCTAATACTCAACCCGTATTGCATTCATTCATCCCTCCATGAGTAGTACTCAGAAGGAACTGTCGAGAAAGAGTCGTCCTTCACCGACCCTCACCATCTTCAACAGGTGTCATCTCTCAAGGCGAGTAGGTCACGGTCAGCGAAGCAAGTTTCTCCGTATATTGAAATTAATAACTACCAATGCTTGCTGGAGTATGCACAAAAACTATACGAACGGGCGTATCGATGAATACAACCTGGGGTTGTAGTGATCTAGATGCAAGTGAGATCAAACCGGGTTCAGCATGCGCCAGCGGTTTTAACCAAACTGTGGAGATTTATACCCTGTATACTGCAGGATATGACTGGGTTTAGTAATCTAATCTGCATTATCGACTTAATTCTCACAACAACCGGTATTGTAAGCACCTTGCAGGACTCGAATAAGCACGTTATCTAACGGTACTTATCTGTTGTGGGGAGTCTCACTAGAGGGTAATGTAACGAACCAGTGAGACCGTCGTTATATCCACATCTGTCTACTCACAGGGTCCAGACTTCGGGTATCCTCGGCAGGTATCCCTGATCTAGGACCTATACTGATGTGGCAAATAATTATCGCGGGTGAGGAGTCGGAATCCCGTCTTCGATGACTGAATCCCGAACCATCTAGGGGTTCCTCCTCTTCTTACCTCACTCTCATACACTTAGTGTCTCCTAGACCCTTTCAAGTCGCCAGTGAACCTTAACACTCGATCATGATGAACTCGTAGGTTTACTTAGATATTATAAGCAATCGACACTAATGATTATATGCAGACCTTCATCATCTGGCTCTTCGGAGCCCTTCATTCCCAAACCTAGCAAAGCTGAATACTCAGAAGTCAGAACAAGCGATGAAGAAGATCCCAACCTCTTCGTCTCTCAAACCCGGCCAAAAAGCCGTCTTCGCACAATCTTCTCCTGGATTTCTAAGACCATCATAATAGTCTTAGCACTCCACAGCCTCATCACTCTCAGCATATCCGCAGCGATCCGCATCAGAGAAGCAGCGTTGCCGGCGTGCTACTGCGGCACCTCGACCGCGGAGGCGCTAGCCATGGGCTGCAAGTACGACTCTCTCGCGACATCATGGCTGCCTCCGCACTGCCGCGACGACGAGCTAACAGCGCTCTTCGAGCGCGCGGGGAACGGGCCGGGCGGCGCGTGGCTGTACCACGCGGCGAACACGAGCGCGTCGCGGCTGTACTCGCTGGAGGAGATGGCGTACCTGGCGGACCGGCCCGACGCCGAGCGCCAGGCCTGGTCGACCATCGACTGGCACAACATGCACTGCTTCTACACGCTCGTCAAGCAGATGCGCGGCCGGGCCAAGATGGAGTACACGGGCTTCCCCGACGCGACGGCGCACGCCGAGCACTGCGCCGTGGCCATGACGGACGGGATCCCGCGGAATAAGATCGTCATCGGCATGTCGCCCGGGTTTGGGGACCCGAGGCTGGGGGAGTTGAGGAATATGGGATAGGGTAGTAGTTTCGTTCTTGGATCCTTAGGTGGGTTAGGTTGATTGAATCTAGAAGTTTAAGGCCCGAAAAAGGGGTCCGCCCTATTGTACGCTAAGCTTCTCGTAAATCCGCTACGAGAAGAAACATGATGTAGACTCGCTTCTAACGTGAGTTAGTATCCTCCTATCATGCAACCTTGCTACTTAGCTTTAGTCCTAGATTCCATCAAGGTATCCAGTCATGCAGTTCTCGTGGTCGTAGGCCGGTATTATGGATCTGTTTAAAGTATATCTTCTTCGTGCCGAGGCAATTTGTGAAATAGAAGCAATTCGCTTAATCAGTGCAGCATTAGGTGCACCGTCGGATAAGCTATCCTCGCTTCGGTAAGAAGTCAAATGACACGTTCTAGCCCTCGATTAGATCAACTATGCTGTGGGTAAGCAGCTAGATCTGGCTGTGTCCCTGCTACTGTCAGCTGACTGCATCTAAACACGGGAAACTAGGTATCTACTAACCAACCTACCTAAGCTTGGTTGCATACTCCTTCGACACATAGCATAGCAAATGATCACCGCCGTCAATTTCGGGAACGGGCAGAGTCCTTCCCGAAAGGACCGTTCCGCTGTGGGTATGTGGGTCAGTTTTTCCAGCCAATGGATTTATCCACTCTCGGGGAGCTTAAAACGTCCGATCTCGTAGCGGACATTGAACTAAGAGAATTAGCTATCCTGAAGTTACCTACCCAAGTGACTAGGCATTTACTAAGTGTTCCAAGGCGCTTTGCCTCGGAAGTTTGGTATTGCATGAAAAGACTAAAAAGCACCCCCAGATATCCGCGTCTCTTCAGGAGCGGTAGCGACGGTAGTATCCCAAGCTATGATGTCTTCTAACAAGCGGATTTCAGTCTCCATCCAGCCCCTCAATTACGCCGACATCCCCGCCTGCGCCCGTATCACCTCGTCGGCCTTCTCTGTAGACCCGCACACCATCGTCAAGAATCTAGGACGCGAGCCCTATGACATGTACGACATATCCAGCACCAACTTTCTCGAGACCCTCCACAAGAAAACGTACGTCTACGTCAAAGCTGTGGACGATGAGACCGGCGAGATCGTCGGGCACGCCGGGTGGGCGTTTAGAGGTGTGGATCAGGCGCTAATTCCGTGGAGCGGGCCCGCGGACGCGAAGCCGGTGGGAGAAGGGCGAAAACAAGGCCAGGACCAAGTTAAGAATGGCGAAGCGAAGGATGTGGATAAGAAGGAGGGTGAAGAGGGCAAGGAGGGGGATTCTATCGATCGCCTCCACGCCCTCGAAGACGCAGACATGCAGTACTGGATATCTAATGTAGTCCCTTCTGATACGCCTTGCATGTTCGTCGTCGATCTCATCGTGTCCCCCTCGTTTCAATCCCGAGGTGTGGGTGGGGCCCTACTGCGACATGGTAATGCCGTTGCCGACACCTTGGGCCTTTCGATATGGGTACACTCGTCGCATCAAGCGTACGAGGCCTATAAGAAATTCGGTTTCGAAACCGTAAGGGAGTTGAATATAGACTTGGACGAATATGCGCCGAGAAGACCACATGCGGGAGAGGAGGTTATGGGGGAAAAGGGGTGTGGCAAGTGGGGCAGATATATCATAAGATATATGGAGAGGAAACCGGGCAATTCTAGTAGTTGAGTTAGCTAACCCAAGCCTCAATCTAATTCGGACGACTAGGTATATTCAATAGGGTTGTCACTAGTCATGTCATAGTATGAACTTTCTTCAACCTCAACCAATAGAAGAGCGCGACGTGAGACTCCACTTTCCTATTATGGTAAATGAAATAACAAGGAGACACAAGATTATCTAGAGAGCTTGATGAGTAGAAGAGAAAGAGTCTATAATAGGTATGGATTTGGGGTTTGGAATGGTCGGTTATTGCAAACTACCTACCTACCTATTAGCAGGTGCGCAGCTGAAGGGGTCGACCTCATTACTACTAGAACATCGTTAATCATACCAACTAGCCTATGTAAATATGGTACATCTTTCTCAAAAGAAAGATTAATTACTGTATCAAGTATCTTATACATGGCTCTAGATGAGTTTCACGATTATCATCTCCAATCGTTCCCCGAGACACCTTCATCCCATTCAGTTTGAATATAGATAGAAGGGACGAAGCGTTTACATGACCCTCTGCTATGTCCTATGCAAAGGACAACAACAATAGGCAACGAACTAAAAGAAGAGGTGACGGAGATCAATAATTCTGACTACCCGTATCACGTACTATTCTCCGTCAATGTCGTACCTATAGGCGATATATAGTATTACAATGTTTCTTGAAAGCCAAACCATGCAGCGTCATATTCATGTACCACCTCAAACCAGAATCTTAAAGTTAGGTAGGCATCAGTCATCAGTGCATCACGAATCAGTCTCCCGCACTGTAGCCCTCGTCCTTGATGATATCGTCAGCACCGTAGCCAGTCCGGAGGGTCTCTAGCAGTCCTTCACATTCTTGGCTGGTCAATTGGTTAAACCAAGTACAGCAAGTTTACTGCTTCTTCGAGTAGGCCTATACCTATAATATAGTACCCAATAATACTCGCAATAGTTGACCGCGACAACCATTTACCACTGAAGTTCCCGAGGCCCTTCTTGGGGCTCAGGGACCCAGTCATCGCTATACCCAAAATATTTGCGGATTTTGGGCAAGTAATCAGAATCGGAGGGACAAAACTTAAATCGTTCCAAGTTTGATAGCTCATTGTTCCCAGGCTCAAGGTAGCGGTAGCATGGGTCATGAGCATCAACAAACTTTTGAACTTGACTCCAGTCCCGACACTTGCGTGACTGGCCGTCGCCTGGTCGATAACCATGGGCTGAGTTGAGGGGAACGTAACGCAATGTATCGTCTGCATTACACATGGTTTCCAGACGCAGACTGTCCAGGCAATGGAGTATGTGTGGGTAGTTGATAGTCTGGGTTACGTTATTGCGGTATTGTTGGATGGATATGTAAATATTTCTCTATATCATGTCGTTTAGTTGGGAGACTAGCATTATCATAACAGGAATTTCGTTGGGTGGATCAACTTACAACACAGTGAAGTATGTGATGGCCATTCACGATGTAAATACTTTTTCCCTTGGAGTCCCAAGGAAACGGTTGAGATTCTGGAAGATCCATTTCTTGTGCCTCTTCCCTTGTAAGTGCAATGATACCGTTTTCCCAGGGAATGGTGACATCCCAAAGTTTATTGAGCTCCGCTTCACTTGCATTCTGGTCACTGTACTCTGTATTCCACCATAAATTGTTCGGCTGAGTAAAGCCTAGTTTCACTGCCAATTGAATTAGCTTTAGAAATTATCAAGAAAATTTACACTTACTATAAGGAGATAGCTCAATCTTTATTTTCGATGATGGAACATATATTCCTAGAAGAAAGCCAAGTAGAAGAGATGGTGCGATTATCAAAGGGAGGAAAAGGTTCCGCCAACTTTTGAGGCGAGTGAACGATGGGCGCGTGTCTGAATAGTCTCCACGACGCCGAGGCTTTGGACCACTTGATGTCTCATCTTCTGGTGAGAGAAGATGATATTCCTCGTATTTCCTCTCAGGTGCCATTTCAAATAAGGAGATGATCAAATCAAACACCGAACTTTTAATAAGTGAGCTACCTTGGTAGGTACTCTTGAAATTCGATATGAATGCTGAAGAGAAACTTATGGCTCAGCAATAGCCACCGGCATTCTTTTGGCAATACATACCTATGGGGTAGGAATTGACGTAAATGTCTGGGCTGTGATTGAGGGTTCCGGATGACGGGCGGGAAACCTGTGTTGGGATGGACCAGCGCACCTCGGCCCCCAATATCACGGGGAGAGTGACTGTAACGCAATTATATGCATTGCTATGCCACGAAATTAATTGTCAGTTTAATGACCAAGAAGCATATCTCCATTTTCACGTAGTGTAACACCGATCCTTCGCATCATGTTGCTAACGGCTAGATGAAATGCGGAGAATTAGCTACATTGGAGGATCAAGGCTCACGGAAGACAGTAAAAGACGCATGCCTTGCATGAATGTTAGCACCTTCTTGTCCTACCCCAACTCACTCAGCTGCTGTAGTCCTTGCATGAGATGATGTCTATCACTGCCTACCGTGGACTCAGGGTGGGTGTTATTGGCCAGGTCTCACATCAAAGGCCAACAGATACTAATTAAAGTACAGCAAATGCAGTTACCTCCACTAGAGCTATCGTAAGTACCTAGGTAAGCAGTAATCTAGGTAGGTATCTATGGAGTCTTAATTCGTATAACAAGCCTTCGACAAGTCCTATTTGAGACTTAAATGGGTATGATGTGTAATCAATACCATAATCTGCAGAGTGAACGACTCACTATCATACTTACCATCTTGACATTCAACACAATTACCAAGTCATACTTCCCAAGTTAACTCACTGAATATGGCGTCCACGCAGTGGGTTCAGCTCCCGTTCGCATTAGTCACACCTGGACAGGTCCTCTCGGCCGGCATTGTACTGCCGCTAGTGTGCATAGCACTTGTGAGCATACGCTTTCATATTCGCAGAATCCAGAAAACTCATTTGGGAATCGACGACTGGCTCATCACCCTCGGTGTGATCTTCATAACTGGCATGGGCGCATGCATGATCACTGGTGAGCGGCTTCATGTTTACGGCTATCCTACGCCTGTCCCTTCAGGCACGGTGGCTTCCGAGGCATATGGCCTATTTCTTGATGCCTATATACAACTGGCTAAGGTATGTTGATACAACTAATAGTTGGACGAGCCTAATCAGTTTTAGATACAATTCGCGATGCAGTTCCTAATGTGTTTTGCCTACGGATTCGTAAAGGCGAGCATTATCTTCTTTTGTCGACGAATATTCCTTGGCCATAAGAATACGGCATTTGACTGGGCGTCACTCGTTGGGCTGGGCCTAGTTACTTTATGGTCTGTTGGATTTCTCTTCGGACTCGTCTTTGGGTGCGGGAAACGGGTCTGGCTACATTGGGTCCCTTTACAGGAAATGGAAGAATCATGCGACGGTATCTCGCCAGAGGAAGCAATGGTTATATCGGACTTTATTCTGGACATCTTCTTACTGATCCTTCCAATACCTTCGGTAAGATCCCCCTGGGTTATTAAGACGACGCAATGTCTTATAACTGATATGCACAGATCTGGAGCCTTAGCATGTCTACAGGGCGAAAGTGGGCTGTGACGTCGATTTTTCTGGTTGGATTGACGTCTCTGGCAGCATCAGCCGCCAGAATGTCGATTTATTTAACAGTTCTCTACCAGGGGTATGGCGCGGGTTACGATATTAATAGTGAGGTTTCCTGTCAAACTTAGATTGTCAGACCTTGTCACCTTTTAGGCACATACTAACGAGCTATGTAGGAACCGCGTCGACAATGCTTTGGTGGACCATGCTCGAAGTTTCGCTGGCAGCCATTGCTGCTTGTCTTCCAACACTCAGCTTCTTGGCCAGAGACGCTGGTTTGCGAAAGATATTCCATAGTCTGAGCAGTATGACTAGCCTCCCTAGTTCATGGAGGCGTTGGTCCGGTTCAAAGTCCAACAAGCCTCTAGAAATCAGCCAAGACAGCTTGTACACCAGCTCCTACCCCATGGGTCACGTAACACAGATTGGTACACATGAGAAATCAGTGGGCAGTTATCAGAGCGAGCCTGTAAAACAGAGTATTGGCTCGCTCGTGTAAGGATGTACTAGGTACATTCGCATACCGATGCATACGCGGATCTGATGGTCAGATCATCCGTATTAGATGGAATACATATAACCTGGGAGATTAACAGAGCTTATCTCGCGATAGCCTCGTCTCAGATTGGGATGTTGCTTATTTTAGGTAAAGCTGCGTGATTAACACTTCTTGGTGCATATAAGTCGGGGCACCCAAGATGATCGTACCCTATGACGAATGAATATAAAAGCTTTATGTTTCTACAGGAATTCGCGTGAACTCGTCTTACTACATTCCTGCATTCCATTAAAATGTCTTCGACACCGCGGTTTGTCATCTCTCCTGTAGATTTTGACCGAGATTGGGACGAATTGTTCTTGGCGTATTGGGACTCGTGGAAAAAGCCACTGCAAGCTGTTGGGCAGCTGACATTTGCAGGGATCGGTACAGGTGGTTTGGAAGAGGAGGCATCTTTTGCCGCCACGAAGCAGGAATACCTAGCTGCGGCATTAGCCAATCCTGATCAAGACTGGATCAAGATCGAAGATATGGACCACCGCATCATTGGAGGCGCGGCCTGGACGCAGATCCGACAGGGATCCGACCAACGTGCAAAACATCCTATGGATGTTCTTGGGACGCGTTGGCTCCCTGGGCCAGGATTTGAGCCAGGCTCAGACCGTCACGAACTATCCCGGGAACTTTACCTGCAGATGTGGAGTTGGCGTCCAAGGATAATGAATAGACCACATGTGTGTAAGGCCACCAATAACACAGTTCTATTTTCATTCCCTACAATTACTAACGATCTAATGACAGATGGCCAAGCCTTGTGGGTGTTGCCCGAATACCGACATACTGGCGTAGCCGCACAATTTATGGACTTCTTCGTCAAGGTCGTCGATAAGCTTGGCCTAGAGGCTTACCTCGAGGCTTCATCCATGAGCACGTCACTCTACCTCAAGTATGGTTTTGTCATCATCAAGTATCCGACTCTGGTCTTTCATAGAGACAATCCAAGTCCAGATTGGACCAGGCTTGTCCACGATATCCAGAGTCACCCAATTAGTATAATGTGGAGACCTAAGGGTGGCAAGTATGAGGAAGGAAAGACGATTCTGCCATGGCTTGGCAAGCCACGACAGGCTAAGCTTTGATGTCATTGGTATCCTTAGATTACCTACCTATAGTTGGGTTTCAGCCATGTATTCATCCTTCCTTCAGCTTGACAACGAATGACGAATAGATTTCACCTTAAGTGATCATTGCTAAAGATTATTGTGCATGCTCAATAGGATGGTAATACAAGACAAGGCGCCGTACAACAAGAGAAATCTCGCAACATATCACTTACAATAGGTGATAGAAAAGCAAGGATGTTGCGCCGAAAGCGCGCGGTCGGTCGTGTGCCCGGGAAATGGATGTGACAGCCCCCGACAATGTCACGTACATAATACCGGAATTTCCCCACCGCCTATCGGTTCGCGGCAAGCTCTTACCCCACTATGCCGCCTGATCGTCGATAGGTTAGTTGAACCTCACGATACTACTACCCAAATCATTTTGACTTATCACTTTTACCTACATCCGCGGAGGTCAGCTATCTTGCATCGCGCAAGGAAACCAACTACAGAACATTTGTTGATCAGGTTGGTATGTACCTAGTTATAATCCTTATGTACACCTGTGCCCTAGCAATGCATCACGGTGTATGTGATGACAGCACACCGAGTTCTTAGCTCTCCACGCCATGAGTTCTCGACAGCGCACAGGTTCCATGCTTAGGTATGTTATGCATGTAACTCTGCAAGACATAGCGGGCGAGTGGCGCAAGTATGACTCTGGAGTTGGAGCCTCACGGCCCTTACCCGATGCAAGTTTCACTGAGAGGTTACATATACGGCTATAAAAAAATACCAGTGAAATTGCCTAAACTGGCGGGTGTCGGTCTTGGCTGGACGGGAGAGGCTAAGCTTACGGACATACGACTTGAGGTGTCTACGATGCCTCGATATATGCAGACTTTTCTTACATGTTATGAGGCGTTTGTCTGTGATATTGCTTGATTGGTAAATTTCTGCTTGAGATTTGCATGTGGCTCAACCAATATGTTTACCTATGCGAATGAAAAGAATAGCCGAGAACGAATAGTCGATTATTATCGTTAGGCATACGTAGTCGATCCGTCTTCGCATTCATCATTGCTCTCACCGAGGTGAGAATCAGTAGATAATTTTGCTTTTATAAAGTGTACATCTGTTACCTAAGAAACTTCAATATATAACTTGGTAATAGAAATTGGATACATGTCACAAGACCCATAGATATTACCTAGATCTAAACCCATTCTAAGCTCTTTCCTAAGTCAGATTCACTTTGGAAGAAAATTCCGGTAGTATATTCCTTTCATCGTAACGAATGATAATTCCCACCAAGATAATAGACTATTATAAAAAGTATGAAGGCCTTCTCGCGCCGAAAGAATGTAGTCCTTCCATAACTTCCCTAGTCATTGCCAATACCTAAACACATATAATGATTCCATTAGAGCTTTATGCTCCTTCCCTCAGTGTCCATATTTGCTGTTATATTTAGAGACAGCAGGCCTTAGGCTCAATGATATCATTTGCCTCACGAACGACGTTGATCTCCGTCTCAGACTCGGGAGTTGGCACTGCTAGCGCAGTTGCGACGAAAAGCGCGAGAATTGGGATGAAGCGCATCGTGACTAGAGAGTAGATTAGATGTAATTCTCAGTTATGGTATAAGCGAGTGAAGTACCTTCGATAGAATTTGAAAGTGCTAACTTCAAAAGGGAGCAGATTGGATAGAGAACTAATGTGGAAACTTAGAAGGTTGGTAGTAGAAGAGACGAAAGCCTTTCTTGGTCAGAGTCGGCCATATTAATATATCTAATTCCAATACGCAGGTGTCTAAATAAGGCAAAACGGGCTAATTGAAATCGGGCAATGTGTTGATAGAGAGGCGGCCAATGGGATAGAGCAACAGACGATCAAGCAAGTATAAACTAGAATGTTGCAATCGGGGTCATGTAGGTAGCCGCTGGTGCATACATAGTAACGTAACTAATGTAAGTATTTTAGTACCTACCTATCCTGCAGAGACCTCGCAATACACTTACCCGCTCGCTGCTACCCGTTGTACATAACCACCTTTTTCTTATCATTTATCAGCCAACAACTCCAAGCTTAGATAAACTTGAAAATACCTCAATGGTAAACTTTTTGATAGACTTTGCATGTAGTGCTCAGACAATTGGTTTTCATTTCACTCGGAAGCAGCAGTATATTAGGTTATGAATTTGAATAGTTGTCAAGGGCATTTCATCCCTGTCTTATCACTTGTGTTGTAATAAGATGGCTCCCTATTACGTTGCAGAATTAATACAACACTCTCATCAAAGCCCCCGCAATGAAAAAAAAGCAGAGTTAAGTAATTTAATAGGTAAGGTCGGTTCTTTAGGGTTCGTGCAAGAACCACCAAGCACCGTCAACCAGCTGATCTGTATGATTCTCTAACTAGAGATCTTGTAAATGATGGAAAAGCTGAAAATGATAGCCGATAGAAAGGACCAAGTAGAGCGTGACATTCTCCTTGCTCGCTCAGATCTAGAACATGGGTGGCTGACCATACTTCTCAGATTGTAACTGGGTGCTGGCCGCTACGGCTGCGTTGCAACCGCTTGAGATTGCTCCAGCAGTAACTTTATAGGGTGTGATGCAGTCGCCAGCGGCGAATACACCTCGAACACTTGACTGGTGGAATGGTGCATCTGCCTGGACATCACCCATTTGGGTGAGAGCAATTCCAAGTTGGTCAACAAAGGGGCCTTGAACACTGGTTTGGGGGTTATGGACTAGAAACCTTTCCACCTTACTAGATCCGTCGTCGAATTCCACAGTCACTGAATCCGCTTCAGTGTTGCTTAAGAGACATTTGATTCGGCGGGACTCGACCTGGAACTTGGAGTCCTTGGTCATTGTAACAAGCTGGTTGGTCAATTCATCGTTTCCATGGGTGTAGAGCGTGACGCTGTCGCTGAGTTGGGCAGCATTCTCGGCCATGTGCATAACGAGAGCAGGAACCAGGATAGGGGAGACAGCTAGAACACCCGAAGATGGTGAACCTCGATCTTCATAGCCATGACAGAACAAGCAATGGAATCTGTGGTGGTTTAACATTAGCAATCTATTCAGCAATCCAGTTCAAGTGTAAACAGCGATAGCCTCACATTTTTTGGGTCCATAGCTGTGCGTAACCCTCGATATCCGGGAAATGGTCAGATGAGCCAACAGCAAGCAGCACCTTTCTGAACCTCCATTCCTTGCCGTTGCCGTCCCAGACTTGGAAATGAGAGTCGCTCTTCTTCTCCACTTTCGTCACGGGGACATCGAGGAACTGTATGGTAGAATAATAGGACTCGATATCCCGTCTGGCTGAAGTACGAAATTCACTGGGATTCTTGTTCTCCCATGTTGGAACCATATGCATCTTGGTCGCTCTAGCGTTTCGGTAACTCTTTGAGTCAAATACGACGGCTGTGTGTAGTTGTCGTGCCAACGTGCCAGCAGCAGTCAGACCAGCAGGTCCTCCGCCAATAATTGCAACATCGATGAAATCCATGACAAAGATTAAAGTAAGAAACTAGGTTGTGGCTATGGGCAAAATTGTATGAGGACGCGGTTTTGGGCGTTTTGATTCTAGGGAACTGAAGAATAATCTGTTTTTCTAACTTTCTAACACCTAACAAAGAAATGCCGACAGTGACGAGATTAACAGAACTTGTACTACATAGGGCCCCGATGCTTCCGAAACGTCGCACAGCATCTTGGTTTTTAGAGGCCCTAGGTACCTTAGGTATGCTTTTCCAGCCAGCCTACCTTACGAACCCCACCAGGAGGCAAAGCTACCTAACCTACCTCTCTGAGCTCTCAGTTAGATATATTAAATGCTCGCTCCATGGGGAAATGATCCTAGCTCGTCACGTCGTACCAAAGTCATTACATGATTTTTATGCAGTTGGCCACCTACCCCCTCCACCTCTTCCAATCTTCTGTCTTGCAGTTACTCCAACTGCTCCAATAATAGCATGTTAGGTGCCAGAGCACTGGGTGTGGCACTGTTTAAATTACAATAGGGGCTATATCCTGGCCATTGGCTGTGTACCCCAAAAGAAATCATGTAGGCACCCACTACATGCAATAAAATATGACAGTCGTATGCTAGCCTTACTGCGAAGATCTTCCGCGTTCACTGCAGTGCGAATCTTGTTTCATCCATTATCCGTATGCGTGACGAAATCAGAGTTCCTGCCCTCAACTTCCCTAGACTCTAACAGAGTCCCTTGTTAAGCTATGGCATCGGATCAAACAGCGTTGCAACGGGGCAATGACGGCACTATGGATCAACCGAGCAGCATACGGTTGTCGTTAATTCTGATTGGGCTCTGTCTAGCTGTGTTCTTGACAGGAATGGTATGAATATGTACCTATTCTTATATAACTCATTCATAGTCTAATTGTCGCCATAGGACCAAACAATACTTGCTACAGCTACGCCAATCATTAGCAACGAATTCAAAGCTCTAGATGATATAGCATGGTGGTCCAACGCTTATCTCCTTACTCTGAGCAGCTTCCAACTGTTCTACGGGAAGCTCTACAGCCTTTTCTCTATCAAGCTTGTGTACCTTACCGCAATCGCGCTCTTCGAGGTTGGGTCGCTGATATGCACCACCGCCCCCAACTCGATAGCCCTAATTATCGGCAGGGCCATCGCTGGACTTGGGGCGGCTGGCGTTTTCTCAGGTGGAATATTGATCACCACCAAGCTGATTCCCTTATCACGACGTGCCGCATACCTAGGCATCATGTCGGGCGCCTTTGGCCTCGCAGCTATTGTAGGCCCCTTTCTGGGTGGCGCTCTAACGGATCGAACGACATGGAGGTGGTGCTTCGGTATCAACTTGCCCTTAGGCGCTGTTACAGTCGTACTCTGCGCCGTGCTAGTTCACTTACCAAAGGAACCGGAAATTCAATCTATCGGTCTGGTCAATAAATTCAAACAGCTTGATATCCCTGGGACAATTTGTTTGGTTGGATCCTTGATCTGCCTCTTGATGGCCCTGCAATGGGGAGGTTCCTCCTATCCGTGGAATAGCTCACGCGTCATCGCGCTGTTTGTCGTTTTTGGAATTCTCTTGATTGTCTTTATAGTCACACAGATGACAATGATAACGGGCAATTCGCGCACCATTCCGGCGAGCTTACTAAAAAATCGTGACATCTGGCTGGCTGCAAGCTATGCCATGTGTATGACCGGCGGTGTTTACGTTGCGATCCTCTACCTCCCAGTTTGGTTTCAAGCGATACGGGGCTCCTCAGCTCTCTCATCAGGAGCCATGCTTACGCCATTGATCGGTGGTTACGTTGTTTGTTCCATCATTTCTGGTGGTGTCACCAGTGCAATCGGCTATTATAACCCCGGAATGATCATAGGCACTGCGCTCTCGATCGCCGGAGCTACGTTGCTTACCACGATCCACATGGACTCTTCTATAGCCAAAATTGTTGGTTACCAACTGCTATATGGATTTGGCGTCGGGTTTGGTTTTGGCCAGCCGAGTTACGTTGTTCAGACGATACTGCCCCCTTCCGACGTACCGATTGGCGTAACTTTCATCACCCTAATGCAGAACCTCAGCGCGTCTATCTTCGTGGCTGTAGGGCAGAGCATACTACAAGGAGAGCTACGTTCACGTCTCCAGTCAATCTTACCCGACGTGAATATCCAATCACTTCTGAATTCAGGAGCTAGCGACTTTGCGTCCTCTCTACCTCCTGAAAGCCGACAGCAGGCTCTATCGGTGTACAGCGTATGTCTTGTCTCGACCCTTTACATATCCTTGGCGTTGAGCTGTACATCGGTTGTAGGCGCTATAGGAATTAGATGGTATTCAATGAAGAAGACGCATGGCCAGACGATAGATGATACGTCGGACCAGCCAGGTGGAATACGGGACGGCGCAACAGCAGGGAATAACGGCGAACATGTCGAAATCTCACCAACGGATGGAGAGAGTTTCGCCGAAATCAAGTAAGGGCCTCTTGATGGGGTTACGTGTTGAATCTTCTGTTGGAATATTAGGTGGCTGGGAGCCCACGGACGAACGACGGCGCTGTATCTCAGGGGTATAATAGTATGCAATATCTATGGACGAAGACATCATCAAAATTATCCGGAGTTGGTGTTTTATTGAAAGATATCAAGGTAATTTAACCAGTACGATAAAGCGCAAGAATCTAGAACATAAAGTTAAACGAACATCAATAAGGAATGCTAATATGTCTTTCACTAGGCAGGTACCTAGCAATTTGCGTTAGAAGGTAGAATATACCTACCTAAGCACACACAGAGGCTCCGCTCTGGTAGATCGTAGCATTATTGGTACAATTTATATATTCTAGATCTTGGACGCCAGGTTAGGTGAACTATACCTAGGTACCTAGCTATACTCTCCAATCCTTGGCTAACGAATATTGCCAGGCAAAGGGACATACAGGATTTTAAAGGGGTACTCTAGACTTCTTGAACACACGTTGCTATGTGTATCTATACTTACCTAATACCAAAAATAGCTCTTGGGTGTAAATAATTCATCATCATCATCAGTCAACCCCTATTTCATTCAAGGCCTCGGGAATTGCTATTTACCTCAGTGATCTTCCAGTTTCTCTCATAAGGTAAACAGCCCCTGGGGCATCAATACCCTGGTAAGAATCAACACAACCAGGAATACAGAAAGAACGGCGGCGGTCATCACAGCTACTAAAAATCTCTGGCTAAACTCTACAAGTCACCGAAGTATCAAACTCTATAGCTGTATTGATGTCAAAATCAATGAAAGAAAGCACAAAAGCCGCATAGATCAAAACTTCGAAATATTGCAGGCGTGAGCTAACCTGCTAGTATTTCTACTCATAGTACCAAGTGAACGTTTGCTTATGTAGTTTACGGTGGGCGTCAGATGGGCACGGCAGCGCTGAGACGCGTTAGGACAAATTGGCCAAAATGGTAACCTAACGACGCGCGACTTGCTCATCTGAAATATTTCGAAAGCGCAGAATAAATTTCTGGAACTTGACAACATCAGTAATTTAGCTTGTTTCGTTATGAGCAAAAAGAAATATGGGCTCTGATGCTGGGCAGGATCCGCGCGTAGGTATGTTTAATTACCTGCGTAGCGTAGTTCAACAAAGTATCTAAAATAGGTTTCAGTTGATAGGATAAAAGGCAGAGTTGTACAGTGAGTTTCGAAAACGGAAATCCTAAAGAAGGTATCTACCTGATCTCTTAGAAATATGTTTCGTATCGCAGTAATCCTGACAACTCCGAGATAAGCCACAGCATCTCCAGTATACCGATAATTTCAGTACCTGGAGATGACCCTTCGCAAGACAAGCGATCCAAGTCTTTATAATACGTGTATATACGCGTGTGGAATAAGTCGTTGAATAGCCTCTAAATATATTTGCGGGGGACGGAGAGCGTATGGATCGATATACCTTATCACCAGGAACCGCGCCGATAAGCCGACGCGACATGAGTGGACGAACTCGACCTCACCCATATCGCGAGGCGGGGAAGATTGCATCACATATATCTCTGCCCAGAACTATCTCTGGGCTAATGAAGATATTTACTTACCTAACCTCTATACGTGATCGACGTGATAGGATCCGGTCTCCCTTTATCTCCTGAGTCGCTAGCCTTATCTCCTCTGCCGCCGCTAGTGATGCGGCCGAGAACGGTCGTTCGAGCAAGGGAGTCTCTTTAGATATTCCGTCTCAAATCCGAGATATCTCCCATCCTAGACCATATCGTCCAATGCTCTCAATTGGATAGTCATCTTTTATCTCCAAGTTCGCGGCGAAGCCTCAGCTATTTCCCCGCAGGGATGCGAGGACCATACCTCGATCGAGCGATTGATTGGCCATAGGATGCTGGAAACGGTAATAATTATGAGGACTCTGCATTTCATAAAATGCTTAGTATGATCTGTCTGGCCAGTTTCAAGTCATCCGCATCATTGTGGCATGTATAGGTGGCCGAGAACGGTACCAGCCGATCCTTTATATCGTATATCTAAATGGTTATCCTTTCAAATCTGATATCCCCCATCAAGATCTCAAGTAGGAAATAGGAAAACAAGACGCACCTTAGCATTATAGCGAAGAAGCTATCACAATGTTCGAGTGGGCAGGAGACCAAATCTCCAAGCGCGCCAGTGAAGCGTACGAAGGACTCCAGAGATCGAGTCATAATTGCGCTTCTGTGATCAAGATGTACGGAAGCAAGTTCTCCTCTCAAGGCTATGCAAAGGAGTCTGCGTATTCCGCCGCCCTCGCTCTTTTGTTACTCTCCACAATAGTAGCATATTTCATTCGGCGGCGGAACCTCAGCAAAAATGCTGCACGTCCATCTACGCCTACTACACCAGCACTCGAGAAAGCAACATCGGGTGCCAAATACCAGGGCCGTGAATGGGGAAAATGGATTCCATCGGACTTCCGCACGCCCAAACCGGAGCCGTATCCGGATTGGTCGATCGAGCATACGAAACCGCTTCCGTACAGGCCCTTCCGATACGGTCCTAAATATAACGTGACCATGGGTCTGCGGACGATGAAGCACCAGGATTGGATCGAGCTGGATAACCACTACCCGCGGTATCACGCGGACAAGGCGCGGCGAATAAAGGAACGCGGCCAGAAATGCTGCCGAACCCATCCTGAAGCGTACCCAGCTGCCATCGAACTCCTCGAGGAATTGGTTGACTACTTACCGGCACGGTATCCAACGCTGTACAAGCGCACAGCCCTCGGCATTGACAACCTCTGGTCAGGAGAGAGCTTCGATATCACGCAGAGGCCTCTCCCCGAAGACCCGATGCAAATCTGCGCACGGCTGGTACAAGATGACCTGGCCATCATGATCGAGAGGCCGGACGGCCAGTACTACCTCCTCGCGGGGGCTGTCCTACTCGCCGGTTTCTGGCGACTGGAGGACAAATACGGAATGGTCATGTCGGAGATCCACACGTCAGGCGACGTCCCGCAATTCAAGGAGAAGTTGGAGAAGGGCATGATGAACTTCTTCCGGCGCCTGAAGCCGGAGGAGATGGTGGCGCGCAACAACTACTTTATGCAGGTCGACGACGACTTAGCCTGGTCGTGGAGCATCGGGTCCGAGGACTCGAAGGATGTGAGTTGGAGCACGGCGGAGAAGAACAGGGCTATCGAGCACCATTATTTCCGCTCAGAGAGGCAGAGTCTGAGGCGGCTGCCGAAGAGTGGGGGTATCGTTTTCACGATCCGCACGTATTTCCTCCCGATTACGGAGATAGTGAAGGAAGACTATGTGCCGGGGAGGTTGGCGAGTGCGGTGAGGAGCTGGGGAGATGATGTGAGTCGATATAAGGGGAAGGAAAGGTATGGAGAGGTATTGTTAGAGTATTTGGACAAGAAACATCAGGAGCAGCTTGATAGGGGATTGGACCTTAGTCGCGAGGACGAAGTGAGGGCATATCCATTCTAGCGATGTTCACCCCCTCGTACCTACAGCAAGTGTATTTATCAAAAATGTGTTTCTGAATGTGACAATATGATAATTGAAATAAAAGATGAGATGAATGAAAATGGATGAATATAAGTTGAATAGAAAACATTGCATAACATGACAATGTAAAAACGTGAAACCCCGTTTGTGTAATATTCATATAAGCAGTGTGCCACTTAATGCATCAATAAGATATATGCGCTACTCGACTCGACAAATGACAGCATGTCGCAATGTCGGAACAACGCAAGCCGTCACCGCGTCAAACAGCTTTATGCTTCCATTAACCATCGTCCATCCCGCTACCGCAGCTTCAACAGCTTCGCCTCACCCATGACATAGCACCGAGAAACACCTGCTCACACCGCACCGAATGGAATCAGCGCAGAATACGCCGGGCTCTTTGAGCTGGCGCCTCAGCTCGCACCCGATTACCCTGCTGACCTTCCTCGCATTCCGCATCTGTAAGTCCCAAGCCATTTACATTCATCCACGACACACTTCGACCTTGGATCAACTAACAGACAACCCCCAGCATCCCTCCTAGTCTACCTCTTCGGCGTGATCTTCACCGACAACATGGTCCTCATCTTCATCATCACCATCCTGCTGCTCGCCGCCGACTTCTACTACCTCAAGAACATCGCCGGCCGGCGGCTGGTCGGCCTGCGCTGGTGGAACGAGGTCGACCCCTCGTCGGGCGACAGCCGCTGGGTCTTCGAGAGCAGCGACCCGGCCACGCGCCAGATCAACCCGACCGACAGCCGCTTCTTCTGGCTCGCCATCTACGCCCAGCCCGTGCTGTGGGTCGCGCTCGCCATCCTGGCCCTCGTCCGGCTTAAGTTCATGTGGTTGCCTCTCGTCGGTACGTTTCTCTCAGTTCGGAAGATTTAAAAAAATAGAAACTGTTGGAAGAGGAAGAGAAAAAGCTGACTACTAGCAAAACAGCCATCGCGCTCACCCTAACCATAACCAACAGCCTCGCCTTCTCGCGCTGCGACAAGTTCAGCCAGGCCTCCAACCTCGCCGGCAGCGCCCTCTACTCCGGGAACATCGCCGGCAACCTCGCCAGCAACATGGTCGGCCGCATCTTCACCTTCGGGCGCTCGTAGTGGGGGAAGAAGCGACGGGATGCCAGCAGCAGCAGCAGCAACATCGAACTCGACGGGGTCGAACGTCCGGTTAAGATTGTGACTATTGTCAAAACAAGGAAAAGGGGGTTTAACACAGAGTGACGACGAGGTATCTTTGGGGCTAAGTTAAGGTGCATCGGAGTAACCCTTTAGTAGCCCCTAAGGCCGCGATGTATTTTGTATTCACTATAGCAGTGCCGGTACCAGAGCCCGCTGTAATACTATGATATGTATGGCTTAACGAATACCGCGGCCTAACTGTGTTGAAGATTGATAAAATATGGACATATCAAACATTTGAACTACGAGCAACTTGAGTCCGGCCTTATATGGCGATAGTTAAGCTGAATCTGCCTCGGTAAGTAGGTATTCAAAATGTAAGGGACTTGTTCCCCTATATCACGAGATTCAAGCGCGACACAAGCTAGAACACCACGTAAATCCCCAAAGCCGTTCCATATTACCTACAACTAACCTATAGACGTAGTAGTAAAATCCGTAGATTCATTGATAGAGTCCAATTAGGACGTAAATCTCCCTCCTTCATCAACCTTTCTCAGCCCCAACGCGTACTTGCTCGGTACCATATTCCGGTTTTGGCTCTATCCAATCCAGTTTTAACGACCTCCAGTGTACCTAGTCTTAAGCCACCCGCCGTCCCTCTCTTAGACGAATCGAACCAAGATGGATAACGAATGTGCAATACCAAGTCATATATACGCATAAGGGGAGTAGTCGTCTCTCCTAGCTTCCAGACGCTCGCTCACCTCCACACCATTCACGTCTCTCACCACATACACATAGATTATCACGATAAAATGGTGAACCCTTGAAACGCCGAGACCCGTTGGGCACCCGCTTGAAAACAATAAAAAACATCACGCCCATATCGCGACTAGTGAGTATCCCTCCTCGAGTTCCTTCCTGCGTCCTCAATTGCCTCATCCAGATGCCGCTCCTCCTCTTCCAACCTCCTGATCTCTTCCTCCGTCATACCTTCCTCGATCAAATGCGCGTACCGGCTTTGATATGCTGGCGGCGTATTCGCCCGCGTCGTGCTAGCTTGTCCGATAGATGCGAGATCCGTTGTACTATTCGTCGCGAATGCAGCCCCCGGGGCCGGCGGTGCCTTGCTACCCTCGTATGACGCGTACGCATCCGGATCGTGCAACCTTCCTCCGTCATTGGGATATGACGACTGCGGGGAACCGGTACCCTCTTTCTCGAGCACCATAGCCCTCGTGCCCGAATTCGTGGCAAAATCTGATCCGCCGTGGGCTTGATCGCGATTGCTGCGGCGGCGGAAGAAAAAGAACCAGACGATGAAGGCGACGATTAGAATAAATGCGACGGCACACCCGACCGCGATGCCGGCTATGGCGCCAGGACTTAGTCCACCGCTGCCGCTTGATGCTACGGCTGACGCCGACGATGTCTCCGCCGCAGTAGAGCCAGTAGTCGAAGATATGCTAGTGGGATTGGTCGCATCTTGCTGGACATCCTCTACGTACGCCGGGTTTGATTCCTTGCCTGTGCTTGTGATAGCGTCAGCCGCGGCCTGATAGCTGTCGCTGAGAGCCACCGCTATGAGTTGGCTATAGCTCTTGCCCGAGGAGGTAGAATTATCCCACTCGAACTCATAATATAAGGGCAAACCAGCGTTACTGCCGTACATCTTGCTCAATCCGGTGGCCGTGTCTGGGACTATAAGAGTTACGCTCCCATTAGACACTATTCCAACTTGTTAGCATCGCGGATCCCAGTAGCCAGCGGGTTGATAGTTGGATCAGCATACCCGGAAAGGAAAATGGCGGTAAATTATTGTCGACCTGCCGTCCTAATATTGCTTCATCCGTATGAAGCCCGGCGCTTGTAGTTGAGCCGTTTGAAATATCTCCCATCGCAACCGTGCCATTATCGCTATAACGCTTCAAATTGACTGCTGTAACGGTTACATCCGTAATGCCTGGGCCATAAGTGTAGGCTAGATTTTGAACCCCCTTGCCTTCCACGTAAACAGGAGGAGTCGGAAGGGCTTCCAATTCAATAACCGCGTTCGATGCCGTCGAACTTGTCGACGTCGTCCCGACATCATCCCTCATCGCTTTGGCACCACCCGCGTCACCTCCCTCCGCTGCCGCCAATCCTGATAGACAGGCTAGGATCCCGAATCTCGATACATCGAGCCGCATCGTTGTGAGAGTCTCCGATTATCGTCGTCGGCAAAACTCCCAGAAACCAAAATGTGTCCAATCTTTAGCACATGTCCAATCCCGGACTGATATCCCAACCTGGCAGCACCCGTATGTCGTATATAGGATTGTGCGTCGCACCAAAATGATGCAAGCCCGGAACTCGGTCGAAAGCAACCAAGCAAAGCGTGAAAAATAATAAAGAAGCAATGAAGAAAATGAGGAGAATAATGCGGGCGTGAGAGGAAAGAAGGAAAATAGCGAGATACAGGGGTTGTCGTTAGCCCGGCCTGTCAGCTCTCAGCTCGCGCCCGATAGGGATAGGGATTTGGATGAGAAGTGCGGGTCTCAGTTTATTGTCACAAATGCGCGCCAACCAGGCCGACGTGCAGTAAGCCACGGAGTCAGGCTGCGCCTCTAAACCAACTAGCGGAGAAGAAGGATGGCACCATCCAGCATGTCAACCTATAGAGATCAACGCCAACCCATAGAAGTAACCGTGCCTCTACGCTTTTACGCTTTCATACAGTACAGTGACCCCGATGTCTCATGGGGGCCAAGTCGACCATTCTGCCCCAACCCTTTACCTCATACAGGCGGTTCGTTACCGCTAGGAACAATGCCAATGCTGTAAATCCTAACTCGACAATGCCCAGATGCTAAATGCTACTGAATTCGCTCGAACTCGCTTAAATCGCGGCTGAGTCTTGGCCTTACACGGTGAATCGTCGAGGACGATTATAGGCTTGGGTTTACGACGATGATATAAGGTGCCATGACGCGTGGGCCATCTCGGCCAAATTCTTCGACAGTGGATAAGAAATGCACACCAATATAGAGCTAACCTTGAGGGTATTGTGTGAAAAGGGTTGTACTGAAGAAACGTTTTCGTTAAGTCGGCATGAAGATCGCTAGTTGCAGGCAAAGGTGTTGCACTGGTCTGCACTGGTTCAATACCACCTCGCCCGTAGGGCTGTCTACTGTACATTCGACAGCCCTGCCGAACGTTGATGGTTCGCGGCGAAGAAGGTAGCTAACATGTAAACGGAACTTTTGACCATCGAGATGGGATCCGTACCCCGAACGATAGTGACGGTGGTAATTGGCTTAAGCCTGGCTGATTCCGTCGCTCGTCTGACATTAAGATATGTGAAGGTGAAGGGTTCTAGATCCTTTCCGACCAGGGTTGATTATACTAGCAACCATAGGTCCTAGATAGCTTCAAACGCTTGATGGAAGCTAACCAGTGACGTCGTCTCGCGTAGACGACTGTTTCGATTTTCATAAGAGATACTCGTGTTGTCTCAGAGCATGCTGCCACTCGGGGGGCCATCAAAATCATTCATTTCTTTCCCGCTTAGAGAAATGCGATATTCGGCCTCAATTTTAATAAAAGTGTGAATAATTGAAGCCCAGACGGGAAGCCATCCCGTGCTGTATGTCAGACGAAATATGGGGCTGAGCCAAATAAAAGAATGAAAAGATGAGAAAAGGTTGGGCTGCGGCTGATCAGACAATTTCTAGTTTAGTGCCTTAGCCTGCTTAGCGTCTTAACAAGGGGCAGCAACTAACCGTACCGAGAGTTCGAAGTAACCACCCCAAGCCCGTCTTTGCCTTCCTTTTACCACAATATATTACTTAAGCAATTCATTGGCATAAAAATAGAAACGCCATGTGCATGTGCATACATATTATTATGTATCCGCTATGTAGGCTGCCCTTCTTTCAGCCAATTATAACTCTGCACCGGAGATATAATTGGATATATTATTAAGTGCCACACATCCTTCTTTTCATTCCTCTGATCGCTCAGTCAGTCTCACAACCAAAGAAGCGGTATGCTGTATGCGGGCCGCGTGGCATTTAATCGAGCCTTCGACTAATTTATTATATTTAAACAAGTTGGTAACTTACCATCAGATATCACAATATTGCAACCCATTTTACTTTCCACGTGCTACCCTTCAAACCTCCAACATGGCGACCCCAAGCGACCCCAAGATCATGTACATATTTCTCCGTCGTAGCGTTATACGACACCCGCATACGGCACTGGCCGGCGACCCCACTGACCCCGGTGACCTCTATGTTTGTATGTGTAAGAACGTTACCTCGGCCCTTATCTACCGAACCCCAAAAAGGTATGTCCTGAGGTACGAGGCAGCCTTACGGAAAAGCCGTCTGGAGGTAAAGCCGATTAGAACGTAAGTTCGGTATGGATAACTTTTTGGTTCTGACCGCAAATCCTTACCTATGCATTGCGATCCCTGTTTGAGGCTATTTCGCATTTGATGACATGATAAGGCCGGATTATTATATTATACGAAAAGTTTCATGTAAATATTCATCCTCGCCATCTTTAAAACGTGAATGCGCCTGTGAAACATCTCTTCTTCAGCTAACAATGTAGGGATGATTAATCCAAGTTAGGTACGTGCCTCCATGCTTGATAATTGGTCGCATCGCCTGCATGACTACAAGATCCAAGATCTTTAATACCTAACCAAGTTAACTGTTACGAGCATATGTGCGATGGAATATAATACCATTCTTGTTCTTATGGATATCCATGATGATACATCCACTTGTTTGAAAGCTTCGCCACCAGGAATAGCCAACTTCTAGGAGGCTGAATCCAATCCCTCCGTAGAAGGAAGGGAGCTTCTGATCATGAACACACTTCATCCTCCTCTACCTATTTGCCTAAACCCATTCCATCGTGCTATGGCCATGAGTTTGGGCCATGAGTGAACTCAATACAATGTCCTCACATACCTAGGTAATGTATGAACATGAAACAGCTAATAGTAATAGCTTGGAACAACTTCACCCGTCAACGAAATCCAATTTAAACGATGCTGACATCATAATAACTTCCGTGTCTATGTTGACGCTACCGACGCTGATATTGCTGCGATTTCAAAGCTGTGCCCGTTTACTAATTATCTAAAAATAAACGAAAGGTTACTAGCAGATACCATCATCGTTCTCACAAGTTATCACTTTACTTTCTTTACTACAAGAAAAATACACAGACGAAACTGACCTCATTCAATCCACTGTGGGGAGCAGATCTTGATCTCGGGACCGGCAGACAGGAACGATAGGTGTATCAATGCCGTAGTCGAGAGATTAGAAAAGTTATAAATAGAAGCCAATACGTATATAAGCCAGTTAGAATCTTAACCAGGCTTCCTTTCAATAAGAACCACTCTTTAAAGTACCTATGGAATTTGAATATGTCGAGTCGTTAGTTCCACGCCAGATCCTGCTCGGCACATGGTGGCTCAGCTTTGACGACCATATCCTAAGCTAGTTCCATGGGGTGATATTTGTCAAAGACCTCGGTCTCTATGCTTACAACTCGAATAAGGGATATCCGGATACTGAAATACTGTTCTTTGAAGTTGTGGGCATTTGGCAGCGAGAATTCGCATGAAGTCATTCATACTACGTACAACGTACACGGAAGGCAGCCACGGTCTCGAAGTCTTCAAAAAATCCGAACAGATCTACAGAGCTACGAGTTCACATAATGGACAAAGTCCATATTTCGTTGCTGCCCCTCTACCAGCTTCTGAAGGAAGTAGGCGAGTGGCTTTGTTCATTAGTGCCTTTTTTTATTTATGAGACGAGACTATATGGGTATGGATTAATAGTACGTACTTTGACAGGTAGAGACTTTCTTTTAATTATAGGAGTGGGTAGTGTGGAGGGTTTGTTTAAATACGATGAGATGATACGAATTCATATGTAAAGCTAATAAGATTATGAGCCTTGTGGGAAGAGTGGAATACCAAATGATAAAAAAGGGGAGGCGAGGAGATTATCATAGGTTTTCTTTTATGGGGGGATGACATTTTTAAAAGTTCAGTTTCGAATTTTCAGTCTGGGTGAATTAAATCAAATTCATGAGCTTCATATGTCTGACTCAACCGAGCAATCGAAAAAAGCTTCTCTTAGTTAACAGGGAGGATGTCTAGATATCTTAGAGCTTCGTGCTATTATATATAGATAGGTACGCTTCAGGTCATGTAGAGAACCGTTTAACCGCTACCTATCTGAGGTCGTCGATTCTGAACTAGCACTACTTGAAATACACTCATCAAGCCACATCCACGTAAGAGCAAATACCTAATGATACGAATTGTTATATATCTATGCTGATATAAAGGCTAACTTCACGTTGTAACTAAGCGGTAATGTAAAATAATAAGCATATAGGTACTTGATAGAGGATATAGATTCTATGATACTTATACAATAAGAAGCCATCATGCACATACCTATCCATCGCCTTTCTTCGTCATTCGTATCACTTTCCCCTTTTTGAATTGCGAATGAGCTTCCCATGCGGTCATGTAATATCCAGCCTCTTGGCCTGGGAAGTGAGTAGAAGCATGGAACGATTTAACCCAACACAATCAAGACTTCCAATTACCTATCTACAGATACATATCAGTCATACTATCAAAGCACCATGGCTTAAAGACCAGATAAGCACTTTGGCTGTAAAGGGGAAGTTCGCTAATCACGGCAAAACAGGTCGAATAACCCCCAAAACAACCATTAAAAAGCCCACCTAAGCACCAAATAATCACAGCCAAGTCAACTGAAGCCAAAGCAAACTTGAACTCAAGACATTGGATACCATTCAAGTATTTGATCTCTCTTTACCTAAGCCGGGCAGAAGGACCTCGTAATTAGTACCCGATGTAGTAATAATACTGTAATACACTGTACGCCTATGTGATAAAGTGCATACAGTGTATCACAGTATTATTACTACATGGGGCACTAATTCCGAGGCCCTTCTGGCCGGGGTACCTCAGGAGGCTAAGTAATTACAAAAATGCCTTATCATACAGCACATCTACGGCTAACCATATTATGCCTCCTCACTCTCGACAGTATACCTTTATTCTACCAAGAAATTACCTACGCAAAAGTCATAGTCATCTCCTTCTCCTTGCCAAACTCCTCATCATCGTCGTCCGCCCACGGGTCCTTCAACGCTATATTCGGAGTCGTCTGCGCCGACTTGATCTCCGGCCTCGCGAACGCCGACGGCGATGGTGACGGCGGGAAGTCCTTTGCCGGGGGCGGGGGCGGTACATCGAGATGCGATTCCGTGAACGAGGTGTCGAACGTCATCTGGATCTCGTTGTCTTCCAATGGCGGGTGCATATCGAACCCGAGGCCTTTTGTCGGCGTGCGTTCCTGCGAGACCCTGTACTCGAAGGAGGAGCTCCTGCCCCCGTACCCGTATATATCTCCCGTGCTTTTCGTCTTGTGGAAGGCGTCTCTCGGACTGGCGGATGACGAGATCGGCGGCGGCGGCGGCGAGACGTCAAGTTTCATCGGGGGTAATGTAGATTTCAATTCCTTGACCTCGAGCTCTTCTTCCTTCGCGAGCTCCGCTCGTATGGCGTCAACGTCGAATAAGACGCCGTGGTTATTGCCCTCCTTATCCTCTGTTTTGGACGGTGTTTCTCCATCCTTCTTGTTATCTTCGTAAACCTCCCATTCCTGTCGCGAGCCCTTCTTCTTGCGCCCGAAGATGCCCCACCCACCCTTTTTCGTTGACTCTTCCTTTTCCAATTCTTTGCGAGCTTCTTCGATCTCGCTGATGAGCTCACGTTGTCGTTCTCGGTACCGGTCAGGATCTGGGTCCTCGATCTCGCCGAACTCATCGCTTTCGACAAGCCAACCGCATTCTCTGAGAAGAATAGGCATCGCCGTACGATACTCCATGTGGCCTACAACGAAATCCGTGCAGTCGAAGTTTTCTAAACCAGGTATATCATCCACAGTTGCCAGACCCGCGACGCGGCGAATCCCGCCGTTGGTCAGGCGGAACAGGTAGCCTAGAATCCAATCCGTCCTGTTGTATCCGTTTATGAACCTACCAGCCACGACGGTACGAACCCTGAGAAATTCCTCCCTCTTGACGACGATGGGCGACCCAAAAATGTAGACATTTTGAACTAATCCATAAGCACCTTTTCGAGCCAATTCTAGGAGGCAGGAAAAGATAACGCGAGACCCAAGCGAGTAACCGACTAAGGTTATAGGCCGAGTACCCAAATTCCTGTCGATTAGCGAGTCGGCTAGAATGAGACCGGCAGCCCATGCACGGTCTTGGGATACGGCCCAGGGGTTGTCGATCAGGTATGCTAATTTGGATAAGACAACAGGTAACTGAAGGGCTGCCATCAGACTAATCAAGATGGTACTGCCTAAAACTTGTTGTAATCCTTGGGTGAGAGCCTATACAAATTAGTTGATGCGTCTGAGAAATATTAGGAAATGTGTCTTACTTCGGTCGCCAGAATATTGATAGTGTCACCCATGCTGGTCAACATCTCCGGCTCCCATAAAATTGAGTAGATATCACCCATCACCGGATCGATAGTACTATAAGGCAATCGTACGTCATCGTTTTTACTCGTCATCCATCCGGAGATGGTTACGATCAGATTGACACGTTTGTTGTTGTGTAGGGGGCGATATTCAAATGTTTTCACGGCACCGGTTCGTCGACCCGCAGCTTTACCACCCATGAAACTGCCAGAAGCGGCGGCGCCAGAAGTGATGATAGCTGCTCCTCCGGCCCCTGCTAGAAAGGAGCTCGTACCGCCAACTCCGATAGTTGTAAAACCGGCAGCAAGGCCGGCGCCGATAAGCGGTGCTAGAAGTCCGGCAGATAAACCGATGACCAAACCACCTCCGACGGTAGCCAAGCCCATCATGACGTATCGCCTCTTTTGGGCGAGTTTTCTCCTATTCTCGAGATGTTCTTCCTCGTTCCAGTTCTCTTTCTCTGCCTGTTGTTGCATTTCCAAAGCATCGGTGACGCGCTTCTCAAACCTGCAGATGTCTATCCAAGGAACACCCATGTCGTTTCCCACTCTCTCTAATAACACACGAGAGCGAGCATCGTAAATGGAATCGGCAATCAGCACTAGGAAAAGATCGCACAGGACAGTCCATCGTAAATCAATGTCAATCTTGTCACTACTCGGTAATTGTGAGGGCATCCTCACTTCTGGCATCTCCTCGCCCTCGTGGCTCTCGTAAGGTGGTGGAGGCTCCGCAGATTTTTCTCCCCCGGGAGACGCAGGAGACGTCGAAATAGACGACCGCGGGCTCTTTAAGGAGAATGTTGGCGTCGAAGACGGCGTTGATTGCTCCGCCATCGGGTTTTTAACCCTAGAATTCTGCATAAGGGCTGGCGTTAGATCTTTGGGTATAACGCCGTGATCGGCTAACTGCTCGATCATAACCTGTTCCGCGGGACTTATTTCCATATGGGCGTAGAGTCGAATCATGATCTTCTGAGACCACATCTTCAACGCTTCGGCTGCCGTCTGAATATCCTTCTTTAGTCTTTTGGAAGAAGTCGTCATGCTCTCTGCTTCTTTGATCATCTCGTAAAGCTCTAAACGGGTGACTCCAACATATGCTATCCTCTGCCCTTCCGTCAATAAGTCTTTCGTGGCCTGTAGCTGAGAGACGGCATCTCTCTGATCTTCGTCCATTTCCGTCATGCTCGTGCTATTGGGGTCTTTGAACAGATACCGTGTATTGTCATCCATACTTGTTTGCGACTCTGCGTCCTCGTCATCTAAAACCCTCGTATACCCCCTCCCGGCGCCACCGAGACTACCGTAACCATAATTATCGTCCTCGTCGGGGTTATGCTCTTTAGCTATTAGCTTATTATCGTCATCATATATATCGTACGGCGCATAGGCTGGCATAGCCTGCCACTCGTCATCCTCATTATCCTTCTTCTCTTCATGATGCCCCGTTAACTGCTGATGGGAAAACTCCGATACATCATGATTCGTGCTCGCCAGGCTGACATCCCGACTGTGGCCAACATCCGAAGCCTTTTTGGCTTCGTCAGCATGTTTGCTAGCTTCAACCTGCTTTATCGACGGCCCCGAAATCGCCTGTACATCTTTACTCAAGGTATTCTTGCGCTTGGATGTAGGTTGTGGTAGATCGGTGTTCTCGTAGGAGTCAGATCCTTCTTTTTCGCCCTCTTTTGGTGGTGATGCTGTCTCTTTCGTCTCCACAGCGTCCTTCACGTCTATCGTCTCTTTTTTGAACTCGGACTGGGTAGACAGGGGAGTCTTTGCTTCGTCGGCATCTTGGGCAATTTGTGGCTTGGGTCGAGTATTGGGCTCTGACTGTGGTTCTGGCTCCGGCTCTGGTTCTGGCTGTGGCGTAGAGGGCGCATCTTGAAAGTCTTCGTCGTCGCTGTTGGCGGCGGAAGTTCCGTCCGATTTCGCGGGTGGTTTTAACTTGGTATCTGCCCCCTCTTTCTCTGACCTCGTTACTGATTCTGATTTTGGCACATTATTTGAACTTTTCGAGGACTGTTCTGTCTCCTTAGTTGGAGTACTAGAATCTTTGGCGGTCCCGTTCGTCGCATTAATTGATGTGGTTTTACCATGATCTTGTTCCCCCTCTTTGGGGCTTACGTATTTCCTGATGGGCAGACCGAAATCATCCAGTTCCTGGACTCCTCCTACCGGCGCCATTGGTCCGTCGTTTTGTGCATGTAGTCAATCGGCGCTACTGTATCCTATGTCTGTATGATCTTGGCTGTTTGCGTGCCGTCGCTAGGGTACTTGGTCGAAGCTCTGTTAGTTCACCGACGTGATATGGTTGCAACGAATTTCACCATTCCCCACGGCAAATAGGCGGAGAGCACCCCCAAGCGATAAGTGATCGTCAGAACACGCAAATCCGTGGACCCTTGAAACTGATTCAACCCCTTGCAAGTTAAAGCAGGAGAGTAATGTTCGCAATGTTTCTAGACCAGACGCTGGTTTGAGGAGAAGGACAGGGTTTGCGCAAGGTACTACGGAAAACCATCTTAAGAAAGACTTGGGGAATTTGAATGATCGTGAGTTGAGTTCGTGGAAGTTTAGTTTTAGTTGGTACCTGGCCGTGGTAAGACCGCTATCTTAGCTGCCCAGCAAAAAGAATGAAAGCCACAATTCCAGGGGCTGATGTACCTACGTAGCCTGCGTACGTACCGAGCTAGCGACCCGGCTTGGTGTCACATGAGGCTGAGTACGGCTTGGTTCGGTCCTACTGACAGCTAATAGCATTTGAACTTTGGTGAGTCCCCACCAGGTTAGACAGAACATTGAATGCGGATTGTTGAATTGAATGAGGTTATTGTGATAATTATGTGATGCATTGTTTCTACGCTGGCTCCTAGGTAAGGTCGATTTAACATGTGCATATCCAGGTACGTAGGTATAATGTAATTATATGTCACTGGGCATTTTAAAGCTGCTTCTTGCATTTCGGCAAGTTTATCCTTAAACGAAGAATGCAACCTTATTATTGTCGATAGCACTGAGTCCATGGTATCAAATGCATAAAGCTTGTAAAGTACAAGGATCCCATAACTCGTCCCTTGAGAAAACGCCTTTTTATGCCAACCTGTTTTGTCTGCCCATATTATGCAAATTCAGAGTTTACTCCTCAGCATTAGCAGGATTAGGCGCAACAGGAGGCTCCTCAGTTGTAGAAACACCAGCGGCCTTGTGCTTTCTTCTGCGCCTTCTTCTAGAAGCTTTTGTCTGACCCGTCTCTGTTGCAGCTGCCTCGTTCGCCTCGTTCGCTTTAGGCGCTTCTGAATGCTGACCATCTGATGTTAACTTTGGCTTCTTCTTCTTCTTCACCGCCAATGGATTCGGTTCTTTGCGGCCGTAGCTCTTCTTCTTTTTCTTCTTAGCCTTCTCGCCTTCCGTGGATTTCTCTGTAGCCTGCTTCTCATCTTCATCCTGGTCACTGTCGTCGCTATCATCGCCCCTCTTTCTCTTGCCGGCTGGGGTCTTTAGCTCTGCCCTGAATTTGCTCTTCTCATCCTTTGATCTGATCTTCGCGCTCACTATTGCCATTGGCTCCATGATCATAACCGATCTCCTTATGAACAACAGCGGCGTTCCTGCAACTTGCCGGATGCTTGCTCTGACAGCATCGTCGTTGATGGCGCAGACGTAGCGATGTTTGTTCAGGGAGTTGTCCTTTGGATCTACTACCGACTGAATACACTCAAGGGCGCTTAACGGTTTCGGATACTCGTCGGGATGGTGACCGCATCGTCGTCGCTCGAATTGAGTTTTCGCCTGTTCAATAGCTGCTTCTACTCCGGGTTCGGATTTCCGCTCGTAGAGATGTCGCATTGAACATTGGGTGATCACTATAAGGCCGCCATTAGCAAAAAACAAGTATTAATTGATATTGAAGTGTTGGAAACGTACTTAGCTTGACTTCACCATGTACAGTATCCTCCAATCGGCGTACCAAGTCCATCTTGCATTTGTTGGCTTCGGCGAGGAAGTCGGCGTCAACAAGAACCTGATACGGTGTTCGAAATCCGAAGCCCATGGAGAATTGCTCCATGAGCTTTCGATATTGTTTGGACCGTTTAGCGCGAGGCATTTTTGCTTCGCCCTCATCAAGTGGTTGTTGTTAGGATTGTAAAAGTCAATTCAGAAGTTTTCAATCTAGTAGGTACATAATATCGAAATTCTTCTTCAATGCGATCGATAACGATAACGATAACGATAACGATAACGATAACGATAAGATTTAAGCTTCTTTTAATCAGAATGTCAAAAATACGGGTCTGAGAGCAACTGGTCCCCACTAGGAGGTACGTATTTAATTATTGAATTTATGAAGCTATTCAGCTTTCATCAAGCTGTTTAATACCAATGGTTCCTTTATTGCTAAAATATCCTCCAACACCATGCTAAATCCGTAGCCAATGCATACATATAATCCCCAAGCAGCGGAAAGAAGTCTAAAAGTGTACGTCTAATCCTTCGGATAATATATAAGTCAAGTAACGCCAGTTCCATCTTAATATCTCATACCGTAGCTCATCCTAACGATGATTGGGGAAAAGACACGATGGTGATGCGCTGTTGTAATATGTAGATCTTCACCGCTCGAGGAGGCTCGGGGAGTACAATAAGTAGTGTGCCTTACCAAGGTTGACGGGTAAATATCATTTCACGGGGTAGCATTTGGCTGACACAGGGCTGCTACGACGCTAATATCGTCGGGTTTGCCTACATTTTGTTAGCATATATATCGGAGAAGGACAATCGCATTGATACAAGACTTACCTCCTTCGCTAGCTAACCCCTCCTCGATAGCATGCTCCATGAAAGGGCTCTCGGCAAAGGGGTCTAACGCGATATATTTTGCAGCTTTGAGGAGTTCTTGGGCGACGAATGTCATCCCACCATTTGCCCCGTCTTTGCGAGGGCCGCTTGCTTGGCCCCCTTCTCCAGCCTCCCATCGCTTAACGCTCTTGGATACGTTTTCCACGATTTCGTGCGCCCAAAGATTATCGATTACGCCGTCCGTCATAGCTAGCACGACGTCGCCTTCTTGAAGATCCACTGCGTCTAAGACCGCGTTCTCCGTCGGCGTATCTGGGCTGTTCGTTCCGAGCTGTCTCGGGCAATCGAACCAATGCCATTGCTCGTCCGACTTATAAATCATCTCCTGGGTCTTCGGCCGTACCACCATGACCTGGGAGTCGCCAAGATTCGTAACGTAAAGGAGCGGTGTTACGGATGACGCCGGGTTATTGGCGTCAGCCTTGTAAAAGAGCTGCGCCCCGGTGGCTGTCGTAGTTCCAAGACAGTCGTTAGGGCCGGAGGTTGCTTCGACCGTGCGCTCGTACGCATGCTGCAAGTAGCGTATGGGATCTGGGCGGTATGGTTGGTCGAGCGGTCGCGGCTTTACAATATCTTCCTGCATCGCCGCCACCCAGAAATGTAGTATCAACCTTGACCACAAACTATATTCAATGTTAATTAATCACGGGCTGTTTTGCGCAAAGCTCGGGCGACCGTGGGACAAAGTACCCTGCATGACCTCTTGGTCTAGCTGACCAAGCACCAACTCCGTCATTGGCGCAGATGAAATATTCGCTAGCATAGACCGCATCATCGCCATTCGTCCACCCGTTAATAAGCTCGCCATCTACAAAAGCTCGCTTGTCGCGACTTTGATGATGGGTGCTAAGGGGGTCCGAGAATGAGCCCGACGGAGGAGATAGGAATGGCGGGGGAAACGGCCTCGGAGTTCGTTTCGCGTATAGCGCAAAGCCGGTCTCGAAATGGAATGGTAGTTTTGGACAAGAATCCAGAAGAGGTGTTGTGAATTTGCCGGACTGTTCGGTGGGTTTGGAAGAACGGCTACCGCTCGCGCCAGCGGTATGTTGGGGGCGCCGATGCCATGGTGCCAAATGAAGGGAAGCTGATAATGCTCGTCGCGTCGGACCAGAATTAGAGGCCAACAAAAAAGAGGGAGGTGACCTTCTCATGCCCACGAATGAGGTCTAACCACAGACCTTAAGGGCGCTTGGTTGGCAGCCGGAAATGTCGTTGATGAGTATACGACTTATACGACCTAGTAAGACGCGCTATGTTTAATGGGTAAGGGTAACGATGGGATGGAATCGTTAAGTTGAAGCTTTGCTCCGGTGATGCGCCGATGGGACAGTTCCGGGTTGTGATAAGGGAATTTGAAATCGCTTATCGTAAAGTCCCATCCCGATTTAATTGAGCGCAGAGGTCTTTCCACACGTGAATAAACCCGGTAGCTTGGAACCCCGTACAACATTGCCAGCATTGCTCATGCTTTTATTAGAATTTCTATGACATCACTTCGATTACGCGGGAAATCAACACTTGGAGTTCCGTCTTGCGCCTCCGTACTCGCTCGCTCATGCCACCATAGCATGCGTGTATTGACGGGTAATCGAGGTTCCTGCTGGAATACCGTAATATTATTGAATGGAGTCGTACCATGCATAGACGTTTGCACACGTTCAATACAAAAATGGTTGTAAGCACATTAGTGGATGGTATGAGAAACTAAACTAGACACGTTACCTTAAATGTGGGCATCTTCTGGCATCTTCTAGTAAGAGAGCTAGATGAAGAGATTCACATTGTCACGATCCGGGTAATCGGCTACCTTTTGCTTCGTGCCAATATATAGTGTATTTGTAAAATCATTATAACCTCAGCAGATAATGGTCTTGGCATATATGCGCAGTCTTGATCCAGGAGACGGACAATCGTTCGTATATCCAAGTGAGACAAGTAGGCCGGAGGTTTGGATCTGACAAGGCATTGAATGATCATTTGTGGCTTTTAAATAGGTATAGATGCAGCAACATTGTGTTCCAATGTCTTGAAAATGCTGTGTGACGCGAAGAAGAATGTAACAAGCGATCATGAGTTTATGGAGTGTAGGGCTCGTCTGATCGTTTCTATCAAATAGTTGACGTCCATCTCTATTGCCTTCGCCAATAAGCAAGAGATTATAGTTCTCATAAGAATATGTAGGAGTTCTTACTTGCTGATAGCAAAGTAAATAGACTTTACAACTGTTCATAATCATGTCAGGTACCTACATATGTAGCCCTCACCTGGGCACTACTAAAAACTGAAACTTCTTAGCTCTAATTAGGTACGCAGTAGCACTACCTGCTATGTATGCTGCCCTAACCGATGAATATCCATGAATGACGTAGGCGCCAAGATTATTACAAGTTTTATTCGATTTCATCCTCTTTTTCTTGTACATCAAAATTCAATTCAGTGGTTGGTGCAGAAAATATTTGAGATCCTCATTTTCCCAGTTTTCCCTGAAGGAAAAAGAAAATCGAAAATGATTTCGCAGAAACGCGCGTCATTCGGGGCTTAGATGCCTGGGTGCCCTATTCAGCAACCCAAATGTTAATCCGTCTTCGATCGATCAATGGTAGACGTTGGAGAAGGATGCCGTACTTCCTTTTTATGTCGGCGCAATGGACGCCTAGATGTCACTAGCATGCCCAGATCTCGGCGGTCGAAACGAAACCCGAAGGCCTTGGCCTGTTAAATCTGTAGGGGTTCCCTGTGATCTGTCACTAGGGTGTAAGGGTGTGAGCTGCAAGGCGGCTAGGTCCACGCGAAATCTTAGCGGCGCAGCGAGATGTCGATGCTTGAACAATGAAAAAAAGGATTCTCCAAGGTGTGGCGGTTACGTGGAACGACAGTCCCTCTGTGTGTATTCGTACCTGTCCAAATTTCACTGCGGTGGAGCGATAGAATACCCGAGCTTTTGACTGGATGCAGTAAGCGATCAAGCGCTTGCTGATTTGCAACTGTGCAAAAGAATACGCTTCGTCACTGGTTTAACCCGCAAGGTCGAACCGCTGCCGTACGACACGGGCGCGTGTGGTCCCTGAATCGGTCGACAATATATTCCCACTTACACCTTCTGCACCTTATGACACGTTGAGACTCCGGTAAGACACACATAGCCCGTCTTCAGGCTCGACGGGCTTTACACTCGAAGAAACGAAGAAGTGTATAAAAAAGGAAATCGTTGAGGCTGGTCATACTATGATGCGCCTCCACAGAGGGAAGTATCCGTCTCATCCGGGATTGAGTTCTATCCAATCAATCGTGTTGGTAGAGACCGTGGTTCTCTTTAAGCTTCCAATGCTTACTACTTACTACTTACCAAATTCATCCGCCATAACGCCAAACTAGGATGGGAATCGGTGTTAGACGATGCCAAATACTGTCAAACTACTGTTTGCCGTGGCATCGAAAATCCTCAGTCTGAGGTGAGGTAGATCTTTCCGAACAGGACCGTTCTTATTGGAGGGCTTTCCTCTCAAAACAGGCAACACGTCCAAAAGTCACTTAACTTGCGGGCTGACGGATGATTGATCGACACAGCTACGCAACTTTAAGCACACAGGCATATCCCAAACTGCCTACAGTATTGTACATTACGCCGTACAGTATCTACTACCTAGGTACGGTACAACGTCAAGGGACGTATGTATCTGTATGCAACCTGGTAATGCATGTACTCCCGCCCGCGCGCATCGTCGAACCAAGACCCGCAAAGTAACCCGCTACGGTATTATGGCTATTCATATTCTCAGTCTGCGGTAGCTCTGCAGTAGTACGGGAAGCTAGGCCATATATGTGGCGACTAGAACAAAAGACGGTATCTCCGAGCATAGTGGGAGGGTGTCCATTAATATGAAGTTGCTATTATCACTTAACCCCAGCCATCGTTCACCATCATTCAAGACCATCACCTATCGTTGCAGAACTGACGTATGCCCCTGTCCCGTTCGTTTTGTCATCAACTACCCATTTTCCAAGTCGACATACCACCTTGTTATTAAGAACGTAGATAGATACGAGCTTCCAAGTACAATACCTAGTAGCTGGTACCCGATTTTAAAGCCGGCAAATAGATCCATCGCAATAGTTTACCATCTCTTCCTCGTCGTCGTTTTCGAGAGGCCTCTTTCATTTCCCTCCTTGTCACCTGTCACCGTTTTCTCCAGGTCTAAAGGCTATTCTTCCAACAGAAAACCCGACGCCCAGGTTCAGATTGGTTTCCCAACCTCAACCCAGCATAACTAGATTGAACTCTCCGACGCTTCCGTATTCTCGGCAAACATCCCGGAGGACATTAGTCAATAATAACTCCTGCCAACCCAGGGAACGGGTTAACGCTTAACTATACGCTCATTTTTAACCTACTCTCGACAGCTAAAAATCGCGAAGCATTGATCGCTTTGTCATTTCCGTCATTAAGTGGAAATCCTTATACTCTCTGCGCTATTCGAAACTAGGCTTTTTCTGGGGAAGCTGGCTGGCTGGATAGCCAAAGGACAAGGCCCGGCCACCTGATCTTTGTCGCAGGATAGCGACTCATACACGATATACGGGGTTCCGAGACTCTCACCCTTCCCTCGCATTCCACAAATTCGTATCGCGTGGAGACAGACGCTTAAGAACCCGAGCTACAAAACTCGCGTATCCGCCCACCTTTGCGAGACAAGTTCGGCTTTCGAATGTTTGGTCCTTTCGGTCATTTTACATCTTCGACCCATAATCTAATTAATATCTCTTCTTTCGTTGTTGCTGTGCCTTTATTTTCGAATTACTTGATAGATCGCATTTACGAAACTACTTGTCGTGCATACCACATACTACCCAGCATACCCATAGCCTACTAGTAATAATCGAAGACCACGCAATTCGAGATCGACAAGACTTCGTCAGCCGAATCGTCCGCTGTGGGCCACCCCTAGCCCGCTCGCTCCAGCGCTCCAGCTATTCCGAGTAGTCTTAGGAACCAACGTCGACCAACTCATCTGATGGAATAGGATATCCCCTCTCCATCTATTCTCTTCCGGTAGTTTGTTAGGGGGTTTTTGGGCTTATTTGGTTCATCTTTTTCGGTTCAAGATGGGTAGGAATCGCGGTAAGTAACATGCCTTTCTCTCTGTTGTCCGTTTTCTGTCCTTTCCATGTCTTTGTGCAGTTTTGGTTTTCTTTCATCGGAACTAGAGGGATCCCCTTGAGTCTGTCAAGTAGCATCTTGGCAAAGTTGCCTTTCATCATAGCTGGTACTACCAACCAGCATCTGCATGCTACTAGGTGAAATACCTACCCATAAGGCATAAGGATCACTGTCCCACACTGCTACCAACGTACCCTGAAAGCTTCAAGGCAGCAAGTTGTTGCGATATTAGCATCAGCAGCGCAGGCGCCAATCAATATATTCCGACGTCACCTATCACAAAAAAAGGCCAAGTAGGGCCAAGTGAGGCACATTCATTCATTCATACATAACATACCCTGCCAGTGACTTCGATTGTTGCATACCGAAAGTTGTGTGTGCCGTGTTCCCGGAATTCCATTTGCCTACGGAATGTGTTATTCACCTACACTTATTTCCTCTGTGACAGTGAATTCTTACAGGGACATCCCTATAATCACGGGTGTTTCGACGCGACATTGAACATATTCATGCTGTATGATCAGATCGAATTAACCTTACATATGAAGATTCAGATTTGGACAGTGTTAAAGTTGACATTTACGTCCGTCACCTGCATCTGACATTCTCACATGTACCTACTACCCGTTACCTGATACCCTGAACTTACCCATTGTTCGTTGTTCCTTCAGCATACGCATACAACGCCTTGGCCAATGATAGTTCCTCACTTCCCTAATTCCCCCGCCATTTTACTGCCTCTTAGTGCCAACGAATGCACCTAAACGTTTATGCGGGTTGAGCGTGTATACTAACTTCCGCCGTTAAAAGTGCTGTCGTTTATGTCCCAATTCTCTGGATCTCACCACACTTCTTTCAACGGTGATCCGAAAATTTTAAGCGACTTATCCACGCCCTCGCCGTCGCCGCCGGACGGTCAAATTCCATTCGTTACTACTAAGTCCGATTTAAATAATTCGAGCAGAGGCCACCACATCATTAACGTCGGTGGGTTCCGCAATCGAACGCGATCTCGCGCATTCTCAACCCCGATACTACCAACATCGCCGCCAGTCCGGTTCGATCATGACAGTTCGCCTCCACTAGCAGTTGCACCGATATCTCTCGAGACGCATCGTAGAACAACTAGTCGTAGCACATCTAGGCCGCTGTCTATGGTGCAGGCCTACCAACCGCCCCTCATGGACGTAAACGAAGAGACCATTCCCGAACTTCAACCCATATTCACTTTTCTCAACAGCCATGTCAACAAATTGTACCAGGAAGGTTATTTTTTGAAATTAGATGACCAGAACACACGTAGGTTTTCTAAGTCACTCATTGAATATCTTCATCAATGCAACTCCGCTAACAATTTGTAGAGGGAAAACCTAACGCGGACCGGACATGGACGGAATGTTTCGCGCAACTAGTAGGGACCGTTTTGTCCCTATGGGACGCGGCGGAATTAGACGCTGCTGGTGAGGATGGTGAAGTCTTGCCAAAATTCGTCAATCTGACAGATGCTTCTATAAAGATGGTATGAGAATAAGCGAACACCGGGACCATCGCAAAGCCGTGGAATCATAATATTTTAGTACAGGCTAACACAAAAGCAGATCGAGTCTCTACCTACTAGGTCGAGTGAAGAGACGCCTTTACAGAACATTCTCAGCATATCGACGGCAGGACGTAATCGATATTTATTGCATTTCAATTCCAGGCAATCACTTATTCAATGGACGTCCGGTATCCGACTTGCCATGTTCGAGCATTCGACCCTCCAAGAAGCATACACCGGAGCATTGATTGCTGGAAAGGGGAAGACATTGAATAATATCGGGGTCATAATGGAAAGAGCACGTACGCCGATGGACCAATGGGTGAGAGTCCGATTTGGAGCCGGTGTACCATGGAGACGATGTTGGTGTGTCATTACACCACCTGACGAGAAGGAGTACCAGAAGATGTTAAAGGAGCACAAGAAAAAGTCGCCCTATGATCGCTCGCACGCTCCATTGCTGAAGGGGGATATCAAATTCTACGATACCAGAAAAGAAGGGAAGAAGGCGAAGAAGATGCTGCCGATAGCAACGATTAGCGATGCTTATTCCGCATACGCCCTGTATCCCCAAGCTAAATCGTTGATTGACGCGTCGACATTGATCAAGATTGAAGGCAATATCACGATCCACTCGGATCCGCCGTCTGAAAGCGAAGGCTTCGTGTTTATCATGCCCGAGGTACACCCAGCTGTCAGCGGATTCGAGATGATGTTGAGATTCTTGTTCCCCACCTGGGACACTTTTGGTCTCTACGGCCGACCGGGAAGACTCGTTGCGAGCGTCCTGGATTCGAGATCTCTCATGTTTGCCATGCCCAAACATAAACGCTACGGCTATTTGGAGCTTTCCGACGTAGCTGGACTAATCGCGACTGAAGGTAGCCAGAGCTGGAACGAGAGAGAGTGGAGGAAGAAGCTGAAGGAACTGACCGGTACCCGTATGAATGGTACAGACGATGCGGAGAGTGCCAGTTCGGGTAGTAAAACCAATGGTCATGGAAAACGCCTTAGTTTTGGCCCAGCCGCCGGCTCGAAGCCTCGTGTAGGCTTTGCAGATGATGCGCCTCCCTCCGTGCGTACTTCGCGATCTATGTCGCTCAACAGTCGACCGAATATAAGAATGGACTCAGCTCCTCCTGTAGATCGAGAAAGAGATGGCTCTGCGATGGCCATGAAGTCGGGCCATGCTCGTAACGCGTCAGATTCCAGTATACCTGGGCCTCCACAACCGCCGCCTCACCAGAATAGTCCTTACGCGTCCAGCCCAGCCTCGTCCATTCGAGGACCCAATCCGGCACGTGGGTTCATGAACGATTTGGCATCGACTCCAGAACGTATGAGTTCGGATGAAGAACGAGGAGATGGGCCGATCCGTGATTTCGAAGGAATGCGAAGGATGCAAACTCCAGAGCCGGTTGTTCAGCCTCCTAGTTTCTCTCACGCGCCAGGTCACATTCCCGCGACTCGACCTTACCACTCTCCGGAGATGCGCCGAGCTAACAGCCGCTTGTCCCTGACCACCCTTAATCAAATTGCAAAAGCTGGCGGCGTCCCTCCAAGCGGGCCCGCATTCGACGGTGGAAGAAGTAACGAGGAGCGACGTGGGCCTCCACCGCAGCAATTTGACCAACGTGGTCCACCGCCACCTGCTCATGCCATGAATGCCGGACCTGGCGAAGGATTAAGGGATAATTCGCCGCTCTCTCCACTCTCCCCTCCCGGCCTGAATTCGCCCCAAGCGGGCCCCGGAGGTATGCGATCAAGGTCACCGTTGATGAGTCCCCCGCCTATGGGTCAACGAGGCCCAAGCCCTGGTCCACCTGGTCCAGGTCAACGACCAAAAACGCCAAATTCTCGACCTGGAACCGCTAATGGTAACCGACCTCCGCCACCGCCTGGTTATGGTCCACCTCCAGGCAACCTGCCTCCCGGGCCTCCGGGCCAGAGAGGACCTCCTTACGGCATGCCGCCTCCCGGCAGAGGCCGTGGACGGCCCCCGCCAAATATGCCACCTGGAATGCCTCCCCCAGGACGAGGCCGAGGCTACCCTCCTAACGAGAACATGTATCGAGGCTACCCGCCTCAAGGACCACCAGGACCTGGTGGACCCGGCGGACCTGGTCAAGATGGACCAATGTCTCCAACTAATCGTAAACCTTTACCTCCTATCAACACATCACCATCTCTTAGTAGAAAACCGCTCCCAGCCCGGACTGACAGCTTACAACACCGACAGCGTGACGATATGTCGCCGCAGACCCCTTCTACGAGCAGTGGAAGTCTGACAGGCAATAGACTCGACGCCGCCGGATTGGGTCAGATCCGCCCCCTCCAACCAGGATCCCGAATGCCTCCTCCAGACTCATCCGTGCACCGTCAGCCTACGGGCAAGAGTCAAGCTAGCAGTCGCTATGATGAGGCCAGCCGCTACGATGACTCCGCATCAACCGATAGTCCCGATTATGCCAGTTCGCGCCCGTCGACAGAAACTGCGTCTTCGAGTGAACGCGAGCGACCGAGAGCTGGCGTTCTTCGAACGATTGGAGCCGACGACGACTCCCCCATGCAAGGACCCAGTTTTGACATTCCGGATATTAACTTCGGCCCAACTATGAATTATGCTGCGGCGCCGCCACGAACGAAGACTCCTACACCCAACAACCCTCAACAAGGACCATCATTCTCGCCAGCGCCCCGAGCTTATTCACCGGCATCTCAGCCTCCGCGTAGGTCGCCTGGAGCTGAGGCTGGACACAACCGTCAGGAATCAGAAGACACGGTACGACGAAGTGTCGTCTGGCAACCGGCCATTATGAATGCTGGGCCCAGCAACCCCGCAACTCAGGGTCTCTCGGCCGAAGAGTTCGTGCAACAACGGGCCGCGACCGCTCAAGCAACACCGCTTTACGCACACCAGAGACAGTCTTCCGGGAATACCCTTGGAGGATTCAGAGCGGGCACGCCAACCCCTCCACTTGGCCGAGGCCAAGGCCAAGATTACATGGGAACTGCACACTCCCGCAACAGTTCTCAAGATCTTCTACAGAATCGACCGAGCTCCCGAGGAGCCGGTGAATTACTACAGCGCCCCAACTCACGAGGTGCTGGCGAGTTACTACAGCGCCCTGGGTCTCGGGGTGCTGGTGCGGTCCTCGGTGGCCAAGGAGGCGGTGACTCGCACCTCTCAGCCCGCGAACAAGAGCATGTAGCACGAGTTACAGGAACTCCCCTAATTAACATGGCAGGCAATAAGAATGCCCCTACACAAACGGGTGCCGGACTAGTCGGTGCGATTGAAGCTAGGGAACGCGAGAAACAGCAGATGAAAGCAGGCTGGAGTAGCCAGGCTGCCCAGCACGCTATTAACCAGCGACAGCAGCAGCATGCTTTCCAGCAGTATTCGCCCCCAGTCCAATCACCTGGTATGCCACCGCCTGCTGGCATGTACTCAAACATGGGACGTAGTGCTACGCCTCACGGATCTAACTACGGCGGCTTCGGGACCCCTGGCCCGATGACTTATGAGCAAGAAGGTACTTGGTCGTCCCCCGGACCAGGATTCGGATCTCCGCCCCCTAACAACTACGATCCTCGATACAACCCGCAACGCATGCAATCTCCTCACGGCCAGTTCTCATCCCCGCCTCCTTTCTCCGCGCAAAGTCCACCACCCGGAGGACGAGGACAAAACCAGTATCCCTATCACGGGCAGGCATTTTAATTATTGGACAGTGCATATTCCAAAATTGAGAAGCACAGGATAGGATAAGATAGGACGGGGATATGGCTTTCGGCCCGGACGGATCGCGTTGTCAATTCCACGCCGCAACTTTGATAGTCATCTACATTAAACGAACGAACAAAACAATACTAGGAGGTTTTCTGAATGGTAGGGTTGTTTCGATACGCTGGAATTGGTACAGCACACACGACGGATTACTACTACTATATGGCAGAGAACGTTGAAGCATTGCATTGTAAGAGTTTGTGCGGCTAAACTCATCTTTTTTTGTCTTGTTTATGGCGGCTTGCCTTTGACTGGAGGTTCAGGTTGAGAGTTATCCATTTGCATCGCAGTCATATCCATCCATTGGCTAATGGCCTGGCTTAAACACGCCTATCACATTACATCACATCACACCATATCACATCTTTTTTGTTGTCGACATTAGGTTTTCGAAACTTTTTTCGCCTTCTCTCGCGGGGAGGTTTGGGGGAGGTTAGGTTAGCATCCTCTTGCATCAAGATGGCTTATAGAAATTTTGGAAGTACGCTACTAGTGGTTGTCTTGTTTGTGCATTTGTGATTTTTGACATGCATGTGATTTGAATTGACTGACTTGTATTAGCTTGGATTGGTGAGGATATGATTCTAAAGTTGGTTGTTTTCATTGAATCCAAGTTATACTAGCAGTGTTTGTAGTGTGTAGTGACAAACAACTGTTCTTATACCGCCGTTTACCTACCTAGGTAGACTTCCGAGGTCAGCCTTGACCGAAAATCATATGTACCTGCCTGGTCGATTCCCCGATCCATCTAGAGCCCCATATAATAAGTCATCATCAACGTGTTCACGACTTCCCGATGTTGTTCGATGCAGGTTTCAATGTTTCTGTGGGGTGGAAAGGTGAGCGATCCCCACCTGCCACCTATTTAGGCACCGAGGTACGCCTTCCAACAAGGCTGACCCTGCATGCCGGCCTAATCATAGGGCCCCCTGGAGCTCAACCTGCCCCACATCGTTCTCGAGCTTATCGTAGCTGCCGTTGCCAAGTATGGGAATCCCTAGGAGGGGCACCTGACTGACGCAACATGCCGCATTGGTCACGGTTTAAACTTCGAAGTCACTACCTGTTTCTTCTGTTTCTGTTTATACTTTCAGCCTTATTGCCTTATTGAATTGTTTGACATCTGACGATTACATACCTTTCTCATCTGCATCCTTTCTTTATTTCCGTACGGTGTATACAAACCCCATCATCCATACATCTCTCTTCTTGCTCTAGGATAGGACTGCCCTTTTCGATCTATTCTCATTTCACTACTAGTGTTATTCCGTCTACGGCACCTCGTACCATCGTACATACTCAAGCATTACGCACCACTGCCTAACACGCCCGAATGCGTTGACGACTAAGTCGGGATTCGTCCGTCCCATCCCAACAAACCGGTCTCGTGACACTTCTGTCTGACCCGTATACCTCGCTGCGTTGCGTCTTCTATATCCACCTCCATCCAAACCGTTCGACCTGCAATCCTCCCGCTTCGCCTCTAGCGCCTCGCCTGGATTCCCATTCCCCATCTAGCCGCAGAAGCGAAACCTTCCCCCCTCTCTCCGAACCAGATGTCGAGAAAGACCCTGCGCATCCTCTGCTTCGGCAACTCGCTGACGTCCGGATTTCCGGCGGGGAAGCCGTATGCGGAGAGGCTGAAGGAGAAGCTCGAGGACGCCTTCCTGGGCCACGGATACGGCGAGATCCTATACGAGGTCGATGGCGTGCCGGGAGATTTGGTGACGAGGGGTTCGTATCTCGGGCGCATGGAGGATGCTTGTGAGTTGTTCTTGTTCTTATCCCGACCCATATTTAGAAACATGGGGACGAAAGCTCTGGTTTTTCCATGTTGCTTCGATTCGTGGTTAATAGCGTGCTTTAAGCTACGCTATTTGCTTCATTCGACGAGTTAAATTGGCTTAATACTAATACGGAAACTCGAACCCAGGGAAGCAGGCAATGCGGAATCGCGAACCGTATGACTGGACGATCGTGCTAGGTGGGACAAAGTATGTCGTCCTTATTTCGGTTTACATCTGATCAACTATACCTATTCAAGTATCCGATTGCTAATCTAGAGTTTGTTCGTATGCAGTGATCTGGGTTGGGGATGTTCGGCAGAGGACCTTATTGCTGGCTTGAAGAAGGCTTGGGACATCCCACTGTCCTACGGTGGTAAAGTACTGGCGTTAACGATAACCGATACGAGAAGTAGATATAAGGATATTAAAGAGCGTAGGGATGAGGTGAACAAGGCTATCAAAGCGTATAAGAGGCCAAATTTGTAGGTGGCACCTATGCTTCTCTTCATTCTTCTCTGTATAGATGAGATGAACTTCTCCTATTTCATCTCATTATTCCGAGGATCGAAATACTAATTTTCGTCGACATAGCTTCTACTTCGACTTATACAACGCAATACCGTACCACGATATGGTACCAGAAGACAGACCTAAGTACTGGGAAATGGACGGCGTGCACCTTTCCGCCGACGGCTACAACCTCATGGGGGAGAAGATCGCCGAACAGCTAATTAGAGTCATCAGGCTTGCAGAAGCTCAGGAGGACGACATTAAGAGCATCGCGGCGGACCCGAAACAGAGACAAGCTATCGAGGATATGATATTCGAGGAGGAGAGGGGGAACCCGAAGTTGCTTAGCCAAGGTTATATCGTCGTCCGTAAGAGCGACCTCGATTAGAATAGATTACTAGGCTGGGTTAATAAAGATGAAGATTACCACCACTATTGTTCAATGACAGGCCACCCATTAAGATATATCTCGTTGAGTAACTCGAATTTGCTTTTTTAGTTCATAAACTCATGTGCCGATTTACAGCATAGTCTTCCCTTGACGCCGTATCTATGCATTCATTCATTAGGTAACGCCAGACACACCAAGTGATCAATCATTCCTCATTCCTCCTCATACGCCAATACCTTTCGTACCTTGCCTTGCCTTGCTTTGCTCGTCATTCCAGGCTTATCCCACCACGAGATTCTCGAGCACGAACTCAGGGAACTCTCGCTGCAGCGCGTTCGTCACGTTCTCAACCTCCTCGGCCAAGCTCTGCACATTAGCATCCCACCGCCGCATCTCCCGTCCCACCTTCACCTCAGCCCGTCCGCTGCCCTTCTCTCCCGAAGCCTCTCCGCCCTCGAACCAGATAACGCGGTCGATCTGGTCGATACTGCCCACAAGCCGGCCCTGCTCAATCATCTTCGCCGTCGTATCCTCCGCCTTATCAGCGTCCAGACCGAGCAGCACGCCCAGGTCGTCAAACCCGATGTTACTATACAATCGTGAGACACCCAACAGATTGTGCTCGACGACGGCGCGCGCCAGCACCGTGGTCCCGTCCGCGGTGAGCGCGAGCTGGTGCGGGGCCAGGCCCTCGGCGAACTTGCGCACCTCGGCGGGCGCCAAGAGGCGGTCGAACAGCATCTTCTCGAGCATGCCGAACTCGGGCAGGGAGGCGGCGCGCTCGTCCTTGAACAGGCGGCCGAGGGCGCGGCTGCGCAGGGGGCCGGCGGGCGCGAGGATCGCGCACTTGACGGCCATGGCGAGCGTGTGCAGGCGCTCGTCCTCGCTGACGGCGGCCGAGAGGCTGATGTCGTGGTAGGCCTGGCTCGCGGCGAGGAACTCGCGCTTCGCGTCCTGGATGCGGGCCTGCGAGAGGCGGAAGTGCAGGTTCAGGGTCGGGTCGGACACCTGGTAAATCACGTTCTTGAGCTTGTTGAGGTAGGTTTCGGCCGTCGTGGTGTCGTCTACCTCGAGGTAGTTGCGCACGATGCGGACCCAGACGGCGACGCGCTGCTCGGGGGTGACGCGGCGCGAGGACGAGTCTAAGGGAATCTCGGAGAGGGCGCGCGCGGCGAGGATGTGGTCTTCGTTCGCCTCGTGCGCGTCCGCGAGCAGCTCGCGCAGCTGCACCGTCTGCTCCAGGAAGGTGCCCGAGGTCGTCGTCGTGGTCGGGTCGCCGGCGCTCGCGCTGCTCGCGGACGCGGAGAGCACGGCGAGGATGTGCTCGCCCACGCCGATCCACAGGTCCGGCTGCTCGAGGGCGCGGACGGCGGACACGAGGCGCTCGATCAGCGTGCGCTGGGCTACGACGCCTAGGTGCGCGTTCGGCGAGAGGATGGCGTCGGCGACGGCGCAGAGGTCCGCGGAGATGGTTTCGGGCGTCGAGAGGGTCTTCAGGTCGGAGAGGATGGTTTCGAGGTGCGAGGCTGCGTCTCCTCCTGCTTGCAGCTGGGACAGCGCCTGGGCGATCTTGGGGCTGGTCATGGTTGCGTTTGTTGAGGGGGCGTTGGGTTTAGAGCATAGGATGGGGGTGTGGTGTGTCACCTATTATTAGTTTACGGAGGTCAAGGGAGAGGAAGACGGATTGTGATGTCCTTAAAGCAAGACGATCTCGAGGACGGTGAGTTGAGAGGTGAAGAAATTGTGATTGCAAGCTTCACGAATTTGGACGTGGGGCTTGGAGTTCGTTGGTGACAGAACGTGGGGAAGCTCCAACTTAGCGGGGCAAGATGGGGAAGGCAGCTGTATGCTTTGTAGAATAAACTTGATACTGTATGCATAAACCGGTATGTTCATTTAAAGAGTTACCCCTATTTTCGTGTCATTTATCAATGCTGTCTTTACCACAAATTTCCAGGACGCTTTTCTACAAATACATAGTGATATTGTATGATAGGTAAGTCATGCACATTCAATTTCCATGGCATCAATTCTTGTTTTGCATAAGTTCAATCTACGCCAGACAAGCGACAGGCTATTATTTCCTTATGGTCATAATATTCTTTCAAGATAGCATTGAATTATAAAATTTATCGAAAGCTTTCAATAAAGACCAAGCTATTGGTCGAATAGAGGATGTTGGCTTTCTGGCATTTCATTCATTCATTCATTAACGGCAGTCATTTGCTATTCTATTTCTCTTCATGAACCATGGATGGCCTTGATTATTTCTAGTTTCTATCAAACTCAGCCTCTGGCCTTCCAGTTTATTCTATTCATACTACGGCCTAGAAGCTATAGGGTCTTGGTGGAATGGGTAAGCCTTGTATCTGGCTATACTGTGTTGCTTCAAGTTTAAAGATTACTCAGGAATATCTGACTCCTTAGGTACTTTACAGATACAAACCAACCTAGATAGTTCGGCTTCATCGTTTGCTAGATAGTTTGCACATTTCAAAGATATAATTCACCAGAATGTTAAATTCCGATGGTGTTTAATGAAGCAACCACTATGATACTAAACACAGAACCTTATGGCACTATCGGTGACTCAATTGACCCTTCTTGCCGTATGTTCCTTCTATAAAAGTGTTCCTAGTCAATGTTAGCCGGCTAGACATTCCGGTCACGTTTCGAGTTCGATGCATTGGTCCAAATGGATCAGTGGTTTCTCAGCAACTTTTACCCACATAGCAAGTCCTTACTTGAGTAACTTCCCATTCTTAATCAGCTCTTGCTTTCTTCATAAGTTCCTTCCTCAAATGTCATTATATATTCATCATTGGATCACTTAAAAAGTCTTGAATCTGGCCAATGCTTCCCTTCACAGAGCTTAGCGTACATTGTAGTTAATTCTGCTTGGCCAGTTAAGCTCTCACAACCTAAGCATAGACCAATATCTGTACTTTCCATCTGGACAAAGAAAAGGGTAGCTCCTGCCTGATTTAACGTCCACGATAACTTCGCATGTGGTCAGTGATTACCTCTATTGGGATAAGCAACCTTGGCAGTTGCTCATATTGCACCTACGAACCTTCTATGCCGTTGTACTTCACCTGGTGGCTCCACAAGAGCTTATCTGAGAAAGTATTCACTGTCAGGCTACACCCGTCTCATCCACTAATACCCAGTTCTCACCTTTTCATCCCATATGCTTGCTCCATTATACTTCACGCTAACCCCCTATCGGAGAAGAATCTCCATTCCTATATAGTAGCAACTGCCTTTAGTTCTTGTATCTCAGGCAATTGCGTCCCGCCTGTCAAAGTAGACCTTTCGTTATATATACACGGACCTCACTGGCTTCTACAAAACTTCACTTGATCATCTTCACATCCACTTACAACAATCATTCTACTTTACTCAACAAGTACAACCAAAAATATACATATCACATATACCTACCCATTCCAACAACACATCAGCAACAGTTCAACATATCTCCTACACCAAGACTTCACATTGTCGCATTATTTACATCTCTCTTCAAGCATCATCTGAACCTCCATTTTCTTCCAGCAATGTACACTATCAAGCCTTCCCCCGGAAAGGGTCTTGGTGTGTTCGCCACCCAAGCCATTGAGCGCAACGACAAGATCGTTCATGAACCGGCGCTTCTCTCACAGACGAATGCAGAAGAGTTAGAGAAAGGATCACGGTTCAAATGTCTCATTGACAAGTTCGACCAGCTTGATGACAACAAGAAGGCACAATACCTATCATTGTCTCACAGGGTCGTTGGATTTGACAAGGAAACGTATGATGTATTACGCTATTTCATAAACACTACTCAACCTAGAATCGCCGATGATGATTATCAGAAAACTTTCCAGGAATTGACCCGAATGTGTAAGTCTCCTACCATTGAAGCTGACTTAATCTGAGGTTTAAGATATCGCCGAAGCTCTAATGGTATTAAGTCCTTGCTAATAATTTTCTATAAATAGTGGACGTATTCAATACGAATTGTGCTGCTATGGTAAAATCTAATCGTTTGGAAGGGTTTGGAATCTTTCCCATTTACTCACGGATCAACCATTCCTGCATCCCAAATGCTAGATGGCAATACAACTACACGGTAAACGAGATGGAAGTACACGCAGTCCGCGACATCGCCGACAACGAGGAGATTACAATTACCTATTTTCCCTATGACCGGAGTCTCTCTACCTTTCAAGACAGAGAGTGGGACTGTCTTCTACGCGGCTTCCAATGTGACTGTGAAGCATGCGCGGACCCGGACCCGGACCTGCGGGACGGTAGACGCGAGAGGATGTGCGAACTGATGGGGTTCTTTGAAGACTACAATCTTGGTGCTTTTATTAATGAAGTCGAGCTTAATCCCCCCTTTGGAACGCCGGAGCCAATACGACTTGCTTTGGAATTAGTCAAGTTGTTGGAGACAGAGGGTTTGTTCGGGGACAGTCTAGCATATGCGTAAGTCCTTTCATAAATTCAAATCAGTGATACTCTAAACATTTGTACTGACTCTATCAAGGTGTGATTTGTTGTGCGATTTTTACTGCGTCTTAGACCAGTGGGATGAATGGGAAAAATTCGCAATCAAATCCAACCTAAATTCCCCAAATCCTTTGAGTGAGATAGCAATTGCTTCTACAAAGGACTCCGAGACTGCTGGCTTCAATAACGAGGCCACCGGTATCGCCGAGGGTTCAAGTACATAGGGTAGATATGGATGGAAACACCTATGTAATTAGTTAGATAGGTATCACTGTCATCTCGGCGCTTGGAATTCAATAATACGAAAACATCTATTAATCAGACGCATTGCTGTGAAGACTGTTATGGTCTCAAGATCGGGCGAAGGTAGGTATGGTCATATATTTATCTACCTACCTATCTATTAAATGTAAACTCAGGATTCAATTTCAAGCACATTTACAGGTAGGTAACGAAAAAGATAAAGCCCCTCCTATGGCTCTTTTTCTTGTTACCCCACAACAAGACCCCAGTCCTTATGCCTATCTCACATAACGACGGCTATAGACGAAGGGTATGTTCACACCATCTACATGTCGACAAACCAGTTGCTCCTCAGCGGGTTCTCCGTGGCGCTCCCTACCTATCTAAATAGTGATTAACGACCAGGTTTCATTTTTTGGCGCTCCTAGCCGGTGGTGATGATGGGGCTGGGCCTTACTAAGTGCACGTCGAGGGGGGAGATCGGAGTACAGGTGGGCCTCCAAGACGAGGGCATCGGCGACGGCGTGGAGAGCGAACCTGAACAGGACATAGGTGTCGTGGTCGGTCTCGTGTTCGTACCTGTCTCTTAACGAACACCCCTTACCCGGCCCTCAACACAGATGTGGGACTCGGTAAGTACCCTGGTCAAGCAATCTCTGGGCTCTGAAATTCGATTGTTTTGCCCCTATAGAGAAGTTTATGGCTTTGGGCCATGATGATGTTTCCTAATATCTCCCATACCACTCTCCCTGCTAACTGTAATCTGCCCGAGAAAAAATTAGGTAGCTATGAGCAGTTTTTGACCTATTCTTGATATATCACTAAGCAAGAACTTCACGAAAACTTGCGTAGTAATTGAGAATGGATTTTCTTGTTTAACAAAGCGAGAATAGCCTTGCTTGTTCTGAACAGATGAGTACCTTAGAATTGCGGTGATACGCAAAACCAACTCAGTCCCTCGAATAGCATGGATATCTGTACACTTTTTGGCCTCCTATGCGCGCATGCTATGACTCCTACACCATGCCCCCAGATAGCCGTAGTCCCTTCCTTTTAACAATACAAGTATACTCGACCCTAGCTTCGATACACACGCCCCGCCAAGACCCTGACTTAACAAAGTAATGCAGCATCACCACCCCCAAAATCATCTCTCCCACCTCAATGCTGCAGCACAACCGGCTTCCCCCTCTCCCAATCCCGAATCGTATCCCTTATATTAACCCAATACCTCAACCGAACCACCTCCCCCCTCGCCCCCTCCACATCCCCCTCCCCAAAAAGCTGTCCTAGCCTATCCTCGCTTTCCCTAATCCTTCCCTCATTCTCCACCCGTAACGGCTCCAACTCCTCCTCGCTCCGCGCCTCCTCGATCGCCTCCCGCGTCTCCAGAACCAGCATCAGCAAGTTCGGATCCGCCACCTTCCCCGTCTCATCGTTCGCCACGTCGTGGCCGCTTAAATGCAGTAGGTACTGCGCGCGGAGTAAGGGAGAGGAAAGGGTCCGGTACGCTTCGTTTATGAGCGAGGACGCGGCTTCCGCGCGTCGCTTTGCGGGCAAGCCGGCCGGCGCGACGTCTGGGTGCGCTGTCGCTTGCAGGGTTAGGAATTCGCGGCGGAGCGCGCGGAGGTCGATTGCGAAGGGCCCTGAGGGGGGAGGGCCGGAGGGAAGGGTTTGGGGGAACAGGTCGTAGTGCGTTTTTATTGGTGCTGGTGTTGGCTTTGGCTTAATTCCATCACCTGCTTCTTCTTCTTGGTCTTGGATCGTTACTTCGGCTTCGGGGGAGGGCTGTGCGGGTTGTGCTGCTTCGGCTGGGCGCGCCAGGGATGCGGCGCTGGTTGATATATGCCGGAACTGCGGTACGTTGCGGATGTGAGCGCGAGGTGGTGCTTCGCGCGCTGCGGGTGTTGGGCTGGCGTTGGCGGTTTGGCGAGGAGAAGTGGTTTTGCTTGGCGCTATCGTGCTCAGTGCAGCAGCCTGGCGGAAGTTCGGTGACGGGGCGTGGTTGCGCTGCTGTTGCTGTCTGCAAGAGTCGCAGACGCGCCGCAGCGGTCTTCGGGGTAGTAATGAGGATCGCATTGCTGGAGCAGATACGACTAGTTCTTGTGGTTCGTAAAGTTCAGGTATACTAGAATATATTAATACACGCAGAATCTAAATATGATATTTCTGATATTCCTCAGACTTGAGTAGGTTGTTGGTTATGTACGTGGTAAAGTGTACGAACTTGGAGTCGTTTGGAGAAAGGCGAATAAAATCGGAGACAATGACGTTTTCACGCGGCTTGCTCGGGTTTAGTTTCCGCATGGATATAAGTTTCGGCGCCGATGGTCGGGCTTACTGATGTTACGAGGTTACAAGAATTCGCCCCTTTTTCGTTACACGTAGCGAAGATACTTAACTCCTGAATAATCACAACTAATAACTCACTTTTCCACGAAACAAACCAGTATTTCGATCTTACCAGGACTCAAATCAATTTCACGCGGAATAATATTCATTGGAAGCCTCAGAAATAAATTCCAATTACCAGACGGGGTATCCTAGTATGAACGTAGGTATAATTAAATCACAGGAGCCACACCCGTCGCCTACCTCCACCTCCGTGAAACACATCATTATCCTCAAACCCCTTCTTCCATATTTACAAGAGGGTATATATATACGCAAACATGTACCAAATAATCATTACCACCCCAAATCACCCCAATTCGTTCGCTCAAGATAGCGGCACCTCGTGCCACCGCCCGCGTTCCGTATGATACCACCTCTCGCGGTCCTTTTTATCGACCACGTTGCCGCTGTAAGTGTTCCAGCGTCCGCTACATCCGTCCCTGCCCTCGACTTTTATGTTCTCGCCCCCGTCGCCGAGAACATCTGATATATCAATTAGACCGCCGTTTTCATCCGTAGCATGCTCGTCTGGCGTCACGCAATACCCGATCTTCGACTCGGTCTGACCCATGTAACCTCCGAGACCGTAATTCTCCACTACTGTTCCGTCGTCCCCTATCACATTAACAGTGAAACGTGGGGTCTGCCGTGCCGCCTCAAGCCTGCTCTGTGCCGCGAGGCGCGCCTGGGATAGATTGCTCGACACCTTAGACGGGAACAGTTGGTCCTCCATTGGAAAACTAAGACCTGACGGCGACTTGCTCGGCGTCTTCGGTGTACTAGGAGTTGTTGGCGTGGCAGGGGGGCTAGGTCGCGACGTGCACTTGGTGATAAGGCCACGGACCTGGTCATTGCCTATCTCAAGACAGTCAATGTTCTCCACTGGCTTGCAAAGCGCCTGGAAAATTCCTTCGGGGTCGTTAGGCGTCCTTAGGATCCGGAGCGATGGAAAACCATTTGCTGCTATGCTTCTCGCGAGGACAGAATCGGCCGTATTTGCGCATGACGGATGACTTGTGATGTCCCAATGCAATTTGCGAAGTGAAGGTGATGCGAGATAAGGGAATAACCATATCATCTCGTTTGCCGGCATAATCGGCATAGAATTCTGCACTAGGGCGAAGGATTCTAATGATGTAAGATTTGAAAGGATTTGGCTGAGCGCAGGCAACGAGTCCACGTCAACGTGTTGAAGGACGAGTTTTCTAATCGTCCTGCTATGGGGACGTCTTACGAAGGATGAGAGGCCCTCGTTAGATACGCCCGAAAGATGTGACAAGGTGAGAGTTCGTAGCGACGGCAACGATAGTAGATTGGCATCACTAAAAGCCGTGAAGGGTAAGTGAGACAGATGAAGATTCTCAAGCGCCGGTAACCGAGACACTATGTCCGGAATGAGGGATATTGGCGTGAGAGTCGCGCCTGGGAGGCAATGTATCGATAGAGTTTTTAAATGCTCCCAATCGGTATGAAGCTCAAGAAAGTCTTCGCTTTGTTCGGGCAAAAGATCACCGGGGGCTTCCTGAAAGTTTGGATTCTCTGAATTTAACAGCGCCGCAGCGTTCGATAGTCGGCGCTTCCTCTGGAACTGAGATGGTTCTAGCGTCCAATGCATCTCTACCAGCTTGCGCCTAGTCGATAGAGCGTGGAACAGACGATTGAAGGAGAAATCGTGATTCTGGTGGAATCCAACCAATCGTTCGAAGTTAGGGCAAGCCATGATGACGGAAGCTACTAGATTTTGATACAAGTCAACCGCTACACCCTGGGGAATAGCCGGCGCTTTCAGAGTATGAACCATTGCTGCAAGTTCAGGGTTCGATCTCAATGTTCGACGAAGTAGGACTAGACGAGAGCCGAAATTCAACTTGTATCGTTTCTTTTGCGCATGCGAGTCTGCTCCGACGAGTTGAATATTCTCATAGCTTGATTTTTGGTCAATTCACTGTTTCCAATTGGATGCAGCTAAGAAACTTACAGTGCGACTCGAGCGACCTTCAATAGCTTCCGCGCCGACAAGGCAGCGGAGCACATGTCTCTCATCATGCATGTCGCGCAACTTGTACTGCCAGGTTGCAGATGCAACTTTTTCAATTCGTCCAAAATGAGCCCTAGAACCTCTTCAGGTAAAGCATCGAACAGTTCACCCGTTTCCCTCCTCCGTCTATATTGCTTAATCGGTGCCGGTCGCTGCCATCCATACTCGACTCTCCGTGGATTCGAATTCCAAGAATCAAAGCTCGTTCTGCTGCTGGCCGGGCTTGCAAGAATCGCATCGAATGTATCGTTTGTACTGACCGAGGTCGTAACGCTGGAAGCACTACTCCCTGGTCTTCCCGATCGGTTATACATTGCAGGTCGCGGATCTATCTGTGCATAGTTACTCATCATCGACGGTGGAAGTTTAGCTGGTCGCTGTGCGTGCTGAGCGTATGCTGGCCCAATTGCGTTGAAGCTTGAACGATCGGTCCTCGAAACAGATTCTCTTGGCGAAGAGTCTCGCATTATATAGGTCTCAGGAGTAGATCCGGGGTTGTGAGATGAATACGAAGCCATTGTGGAGCCCATCGGATGAGACCCTGTCGGCGCTACGGGTATTAACAAATTCTCATCGAATCGCGGTCGCAAAACCACTGCAGATGCGGATTGAGACCTTTGATGTCTTGAGAATAATCTAGAAAAGAAAAAGAAAGGAGGTTAGTAAGAAGAACAATTCAGCTCCAGAGTACAATAGCAGAAGTTAGAAAATCGGAGGTGAAGATCGTCGCATTTAGATGGGTCCGCAGAGATTAAAAGACCAAGACGTGCCTTGCATCATTCGGCTCGACGAACTTTTCTGGTAGCTTGGGCGACGGTAGCGAAGTCGTAGCCCTAGGCCAAAGTACATACATACAAGGTCAGAGACCCATGTAGCACGTTTTTCTTGACTTGTTGACAACTACCGCACCACCTAGCCTGTTGTGTTTAGCTTAGACAAGAGACTACGTAGTCCTAGTTAAGCCGTTCGATCTGTGATAGGCGGCCACTTGGCTGTTGGTGAAGGACATGAGGCTATTTTTGCGTAGCGCATCGCCGTGGAAATTAACAGACCCCTGACAAAATACATCTGCCCCTTAAGAACGCTGTGCATTACTTCGGGAGCGCTAAAGTAGTTCAGCAAGGCATGACGCCATATTGGGATGCATGTATTGAATGAATTGAAAGTATCGTATATAATATGAGGATACAGTAATACGGTGTCGAGTGTCAAGTTTCAGCTGTGATGTGTGTGAACGGTAAGGTAGAACATTCAGAACATCCAACTTTGGAAATCGACGAAACCGATTGGGAGTGAGAAATCCTCTTGGGGTCAATTATGGTTCGCGAGCTGAAACGGGGGGCTGATCTCGTCACGATTCTGGCCATTCGGGGAATTTGCTGCAGCAAAGGGAGACTTACAGGGTTCTAAAATTGGAATCGGTCGCTTGAATCTGGTTTGCTTGACTTTGCTGTTGAGAAACACCAACGTCTGGACGAATTGCTGGCGACGAGTCGCTGACCTGTTTCTGGTTATCTGATTTTTCCGGCAACGAATTTCTCCTCTTCTGGATTTTTCGAGCAGACGGCCGCGGCTTGAACAGGCGGGCATAGACAAGTGCCATATGCGACGATCGTTCCTTGTTCGACGACGTAGTAGTATCCATTATTGAAGGACCGTCTTTGCTAGGTTCCAATTCTCGATACGTTACACCACAAGGCACAGGGATAACTCGACTCCCCAGCTTCCAATGTTAATTGGTTTTCGGGCTTCCTCCGGCATTCATCGACAGAACTTCGAAATGAGAGGTCTTCCTAGGTTAGGCAAGTCTCGACAAGTTAAAACTATCACAGCACCGTTTCCTTATTATAAGGATTCGAATCGGAAGCACTAATGGTCAAAGTAACACGGAGCGAAAGGCGATTATATGGATATGTGGGGAGCGAAGATCCTCAAATCCGATCAGGCGAGGCAACGATATTCTTCCGTCTCGGCCGTCTCGGCAATTGTATAAGCCGCTCGTTGGTTAGCCAACGAATTGGATGAGACCGAATACGATCTGTTAGTAACAACTTTGATCTCGGGACCGGCGATCGTGTCTAGCCGCCGGGATACGAATATTCAACAAGTGCTGCTGGAAGCTGGTGATGAAATTTATCTGGAAATCGGTGAAAGGGCCAGATGACCTTTTACAAGAAACATGTTCTGTCAGCACGCGGCGGAGCATATATACTACGTAGCATGTTGGTTATTCTCGTTGTCATAGTGCCGGCAGCATCCAATAGGCTCCCGGTGGCTGCGCCAAGGTGGCCTTGGTTAGCCAGGTTTTCTGACGCGCCCGCAAGGATGAGCTAAGAAGCAATTGGGTCTTGATGGTTTTTGATGATGAAAAGCCCTGAATTTGGCCAAACTTGCAGACTTGTAACGGGCTAATCGATTGGCAACGCCTTGTTCCTGCTGTAGTTCCCCGGCGGCACATAAAGTGATCTTCAGCTCAGGAGAGCTATGGCTGACAGACTCGGTTCTAGAAAGGCGGCTGAAGAGCTGAGCGGCACCAAACGCGTTGGCGCAAAGCCCCGAATAGTGAGGGGCTAAGACTGCCTACAATTTGACTGGCTGCTCGGTGAAAGGTCCATCTTAAAGACTTCTAATTATGGTGTCTATGTTCCATTAGACCAGTCAAAGCGACTTACCTTTAGGTAACAAGAATCTCATCTACTAGGGAATACAATTCCATCGGTCCTTGCGTAGAGAAGCTCGTCCAATATGGAACGTATGAATCGCGGGGTCATGAACTCGGGTGGTCAAGGCGGATGAAGCGAGCTAAGCATGCCGGATACATTCAAATGGATGGTGAATTTAGGCGAATCGAAACCTCTTGATACTCTTGGTAGATGAGACCTTCCCGCTTGGGTTCAGCTCACAGTCAAGTGTTACCACGAGTATTGTCGTGAACTGTGTGTTAGGGTGTCCAATCACGAGTAGCGGTGAACAGCATTTGACTTGGCCAGGGAGCATTATCAGTCCACGTGCGAAATGTCCAAGGTTGATCGGGAATATATGTAAGCAATTACTAGGCTTTGCTGAGTGTCTGTTCGTTGATGTAGAGTAGAAAATGACGATCAAGCTTTCAAACCAATTGGCGGGTCTAAGGAGAAGCTATGCCGCTCTTATATAAGCAAACTGGTATAAGTCAATAAATACCCCCGCTACTAGGTATACAGAGTATGCACGGAAAGAGTTATTCACTTTGGAAATTCATCTGCTTACTTAAGCGATTTACCCCTGAAATCCCCCTCCACTAGGGTCCTAATAAATTCCACAAACTATCACGTGTGGGAATAAACGACCTACTGAACCGGCGGCAGACTTCGCATTCGAAGCATGACGGCATATCAACGAATACTCTTTAACCCATGGTTTGAAATCATGCATACCAGGTAATGCATCATCAGCAAACCCGTACGCAGTAAACTCAACTTCAGAAGATGATATGGATATCATGAAAAAGCTATCCTCTCGCTCGGCGGCCGACAGAAGAGCTCCCAATACAAGCTTGAAATGGCCACGAAATGCTTAGATATTGCTATGATATATCTCTTCAAGGGTGTGCTATGCATAACATCGGCAGACCCTAAGAATTCTCGGAGGATTAACTCCTGGACAGAAATTCAGTATGTCACCGTTAATATATAAACTAGAAGCAACCTACCCAAATTCCCTCGTCTTGCCATAGTTCTGCCAGACGGTTTCCCTTCTTTTTATGTATCGTGCGCTAGATTTCCTCAGATAAGACCTGAAGAGTTATATTAATTAGAGAAGCTAGTCATTTACCACAATTTTCTCTGCATTGTGATTCCAGATGTAATCAGCTCTGTCGGTATCCCTCGGCTATGAAGATGAGCATCTGGAGGGGTACATTAATTGAGTCCCACAAACGGCATTCCCATTCTAGGGACAGAATTGGACTTCGAAGATTGTGGTATATAGAGTGTTGACGACATCCGATTTTGCAAAAAGGTAATTCTTGTACAAAATAGAAGAGGAGGGCAACATTACAGGCGTCCATGCATGTATGACACTAAAAGCGCTAGCTAGACTGGAACAGTATGATCAGTGGGAAAATCCATTGTACAGGCGTAAGGTGAGTCACCATCTCGACCCTTGCCGTCGCTACGGACAACCGGGAGATTTCCGGTCTCAACACAAGGCTTATAAGGTATGATAAACGTCAAAACTTTCAAGCCGACCCCACAAAAAGGACGTACCCTGGGTGACCTGAGGCCAGAGAAAACTCGACGTGGTTTGCTCACATGGCGTTGCGGTTCTTACTGCATTGACGCCAGAGCACTTCCCGACGGAGTTTTTCGTAGGCTCTGAATTCAATTCAGAGCCGAGCTTTTATTGCCATTTTTTTGCCTTTTATTCATTCATCATCCTCATTACCCCTGTGCACCAATAAATACTATTTATTTTATTATTATTTATTGGCTAACACCAAATCATAAAAGTTTGTACAAATTATTCTACTCGTCCAACTACCGAGAGCACATCAGCAAGATTATTGTGGGCCTTACAGGTTGCGCACAATCTTTAGGGTACCATGTCCTGGGTCGATTCTGTTGGATAATTAGATACTAGAGGTTTTGTAGAATCAGAATTCAGTCTCTGAGAGATCTGCTAGTATAAGGGGCTCTCCTATTCAAAGCTTCTCTTATAATACCATGATCATTCTCTCGCGTACTGGGTCCGCCTCGCAACAAAGCATGGAATTTCTTCTATGCTCTGCAAGTTCTCTGCCGTTGGAGAAACGGACATATCATGACAGATCCTGTTTGATATCATTGTCCTGAATTCTAGAAGATGCATCGTGCCAAAATGATTTCCTAGTGGCAATCCTAATCAGGAACATCCTATCGCTATTCAATCACGACCAACTGGGTTACACTTGAAAATGAGTCGCGCCGCCTTTTTTTTCAGTGCGCTCTTGCGTGAACAATATGCTTCTTATGCCGAGTCCTTTGTAGTTAATGGGCATATAATACTACTCTCCCACACGGGAGGAAGACCATACATAGATCTATAGCTTAGCGATGAAATCTCCGCTTATTAAAATGTCTTTTGTCTCTTGGTTATCCGAAACTTAGTTAGAATTTGAGTAGGTATATTCTCACTCCTCATCTACACACTATCCAAGATGGTAGTAACAATAGAGATAATGTATAATTTCCTACGGACAAGACTCCTTGTATACCCACTAACATGTACGATTCGTGAAAATGGTGCCAAAAACACTGGAGTGAAGCACACTTATTAATAGCTAGTGACTTGAGAGGTTTGAATTTACTAGCGATTCATTCAATGATTGATATGAAAGAAAAATTCAGAAATGACGTTTCCCGATGTATATTATTATACTTTGTGTTAATCAGTAACAGCAGGTGGAAATTGAATATTGTGAAAAATGAGTTATTCATTCATGGTGGTATGGTTGGCTGATTGGATATTCAATACCCCTATTATTTCCCCCCTTCCATGTTAGCCCTATTCTCCTTTATGGTACGTTTGCTGTGGAAACTATGGATGTTCTTGAGTGTATGATAGATAAGGACTTCAATAGATCGAAGTCTCAGATAAAGTTTCATTCTGCATAGGTAGTATCTGTGTTTCACTATCATCCCAACTATTGCCGACCCCTTTTCTCATAACCGACACTCCCTTACCATTGACAAACAATATCCGTTGTCGACTTTCAGCTCATCAGTGACCCCATTTCGGCCCCAACTCATGGTTATCAATCACCCTTCGTTGTCGAAGCTATGATATGAATCGTTTCGCGCAACTATACTCGCCTCATACCTTTCCCGTACCTTCCCCAAGCCAAGCCATCATGATTAACAACGGCAAGCACTCTTCCCTATCTCACGATCTCGCATCTTCAATGAGTCGCAGAATGTCATTCACTCTCCCACACAACACAAATCATTATCTATTTATACTTGGGAATTTTTCTTATTCTCATTTTCCGCATTACTTAGCAACGGACTGGTAGGTCTTTTCATATGCCACTTCTCAGCTTCTTCTCATAAATCCCAATCCATCCGCGATTTTTCTACTCTACTTCACACTCTACCTCATTTACATCATAAGTAGTAAACGCGTCTGAATCTAATCAATCTACAGACATCACAAGTAACCATGGATGAACACGCTCGTATCAACGGGGAGCAGGCTGCCTACCAGATGCCTAGCTCCTACTCTGAATCCTCCTCTGGAGAAATTCCCATTACACCCGTTGATCAGATTCATACCACTGTCCCCGAGGAACCTCCCTCGCGTCGGGAGTCTCGGCACTCCTACGTGCAGTTGCCTCCGGCTCCCGTCCAGGTGAATGGTCCTAGAAGAGCTCAACCTGTGACCTTCCCCGACGTGAGTGTGCCAACCGTCAATGGTATTGTGCCCCAGGACGCTCCGAGCGCGCCTCGAGTCCTACGCACTGCGCCTAGTCCAACTACTGGCACTCAAGCAATTCCTACCATTCCACTCACCATCCAAGAACGCCGTCGTCAACGCCATCGACGTTATAACCGAAGCGGACTCAATCAATCTGGAGCGCAGCTGTCTCCTCACGCGCCGGCCTTCGTGCCCTTATCCATCCCGACAACCCAGGCCGCCCAACAGTACAGAGGAGGTAAGTTCGCATAACAATAATCGCAAAACTGATCATTCATAGTAGCCGATATAAAATGACTTTCACTTATTTCCACTACGTAACGCCCTGTGAACCCAGGAAATATAGGCTGACAATCATATCATAGGCGCACCCGTTGTCCCTGCGACAGGAGACGACCGCTCGTTCTACGAGCGGCGCTCATATATCCAATCCGCACCCCCCGCTCACCTCTATCCCCAACAATTCCCTCAACAGCACCAACAACCCTCCCCTCTAACCACCGGTCTGTATTCCGGTTACCGAAGCGGCGGTTCTAATTCCCAACCCGGCTCCTCCACGTATTCGAGCAGCCAGTACCTGGGACCTACTCCGCCCCCGTCCAGCTTGACGTCCGGAAGCTCGTACCAAGGATACCAGCGCGGAGCTACTCCTCCTCCTGGCCTTGGCTCGTCTGTAGGCTCGCTGCCCTCCGGACCGCCCGTGCTTCCTGCCCGTCCACAGCGGGTCTTCCAGAACCAAGGTGCGGCCTATGAGTACGCGCGACCGCTTCCCCTGAGACAATGGACTGAGGAACAGGTAAGATAAGTTTTCTTCTTCTCTGGTGATGGTAGATGGCTTTGCGCAGTACTTGTTGTTGTTGTTGTTGATGTTGATGCGAAAGTGAGCTCACAAGATTCCGCAGTCACGCGAGGAGCGCATTCGCATTCATCGCGAGCGAGATGAACGAGCGCGAGGTTTTGATGAGCGGGATGATGACGAGTTCATTCCGGGCCTGTGATCGCTTACGATGCGAGTAGCCAAGGGACGTCTGCGGTCGTTATGATGAGAGGCGTGGTTCTATTCTCGAACTGGACGGAAAAGAGGTAAATTTCAAGGTGGTGGTCGTTCGTGAAGGCGGCATGATCAGTCTTCTCAGAGCTTGCTGAGGGCTTATTCGAATGATTGTCCAAACGATCGACATCATGATGAAGAAGAGAGGTATCGCGAAGATCATGGGATCGTTTTCTGCATTTTCGTTGCTTTGCTGTCTTGCATAGGATGCCATTATTGCAAGGAGGTTCTCTTCGGTAGTAGGTAGTCAATTGCCTAATTAAATTCCCCTTTACATATTGAATCTAGAAGGACTTGTTCCTTAAGTATTAAATCTCTGGTCATCTCCGATGTGAAAGTTCGTGGGAAATAACTTCAACTCTGGCGCCACAGTTGTATAATCCGAAGTTTAACTCCAATAAACCACAGCATCACCTAGCCCTCTAGATGTTTATTCAGATCTGACATAATGATACTAGCATTTACTTATAACTCCTCCCCATGCATTTGGCACTGCGCTTCAATTACTTAGGTAGGAAAATGGGCAGCACTCAAGGCATACTGGAGGTTAGCCGATATGGTGATTTTTGGTGTAGTCCCTATCTTACGAAGATCATTACTTTCCTTGATGTCTATTAGAGGGATACATGATAATATTAGAGACGTTCTATACAAGAGAAGTACTATCTTAATCGCTGTCCGTTTCCCTACCTAGGTAATTGAAGTGCAGTGCTGAAGGCACGGGGAGGCATCTCGAGCCAGTGCTAGTATAGGTGATAGTTTCAACTACTACTGAACTCCATCAAATACACGTAATCAAGGCATTTCTGACAGAATCATTTGGCCGTGCTCAAATTACCTCCGTGATATATATATACTTCACTAGACCGTTTCCCGTCTGATTCATTTCTTTTTCTTGAAAACTCATTCCCCCAGGGTCGCACAGTAACTTTCCATATCACTCATCAAGATGGTTCGATTTGCAACCACCTTGCTCGCAGCAGGGCTATTCGCCTCCCGGGCGATAGCCAGGACAGTGTGTCCACCCTGGCAGATTGATAATTTCGAACTCGCCGAAGTCCAGCAGAACAACTATGGCTACAAGGCAAGCGGTAAGGCGATTGTTCGTTTCCCAAAACAAGAACGCTGTCGATGCTAACTTATGTCCCATAGACGATGGCACCATGACGAACCTCACATCCCACATCGGATCGATCTCTTTCGTCCCCCATAGCGGATCCACCTTCACCGAGGAGATACCATGCACCAACGCCATCACTCTCGAGTACGATTACCTCTCGTACACGATCAAGGGGCCGGCGCGGGCCGGCTCCGTGACGATCGAGCTCCAGACGAGGCACAACTGCTTCAAGCCGCTGAAACCCATGAGGAGCACCCAGGTCATCGACATGCATTTCGACGGCGAACTTATCGAACGTCAGATCCCCTTCAAGATCTTCGAAGACCAGGGCGCCAACCTGAGGTCCATCACTGGCATCAAGTGGTTGAACTTCCAAGATGACCAGGGCGAGACTTTCGAATGGTCGCTTGCCAATATCCGGTTCCTCTGCGATGATAATATTCCACCAACTCAGGGGCGCTAGATATTCAGATTGTCTGGGGAATTATTTTGGCGGTTAGAGAGTTTACTGGTTCCTCCTTGTTCTAAAGTCTTGTTCTAAATTGGTAGCTGTGCCTGGATGATGAAAAGGGCCATGGGGAGGATAGGAAGATACGATATGGGCATCTATCTTGCTATCCTCTACGTGAACACGCTGGCTCGAAGAGATACTGGTCTTATTACTATGCGTAAGATGCCGCCATAGATGGCTCAGTTCTTATGGGCATCTAAATAGTATAGAGATCCTTAATGAATTATTATCAGCTTTCTAGGCATATGTTTGAGATAAGGTCACGTAGGACTACGTAGTATTCTCTCGACTCATATAAAGTGGTTACGTAGGCATCTTCATGTACGGTGCTGACAATAAAGTGTGATCTACCCTGATTAGTCTGAGCCCTGATCTGCCACGTAAAACTCAAATCTGTGCATAGAGTTTCCTCACGTCAGTAAATAATGTCATCTGTTGCTGGCAGCTATTTTCAGTTTGCCTAGTGTGTAAGTTCATCGACCCCTATTTAAGCCCCTAAATCTTACCTAATCTTTATCTTTGCCTTGCTTATCGTTATCGATAAAGTTATCGAGCTAAGCTTTTTGCCCCAATTTGACACGGCTCTTGAAAACGTTAGGGTAATGGCCAGGAACGAAAACACCCCAACCCCCACTTTCCTCTTTCTCTTTGGCGCCCGTGTCCCACGTCGCACGTATCAGGCCGAAATTTCGAGAACGGACGCTGCAAGTTTTCGATCTACATTCCATACGTATCCTTCCTAGCCCACTTAACTTTCACCTTCAGTACTTACCCTACGCCCTACGCACACCCGACTCACCTACCAGTTCGTAACTTCTGTCTTCAGCCGATTCTTAATTAGAAGAACGGTATCAGGCGAAGGGATCGACTTATCAACTCCGTAAAGTATCCTATCTAGGTATTGAATCTAGCAATCATGGTACGTGCGAACCCTCTTCCCCTCCATCCCCTCCCCCTCTTCCGTCAGCTTCAGCCCTGGCCTGTATCAAACCAATAAACCAATATATATGTATATACCTATATATCCAATAACTAACACATCCAGGCCACGACAACGAAACAGCGCCTCGCGCTCGCCATCTGCGACTTCCTCTCCACCTCCCTCACCGACGGCACCCTGTCGGCCGAGGACAAGGACAGCATCGACGTAGCCATCAATTGCATCGGAGAATCCTTCAAAGTCGACCCCAGCGACCCCAGCGCCATCTCCTCCGCCATCGGCACGCAGAACCTCCTCCAAATCTACGGCGTGTACGAAAAACTCAAGTCCTCATCCTCCAAACCCAACGACTCTACCCCCGCCTCCGCCCCGGCCCCCGAACCAGCAGCCAACACCAAAACCCCCACCGACGCCGAAAAAGCCGAAGCCGAGGACCTCAAAGCGCGCGGCAACAAAGCCATGGCCTCAAAGGACTACCCGACCGCCATCGACATGTACACCTCCGCGCTAGCCCTGTACCCGAGCAACGCGATCTACCTGTCGAACCGGGCGGCGGCCTACAGCGCGGCCAAGGACCACGCGTCGGCGCGCGCCGACGCCGAGGCCGCGGTGAAGCTCGACCCGCGCTACACCAAGGCCTGGTCGCGGCTGGGTCTCGCGCGCTTCGCGCTCGGCGACGCTAAGGGTAGTATGGAGGCGTACCAGAAGGGCATCGAGTACGAAGGGAATGGTGGGTCTGACGCTATGAAGAAGGGGTTCGAGACGGCGAGGCGGCGCGTCGAGGAGCTCGAGGCCGATGCTGCGGGTTCTGTGCCTGATCTAGCTGGTTCTGTGCCGCGTGGTGGCGGAGGCGGTGGTGGTATGCCCGACTTAGCGAGCCTAGCGAGCCTATTTGGCGGTGGTGGTGCTGGCGGCGCGGGTGCAAACCGAGAAGGAGGCGGTGGCGGTGGCGGTGGGATGCCTGATCTAGGTAGCATCATGAACAACCCCATGTTCGCGAGCATGGCGCAGAACCTGATGTCGAACCCGGAGATGATGCAGAACCTGATGAGCAACCCGCGCCTGCGCGAGATGGCCGACCGCTTCTCCACCGGCGGCGGCATGCCCGACCTGAGCACCCTCATGAGCGACCCTAACATCGCCGACATGGCCCGGAATATGATGGGCGGAGGTGGCGGAGGTGGCGCTGGCGGAGGCGCCGATGGCCCCGGAGCCGGGCGCGGTGCTGGACGATGATGATCATTCGGCATTCTGTCTGTTGTTCATGACTACCTACGTACCTACCTCGTGGGCTAACCCCAATACGCTAAGAGTAAGTGGTTAAGACACAGACATGGACGTGGGGTAGAGTTTAATGAGACTTGAGATAATAAAAAAAACACGACGGTTGGCTGGATGGTGTTGACGCGCATAGACTTGACGGAACATTTTTCTACAATTGTCTACGTTTTCATGTAATCTGTGGATGAATCGTTCAGCTTGACATTGACCTAGAATCACACAGGCAAACTTCATGACGCATGAGGACTCGGTTGGTTATAATAAGAAAACAAATAATGATTTTCCTACTGACTTGTGACCGGTTGCTGATGTTTTTTTTTCTAATTGATGTACATGCGGGCAGTGTGTACGTGTGGTGATGTGATGATGGGCGAGACAAATTGATTAATCGGTATTTTGGGGCTAGATAACGACTGGAAGAAAAAAAAGGGGGGAGAAATCAATGCTCGTCTAATTTTTCCACCATACACCTCGACTCCATATCCGCCGTAGTGTCCTTTGTTTTTTTTCTAAACAGTATGCCTCATCGTGTCCTCGAGCACATAACTTTTTGGTCCCAAATGCCAATTGGCCGAACAAAGAATAGAATGAAAGATAAGGAAAATAAAAACTATCACACTTTTTGCCCCTTGTTTTCCGCTCTCCATCACTCCTAGTCCCACAACCAGCCGATAAGTACCATTATTTAAAATCGTAGTCGAATAAGGTGTCGTACGAAAAATCCATTATCGACACTCTCTGTAATAACTCCAACGTTAAAAGCGTTTTCCCTATAAAGTCATAACAGTGCGTATGAGAATCGAAACTTAAAATATGCTCGAGGAAATGGAATGCGTCTACCAGACGATGAGAAATGAAGGCGATGTAGAAATGATGTATCATCCGAAAGTGCCGTTCGAAATTGTGAGACTATCTTGCACGAGACGAGGAGCCACGACGTTTCTGAGAAGCTCCTGTGCTGTCCTTTTGGCTTAATTTAGTACTTGAAGGGTTGCGTCTTCGACCTCTCCCTCCACGGTAACGACCTCGATACCTACCACGGGAACCACTTCTCTTATCGGTAGGCTCTTGTGAAGGTTTGATATCAGGCGAGGGGGAAGTAGGATCGTCCCGATCCTGGGTTGGCTTGTTATCTTCTTCTTTGAAAGAATTCGCTGCAGGAGGTGTAGGCACAGGCTGGCTAACAGAACGAGCCGGGCTATCTGGGAAAGAAAGTGCTGCCTCTTCAGGATAAGAAATGGACTGAAGAGTATTGCGACGAGGTTTAGCATCCGGCGCTTCAAAAACATTCGGTTGGGTAATAGGCTCAGGCGGTAGGATAGGTGAAACAGCATCGCCGTGTTTACTCAAAGGACTAGCTTCGAAGGCTCTTATCGCGGTAGATATAGAGGCGGTCTCTATATCCGTTCCAGGAGGTATATCGCGACAACAACCTTCTTCTTCGACATCTTCAGCCCAGCTATTACGTATAGGAGACGTAAGTATTGGTCTTGGTGCGGCCGCGGAACGAGGTGTGAACTCCGGAGCTCCAGGATTCAACTTTGAACCCTGTCAGAGGTTAGTATCAGTCAAAAAATCATGCATGATTTTCCGACGGATCTACCTCTTTTTTATGCCCATTTGGAGTATTTACAACCTGTCCATTGGCATTACCAGTCGAAATAGATGCCACTTTCGGTGTGGATCGCTTGGCTTGCGTACCGGTCGAGCTTTTGGTACCATTTGTGTGCTGATCGGCGGACCCGTCCGTCTGTGTAGCAGCTGCAGGTACCGTGTCGACAGCTTCTTCGTTTTGCTTTTCGTATGTCTCCTTAGGCTTAACGAAGATCTGCTTGGACCAAAGCTCAGCATACTTGCCCTTCTTGGCGATCAAGACTTCGTGGTTGCCTTGTTCTGCAATCTCTCCATTCGCGACGACGAAGATGGTGTCGGCATTCATAACCGTTGAGAGACGATGTCTGGATAGAAATTAGTATACTCAGCCCATTAACTCTGATAACCAGCGGTACTTACGCGACGATAAACGTTGTACGACCTTGGCAAAGGGCGCCAAGACCAGCTTGGATTTTCTGTTCCGTGTCAGTATCAACAGAACTAGTAGCCTCATCTAGAAGCACAATCTCCGGCTCCTTCAGTATAGCCCGTGCAATCGCAATACGCTGGAGCTCGCCGCCGGATAGTTTACTAGAGGTTCTTAGTCACCGCGGTCGATATTTTAGAACCAGATCAATACTTACATGCCACGCTCGCCAACTCGAGTTGAGTAACCTTCAGTAAATCCCATGATATGATCATGGATAGCCGCTGCTTTACACGCGCTGTAGACTTCCTCATCAGTCGCTGTTAGTCGAGCATATCGGATGTTGTTCATCACGGTATCGTCAAAAAGGACGGGTGACTGTGGAACAATGCCAATAGATTGCCGCAAACTAGGTGAGTGATCAATGTTAGCAAAGAGACAAATTTGACGAATGGCAATGGAAGACGATCCCCTTCAGACAACGTCGGCAGACAGGGCGCAGGAAGAAAGAAGTGAGGTTTAAAATCGAGCCTACCTTGATATTGTGACGTCTCGAATATCCTGGCTATCAATCTGGATTGATCCACCAGTCACATCGTAGAATCGATCAAGGAGCTTGAGGATTGTCGATTTTCCGGCACCAGTCGCACCAACGAATGCGACAGTGGTCCCGGACGGGACAGACACGTTCACGCACTTCAAGATGTCCTTCTTCTTGTCGTAGCTAAAACTGACGTTCCGGAATTCGACTTTACCACCTTTCAGTTTCAAGGGCCGAGCATCAGGTTTCTCCACCACAGTCGGCTTCGTAGTCATTACGTCAAGAAGACTCTCGGCATGCACCAGATCCTGACTGATGTTCTTGCCGAGCTGAGAAAAGAAGCGGAGGGGTGCAGTGAGCTGACTCCAGTATGTTAAGAGCATGACGAAATCTCCAGCAGTTGCCTGACCATGTGTGATTTGGTACACGGCCAAAAAGGCACCGGCTAGTAAGCCCGCGAGGAGGATTAAATATTGAAAAGCATGCCCGACAAAATAGCTCGAGTACAATGCCTTCGATGCTGAGACGTGAGAGTTAACTGCTATGCCGTACCGTCTCTCTTCGTATGGTACTTGATTGAAAGCACTGACGGTCTGCCAACCCTGTATACCTGCCTGACGGATATAATGTTCCTCGAAGTACCTGGGAACAGAACGTTAAAACCTAATCAACGACTTTATAGATTCGAAAGCAGTCCACAAGCGCAGTGGCCTATGATCAAACCCCGATTTATGAGAATAGAGCAACTTACGTTCTCACCATCATCTTTCGTTTCTCCTGGAAACTTCCGATGATATAAGTGGCACTCTGGATAAATGCAGCACCAGTTGCTATTGTGATGAAGCCTTCATACGGGCCGAACTTGGTAGACAGGTATGTGAAGGCGATGACCAAATCGATCAGCATTGGCAATGCCTGGAAACATATCGAGTCCAGCATATTCGAAATAGCTGTGCCGTTTGAAATAGCAACAATCAGATCTGAAGAGCTCTTCGAGTCGTGGAACTCGGAAGAGAGGTTCATGATGTGAGAATAGGCTGCAGCTGTAAGCGCCTCCTCGGAGTAATACTCGATGGGCAACCACAACATCTGCCTCAAAAGGTTAATACCAGATTCAGAAGCCAACAGTCGGAGGCCAGCAAAAATTGCGACCTGGATCCACGGGTTGCCTCCGGAAACCCCGCTCAGCGAGTCCATAACGGCGCCGTACTGCCGGGGAATCAGGAAATTGAGCACGTTTCCAGCCAACAAACAGAGTCCCACGAGAGCAGCATAAACCTGTAGGCGACGATTGTTTACGGGCCATATATACGGGAAGAATATTAAGAATCCCTTGGCATATGAGATCCAATTGCCCTCATTTTTCAGCCGCTTCTCTATCTTCTCCCGAGAAATGCGCTGCTGGCGTTCCCATGGTGATTCGACATCGCTAGGAGAATTGGCCGTTTCTGTGTTAGTTGCTTCCGTATTTGTGGCATCCGAATTAGTGCCGTAGCCGCTATCCGCTGAAATGTCAGTGCCGTTTGTTCGCTGGTCGGGCTTTGGAATCAGCGGCGCCCGTTCTTCGTCTTCGTCGATGTCAGTCTCACTCTCCCGCCAAAGGAAGTATGCCAAAAGGGCGCTCGATACGAGCACGCAGCGAACAACGGCAATAGAAGCGTCAAGGTGAAGGAACAACGAAGAGTTATCGAAATTGATCGGCGTTGTATTTATCGGGTTTTGGGCGGCGATAAACAATAACACGGCATTTACGGGCTCCAAGACAAATGCAATGATCCACGATCCATAGAACGGATACCAGACGATGCCTGACTCGATACCGAGGCTATTCTGCTCAATGCCGAAGGTCAAGACGCAAGAAAGTAGGCCGATGATGGTGTCCTGGGATGGCCATCGTCCCCATACGATGATCTCGACTGCCTTGAGGATGACCTGAGCCAGAAAAGTACTGACGAAGCAAAGGAGGAGGTAGTATATGACCCTGCGTCGTACATGGGTCGATTTCATCGAGTCGGCTGTTTGCAGCGTACAGATTGCGACAGTAGAGGTAATGGCAAAATATAGAAACACTACAAGCGGGTAGACATAATGCAGTGTAGACTGCACTCTCTGCAGCCCACCGTTCGCCATTCTCTCAGGCCCTACCTAGGAGAGCACGTCGGAATTAAGAGACGAAATCCTAAGGTGGATGAAAGGGCCGTGATGAGATTGATAGAGCTCAGCTTGGGTGAGGTGACGGTGACGAAAGAATAAATTGGTCCTGGGATTTGAAACATTAGTTTTCTTCTCTTCTGGCGTTTTTGAAGCGATGTAAGCGAACGACGAGAGAAGCAGTTGGGGGCCAGTAATTGCGGCGAAGAGTTAAGAAGCGTATATGTCAGCCGCCATCCCAGCAACTGCAGGTAATTCTTAAAAGAATTTGGAATGTGTACGTGTAGAAGAGGATTATGTAGGAATGAGCAAGGGAGGCAAGTTACTATCTTAGGCTGTGAGAGGATGAGTCACTAAGAACCAACATCGAATTGAAAGAAGGCGTAGCCATTTCTAAGTTGACCCTTCAACTCGCTCTTCCTTTAAGACGTAACTAGCTTCTGGCCCCTTCCTCGTTACTCCCTCTCATACTCGATAGAGGGCAATGACGGGGGAGATGGAGGGAACAACATAGCAGTTGCCTTAGCTAACTAGGTAATATCCAGGCCCCAACTTCCAATGGTCCTTTTAACCCCATCCAGTACATCACGATGTGAATGGATGATATACTATATACATGTCAACGGGGAGATGTGGGTAGAGAATAGGCATTGGGTAGGTGGTTAGTGCGTGGGTGTGAGTATTCTGAGGTTGAGCAACTCGCATCAGTCAAGATGATGTGTGAATCAGGGGTGAATAGAAGGGAGTAACACCGGCAACATTGCTCGAGTCTTTTGTATTTACACCCGACGTATGTAGGTGGCATAGGTGGCACATTTCCCCCTATCATCCCTCTTTTATGCGGCAAAAGTCAATAAGGTGCGAGCATGCAGAACAACTTACCCAACCAGGTCATAGTCCCTCGGATGACCTCAGTGCGCGTTAGGCGGTACTGACACTGCCCCTCTCTTATGTATGTAAGTCGATGAGGCTCGAGCTCGAGAGAGCTGCTGGCCGCTACTTAGTTAGAAGAGTCTGGGCCGAATACGTCGGTACGTTAGCTCCGACCAAGGTCTCGCCTAATGCCGGAGATGCTTCTGCTGCGCTCTACAAAGCCTGCCGGCCACGTGTGAATAGAACGGTTCTTCTGGGTCAGCCCTACGGTTGACGCACGCGCGAGCTGCAGTACCGGACGAAGACGGTAGGTGAGGAGGTCAGACCTGGTCTGGAAATAACGGAACCAAGGTTAGCTCGAACGGAGAAGTGGAAGAACCGGCTTGGGGGTAGGCTGACAGGTAAGACAGGTGAACGCCCTGGACTACACTCTTTAACTCAGTTTGCCTTGTGTACCAGCAGACGTTAACTTAAGCATCGGCGTAATGGAATAACAAACGATCAGAAGGTAAGACAGAAACACATGACTCAAGGTGGAACAGAGAGGTTGTGTAGGAAGCCGTGATTGCGGGTGATGACATGCGTAGCTTTCGCCCCGTGTCCGAAGATGGATCTACAGTCGCTAATTTCAAGTAGACCGTGCATCAACACATCACGGGTCCCCAAGTCGCGCTGCAAGAGAGTCTAGAAGCAACACTAAACACCCCTCGGGCCACCCGGCTAGCATAACCGGTCAACGCGGCACTAGATAAGGACATGGGGGCATGGGTAGAAATAACATTGAACATTTGAACCTGCATGGAGCCGCATAGGACCAGGATCTCGAAATCTCTGCCAAGCCACTATACATTCCTCCCTTTCCCGTAGCCGTAGGCGGTGTGTCAGTGTGTCACGGACAACTAAAAGTGGATTGCACTAAAAGAAAACATACTTGTATAAATAAGGGAGCAAAAAATATCGTGAGAAAAAAGGTCAAGAATAAAGATGACTTCCAAGGTTGTGTCAAAGTGTCATCCAACAGGGATCATACGCGGCTAAGCAGCAAGAACCAAGCTAATCCCAACCCCCCGGTGGCATGCCCTATTCGTGAGCCAAGAGGACTATATATTGAATTGGGGCTGACTTCTGGATCTTTTTGGTCTCATTTTATTCGACTTAGCGATCCAGCCTCCTCAACGATGTGGTTCGCGCTAGTGCGAGCCATTTTGACGCCACGGTTAGTTTACCGGGCTTCCAAGGTTGTCAGCTCGTTGCAGTTGGGATTGGCACTGCAGACACTGGGCACTGAGCCGGGGGCGCGTGACTTGACCCCAAAACCAATTGATGTCCGTTGGGATGCTGCTTTCCTGTGTTCTGTGGGACTATATCCTCCCGCGATGCTTTCCAGCTTGTTGTTGAACGATCAGTGGCACCAGTTTGAATCGATCAGCTGGCCGGCTGCAGGACGTTTTTGCATGGTGACACGTCGACTTGATCGGAAGTGCTTCATGCCTAGGAAGATGTACCTAGAGAAGAGGTAGCCAATAAGTGCAAAGCAGGGGATAGCAGAGCAAGAGAGAGCAGGGGTTCCTAGGCGAAGCAACCACGGCCCGCGTTCAGCATTTATTTCGTATCCCTATCGAGACGAGAGAGGTATGCTGACAATTTAGTCATTAAGTGATTTAGCGGAGTTTCGATTACCTAGGCTGGTAGGTACAACACCACCTGGGCAATGAATGACCGGGAATACATAGCACTGACCGAGGTCGCCCCCATTTGCTCGAATGGGTTTGTCGGTGTGCCGGTAGTAGTATCGGAAACTAGACGGTCTTGGTGCTACGGTCTAGTTAGGGAATGCAGTTCGAACGTGATGTGACACGGCCTCGCCGTTGAGGATTTTTCTTGGTTGACAAATTGTCCGATTACCTACAAAGTCTTACAAGTGTGCCAGCATCTGCTGCACTATGCAAGTATCCAAAATCCAGAACACGTGTCGGCGTTGAAACAGCGGAAGAATGTATTGGTGTATCCATGTTGTCGGATACCTGCATCAATTATACTGACCCAGTTGCCCCATTTTGTATGGAGCGAAAAAGATGGTGGGAAGTCCGTTGCCGTTTACAGAAGAAAAGAAGGAAAATAAAAAGCAAAATTGAGTCCGGTACCTAGGCTACTAGGTGTCATGCAATGATTTACGTCCCGGCTGGACGGATGCCAATGATGAAGGAGCCAGGGGGCTGGTAAAGCTGTGTGGGGGGGAGCTATTAGCTTAAAGTTTGATGATGAGAGTGGTCATCGAACCGAACCAGACCAAACCAAGCTGGGCAGTGTTTGAATCTTTAGTTAGAAATCGTTTGAGCTAAGACGAACCTTATTATTTTCCGATGAGCATTTTCCTTATTTGTTACACGTCGGATTTGAACAAACTTTGAAAGTTCTTCAGATGTACATGATACATCGCAAACAACTTGCAGGTTTCGATGTTCTATTTAGGTGGTACCTAGCAATTTGCGTGGCCGCAGCGGGACAGTCGTTTTATGTAGTACCGCATACTAGATTAGACGGTCTAAACGGTGTACCTACAGTCTACCTAGTACCCTCCAATTTTCAACTCGATACGCGATCAATCGATCTTCTATCCGTTCATCTATCCGTCTTCATCGGACATGTCGCCAAGCGCCAACGCACAGTTCCAGATGGTCCAATCATGATTTCGCAAGGCACCGATGCGGTTTCATATGCATATGTACAGTCTACTATTTGTGGTAAAGTGCGGATGAGGGCAACCTCTCAGAAATCATCTTGAAACCATCTCCTAGATAAATGTGCGAGAGATGTGATGTATCACACTGCGGCGCTACCTTCTCTCCGGACGACATTAGCAAGTTTAAATCCTTACCAACGCCTTCTAATCGAGTTAGTCTCTTGTTATAACAGTTAACTACCACTTTAGCTTCAAATGTCAACGCTCAACCCCAGATGTCGCCTTCATCGCCGCCTAAATCACGAGAGGAAAAGGTAAGCAGGCATGAGCTTGCGAAAGCCTGTGCTCCACCGAATCACCGAATCTTGTGACTCAAGCGGCTGAAATTGCGGCTCTCATAGCATCGCAATGGTTTAACCTTGCTGACCACCAGAGCAACCCAACCTACAGACCTCCGACATGAAGATTTCGGCACGAGACTTTGTCTTATGTAATAACCAACTGCAGCTTTAACTTCTTTATAAGCGTCATGTCGTATCTCAGTCAGCTTCGGTAGACCGCCTGCAATATGAACCTTTTTCCCCGCGGCCGTTGTCCGTTGCTTAGTACATAGGTATATTCGGATATATCTAGCGAAGTAAGCTCGCTTCAGGAACGTTGCCGCTCAACGTCTCCCTATAAGGTAGCCTCGTCGACAGATATTACCAATTTAAGAAACATAATTGGATATTTTAATTATTACCCGCTTCACACTTCGGCAACCCAAGTCGCATTGAGCTTATTCCATCATGCATTCCCCTCCATCGAGTTGACAGGGCATTACCCATACTTTATAGTCACCGTAAAGTCCTACACGATCTTCTATTCAGCTACTACCTGCAGCGATCGAGCAGCAAGGGATTTGGTCATACGGCCCACGACTTAGCCACTGGCTTAGAGAGATGACGGGCAACTACACGACTCATCTTATCATCGATTAGGCCGAGAATGCAAGGGATTTGGTTTGGTCCAATTATTTATGCCCAGGAATAGATACGAGGTCCAAGCTACTTCCAGTATGAGGCTTGAAGAGTTCAAATAGCTACACACCCCCAATTTGAAATAACACCGTGAAGAACTACCTAGGTATCCGGGATGTGCTGACCGAACTTATCTATCCATCATTCGTTTCCCGTTCGAATACCCTTGGGCCTCCTTGAGTACGCAAAAGGCGAGCCTTGTGATGTTCATTTCATCATCAAGAGATCCTTGCTTTGAATGCGGGTCGATGGGATGAATCCACAAGGCAGAAACCGGACTAGGGAGATCGGAAGTCCTAGGACCTAGGCTAGCAATCTGCCTTATACCTGGTTGGGAACTATTGTTTATCGTCGAGCTTAGCTCTGGTTCTTATCAACACTATTGGTATCTCAGTGGCAACGAACCACCCACTGTCGATAAGACGAATATATTTAAGAGAAAGGCTTTAAGTAGTATATCCCACATAGCCATGTAGCCTACTCACTGCTCTAAGTCATATTCACAACATCGTGATACTAACCAACAGTTAGTATTTTTCGCTATCCAACCCGAACACTATGGAGCAACAGCCCTTATGAATATCATGCTGCCTAACAAAATGGACCTCTATATATGATCTCATGGCTCACAACTCAAGCATGTGATACGCGATGAGTCACTCCAAAAGCCAGGTTCTTGTATTGTCTTCTAGAGTTCTTAAACGATTGAGCAGTTTTTAAGAGGCTTTTGGCAACTAGTTTCTATTCCTCACTATGTAAAGCTAACAAGTTACAACATCACCTAATTGGTGTTCCAAGAGACTATTATATCGTAAATAGCGATGGAGGCCTTTGAGCAAGGTCGGATTTTTCTTTCAATACTATACAGTGTACTTAAACGTACCCTATAAATGTTTACGATCTATGAGGACATTACCATAATGACAATTACACAGATTAAGACTTAGATTGAATTATTTAAGAAATACTTTTTTTTCACATAACATTAAATAAGTACATTAAATACAGTTACAACGCAGCCAAGATGCTCAACAATACCTAGATACTTAGGCAATCTTATTTTCAAAACAAGAATACTGAGCGATTATATAGGTACTTTCAAGGGCCCGTAGAATTGATATACGTGTGATTTCGTACACCTTATACACATCCAAATGGTGAAACATACGGAGCACCGCTTGCAACTCATGCAGTGTAGTAGGATATTAAATTGATTATCTTAACCATTGAATGGTTTGTAGAAAAATTCCGAGAAATGATGACTTAAACCCATCTTCCTCGAAATCAAGATAAAAGGTTAGGTATAAGCTGTTGATCTAAAGAAGCGCTGCTGCCTATGGCTACTGGGTAGTAAATAGCCAACCCCCCTTTCCGAGAACCAGGGGCAATGGTCACGTGGTAATCCTACCTACTATATGACATTAGTCTCTCAAACGACGGCCAACAGCTGACGAGCTACCATCAACAATATTTTTCAAATATAACATCCTGGATAGCTTCGTGTTTGACTCAGCCTTCATTTATTCAGATCTCACCGTACCATCGCGATGGCAAACACCGCCCCTAAAGTCCCCGCAGAAGAGCGCCAAGAGGCTCCCGAGGCCGTCGACAAGAAGGCGGAAGCCCTCGCGAAGCTGATACGGCGAAGCAAGCATCTGATCGTCTTCACGGGCGCCGGGATCTCGACGTCTGCAGGTAAGCCGCAATGTTGTCTAGAATACGTCGCTGTGAGCTACATAGTCTGATTTCTGGTGCCTAGGAATTCCCGACTTCCGCGGTCCTAAGGGCGTCTGGACGCTCAGGGCCCAGGGAAAACAGGTGACGGGCGCGGTCAACACCTTGCAAGCTATACCGACGCCCACGCATATGGCGCTAGTCGAGCTGCAGAATCGAGGGCTGTTGAAGTATTTGATAAGCCAGAATTGTGATGGCTTGCATAGGAAGAGCGGAATCCTGCCAGTGTGTTGACATATTGAAGGCTGGTGAAACGTGACTCACTTTTTTGATACTTCAGGATAGAATATCTGAGCTTCACGGCAATAATAATCGCGAGTACTGCAAAGACTGCGGGACGGAGTATCTCCGCGGTACTTATTAGCTGCCCTCTGGGTATTGTCAATCCAATTTACTGATGATCCTTAGATTTCCGAGCCGTGGCTTCATATGAAAAGACAGTCCACGACCACCGCACAGGACGGAAGTGCGCACGCTGCGAAGGCGCCTTGCTCGACAGCATCATCAATTTCGGCGAGGCTCTTCCGGCCGAGCCTCTCCAACTAGCACGCGATCACGCCGAGAAGGCAGACGTCTGCCTAGTTCTAGGCTCTTCTCTCACGGTGACCCCGGCGAATGAGATCCCGGAAACCGTTGGTCGGCGGAAGGGAACCAAACTCGCCATCTGCAATCTGCAGGAGACGCCGATAGACGGGCTCGCAGATCTGCGTGTTCATTCTAAGGCAGACGAGTTGATGGTTCGGGTGATGGCTAAACTCGATATTCCCATCCCGACGTTCATCCTTCGAAGGCGTCTGGTCGTCCAGATGGAGTCGACGGGCGGACGGCAGAATCTCAGGGTCTACGGCGAGGATGTTGACGGAACGCCGGCTACGTTCCTGCGTTCCGTAAAACTTGAGTATAACAGGCGTGTGGTTCGTTCCGAGCCGTTCGTGATAAATTTCCGCGGAGACCTGGACGCTGGCACTGAGCTGAAGCTTGAGTTGGAATTCATGGGGAATTATGGCGAACCTAACCTGGAGATCCCTTACGAATACGTGGATGGAAACCATTCACAACTATACCTTCTCGAATACAATCCACACACAGGGGAATGGAAGACGACAAAGAAGGAAGAACCAGGCGTTGATGCTTTAGCTGACAATGTGGAATCAGCTCTTGCGATCAATAATTCCCCCGAGGTCATAGTTATTGATGATTAATAAATATAAATTTATTTTACGGACAAATCATCCTATGTACCAGATCCAATACTCCTCTCATCGACCCCCTTTTAAATAAAAGAATCTTACCATATCCCTACCTCCCTAACCCGTACTCCTCATAAACTCCGCGACACCCAAGCACCCATCCCAGCGCAACAGCCGCACCCATCACCATCTTTGTCGCCACCCTCCTAACCCATCCCGCGCCAGTACCCAGAACAACAGGATAATTATCAGCGCGCCAGAACAAATTCCACAGCTCAAGTTCAAGAAGCGCGCTCCTCCAACCACCGCCACCGCCACCACCACCAGCAGCATCAAGAACAAGCCCATTCAAATTCCGAAAGAAAACCTCCTTCGCGCCATCCTTCGGCTCCGTCCACTCCTTCACCACCAACTCCTCCACATCCTCCCCTTCCCCTTCCCCTTCCCCTTCCACCTCCCTTCCTCCCGCCCCACCATCCTCACCACCCTCTTCCTCGTCTTCCCTACTAGCCCTCCGCCACTCATGCACAACCCCCCTCTCCACCCTCAAAACCCCATCCCCATTCCCCATCCCAGCCCCTACCCCAACCACAAGAGTCCTACTCCCCAGCGTAACCCTCGCCCTGCCAGCCAGCACCTCCAAGAACTCCGTATGCGCCTCGTGCCAGTGCGGCCCGGAGGTCCACGACGAGCCGAGCGGTACCGTGATGGTGGCTTGGTCCGGCACGGATAGGTCGTAGGTGACGGCCGCCGGGAAGGGGCGGGTGAAGGTTGTTTGGTTTGGTCTGCGGGTGCGGGGGCGGGTGCTGGGGTTGGGCATTTTGGGTGATTTACGAAATGAACTGTGGTTTGGGGACGTGGAGATGAGTATGAAATATGAGTGGGTTGGGAGGGTGAAGGAGATGGATGGATGTTTGGTAGTAACCCTAACTAATACTGGCCCGGATTAGGAGATACGTGGGGTAATTGGTGAAGATGCGGTGGTGTAGATGGACGATGAATTCTCATCTGTATAATAAGTGACCTTCCGTCATGTATGGTCACTCATAAAGACATCGTGTAAACTTACATGGTGGGTTCATTTCTTATACGTTTCTCGGTGTTCTGCTTGGTCAGCATAATAACACGTTGTAATTCGAGATGCCGTGAGGGCCAATCAGCGGGATAGTAGAATCTCACTTAAGCTCTAACTACCTATGTAGACACATCTCATCAGTCTTCATAACATACGGACACAGTAGGTAATAACTCACTCAAAACCTACCCTCAAACCAGTTAGTAACAGAACACTCACTTAATCCTCATTCCGCCCCGAAATCTACGCCATCAAGTATCTCACAAGCAGAATCACCCGGCTCTCAGAAGACGCACACCCCATTCAACAAACAAATGAGCATTAGCCTCTAGCATCGCCGACGCCGTGTCCCGGCACGCGGAAGCAAAAATTAACCTGGTATCTTACAAAACAAAAAAGTCCCGTGAGCAGGATCCACGCCTATGCTTTAATCTCCGTCCGCCGCACAAGTTGCTATGCCTTCGACAATTCAGATGCCCGTTCCCTAGGTAAGTCCATCAATTCAAGTAGAGAGCTTCCCAAACGCCTGCTTTTTATTTTTCTTCTTCTTTCTTCCTCATGCTTCAAGGTTGATTCCCCCCGCACCTTTTGTCGACTAGTTCAGTCTTTTAACGAAGCGGGTTGCGATTCTCTGCGTTCTTGATACGTCGGGATGCGCGGTTCATCATACGTCTGTACTTGACCCACAAGAAGAATGCGTCCTTTAGCACGACGAACAGACAACCGCCAACCAGACTTCGTCCCCATCGCTCTTGGAGAATGCCCGTATTCGGGCCCAGTAGCGGGCGCGTGGTGAATCGCGAGGGTAGGACCATTCGCAGCAGCTCGCCCATCCCGTAGCACACGCCCGGCCAGACGAGGGCTCCGGCCAGGAAGTTAACAGGAGATCTTCCGCCGTCCAAAGCTCTATTTCGACGGTTGACTTGGTCATTATCCGCTTCCTCCTCGTCCTCGATTCCTATCTGGATATCGATTTCGAAGTCGAGAAGGTTCCCGCCTTCCTGCGCCTCGGGGGGTTCTTGGACTGCGGGCGGTTGCTCGGCTCCTCCGTGGGGTGTTAGTCTTCGCGCCTGCGCCGCCCATCGCTTCTCAAGGTTCTTAGAAATGGTGCTGTATAGGTGGAAGTAGGTCGCTTTGACTGCTGGGTAAAGGGTCAAGGCTCGTTCGGGGGACGGCGGCCAGGCGACGTATTCGTTCGTCTGATCGATAAGCGTCGCATACTATTATTTTAGTAATGATGTGCCATTAGTAACGGGACCTTGAAGATTAGCTTCGTGGGGAAGCGTTCTTACCAGTAGGGACGCTGGGATCAAGATAACCTCCCCTAAACGTAGTCTGTTGAGTACGAGGCCCGGGGCGATGAGGGGAAGCACGGCAAAATGCAACAAGTTAATGGGTAGTGCGCCGTCCGTGCCTCCCGTCTCGCTCGGCTGGCGCATAACCTCAGCCAAAGTTTTGGTTTTTAGCTCGGAGTTGAGTAGGAAGTTGATCGTAGCGTCGGGGCCCGCAAATAGGTCGATAGCTTTTGCGCCGTAAACGGAGCTGCTAACTAGGGCGCCCGACGCAATGAAACCAAATAGAATGCGTGGCGACCATCTGGAGAACTTCCTGTTCAGGTACTGGCTGAGTTGTATTGCTAGATCCCATTTCTCGGTAATGGTAATAGGAGATTTGCATATGGGACACTTGATGTCCTTATCTTGGTTTTCGAGATCGGTAACCCAAGCCATGAGGCACTCGTGATGTCCTTCTAACGAACATGTACATGGCTTCGACCAATCAGAGGGTAAGGTAGCCTCGGGCTCGTCGGTAAGGCAGACGAAACATCGCCGAGTGTTCGGGGGCGGGTCAGATGAGGGGACGGATGGTGATGCTACAGATTGTCCGGCGAGGTCGCGACTGTCGGGAATATGAGGAGAGGGCGCAGCCACATCGCCGTTGGTGACCTGGATGATAGGTATTTGCGTCGGGGAGGAAGCCATTGTGAATGGTTTACCTAGGTAGGTATTATGGAAAACAGAAGGGAGAATGGTATAGAGATGTTAGGCCATGCTCTGAGGGATGTTTACCACATTCAACAAGATACTCCGAGATGGAAAAGGAATGCAATTTTACAAGGACACGCACACGTTTTTAATTATGCTGCTATGAAAGAACAGAGATTAGATCGTGACTCGGTTTCCAATCAGTCCCGAGAATAAATATCGTAAGTCGTAAAAAGGTTTAAGGCTGTGTCATGCAAGTTTAGATAATGTTGTGTAGATTGTAGATTGTCGATGTAGATTTGTAGATTTAACGATTTGGGCTGTCCAGTGATCTCTGATATCATCTCTCCAACGCGGATTTAATTCGTGGATTTAAGATTTCTTGCAAAGACAAAGACAGAATTGCTTTTTAAAACTGGGGCCCTGCCTTACTAGGTCTATACCCACACAGCAGTAACTTCCTTTGCGGACCACAGTCTCCGCTTCCAGCTACCCAATTAAGTAACAGCATATGCTTTTAATTGCATGTGATATTCTTCACAGGAGAGTCTATATACAAAACGAGGCTTCTCCTGAAAGCCATACTTGGCTATACCAACTCAGAGGTAAGGTCTTCATTCGGAATACTTGGAAAATATTAATATTTGTGTAGCTCTACCGGGTTACTCAAGAGTTTCCAAAGTGAATTCGTCTTTGTTGTAACACAAGTGCACCATGTAGGGCTGACAGCGACGGTTTGAGGGTTTGAGGCATAAGATACAGTATTATTATGCCCCTAGAGTCTTGGCTAACAATCTCTCCTGCTTTTTTATTACAAGTATGAGCTGTCATTGTCAAGTTGGTTGCCCCCTCTAGGCCGTTATCATACGGGCGTAAAATGTCTATCTGGCCACATAGCTTACTCTTCAACAGGTGTCAATTATGTCTGGGGTTATCTCTTCACGTTTATTTGATGATGAATATTTTGCAAAGAAACACGGAAATCGTACCTGAATAGGACCAGAGATGCTCTCGGCATCGTAGTTAAGCCTGAAGCACGCCGTTCGCGCTGACAACCAGCCGCCAAGACAGCCTTTGCATCCGAATGGATGGCTAATATGCAACGACCCTAAATCCCAGTAACGTGTCCCAGGACCCTGAACGAAACTTCTGGCCGGGGCCATTTGCGGTTCGCGGAGTATATATAGCGACGTTATAATTATAAAACCGCCCTATCTTCTTTTGTCGATAGGCGAGTTCGTTTTGTTGATCGCTTCCGCTCGCAAATCTCAAAAAACACATGGCTCGACCGCGCGCACCTAAGGCCGCCGCCATTGTGGGCGCGATCGCCCGAATTCTTGGCTTGGGAGCTTCTGTGGTATTACTGGCCAATCTAATTTACGAAAGCGTCAATTGGGGAAAGACGTTGGGGCTTTCGGTATCGGTGGTAAGGCTTCAAATTTTATACACATCATCCGCATCGACGCTAAATTCTGATCCTAGGCCGTGATTGCGCTGGTGGTAGATGGGTCCGAGTTGTGAGTGCCGTCAAATCATCCATATCTCTTCTAATACGTCCCGATTGTCAATTGTCAAAATCATTGGCAAGGTCTATTTGAAAACTCTTGTCTCTGGCGTGTAGTTTACTCAAGGCCTTCCAAGGTCTGGCTGACCTTTCTTGTAGAATGGGAATACTTGACTCGACACGCACAATACCTCGTGTCTCTCCATCATGCGTAGCGTTTGGGGATTTGCTGGTGTTGTGCCTCGCGATCCCTTCGATCTTCCTCATTAAGCGGAGCAACCACCACGAGGACGCAGCGGACGATCCATATCCTTGGGAAAATACAGACATTCTATCCGTTGCAGTGACATATGCGTTATGGCAAGTGGCAACCAGGTGTATCGGTCAAAGGCTATTATTTTGCTAACTTAAGTAGTGGCCTAAGATTCATACTTCTATCATGGAGTTGTGCGGTCTGCTGCGTTGTTATAAGGCAGCCGAGACGACCCGATAGCAGATCCACACCAGCAGAATCAACGAGCGAGTTGCGGGATGTGCCGCCTATTGGATAACACAGTATTATATTCGTACATGAATAGAGTTTGGAGATTCAAGCACCTCCGTCCCAGTGTCCTCGCGACAGAGCATGCCCCTAATTACATGGTAAGTTTGTAATCATACACGGAACCCCCAATACTTGATCTATCCCTATCCAAGACCACAATCAGCTAGACCCATTTATGGTGTAGCACATGGCCGCGTCTGGCCATTTCCCGCTGGGCATAGTGTCTGCCCAGGATGAGGCTTGCAGGCTGTCCCGATACAGCAAGTGGTACTGCGGCTGCATCCAGGCATGTCGTACTTGGTGGCCAAGTCATCTTGAGGATACGTGTACGCCATACCTTTACAAGCCCCGAAAGGGTTGTGAGCGGGAGCGCCGTGTAAGACTTCTCTGTTGGGGTTCTTGCAAGTCTTCGCATTCAACGTGAGGTTTTGCTGTGGACGTTCGTTAGTTCTCAACATTAGCAAGATTTAATACTTTTATGATGACAAACCGGGCAAATGTCGTTCATATTTAGGTTGCAGCCCAATACTACGACGTCATTGCACTCGCACACCATCGGTACGGTAAAAGCGTCACTGGATTTCTCGTTAGCATGGCGGATATTACTAACGTATTGTGTTAAGACTTACACGTAGCTGACATCTAGAGCGATGCGTGCGCTGCCCTGGTTGACCATGAAGGAACCCTCCAACAGTGTAGCTCGATCGAGAATCTTCTGATACCCATCCTCGAACATGGCTACCCGTCCGCTCCACTATACGCCCAGAGTCAGCAAGCTATATAGACACGTGAATAGAACTGGGCTATATATTAATATCTCCTGGAAGTTAATGGTTGACTTACTCCAGTCGGTACTGCGAACGTATCGGTTTGGCCTCGGCTCATGGTGTGTGGCTCGTTGTCTTTCCCGACTGCTCCCGGGTTACCGGCTCCATGCGCATGTATCGTCACGACCGGAGCCGTGTGAGAGTTAACTAGAGTGAACATGAATTCACCGGCCTCTACAGTGGCCTGGTTCGGTGCAGGCGTAACTTGAGGAGCATTTAACACTGTTGAATTCGCTTGTGTGGTGTTCACAGGCCCCGTAACGTGAGGAGGAATCGAAATAGACGAATTGAGCATCGCCTGGTTCGCTGAGGCCTCCGCAATGCACCCTGGAAGCCCCATGATGATTGGGGTTCCAAGGGTGAGGATCGATGTAATAGAAAGTAATTTCATTTCCATTGTGTAAGATAAGTATGTAAAGTAGGTAAGTATGTTTCAGAGTAAAGTGGTAAAAGGTGCATCGTGAAAAATGGAAGACCGAAAGGGGAAGCCCGCTAGGATATTTAAGTATTAATCTTTAGAGGTGAATACTTGCAAATCAACTGAGACTAAGGACTCTACCGGAGTAACTCCTTGACCTTGGATCATGGACATCCATGAGTTTTGATGATTCACAGCTATTCAAGCAGGTCACCCTTCAGGGTCGCGATATGATTGGTGGAGCTGCTGGCTTTGGATGGAACATGAGTGCCTATGCTTAGCCATACCCAAGGACAATGTTGCTGTTCCTGCAGTAGAGTATATTCTGTATTGAAGCTATAAAAGCGTGCCAAGTCAGAGCGGTTCTCAGTATTGTTTGACTGTTTGGTCACCTACACTTCTACACCTCGCGGTGATTGGCCGCTCTATGATTTTATGACATCTTGGCTTGCAATTTCATAACTAAGATCGTCGGTAATGAGTTTCTAGAAATCTGCAAACGCACAATAAGTTAAACTTGTGTGCCTGGCTATGATGGAGGAGAAATCCTCGCCGGTACAAATAAGGTTACTTTTACGCATAAGTTAGCCTAACGTCCTCTAACGTCCTCTAACGTCTACTCCTCTAGGTGCTTGGGTCCGTGGTCATGTCTAGATCGTGTGATTGTTGCAGTGTCATGTCCTGCATGTAGAGAATCGTTGTAATTAATCCTCATTAATAGTGTGTGGAAGGCGAGGCGGCGGATAGTTGAATGATAAAAACTGCGAGTTCGATCACACAAGTTCCAGGTATTCATGTAGATTAGGTAAGATTTAATTCCTATTTGACCAGGTAGCCAAAAATTTCTATTTAATTAGACTAGATTCATAGAATGAGATAACGGCCGTGGTAACGTCGAGGTTGCTCAGACGCGGCCAGTGCTGTCGTCTTCGAACGCTCGGGGAAATCCTTGAACGACACAGCGAAAGTCGCAACGGAATGAGCAATGAGCTACGCATAAGGTTAGAAACACTACTCTGGGAAAGGGAATAAAAAGATGGGTGTGAACTAACCTTGGTATTCACTAACCACGCAGTTGAATTGACATTGCCAATGTCATCACACAGCTGGTGATAGCATGGGTCATACCATTCGCCTGCCTTGCCACCAAACATGACTTCCTCCTCTTTGGTCTTGATGCCCTCGGCGCCTGTTGCGATACCGCCACCTGGAATACCGTTGCGAATGAAAGCATCGTAGTCACTACGTCCATCGAAGGGGATAAAGGTAAAGTTGAGGCCTTGGCTCGTGTACCAATCAACGTACAACTCTCTGAGCTCCTCCGAACCCACCGGGTTGGCAGCATTCGTCGCGTTATAAATCTGGTAGGCGAAGTTTGGGCTTCCCATCATGTCGTAATCCATGAAAAGTCGGATCTTGAGGTTTTCTTCCAACGGTAAAACGTCGACGTAGTAATCCGATCCGAGAAGGCCCTCCTCTTCTCCGGCCCACCACGCAAAACGTACACAGTTATTGACGCTAAAGTTAGTCAATTGAGTGGCGACTTCGAGGAGCGTTAAGCTACCCGAACCGTCATCGTTGATACCGGGCCCCTCAGAAACGCTATCACTATGACCACCGAGCATGACGCAATTATCCGGGTCTCCCTCGACGGTCTGTGCGATAATGTTGGTAGTCTGAATCTGGTTCACTTCGGAATCAATGTACGCGATCGAATCGACAACCTTGCCCGCCTTTAACTTCTCAAGTACGGGAGCGGCATCTTTACCCGACAAACCAAACGTAGCAACATGTTCGGGAACAGGGGTACCCAAAGTGCCGGAGAGCTCCCCCGAGTCGGTGTTATACACAATTGCTGCGACCGCACCAGCCTTGCCGGCAAGCTGTGACTTAGTACCAAAAGGGCACGTGCCACGAAGGATAAAAGCAATGTTTTCTGCTACATCAGACGAATAATCAGATGCTTCACACCCGTCGTTTGCGACAAGAACAAGTCTTGCGTAAACTGGCTCCTTGTTTGCAGTCGGGGGAGTTAGTGACATTGGCGAGGCGGACTCAGGCACATCGTGACCAATGACCAGGCGGGATTCATAGACCTTTCCCATAACAGCAGGAAATGGCTGTTTTGAAAGGGTATAGTAATCACCGAGTCCTTCTAAGGCAGAGTACACATAATCCAATGTTCCAGCATGACCTATGAGTTTGAGGATGAGTCACGCGTTATTTAGGTTGGAAAAGAACGATATCGTCACATACCCTTGCTTCCGATAACTCGAGTAGGATGTCCAAATTCCGGCTCGGATAACTGGGCAATCTCAAAAAGGTCTTTGGCGCGGTCTAGGAGGTTGTCTATTTTGATGCTGTCCTGCAGCTTGTCGGTGTCAACCAACGATTTGGCGAATGCGCTATCAGCGACTAGAGGACCCTGTTGCGATGTTAAGGGCTTCTGAAGCTCGGATGCCGTTACAGCGCCCAGCGCCGTAAGTAACACCGTGCAGGGCCATAGACGTCTGGGTGCCATGATGGTCGACTTATGAGTTGAATAATTGAAGAAGTGAAGAAGAGAGAAGATGATAGGATGACGTTTTGTTTTGGTTCTTAAGAAGATCACCAGGGGAGATAGGAGGGCGCTATACTATTAGTAGTTAGATTATAGCAGGGGCTGTAAGTCTTGGCAAATGGTCACGCTTGGTTACAATGATGATTGACAAAAGCAGATACATGCATTTATAAGAGTTATTCCAATCTACCTCAATAAATTAAACGTCTATTGCAATTATCCCATATCTCATCATTTAACGGGAACGAACAAAGTGTTGAAATCTTCCATCAGTGTTGTAGGCTGCCTCTCGATCTTGGCTTGGAAATACTCGGCTTGCACAGGAAGACCAAGATCTTGAAGTAACTGAACGCCGCTGTACTGTGGCTCAAAAGCAAGAGCCTTCTGTAGGATACCTAGGATATCGCCAGTATTTCCTCTGCGAGAAAAGTCATACAGCCTAGTCACAACTGCTAGCCAGTTGATGATAGGGAGAGGATCCAAAGTACTTTCCATACTCCTGAACTCAAATGTTCCTGTATGTCCATTATTGTGTAAATTGATCGAACTGCGTAGGCCCCATCTACAGAATCCCGAGAAACCAACACTACCTCTCGCTTCTGTTGGTCTTGGTAGTTTTACTCCCCATCCCACGTCAACCCATTGAGTCGCCGGCACCGTCATCCTTTGACAGATTATGGCGGCGTCCTTCGCTTTCCAGAAGCTTTTGATTATGTCCATTTCCTGGCCCGTTAACAATGGGACAATATATTGCATCTGCTGGTACATGTGTGCGAAATTACTGGGGTGCATTTCATGTTTTTCTAGATCCAGGTCTTCCAGGCCTTGAGCAATGCGTGAATGTTCCCTTAAAGGTAAACATTCCGGATGAGTGCGACGAGATGGATGAGCAAGTTGTAATACATACCGCTCAAGAAACCACCACATCGTACAGAATGCCCGCAAATGTCTTGGACCATCCTGCCACTCTCTCTCATCACGAAAGGCCTCGCCGACGTGAATAAACAAGGATGTCGTAGGCGGTAGGCGGACCCGAAAGTTGGCACGTAGAGCTTCAATAACCCTGCCGACCTGATCAAAGTGGTCCGGATTAGACATATCCCGTTTATTGGATTTGACCTTGACGCCGATCCAATCATAGTGTTCCAAGAATTGGTCATTCTCCGGGACTAAGCTTTTGTCTGTCGTGACAATCCATTGTTCATACGCGCCCATATCAGATACGGCCTGAGACTCCTGGTCTAGTTGAGCAAAGGCTTCGCGAGTTGGGAACGGGGGACCCAGATGTGTCGTCGCTGGGACCTGTACCTGTCCACGTAAAACATGTAAAATATTTTGAGTGACTATGTCTTCAACCTGAGAGTAAGTAGTAGTTGCATCTACATTTACAAAGATGACCTTTCGAGGGTCATCTGGATTTGGATCTGGTCGCCCTTGGATCAGAACAGGAATCAAGAACTGCAGTTCGATTCCATACGTGATCGGAGCGCAAGAGTAATAACGAATAGCACGCGATTCACTCCATAGTTCTTCATCCAGGGTGTGATTTCTACCGGCAATCAGGTGCCCTCCGTTGAAGTCATTAAGATTCGGATACGTCATCTTTCATAAAAATCTTCAAATCATCAGTGAAGAGAAATGAGAACCATGGACTTCCAGCCAGTGATAGTTCTCTTATGCCTATTTAAACCCGATCCACTTGCCGAGGTAAATATACCTAAGTTCTTCTGATGTCTATTGTGTTAAAGAACATATTTTACTTCTTTGTTTGCAATCCTGCAGTAATAAAGATACCAGTTTGTGCCAATGCATTGTTAGACCAGTACCAGGCCTCAGGGATGATAAAGTTGCCTAGCTGTCGGTATAATCCATGATATTTCGTGGCCGCTTTGTCTACCTAAGTATTTTCCTATCACGGGGTTTGAAGCACAAAAGAGCTTTATCTTTTTTACGATTAGTAATAGTAAGCGCGAAGTTTGATACTCTGCCATCTTGATGAGGACGGAAAGTGAGAGACATAAGATCGTGGAGGGATGTATACGAGACAGAACTTATCACGTATGATGATATGATAAAATTAAATTTTATTTCATCTCTTTGATGAATAGTTTGGCCGGAACCGGACTGGAAACAAACTCGGGTATCTAAGGAAACCCAGTCCTACTTGGCTCTTCATAAGCTATAACCCCCGAGTTGGAATGTTGGCTGGAACCAACATTAAATAAAAGATCGAGGGGTCTAGGCGGCGATGAATTCGCTGTGAATAGAGTAATTATCATGATGACCTGGCATGATGAAGCCCACGGACCATCCCCGTATCTCCTTGCCACTTTGGTCAATATACACAGCTGCCTTGGGTTCTGTTGGGGTGTACCGTATCCTATTTTCATCAGGTGGAAAATTAGGATATGTTGGTGTAGTAACGGGTTGTCCAAGATCATTTAACGAGACGCCATGTTCTATTTCGATAACTCGTCGAGCTATTGCGAACATCTGATCAACCTCCCACAAGTTCTCTCGCGGAACTCCCAATTCTTTTATTAATCGTAAGGCTTCCAGCCTTATACTGTACTCGCGACATTTCGTTGCCATAAAGTGCATCATCGGCGTGAAACCCGTTTCGAAAATGAATCGCGGAGTGCGTTTGGCTGGTGGTGTCCGAGAAGAGTGAGGGATCGCGGCGTCAAGCAGTAAGCAAGAATCAAGCATTCGTCGGAAACTATCGAGATGCGAATCGTAACATATCTCGTTGGCCTCGAAAGCTATGTTTAACCAGATTCGACAAGTCTCATAGCGTACTGAGAGAACGATACGCGACATCGCTTGGATGAAATCCACTCCGAGCTTATACTTTTCGGCTACAGACGTATTAGTTGGTAACATTGACCGAGAGTCTAGGCCCTGAAACAATAGTTGCCATTTGTCTAAGAGGTATCCAATCTCCTCTTGCTCTCTCAGTTGTTCAGTTGGTATTTTCCTATATCTTGAACTTCCAAATCGGTACATGTCACCCCCTCTCACCAGTTTCAGAGTCCGGCTCATTATGCTGTCCATGGCCGTTTGAGCATCGGCCCAAGTATTGAATGTTTCTGGCAGAGGTTCGTTCACGAAGACTAAATCGGGGAAGTCTGCACTCCCAACTCCGAAAAAATACGGAAAGACACTTAAGCGTCGGAAAACAGGAACTAAGTGTTCTCTAGCCCATGCATAATTGGTATTTTCCAATAATGCGATACCATGTTTGCAATGTTGAATAGCTGCTTCTTTGTTGGATTGCAGAAACTCGATGCAGATAAAAAGGACACAGACCAGTAGCACCAGGGGTTGATTATCTGTCGTTTTCAGCTCGCGGATAGCAGCATTATAATGTTGTAGCGCAAGGCTGTTGTCTTTCAGTTGAACATCTGAGTGAGATGCGGACTTGTCTTGAAATTGTTCATATAACGAGCTGATAGCAACCACAGAGTGTCTGACCGCTGGCTCGAAGTTGCTGAACTGCATGACTAGATGGGTCCAGAAGTATGGATCTGTTGCGCCTGATAAGAACTGAGCCGTCTGCTCGCAAAAGTATTGTAGGGCCCTCCCTTCGCTCGCGCTATCGATACTTTGGAATAGCTGGCGCGGCCGATGCCAGAGCAGCCCAGGGGTTGGTTTAGAGACATAACCCTCGCACGTGCGGCCGCTATTGATACACCGGTTGCAATGTGGCTTCGCTTCATCACATTTCACCTTGCGTGCTCTATTCGAACGTCAACTTAAGCTACTAGTTGGTTGGCGATTGGATACTGATTGAGGAAACATACTTGCAGGTCAGGCAGCCCGTCCTAACTTTCCGACTACCTTTTCGAGGCATAGGTATAGACAGAATGAGAAAGGACGTGGCCGGTGTTTCACAAGAGGGTCGAATCCGAGCGATCCACTGAGAGTGATTTGCTTTCTCGCGTATCTTCGTTAAGGTGTCAATTGACTTTCGGTGCGAATACCTGCGGCCGAGACGACGGGAGCTTATGAGAGATATCTTGATATGCAGAATATCCTTGCTAAATCGGGGCCGCTAGCTACAGCCCAGTGGGACTTTCAGGGGTTAGTCCGAGCTGGCCAATGATATATATATGCCTTGAGGGTAGGAATGGACCAGAATCCTTATTAATCTAGATCACTTGGCCTAAGTAAGATTCAATTGAACGTGGATTTGATCGATGCAACTTCCGAGTAAAAAAGAGATCATTTCGTATTAATAAAACAAGGCAACAGTGTATGATATAGTTGTGTGCTTGGACACCCACGGAATCGAATAAATCTGACTGGTGAGCTACGAAGCTGCGGTGACCTTTTGTCGCTCCTTTTGATCGTACGTTTCTATGAATACTCCTCTCTACTTGGTATAGCGTTCTATAATTGCGAGCTATGATGGATGAATCTTGATCAAATTGGTCATGTCAACTACGCTAAAGCCATGGTGAGCAAGGGGGTGGTGATGCTAAATCCTAACAATGCATTAGGCTCCATACACCGCTAAATAATAGCTTGGCGTCTCGAATGGAAATTCTATAGGTAAACAGCACCCACGTTATTAATCATCTAGTACCTATTGTGGGTGTAGCGGCGCGTTGAACAGCCTAAATTCCTACTTATTGAACCAACTACCACGTGGCTATGGGGATGAAGGAACCCGGCTGTATGGATCGATGTTACCATCTCCGGGCAATACCGACTACTTGGTACCGAAGGTCTCGTAAAAGATTCAACTTCCAATAAATACCTATCCTTACCTAGCTACCTATAGAGACTGAGGCTATTTCAGTCAAGCTGTTCCTGGGCAATAAATTAATGTCAATTTTATAGGTGCTCCAATTTTTAAGTGCTTACCTTCCAGTTCCTATTTTTAATGATAGGCATGGCATTATAAATCAAAGTGGCGACGATGTCTTTTAATACAGTGAATAACGGCAAATACCGTTCCTCCATCCTTCCTTGGCGTGGCTTGTCGATGGACTTAGGAAGATCCTATTTCCACTACAACCTTATTAACACTAGTAGGGATTTTGGTTAATAGGCGTGAATAAGGACGACAACCTCTAGATCTAGCGAGGAATTCTGTTAGTATAGCTGAGGGAGAAGTATATGGGAAGTAAAGGCTCGAGACTTGACCCTTGTAATAGCATAATTAGACCTAATAAAGCTCGACATATTAATCACCCAGATAGATTAATAATCAAACATAAATTCCTTATGCCACAAGAGCACGTGAGTATATAGCGAAATGTCCCCGGAATTAAACTTATCTCCTAGAGTCGACCACCATCTATTCCTAGATGTCACACAGTCTGTGGGTGCCGGATCTTTAATATAATGAGCGGAATGATCTGTTAAGTAAAGGGGGGCTTTGCTCCTATAGAATCAAGTGCTAGATATACCCATGCTCAGCTGATGTAACCAAGGGCTAATCCCTATATGGATGGATTACTTAATTGCCCTATGACATTAGATCAGTTAAATCTGTGAGAGTTAGAGCTAAGACAGCAATCAGAAGAAGTGGGTGATAGCAACATCAGACAAATGGATTGGTGTCAATGTGCATTGCTTGCTTTAGGTAACAGTATCGTGGGGTAACTATAAAGACTTGTGGAGTTTTTTTTTTCATGGAAACAGGAACATACTATGTGATTGGACTGCATATCCATCATGGATGTCATTGATTCGCTTTCCCAGATGACATGATATCTAGAACAAACAAAGTTTGTTTGAGGCTCCATGATTGTTTTGAGTTGGATGTCTAATTACTGGCCACTTAGGATGATATATGGAGATCAGATTATGCTCTAGTCATTGTGGCTAAGATGTCTGTTTTGACGTCTTCCATTTAACAAAGTTATAGACAAAATATTATCATCGTCGTCAATATCCTGGTGTCTAACGCTGAAGGAGCAGCCAGCAAAAAGGGACATGATAGACTGGGTTTGACTCTATTGTACTATGTAGTATGAGAAATGAAGCCCGAAGCCATAGTTGCCAATGCGGTTCAAGCTGCAACCTCCCGACGGCTAAGTGAAGATAGGATCACAGTTGATTGCTTCCTTGTTGGAGCTCTCCCAAACTGAACGCATTCCACTGTGTAAAACCCGGATTCAAGCCTTCTTGCGTGTGTTAAGTACTAGTAGGTCAGAAATGAGAAGCCTGGTAAAGTAGAGACTGGAATTTGTCCCTTTATTTAATCTTATCACCGTGCCATTTTTCATATGTAGGTAACTTTCTATCTGCTTCTCCTGTGAGGTGGTGAGCCTAGAGTAGTCTGCCATAAATTTGGTGAATCTACTAAAACCACTCTTAAAAACCTGCGGCTTCATCCAACCGTCACCTCCAATTTCCTACTTCCATCTCAAAGCTATACGCATACGGCTACACATCATGTCCAGCAACTCCACTTTGATGACAGATGTGGCCACGAGAAGAAATTGCATTGGCGGTAACTCTTCGTTAATAAACGTAAGTCCCACGAACACGCTTGATGCGCATGGTACCAACGAAAAAAGTAAGTATACTCCCCAACTCCGTTCAAAATTACCTTGTCTGATCTCGATCGACGTTAGCTATTCCAGACCGAAAGTTCCTCTGGCAACCACAGCTGGGCCCGTCGATGGACGACGCAGGCATTGTACCCCCACCAGCTGCCATAGCAGCCGCAGTTCGCGGCATTCTGCATCAAATCGGCGAGAATCCAGATCGTGAGGGTCTTATGAAGACACCTGATCGATACGCTAAAGCACTTCTGTTCTTTACCAAAGGGTACTCCGAAAAGGTAGAGGAAGTTGTTAGTGACGCTATTTTTAGTGTCGATACTCGTGATCTCGTTGTCGTACGCGATATCGATATATTTAGCATGTGTGAGCATCATATGGTGCCGTTCGTTGGAAAGGTACCTTTTTCTCTGCTCCTATACGCCCCTGAAACCTCATTATAAGATATACTTCTTGATACTTGGTGCTAACATCGCGGAAAACATAAGATGCATGTTGGGTACATTCCGAACGGCCGGGTGCTTGGATTGTCAAAGCTGGCACGAATCGCCGAGATTTTCGCGCGCAGATTGCAGGTTCAGGAACGTTTGACGAGGCAGATTGCAGAAGCGATAGATGAGGTATTGAGTCCACTAGGAGTTGCGGTGGTCATGGAGTGTACGCATATGTGCATGGTGATGAGGGGTGTAGAGAAAACGGGGACCTTGACGTCTACCCAGAGTATGCTGGGTTCGCTGAAAGGTAATGAGAAGGAACAACACCAATTTTACACTCTACTTGGCCTGGGAAAGAAAATTTAGCGTTCATTCACTAGATATAGCGGCTATTATTGACAATTTGGCACCCGTGTAGCCGGCATACGCGGGCTTTCAGGGGCTAAGTCGAAACACCCTCTTGTGGGCCACCCCCTCGTGGGCCACCCTTTTCCCATACAAAACGGCTTAACTCCGATGCTTATAGTTAATTAAATAAAATACTTATAAATATATAGTTAACGGTTTATGAGTTTATAATATTCAAATATTAAGAATTTTAAAGCGGCTTAATTTTTGGAATTTTCTTCGTTTTATAAATTTAAATAATTATAAAAATGAAATTCATTAACATTTTTTCATATAAAATATATACGAAATTGTTAAGGCTTATAACTTTATAAAAATAATATATAATATTTTAGTTTTAAATGTTTTAAAAATAATAAAATTTAAATTTTATATATATATTATAAAGTTTTAATAATTAAATTTATTAAGTTTATTATAATTAAAAAACGGGATTTTTATTTTTTAAAAAATATAAAAAAATATAAAAATTAAAAAAATCTTTATATTTTAAATTATAAAAATAAAATAAAATACTTTTTTAAAATATTTAATCATTATTATATAATTAACCTTTTATAATATTTAAAATATTTAAAATTAAATTTATATATTAAAAATCCGAAGTGTTATAAGCTTTAACAATTTTCCGTATATTTTATATGCATATTTGTTAAAACAAAAAAAACCTTTCATTTAAATAGGTTAAAAAAGTCTGAAAATTACAAAATTAAATTTACGCATATAATATAGCTGTAAGAGTGTGAAACCTTCATCCGTATATTTTTATCTATTTTATTTAATTAATTATAGTAGTTGGATTTTGACGGTTTTGTATGGGAAAAGGGTGGCCCACGAGGGGGTGGCCCACAAGAGGGTGTTTCGACTTAAGACATAAAGTTGCCCCATGCTGGTAATGAAGCAATGGCTGATGTGAGTGAGATGCATATAGAACATGGAGTGTGTAAGGCGGATTCCACCATTGGGTAGCGTTTGTTTTCTGTTATTTATGCTGGGCTAGGTCTAGAAGCTGATGCAAGCTGCTTGCCGGCGGGAACAAGCATATGGTAGGCCAACCAAACCGTAGTACGTGAAAGCAAAACAAGGCGGCCTAAAGAACTGAGTTCAAATTTTATGCGGATATTATATGCGAGATAATGCAATTCATATAACGCTTGCTCTTTGTTGCCTGACACAAATGTTTCGTTTTGAGCCATGCATGCATCAATGTTAGCATGATGCAAGGAAAGCAACATCAAACGCACCTAAATGTTTGAAGGATGTGTATGATTTAGATACAGGTTTGTTTCCAACAAGCCACTCATGAGAGAGCATCGAATTGTGCTGATCTCTGGTAGGATACTATATTAGTCTGGGTAAGTGAGTTGCTTATCTAGGTTGGTAAATCATCAAGAAGTTTATGATACCTACCCATAAGGCTCTCATAAATCACATAGTAATACGGACTAATGGCGCCACCTACACCACATGTGACCGCTTTGCGGGAGCTGATAGAGCAGATGCCATTTGTGAAAGGGGACCAGACAATCGAAAACGCGGAGGCTCGCCTCCACCGTCCCGCCGTAATTGTTCAGCCGAAAACAGTTCGACATGTCCAACAATGCGTTTGGTGGGCTCTGAAGCATAAGGCCAGCCTTACAATCCTTGGCGGAGGTCACAGTGGCCATTGTGTCGAGTTTAATGTTGTCGCCGTCGACATGGGCGCCTTTGGCCAAGTACACATTCTCAAGCCTTCGGGAGATGGAGAAGAATCGGGTCCCGAATCCGGTCCTTACGTCGTCGCCGAGGCTGGCTGTAAGACTGGGGACATCGTCGGCAAGGCTATGGCGGAAGGTTTGACAGTGCCCCTTGGGACCGGCCCAAGTGTTGGCGCGGGATCCTGGCTTCAAGGCGGCATCGGGCATCTGGCTAGATTGCGCGGGCTTGCGTGTGACGCTATTGTCGGTGCAGTGCTGGTCAGAGTCGATTCTGGTGATGTCGTCTATGTCGGTAGCGTGCCAAGCCAACACCGACCGGCCGGCGCAGTGCGCCCGGAAACTCACGAAGCCGATCTCTTATGGGCGATAAAAGGGGCCGGGACCAACTTTGGGATCGTGGTCAGCGTTACTTTCAAGGCCTACGCAGCCCCGACCTATTTGCGCCGAAACTGGATCTTCCCGCTAAAGGACGACAGTGAGGCGCAGCATGGGCTTAGAGTTTTTGATAAATTCGCTCAGGGACTCCCACGGCATATCTCTGCGGAGGCATATCTGTATTGGTACGCCGATCAGCTGCACTTGGAAGTGACTAGTGTGGACGCGTCCGTGGCTGTGCCAGAGCCCAGACATATCAAACTTTGGGGCGTCGAAGACAAGTTCAAGTACCTCAACGGCGTCGATTTACTCGACACTGGAATGAGCATGTCTAGGATGCATGGCGGCACCAAGACTTCGTCACTCAAACGATGTTTCTTCTTGAAACGTACCATCGGAGCATCCCAAATCGTCAGCAACATCTTGGGGGCCCTTGAAACTCGTCCCTCACCATTCTGCTATATCCAAATTATGCTAGGTGGTGAAGCGGTAGGCGACATAGCGGCTAATGCCACTGCTTTCGGCTGTCGAGACTGGACCTTTGCGTGCGTGGTTGCTGGTGTCTGGCCCCGCGACGAAGATGGGACTGAAACCGCTCAAGCCGCCGTTCAATGGGTTTACGACGTCGCTAAAGTCTTGTTACCCAAGAGTGATGGCGTATACAGTGCCGACCTTGGACCGGGCCACCGAGACGCCGCTTTAGCGACCAAGGCATTTGGGCCAAACATCTCTCGCCTGAGTCGTCTCAAACGCAACTTAGACCCTCACAATGTGTTGGCTCACACCTGCCCGGTCCCGAAAGCACTGGCTAGACAGAAGCTTATCATGCTTGTTACAGGCGAAACCTACGCCGGAAAAGACCATTGCGCTAGGATTTGGGCTTCCTTTCTCACCACATACACTGAGAAAAAGCTCACGACACGTGTGGTCAGCATCAGCGACGCTACCAAACGAGAATACGCATCAACTACTGGTGCCGACCTAGATCGCCTGCTCAATGACCGCTCCTATAAAGAGCAACACAGAGCAGCGTTGACGGCTTTTTTCGAGGACCAGGTGCGACAAAGACCTAAACTCCTAGAGGAGAATTTTCTAGATGTGGTGCGCGGCGCTGTAGATGTCGATGTGTTGCTAATCACTGGAATGAGAGACGAAGCGCCGGTCGCCAAGTATTGGAGACTGGTGCCAGAGAGCAGACTAATCGAGGTTCGCATCGAAATTGACGAAAACACACTAGTGATACGCCGAGCCTGCGACGGGTTTGGTATGGTTAGCATCGACAACAAAGCCAACAAGGACGGCAGCGATGACAGATCGAGTTTGAAGCCCCTGAACTACCGGCCTGGTTTCGTCTTCGACAATGACACGAATGGAGACAGGGAGGCAACAAGATTCGCTGAGAAATACCTGCTTCCCTTCTTCGACGAAGACTTGCAGCGGCTGGCCGACATGGTACCTCTGGTACCCGGCTTTCCATGCCCGGAATTCGGGTTCCACCACGTGTTAGACATCGCCCAGCAGCCGGGTGGGTTGACCCTATGCGTAGACCTACTAGAAACGCATTTTACCATGGATGAATTGGCCACAGTCGATGCGGTGGCATCTTGTGAGACTGGCGGCTTCATCTTTGCAGCGGCATTGGCCAAGACGTTCGAATTGCCCTTAGTGCTAATTCGCAAAGGTGGTAAGCTCCCACCACCCACCGTTTCCAACACGAGGCTCGCGTCGCACGTTTCGTCTTTGGTGACCGACGATTCAGAAGTTGGGGAGTTTGAGATGAACCGGTATGTGGTTTCAAGAGGCACGTCAGTGTTGGTAGTGGATGATGTGCTTGCCAGTGGGCGCACGCTTTGTGCGATGCTAGACTTGTTAGTTAAATCTGGCGTTCGTATTGAGGACGTCAGTGTTATGATCGTGGCTGAATTCCCCGTTCACGGCGGCCGGGCCTTGTTATGCAAGCGTGGCTTTGGTGGAGTCATGATTAGAAGCCTTTTGGTCTTTGGCGGTGCTTAGGGGAAACTGATGTAGAAATCCTGTATGTGTGATAGGAATGGCTAGTGGTAGGATGTGATTCAGGCATGAAAATATTCACTCTTTTCACAGATAGTTAGATAGATTAGGTACCTATCTAATACATACGCATCTTCTTTAGACCGTTTTATGGTAGGAGAAACCCTAACCGTAACCGTAACCCTTGTGACACTGTCCCATCATACTATCGCGTCTTTTAGTTATAGAAGTGAATTACCCCATATACTAATTTATCTCGATAGTAGGCATAAGAGTATCTCGCCTAGAGTCAAACCTCGGGAATAAGGACGATACATGAGTTTTTCATAGGTACATACCCAGCAGCATGAGTCCCGTGGCATTAAGACTGAGTCACAAGAAGCAACAAAAGTGTCAATCCTTTATTGTGGTCTTAGACAATGTTATTGTATACCCAGAAACAAAGAGCCAGCTTAGCATCAAACAACTAAACCATTATCGTGTTTAGGAACGAAAATCTACCTTATTATCTGAATAAAGACAGTTAGTAACCCATTTCTTACCGACAATAGGAGATGATTAGCGGTATCTGTTTAAACAATACAAAGCATTGTCATTGACGACTCTAATTCCTAACATACATAAGGATTAAAAGTAGTCTGGGGTTGCATGACTTCACTATCCTTCCCTCCTCCGAAAATACAATACTACCCGAAATGAAGGACCGACCTAGCACCCCTCTCGTAGTTAAAAGAGCGCTGTCAGGGGGCCGTGGAAAGAAAAACGTGAAAAAACGAAGACAACGATTTTTCGATCGGTTCAACAGGAGTGATTCCTTCGGAGATGACAGTAGCTCAACTCCTCGAGCGATATGTGTGTCGCGTTTCCACACTGAGCTTCATGGCCGGATATTTGATCGGGTAGGAAATCGGATCCAGTACGTCTGTCCCGTCTGCAAAGAAAAGTGGCTAGGACGATCACAGACCGCAGAGCAAATTAACGAAGAACTGATCCAAGAAGGGTTTGAAGCTGCGCGCATTCTAATCCAGATGGCGAGCGATGGTCTCATCTCAATCTCGGATCTCCCCAAGTCCCCAAACAAGGAACCTCTCGAGAGTGATTTGGACCAAACCGTCTCACTTTCGGAGGAAGAAGATCTTCCCAAAGCTAAAAGATATACTGCAGATGCGTATTCTAATAGTCATGATGTCGGCTATCAGCATCAGCATCAGGAGCATAAGCTTGACGGGTCCGATGACGATGTGGAAGAAAGGAAAAACAGAAATTCAAATGCAAGTCCAAACCTTCCACCCGACATGTTTGCGATGATCCTCGAGAAAGTAATAAATAAGGAACCTAAGTGCGCGTTGGATCTCTTGGTACCCGATTGGAATGCTTGTAAGCGAGAACATCGTACTCTAGAAAGATCGCTACAACTAACAAGAGTTGTTACTTATACGCGAGGAATTGGTTATCAAGCTAGTCACTTCACGGCGAATTTCGACCACGGAGAAGATCACATTTTCCTCCCCATGAAAACCCTCGACGATCGTGTCCTTACACTCAATAAATGGTGCTACGACGAAACGGTCAGGATATTCTTCCAGGAGGGTACACAGGTCTTCCGAATGGCAATAGATACCCTTCCGGATGATATCGCCGAACAAAGTTTCCTAACGCATGTTCAAGATACTTACCCCATACGCGGACAAGTACTACGACGATTTCTCCCCTTCGACGACGACCTACCTACCGTTGCAAACCGGAAGACGCCATTCGGTAAATCTCACGTCTTTAAGCTCCTCCGACATTTAGTAGTTCACTCACCCTTAGCATTAATGGATGTAAGTGCCCGTAGCATGGTTGATCCCGAGACGGAAATCAGCGACGACAATCTTGAGGCTCTCGATATGGCCATAGACCTTGATCGCGCCACGCCCATATGGCTATCTTGGTCGAAGATGCCGCAACTTGAGAGCGTGCTCCTAGACCTGCGCATCTACAGCCACGACTTAAACACGGAACGCGGATGTATCGGTAAGTCTGAAATCATCAAACGTGCGCAAGAAATGGGCCGCTGGCTGAAGTTGAAGCTACTCGTCATCGCAGGCTTGCAAAGCTATGGTTTTGCGACAAGTTACGACTCTTATACAGCCGAACGTATCGAGAGCGAGGATGAGATAAACGGTGAGCCTAATTGGATCAAGATATTCATGCCTGCTATACAACCCGGGGGTAGGATTATCCTCGTTGACCGGTTGGCGGACGATTTATCATCTTTATTCTAGTGAAAGCCACATGAACTGTTCAACAGGGTATTAACGTAAAGTGAGTTGGCCGTTGAGTCCTTAGGTGATAAGTAAGGGCTGCCAGCGCATCCAGGCCTAGCCCCTATTTCAGATGTAAGTAGGCATGACATGGGTTATATGCAATATGTCGAGGTCTGCGGACATCTTACAGAATATCTAACAAATTCATGTTAAGATTGTCACTTTGAATATTTATGCTATTATATGCCACCTAATTAATCAGAGGTGTCATTAATAAGGGAAATAAGAAGAAGCATGTATCACAAAATGTGAGGAAAAAAGGCATGAAGTTATTGGATCTTATTATTTTAGTGAAGTACTTAGTACTGTATAGATGAATATACACTAAGCGTCCATGAACTTTGTAGTGTACTGTGCTGCTCTTATGCTTTGGAAAAAGGTGTTGGTTTCAAATTATCGGGATGCACATTTCGCATGTCTCTGATATAGTTTTATATTTACATATCCTCCGGATGTCGTGAAGTTTCATGTCTTTGTCATATTGATCCTAGTAGATAGATGATTTACTCTGCCCCCTTTTCTTTGCGATTGTTTAAAGCGCTGTTTATTCAACCAACCGTTAGTTGAGCGCCACAATGGACCAACTTTCTTCGCTTCTGCCACAGCATCAGGGTTACCTCCCATACTTCTTGATCGCTGTAGGTTCGCAGCCTGCATAACTCATCCCACCTTCACAGATAAACTAATGTAGGCTTCCACCTCAGAATGGATTATCCGCTGCGATTCATAGCGTCGTGTGTTACAGGGGCAATCCTACGGCATCCCTGAAAGCGTTCAGCGGCCCGGCGGCTCCACCTCCGCACCCGTTGCTAGCCCGTACTTACGGCCTGAAGAACTTTTACACCAGTTTCATCAGATTCTACGCCGCATATCACATCACGAATCCTCAGTTATATGACCTTGCCATCTTGACTTTTGTCGGTGTGCTTTTCTTATACATTACCGAGGTCTTCGTTTATAAGACTTCCAACTTGCGCGAGGCGTCTTTGCCCTACGTGATCGCGGGGTCTAGTCTCATGTGGATGGTGTCGCAGCGTGATTGGTACCTGTCGTAGTGATGGGGACCTGGGAAATTACCAGGTTCACGGGGGCGCAAATGTCGGTGCGCAACGATGGAAGAGCGGTGTTGGCGGGCTCGGGCAGCGTTTTTTTAAGAACGGAGATATCGGACATGACATTGTTGGAAAGCAAAATTCAGCGAAAATTCAGCGAATTCATGTGAATCATCCCCCTGAATACCTTACAGTGCCAAGAGATCTGCATGACACGGGGCGGGATTTGAGCTCTGTCATAAAGCGCCGACGTAGCGACATTTAAACAGCTGTCTTCTTGTCGTGGAAGCTTTGGAATTTCGGCCCCCTCGAATCATAGTCTGCCCGCGTGCCTATAGGTTAGTCGGTTACTGTATGAGGTCGTGCAGGTCTCGTTACATTGTCTCACGTGGCTCTTCACGTAGGTAGTGCTTGGTGCCACCACATTGGCCGGGCGAAGGAGGGTAGCTTGCCACCCAATTAGGCACCCAAGACGACCTTGGATCAGCGGCATGATGGGCATTTCACCTTCGCGCGCTAGGTGTTGGCCTTGAAAAAATCCCACACTCTCATAGGACTCCGAGCTTACGTGTGCCCCGCAGTCGCCGACGAACATGATAGGTGATAATCGGTTACTCATTTTTCTAGAGCCTCACTTCCTATTGAATGATTCGAGAGTCCCCTAGTCGCCCACGACAATGATTTTGTCTCATTTCTCTCTCCTTGTCCGATTCGCTCCCACGACAGGAACCACTCTAATTGTGCCACATACAATTTCTTAAATCTATATTAATTTTATGGCTGCAGCCACCATTTTTAGTCTTGGTCCAACCCAACGGCAACTGTTACTATGTTCTCACGATGGTCTTCATTTTCCTCAACAAACCGCCACGGGGAATCGTCAAATCACCAAAAAGAAGAGCGCAAGCATCGCTCCAAGCACCACGATTCTACCCGGGAAAAAAGAAGAAGGATAGACGTCATTGACCTTGACGAACCCATCTCAGGTCGGGAGCTCCTCAGCATCAGCGTAAAGGAGTCGTGGGGGTTAAGCCATGTTGCGGATACTTTAAGGAAGCAATATCTGGACGGAGAGCAAAAAGGCGCCCAAATACAGTTCTTTTGGGGCGATAAGAGGCTAGACGGAGACGAGATTCCTAAAGGGGCATCACCTCTGCAGTACCGGTTACTAGAAGAGGGGGATAACGGCGCGCTACGGGTCAGCTGGAGAAGACCAAAGTCAAAGCTTCGCAAACATCAAATAGAAATTATTGAGCAGGAAATCGAAGCGGGGCGCTCCATAGGCAGCATCCGAGAGACCATCGCCAACTTTCTACGACCCCCTAGTGAAAGTAGGGGCCACCTGGTGGTAAATGCGAACCAAATCGTCATCCATGCGGTTGGAGGTTTAAGGGAGGGGCCGTTACAGGGCAACAGCTGGGAAGCGCGCAAGGTACAGACATGGCTCTGTCGCCACCTGGTCTTCGATATAGTACCGGTCGACGCATATTTCGTCCTACGCGGTTTTAATGAGGAGTACGTCTGCCAGAAACCGTACCACACTCCCCATGGTTATGCGGATGTGCACAAACTCAAGCAGTGGCTAAGAGACAAGGTTCTGACTTCGATCTATACCCGAGCATCGCGCCATCGTACCATCGACGTTGAGGATATCAAGTTGACGTATCGCGGCAAGCCGGTCAAGAAGCGCAACCACATCCGTCCCGGCGAGACTATCGACTTCGACGTGCCCCGTGTCGTGGAGGATAGGTTTATTCGCGCGGAGGCCTGGCTGGTTCCTCTAACGGATACGTGCATCGTATGCAGTGACGACAAGAGAGTCTCCGAGATGCCCAACAGGCGCAGGATCACCATGTCCTGCGAACACGACTCTACCATATGCAAGGAATGCGTCGGAGCTTGGATAGCTTCGAGCATGGACACAGTTACGTGGGATCGTCTGAAATGCCCCGAGTGCCCCCAGCTTCTCAAATACGAGAACGTCCGGGCCTTCGCCACCCGAGAAGTATTTGAGAGATACGACAAGTTGGCGGTAAAAGCGTTTCTTTCCAACATCCCCGATTTCATCTGGTGCCTCAACCCGCGCTGCGACTCTGGCCAAATCTACCAAGCGGGCTGTGAGCGAGCGAGATGCCACGAATGCAAGCACTCCCTGTGTGTACGGCACAACGTACCGTGGCATAAAGGAGAAACCTGCGAAGAATACGAGAAGCGCACCCGAAGGCAGCGGAAGAACGACAAGGCGTCTGAGAAGCACGTGAAAGAGATCACTAAGCCTTGCCCCGGATGCGATAGGAATGTGCACAAGTATACGGGATGTGATCACGTGACATGTAAGTTTCTTTTCTCCCCTATAATCCAACCCCCTTTTTCCTAGTACTTGAAACTAATAAGGAGTTATAAGGCATCTGTGGTCATGAGTGGTGCTGGCTGTGCTTCGGGATGTATTACCGCGACAACCAGGACTTCCTACAATGTCATCATACGCGGGAGTGCCGGTACCACGACAACCCACCAAACTACGAGGGCGGTAGGGCCTTTATGCCGTTCCTAAATATCAATCCGGCGCCGCCGCCACCGCCCCTTTTCGTGCGAAGGAGGCCCCGAGAGCAGAGACCGCCGCCAGCAGTTCCGGCTCCTGATCCGGCTCCCCAGGCTGGACCTGGTAACCGTCCGCTAAGACCTCGTCCCAACGCGCTGGACGGCGAGTTTGTAAATATATTTAGACGCCACACGGATCGCAATCCGCGGAATCCCTTTGATCCCAACATCAACATCAATCTGGTGCGGCCCCACCAAGACGACCCCGTGGGTCCCGACTTCTTTGAGGAGGCGATGTTCTTCAACCTTGGACATTTGATGAACCGAGCGGGACGTGATAGACCAGGACGCGAAGAAATATAGTTAGATTTGGGTGCAATAATCAGGAGTTGGGCTTGGGTTTAGGGTCTGGGAATATCCGGCGGATGGTCATGTGCAATTTTCGGTCATAGATGATTCTCTAAGCCGTGGAGTTGAAGGGACAACTTCGAGGCTGCATGGGTGTTTTGAGATTACTCTGCAATATCTTCGCTTGCTATTTCCGCCATGGAATGATTTATGCATGTCTATCGTTGATGAAGATTGGACATTACGATAATGAAATATCTGAATGAAAAAAATTACCAATGATTCCTTATACCCTGTGCCTGATGATCCTTATATAAGAAAAGAAAACAACCCTTCCGAACGTTGATATTTGCATCGTTTCCTGATCAATACGTGCTTCCAACCCTCTCTAACTTGCCAGTTCCATATCCGCCCCTTTTTAGACTTTCCCCCCCCACGAGCTTATCATTCAAACTGTCCTTAATCCGATGCTTTCTTCTTTGAGAACTTAGATAACCAACTTTTCCAGCGCTTATTTGTTCCTTTCGAGGAAACTTCGTGTTTTCTCACAGCCTGGATTCTGCCGTCTACCCTTTTAAGCCTGACAAGGGTGTGTTTCCCTTCTTCCTTCGTCCATTTATCCATGGCATCGTCACCCCTGTCATTCCCATTCTCCAAGGCCTCTTCCAGCTCATACCCTAGTAGCTGTGATACAGCATGCCAGACATTCCCCTGTCTTGAGTAAGAGACTTGTCGGATGAATAAAGCCGTCGTTATGAAAACAGTCAGAAGGTATAATCCGAGTATCACTGCCACGGAAACTATCCCCTTGCAACTATCCTGTTTACACATGTGTGCGGTCTGGACATTTTTGGTAGATGTAATATCTACCCCGATAGTCCCTTTAAGTGACGAGAAAGCATCCGTGTACCACTGTAGGGAAAGTGCTGTAGTGAAACACAGCAATGCTTCAGCGGCTCTGCCAGTTGTTAAGAGCGTGTCTCCAAGTAGCATAGCAAACCCCGGATGAATGGATTGCCCCAAAGAGTCGCAGTAAATGCATCCTTTCCATGTAAACTGCCAACCGCTTTGACCGGATATAATCATGTAAAAATACCAATCAAGCAGCATATATGTTTGCTGCACCCTTGTTCCATTATTCCAAACATCGTCCCCTTTGAAATCAGAGGAGTTGTTTTCCGGTTGTTTGAGATCGGTGATTGTTAGAATACCTCTTTCGGCATGATCTTGGTGCAATTCGTTTACGCCAAAGAAGGTTCGGACGTCAGATGAATTCCAAGTTCTTAATATTGACCAATTTCCGACTGGTTCGTGAAGAGGTGCCTTCGCCTTCATCTCAACGAACTTCGAATCTATACTGAAAGTCATGAAGCAAAGTGAAATATTAAGAAACCGACCGGGTATGATTTCAAAACTCGACCATTCTCCTTGGCTAGTTCTAGGAAGTGATGAAAGGTTCTGACTATCATTTATGTGAGACAGCCAATCCGTATTGAACATATTGCTTGAGTAGACTAGGTAGATTAGAGATTGATTGGACCAAGGCTCATCTGAATCCTTCCACCCGGTGTGGTTCTGTCCATTCCATGCTCCACCAACCGCCGTAACGGAGCAAAAACCGCCCTGATAGCTTGATATATTGCGTGTGTTTGAGTCGATGTGGGTCTTCGACGGGATAGTGCAATCGTATTTTGCATGATGACAACCCTGAGAATTGCATAATGATGAATCAGAATGCGAATCTTGTAGACTCGAACCGTAGTCTAACGTGCCATTGAATCTTCCCACGTATACGAATGAATGAGGAGCATCAGAAAGATTAGTGGTACGAATAACTCCGTCTATGTTAGGCCTCATGCAACTGACTCTGGAGCTCATTACCGCTGCGTCTCCTTTGAACGTGCGAACCGCTGTTCTGTTATCTGCTAAGCTAAGCGGTAGGATTGCTCGTTGTTTCCATCCAGAATCAGTAAAGCCTTTTGAGTCGGGAATAGATGACATATTCGACTCGACTTCCCCAAACATCCTATATGTAGGTGATTCTTGTTCCGGCGCAGGGACATAAATGCCTTCTATCTGCTGATCAATGTAGTTCGGTACCTGTACAGAGCTACTAAGTCCAACGATGGTGGCTTCGCGTATATCTGAGAAAAGGATAGTGGATGTAAACTGGAGAGCCAGGTTTCCAAGTGTTAATGACAGAGCTAGGAAAGCCTCGATACGAAAGATAGCTCTTGGCGAGGAAAATATCAACTCTGTAAGCTTCCGCGGACCATCATTAATAGCTCGGATGATGGAGAATTGGACGATGTCCGCCTTTCGAACGTATTGTTTCTCTAGGAACATCGAGGCAAGCATAGCCGTGCATACCGTTGCTTGCAAAGCCGTAACGACCCTTATAAGTAAAGCCGCGAGGGTAGTAGCTTGTCCCATCCAGCCATTCAACATGATTCTGCGCCACGCCATAGGTGCGTCTGTTGCCTCGAGATCGGAACCATGAGCTGCCCAGAGAAAGAGGAGGAACCCGAAGCCGATAAGACTGCCTAAAGTTCCCCCAACGATGATAAGACATCCTGAGATCCCCAGAGACTCGCGCAAAGGCAGTCTTACATCATGTGCGATATTCGTTGAATGTATTGAGTGTCGGCTGTCGATCTCGCTTCCTATGTCTAATCCCGGTCCTTCGCTAACATCGAGTAATACGTCCTCGTAATAATCCTCGGATTGACTCTCGTGCATCAGTGAAACAGACTGGCGTATATTATTCGCTGTATTTATCTCAATTTCTGGAATACCTATCATCGGCTGTCTCGAGAGGGAATCTGTAGGTACGCAGTGTTAATATTCATTATAATCTACCGATGAGAGGCTTATTACTATGTCGGTTTTCTCAATTTACAACTTACTGATATAATGAGTTCTATGATATTCGGCCGTCATTGTTGTCTCGCCTGTTGTCGAAATTTCCTTTTTGTAGCTTGCTTCTACCAATTGATCACATTAGCGGATGAGGCGAGTTAATGAATGTCAAGCAGCTAGCGACATGAGGAGCAGTTTTTGATCATTGGGATATCATATCCAATGAGGCTGATTCTTGTCCAACTATGCCTTGCCAATACACGTAATTAGTATAAATGGATATCGTGTTACGTGAAGTTACCTCAGGTTGCAGAATCACGTATAATAAAGGGGTGATCAACGTGGGGTCCAAATGATGTAGTATTGAACCACAGCTGTGATAAGATGTGACGTCTATATATAGGGTTAGTTTAATAGAAACTATCGTACTTGGAGATAATAATCAGACATACCTATAATGATCACATTTCTAAATATTATCGTCTTGCTGGTGCCAAGTAATATCTCATGGGCCGGGCAAAGCGGAGTCGGATGGTCTTGAGGGTTGTATTATGCATTACTACCTTAGAGTCCCAACCAAACAATTGATACTACTTGGCCATGATACAAGCTGAGTTCCTGAAGACTTATATATAGTAATGAAGGTTATTATTTCTATGCGTGGTTATTCGATTTAGGTAAGTTTCAACGAGGCCCCTTTCTGATTCGAAGGGACAAGGTAACCGCCTTGTAACGAACTGCGATGTGCTAATTATTCCCAATCAGATGTCCATCACCGTAAATGACTTATTGCGAGCTCTAAAAAGTCATAAATGAAGACCCAATTGTTTCCGGTTTAATGCTTAGGCGCCGTCCCGACTCCTGAGTAGCCCGTACTTCGTATCAACCTCACGCATAATATTCCCCGTCAACAGGCCCATGCAGATATTCATCTTCATCGCAGAAGCTCAAATTCAAAGCCTCTCGGTCTGTCCTAATCATCGCAGCCAGCGACGATGGTAAAGGTGTAACGCCCCATAGAAGTTTTTTCCTGGCTAGTTCACGCAATGATCGTTGTTCATCCGTCTCTTCTATCTCTCCGCCTTCTAAATTTAGCACATAGACTAGAGAATTCAAGATAATTTCAACTTACTATTATCATTGAAGTTGCTTTTACTTAATTCTTCTCGGTGAAGAGAGGTGGTCGATTGATACGGGTGACAAGCTGCCGAGAGCACCAAGGAGTCGCAAGCCCCCACAACCATGTCGCCGGGAAGCTTTCTTAAACCGTATAGAACAGGGATTAATACTATAGCTACACATGTAATGAAGAAGGCGAGGATCGCAGGTGGTGATAATCCTAAGATAGCAGTTGCACCTTGAGGCAATCCCCAGTCGTTGTTGCGATTCTGGGAGGTGTCGTGATAGAAGTCCACAAGATAACCTGTATTGTCATGAGTAGGTGGAACGGACAAAAGGGTACTTCAGAAGCTTACCTCCTTGGCTGACGAAGATGAATATAGCATTTGACGCAAACCAGTGCAATAGTGTGCTAATAATAAGCAAGGGTAGGCTGTAAATATATGGTAATTGGAGCCAATATGTCGAGTTCTGTTCACCGGCGGGATACGACACACGTAGTGGCTTATGCGGTGTAAGACTATATGAATTAAATTCCTTCTCTGCCAATAGACGGCTGAACATGGAAGAATATGAAAGAAAACAGTATGACAGTATAAATTGTGGTATATTAGCAAGTATTAGTGTTACCAAGAACCCGTATTCGCCAACGTAGTCGCTGATAAAGTAAGGGGAGTCTGATTCCCCGAAGCTTCCTTTGCTAATTTCGCGTTAACACTTAGATATTCTAGAAATTTCATCAGCACATCCGATGACTTACAAGCTAAATCCGTCATATAGATAGATCTGGGAAGCGAAATAGCCCCCGATGCCAATGAAAAAAAATATAGGGACATAACTACCAGACAAGGTAGACTTTGGAAGAGTAGATACAAGTCTACGGGCCTTCCGGTGCCAGATACGTGGTATTACTGAGTAACTAAGTTCCGTAGAATCATAAGGTCCTAGAGTCGCACGCGTCCCGAATTGTAGCCGATGACTATCATGAATATCGAATGTTCCTAATCCTAACGTTGTGGGGTCCGGGTTTGTAATGAAGGATTCCAGTGTGTCCCCAAGTGTAACTAACGATTTATAGGAGAGAAAATAAACAGCTAGTGTGCAGGTGACGGCTTTCAATAAAACACATATTATCGTAGTGAACAATAAGAGGTTAGATAGCCTAATTTGACATTTGTATGTTGACGATGGTTGTGCCAGGCAGTATTTGACGTTAAGCGCATTGAAAGTCTTGTTGAAGCCTAGTTTCTGTTGCTCGACTGAAACACAGGAAGGCATGTAACTTTCCTGTGCAGTGATTGTCCAGTCAGGTCCAGAAAAGGTTGCATTTGATAGCAAATCTAATCTTGTCATTCCAAGCGTAAACCAACACGAATTGCCGCATACTAGTGTGTCTCCATCGATAGCTATCACAGATGTAGGCAAGTAATTCACACACTGTGTCGAGTACCACAAAGAGTTTATATCGTTCCGCGGTATGTGAGAATCCCAGACTGGTCCCAAGTCATTATGTGGATCGCTAAATACCTGTGATCGAGTCCATCCGTCTGGGTTATCGGTACCGGTATCGACGACAATAACCACATCTCGATATTGCTTCCTTGGCTTACAGGAGCCATATTCTTCGCGGCAGGCATGAGGCGTCATATTGTGCCAACTCCCAGACTCAATTGCCGTATTTGTGATATTGTGGTACACCGGCGATGACTTATTCCAGTATTCCGCCAACTTTACAGGTTCTCCACATACTGCCTCGTATCCTGACCCAAATGAGCATCTGGAACCGTTGGACTTTAGCTCATCTAAGCCTGGGCTTGGAACACCAGCATTCGCTAGACTAGCTCCCGGTGGGAAGAATTCAACTCCTTGTGCGCCGAAACCGCTCGACGCAATAGTAAGCCTCCAATCTGAGCCTTGATAATTCGTTTTGAAAACTGAACTGTTGAAGAATAGATGGATAGGTATCGAACTGATGGAAAGGATAAACCAGCCGAGCGACTTCGCCGGAGAGACGAAACGGACGTTTTTGATAGATGAGACACCAATATCCAGCGACCGAAGCCTCAAATGAGCGCGGTCGATCTCTTGACGGGATGGCGAACTTAATATTTGCATGAAGAACCCGGAAGATGCTAGAGTTAGAGTAGATATAAGGTTAAGTAAGAAATGGAAGACAAGATTAAGGCGGTCCGTTTCCTGGCAGCTGCCCTCGAAGACGGTAGTCGTGGAATAGAGTGTCGACCCCCGCGAAAGAGATATAGCAAGACAAATAAGAAGAACTATCCCGTAAAAGAAGATCAGAGTAAGATTGAAAATCCCGGTACGCCGCCACCTCTCTTTTGGGATAATATTGAAAGTGCTGCCCATCGCGCTGTAGAATAACTGGATTCAATTCCTTAGGCACCTGCTAAAAAGGAGGATGAAAGAAAATGTACCATGATTCATACGGACCCAGGTATTCATATCCAACTGCATGATTACAGCAGGTAGCGAGACGCATCGACTAGCTGTTCTATTTTCGACGTTATGCTGTGTACCGCGACAGATTGCGTAATGTGCTTTCTTTTCCTGGTCGGAAGCCTTGGATATAATTGGTAGTTTTAAAATATGTCTCAGCCGCCCCTTAGAATCAGGAACGAATCTGAGAAATTAGCTACTTTTGGGGGCCGTTAGGCTTGGCTGTTGAACTCTAGTGGCGTAATCATCGCGTTTATGTATATATTCCTTCGGACTGGGCGGGAAATTCAAGTATTTATGTCTTCCAAATATATCCCGTTTGCCGTCCACTGTCAACTCGTTGAGCTGGTTATTTCCATGGAGCTTCGACTGAGATAAGAATGCACGAAGAGTTTGAGATGAGAAACATCTCTTATTTGAACTCTTCCGAGCCAGTTGAAAGTAGAGTTGATACGCCAATTCTCCGCGACAGATACCGGCGTCTTGTGAGTAACACAACGTCAAGCCTGCGAAAGGTGACACGTTTTGGACGTTACTGCAGCCTTGACAAGATCCTGCGGCTTGCTCGTCTGCCAGCTTCCATATCAATATTCTCTCTATCATTCGACTTTCAGTATCCTATATGGACGTATCATGTTGCTCTTGTATGTCGTTAGAAAACCATTCTTTTTTCTAAGTACTATACAGAGATGTGAATCTAACCCATATTGACTACCTAGGCTGGAATCGTATTTTTCTGGGGCGTGATACAGGTCTTCGACATGGACTGTGGAGGCGTACCCGAGATCAATGTGATCATACATATATGTCTCGACACAATTCTCACGATCCTATCCGTCACGATGCTGTTCAAACTAGGCCTAATGAAGGATTGTGATATAGGTGGTACTTCTGGTTGCAGGTATTTCTGGTGGGTTATGTGTTTATGGGACAATCTTGCGTAGGACAATATCCACACACTCATACGGTAATCCGCAGCTAACTAAATGCGTTAGAGTATTCAATGGACTTCTAGTATATCATAGCATCAAGAACTACCCGACGAGGCGACGAGGGAACCGCAAATTGATGCCCCGCATAATGTTTACACCATCCGGGGAACCCGTATCTGTTATTTTGAATCCGGCAGCTCCAGTTCAATTCATCAGTTCAAGGCACTCATTTGACTCACTTTGCCTCGAATCGGACCATGACGATGTGAATAGAAGCCAGCAAAGTATGATGCACATCGTATAGCACGCTAAGAGTTGGGAAATGTTGGGGATTTTCATATGCGAACATGGCTTAGGTAACCCCTCTTACTTAAGTCGTACCCCGCATTTGTCAGCTTTATTCTGTTATTAGATATCCATCTTCAATGCTTGTAAGCATTTATGCAAAAATAGAGATAGTCAATTTAAATAAATAAACCGAATTCAAGTTTCTTCTAGTTTTTTAGGTATCTGCTAAGTTTCATAATGTTCACGCGTGATTCTTACAGCAACCTCTAGGCTTGGCATGTCACTCCAATTTCGCAATTGACGGTGTCCGATGTCGTGACCTTAAGGGCGCGCGTAGTGGATTCTGATTATTAAACATTTTATTTGGACTTTCAGCGGGAACTATTTTATCTTAGCTTGGCCCCGTCCCCCTGAAGTTCGTTTTTCCCAAATTCTATAACCAATTTAGTCTCGGTGAAGTTTACTATGGACGAAACCCAGCCCTTGTTACAAGATGCCCATCTCGTCTACGTAGAAAGAGAAGACGACCCCTCCAGTAAAGATATCGTTGATTTTGATCCTGATGGCGACGCGGAAAACCCCATGGAATGGCCGCAGGCCTATAAATGGGGGATAGTGGCGCTCCTCGCCTTCATGGCCTTCACAGTGTGCGTGTCTAATCTAGATCTTGGGTTACACATGCTGATCTCTCTCGCAGAACATTCACCTGCATATCCGTCGTACCCGTCGCGACACGGATAGTGGACGACCTTGACCACGGCCACTCTAGCAAATCTGCGAGCGTACTTTTAGTGACCATTTGGGAGCTAGGCGAAGCTGCAGGTCCCTTGCTTATCGCACCGCTGTCTGAAGTATTTGGGCGCTACCCCGTCATGAACACAGCGAACGCTCTGTTCATCGTAGCGACAGTCCTGGCAGCATTGTCCCAAAGTACAAAACTTTTCATTGCCGCAAGAACCCTCACGGGACTCTCTGTAGCTTCCAATGTGCTAAACCCCGCGATTGTCGGCGACATGTTCATATCAGAGCAGAGAGGTTCGGCGATGAGCTTGGTCCAACTCGCACCGCTGATCGGTGGCGCTGTCGGCCCAGCAATTAGCGGGGCGATCGCCGAGACGCTGGGGTGGAGGAAAGCGATATGGATGAGCGTGATACTAGCCACCGCATGCGAGGTAGTTTTCCTTACGTTATTCCGCGAGACGTATAAAGTCCCAATTCTAAGACGAAAGGCGGCGAGGCTCCGGCGCGAAACTGGTAATGCATCGCTACGAACCGTCTTCGACATGGATGATAGCCCGAGGGCTAAAAAGGTGTGGGCCGCCGTCACCCGGCCTTTCACGGTGTTAGCGGGCTCGGGCATCTTACAAGCGCTATCATTGTTCGGATCTATCGCTTTTACATACTTCTATATAACGGCCACCACGCTACCCGACGTCTTGCAGACTATGTACGGTTTCTCGCCTGCTGCCGCCGGATCTGCACTTGTCACTTTCAGTAAGCTCAGCCTTTGGTGTATAAAACTTACCAGGAACATACCATGTTAACGAGCACGCAGGTATCGGCTCGGCTTTTAGTCTAATCATCTGCAATCTAACTTTGGACAGGATTTATATCAAGATGCGCGACTCCAATAAGGGCGAAGGCAGACCTGAATATCGTCTACCTTTAGTGATTATTGGAGGTATCACTTTACCCTTCGTCGTTGCAGGCTATGGATGGGCTATTCAGCTTCACGCCTCGGCCGCGTTAGTCCTCTCTTCCGTCATCGGAATTGGTGTTACGCTCATGCTAGGATTTCTGCCGCTCTATGCCTATGTCGTGGACGCCTTTGGGCTCTACGCTGCCTCCGCAATGACGGCTGTGATCGTCATGAGGTGTTTGGCTGGTACATTCTTGCCGCTTGCCATAGAACCGCTCGTAAACAAATTTGGCTACGGCGGAGGTTTATCGATACTAGGCTGTGCTAGTCTTCTCCTTGCGCCAATCCCAATCTTGGTTCTGAGGTATGGATCGATATGGCGACAGAGTTCAGAATACACAAGGGATGAGTGAGTCATGCATGTGGTCTGGGACAGGCCTACTGTATCCAGGTTGGGAAATAATGACATTTTGGATAGATGGCTAAAGACATTATGCTAACTAGGTGCTGGCATATCAAGAGAAATGAATTATGAAGAAGTTTCAAGCAGTTTTTACACACATTCTTTTAATGACTCCCACTGCTTAAAATGCCTGTACAAGATGTTAGTCATACCAACTCCTTTTGGTGGCGTTATGATTCATGTAGCAATGATCCTAACTAAACCATATGCATATATGGATAAGTGCATGCCCTCAAGCTACAGGATGCGCCAAGCATTCATTGGGACCTTTCTATTGATGAGATATGACTCCCAAATGGAACCTGTGACTACTTCTGTTATGACATTCTACTGTTCATGTGAGTGAATCAGCTCCTAAACGAAACACAGAAACAAAGAAATTTCTCATTATAAAATCTGAAGACAAAATCCATGAACTAGCTCTCTGATTCTCACATCATATCCCTTGAAGAAAACCTCTATTACTGAATATTATCGTTCTTTATCAAAGTTCTAGTAGGTGGATTATATAAGCCACCTGGCGCTTAACTCCAACCGTTTGGAATCATGAAACTTCACGACCTCCGATGTCGAGTTTCGCCATTTCCCAAGATCATTGGCCCAAGTTTATATTCTTCCTCTTCTTTATATAATTCCATCAGCAGGGTTTTTGGAATTACTATAATAAAATATCTTTTCTTTAAGTTCTCCACCCTGTGCATGAAATCTTACTGTTCACTTCCGGACTTCGTTTAATAGTCTTGATCAGTTCTTCACCCTCTTGTTACAATTATTCGCTTAATATTCCATTTCCCAACAAGAACAGCGGCTTTAAGCTTATAATAGTCCACTAGGTAACCCATGCACTAAACCCATATCTAGGTACCTAGGTGGGTTGGAAGCGATATCATGGGCGGACAGGCCTTCTCCTCTGGGGATAACCCTCTCTACACACCGCGGATGCCTCCAAACGTGTACCAGTATATGCTCAAACAGTGCCATGCCAAGCTTCAAGAACTCTTCATCCTCGTTGCTACTCCTATTCCAGGACCTGCCAAACCGGACTTTGGTGACATTGACATATTTTTAGCGTGGGAAAGAACATCCATATTTCCATCACACGCTAACGGTATTTCAAAAAGAGCATCGCCTTCGAAACATGATGCTCTCACATCTTCGGCAAACCTTTTAAGGGCTGAGCGACATTTTCAAGAGCAATCAGCTCTTATGATCACGGCTATTCCCTGGCCCGATGACCTCCCCCGTGAAACAATAAGAGACAACGAAGACATTAATTACAATGCAAAACCTCGATACATTCAGGTTGACCTTCATCTCTGCGACTCCTTGGAGCACTTACAATGGATGCTAGGTACGTATAACATTATTTCGCTCCCAGTCGTTTTAGATCCCAAACTTCTGTGACATAGTAGCTAACATTCATTTAGTGAGTAAAACAATTTCGTAAATTTGTAGACGTTTGAAGAGAGAATACTTGTTTTCTTCTAAAGTTTATGCTGATACCATGTTTTCATATATTAGTTCAAACATGCTCATGGAGACTTGTGGAACATTATTGGAAGCACAATCCGCCCATATGGTCTCACTGTCGATGATGTTGGCTTACATGTACGCATTCCTGAGATTGAGAATCTGGACAGGAAAAAGGCCCGAGTCCTCCTTTCCACCGACCCCACCGATATTCTGAGCTTCCTCGGCCTCAGATCTGATGGCACTCAATGGGAAGAACCATTTGCCTCAGATGAAGACTTATTTGAGTACGCGACCACATGTCGACTCTTTTGGGTACGGCCCGATCCAGAAGATAAACAAGCGCCAACAGAGAGTGGGGAGGTCGACAAAAATAAACTCAAAGCTAATGATCGTCGTCGCATGAACTCCCGTCCGGTCTTTAGGAAATGGATTAACGAATTTTTACCTGCCTGCAGAGTGGCAGGGCTATTCGCAGTACAAAACGCTACACGAGACTCGGTGCGCGCGGAAGCCTTCGAGTATTTCCCTGGTACACAGCACACATATGAAACTCAACTCAGGGAGTGGAACTTGGAAAGGCAGCGCCAGACGCTCTGGCGTAACGTGATCAAGGCTTCCACGCCGAAACTTCCAGACGGCAAAGAGGAGACACCGGCCGATAAATGCTGGCATGGTCAAGTGGCGAACGCATTCAAGAAGATCATCATGCAGGATAATTACAGCTTAGGTATACAACCTTCCGAGCCTCTGCAAGATGTAACCGGATTCTTCAACGAAGAGAAAGTAAAACAGTTCGTCGTGGACAATTGGGAACAGGTCAGCGAGGCTGTTCGGAAAGCGAATAAGAAACAATACACCGACCACCTAACGAAAAATGAAGCTCAAACATCAGGGCTTTAACCACGAGAGGTTCGAATATATATATACTAAGCAGTTTTGATATAGTTTTAGCAAATACAGGTTGGAAGACATTGGACGCTCGGTTAATAAATGCCTTCACCAAGTCGGACACTGACCTGACTGAACTCCAACACATGACAGGCAGTTGAATAACTTGGAAATGTTTTAAGGCCATGACCTCAAATAATTTGATTTCATGATACCTCTTGACCGGAAAGCAGGAAGCTTGCGGCACTAAATTGAAGGCTTCAATTGTTAGGGGTTATCGATCATAACCCAAACTAACCAGCTTCCGAGCAGTGGTCTATAGGTAATAAAGGGATGACATATCTCATCACCCAGAATCAAGAACCGAGAAAGGTTTATGATTACCTATTCTTTCTCATACGTAAATACATACCTGCCTGTAGTAGGTATAGTCCACAAAGCACAAAACGTGGAAACGGTGCGGCGCCTGAATGCAGCATAGAGCGGCACATATAAACACACATTATTCATTTTCGCATGACAAGTGTTGGAAAACATCCGTACAATAAAGCGTATTCAACAATGCTGAAGGGACAAACTCTCCAACGTCACTACGATAATCTCGCTGAAAAGGGGCTTGACTTCAAAAAATTGGACATTCGAACTAAGAACTTCTTCCACACGACCGAGAACCAACAGTTAACAATTTATATTATCATAAATGAGAATCCTTTCAAAGATGTACCTATATACCCAGGCATGCTTATTTAATAGATTCAACATTTCCATAAAGGCCTTTCAATCAACTATCTCGAAGCTGTTGACCTCAAAGAAGGCATGATTAGCGCTGTACAAGGACATCCAGCATTCATTCTCCGACTAGTAGACACTTTTAGTTTCTTTTCTAAGAAATATATTCATACTGGCCACCACGTGTATAAGCCTCCAGGTTGAGCATTGACATGATTTCGAACAGAAATCGGTCCAAGGGCCTTCCTTAGACCCAAAACCTGGATCATCAATCCCTGGTACCCCATTACCAATCCCAACCAGAGAACATACGCCAGATCCCCGGGAGGCCAAGTCCCAACCGAAACGTCAACAGTCATACAACAGTTTCCTGGAATCACCGGGAGCAACCGCACCATTCTTGAAAACATCGAGAATGACGAATCTATCAAACCCAGCCCACAATTCAGGTATGCGTAAAATACGTCCCGAAAGCAGACCAAGCTCGCTATCTAGGTCTACAAGAAATATAAGACGAGCCACTACAAGATGCCTTCAGAAGTCTCTGTTCCCATAATTACCATGAAACATTTCCATTGCACAGGATATATTGCTGTATGCCAATCTGATGGACAGATGCCCGCTGGCACACGTGGCGGTTCGGAGAACATGAATGAATTCTACCGAATTCAGACAGGATCTATAATTAAATACTACGGGGAATTGGAGTTTACCTAGATACATAGCCATGATTACTCAGATACATAGTTACAATTGACGTCTATTGATGAACTCCCGCAAATACAAATTCTAAGCTAATATGATGTATTCCGATTATGCATATCTAAGTACCCTAACCTACAGTTTAAAATCCGCGTTCGTCTTCTCCCATCCCAGTTGCGAAGGCTGCTTAGAAGCCACCCGCTCTGCCAGCTTCATTTTCAGGTTCTTATGTCGATCAGTGCAGAGTTCGTACATGGTCGTAAGGTTGAAGAGCAGCGTGTGGGACGTGTCACCCGCATCAACCAAGCCTTCCAAGATATCCCTGGCCTTGTAACTGTTAGCACCCGCAGGGCAAGAACATCACCACACCGATAAAATACACTTACCTCGGCCATTTTCCCCGTGTAAAGAAGGCACACAGCCAAATTCACCCCAACCATCTCATCATGCTGACCATTCTCCTCCATAGTGCTTTTCAGTTCTTGCCACTCCTCTAGTGCAGTCCTGTACTCGCCATCCGCCATATCCGCCAGCGCGGTCAGGATGCGCTCATTCGTCGAAGCACCCTCGTCATCCGCGACCCTAACACAACGCCTCGCGGCCTCTACATCGCCCAAATGCAACCACAGGAGCGCGCGGCTCATAGCCAGGCGTCCTCGCCCTTCGCTCCCACCATCCCCGTCGCCAAGGGTCGCCAGATGCTCCGCCGCGCCAGCAAGATCATCCATCTCAATCAGCGCGCCCGCAACCTTAACCCCAAGCTCGCTTAACCTCTCCCTCCAAACCCGTCCCTCCTCCCTACCCTGCTCCCCCAACTTCGCCGCCCTCGCAGCCTGGACCCTCGCCTCGCGCGCCAGCTCATAATAGCTCATAACCGCACGCCTCGGGTCGCCGAACCCAATAGCCTGGAGACGAACCCCCAACACGCGCAGCTCCCAAGGCACGAGGTGCGCGCCGGTCAGGGGATCGAGGTAGAAAGCCGAGTTGAGGTCCTCGAGGGCCTTGGACTCCTGGGCGGCGAGCGACGTGGCGTCGATGAGGCAAAGGCACGCGAGCCGCGTGTACAGCAGCTCGAAGACGCGGGCGTGGTCCGCCGGGTCGACGGGCGGGTGGGCCGCCGCCGCGACGGCGCTCACGGGGCTGCTCGTCAGCGCCTGGACCGCGGCTATCGCGGCCGCGCGGAAGTGGCCCCGCTGCAGCAGCGCTGGGATCGGCGTCTCGGGCGCGGGCTGCCGCGCCGGGTTGCGGAAGGGGGCTGGGACGGAGAGGGGTGAGAGCTGGTGGTATATCTCTGGCCGGAGCAGGAAGGAGAAGTCCTTCGATGTTACGGGCGCGGTGGCGCTTAGGGCCGGAGACCGCGGGGCTGGGGAGGCCCGCGAGAGGTTGAGGCTGGTACGTGGGCTGGCTGCTTGGGTGCTGGTGAAACGGGCTGCTTGGGAGGGGATGGGGGATGTTAGGGGGCCATGACCGCTGTAGTTACTGAGTGAGCTATATCGTACTTATGTAAGTGAGAGGTAGTGATGATGACTAAGCTTACTCATCTCCATCGAGCGGCCCTTTGGTGGAGGACCTAGGCCGAGAAGCTAGAGTTCGGAATACGTTAGTGAAAGACATTACGATTTCATTTTGATCTTCCTCATCTTAGGAGATATAGGAGACGAGGTGAATGAGAAGTGAAGAAAGCAGGATCGACAAGACGTGGGGGTTGCCGTATGCCAATAGGTTGATAGCACCTGCAATCAGCACTCTTTACATTGACATGGAAATCGCCCATCACAGCCTATCAACCATCCATCGCAATTGCCGAAATCCGTTCAAAGTGTCCATGTCCCGCTGATATAAATATTTAAAATGGTTGGAATAAATGTAGAACATATGTATTTCTTGGTTCACTCACACTTTACGCCAGATTTACTTCTGGCGTGGCCTTTTGAAGAATTTCTTTGTGTTGACTGATCCATCGTTGCGATTCTAAGATGGAAGTCTACGTCACATTAGGATACCGCGACGGGAGACGTTCAACTACGTAGGCGGATGAACTTCGGGGGAACTAGTTTAGATGCATACCTCGTTAAATCAATGCAACTTATGCCATTCATTGAGGCGTGTATGAGTAATCCAATGATATAAGGATTGATAAATGAATAATTGAATGAAAGAGATATACCGGATTTTGATGTAGTCTGTTGATGCATATTTATGGCCATATCCATATGATGTGTAATCGTATTAAGAAGCACTCTCGAAGTTCCTTTGAAAAGACTGAAGAATTCGCCCCAATCTTCAATGTGCGTTACCATTGACCTTCCAGATGATGGGAGTTATGCTGAGACCAATTACCTGAAGATAAGGGTATTCCCAGGTACTGAATACATATTCAATGTCGAATTCACGTGAGAATACTCGGATGTTTGGGTCGGCCATCTAAGAATTTCCCTACTAGAACCTTTCCGCTAGGATTTAGCGAATTACCGCTGTAATTCAGGAAGGCCAGCCGCTGGAAAGAGGCGCACAACAGCGCTAGGAAGGTGCCTAGGCACTTGAACTAAGTTTTGGATTGTGGAGCCCTGGAGGCCTTCTGCGTTGTGTCGCAGGAGAATTAGTGGATCTACAGCCCCTCCAGCTAGCCCTGTTCTTACACTTAGAAATATCACCCCTTTTAAGAGACCTTAGATCCAATAGTATGTTGATCGATCGTCCCGAACTTTCAACCTTACTTCAGGTTTTAGCCCGCGACACCTGGTCATCTGATGGTTTGATTTCTCTTTGGCTCATATGATTTAACCACGCTGCTACCAAACTAAAGTTGGAAGATTGTTATATTGTACCTCTCCTAATTCCGCCTCCTAGTTTTAACTCCAAACAAGGTCATGATTCATTGATCCTTTCCATCAAGGAATATGCAATCTACGGTGATACTTTTCAACGGCCTTTATGCTGGTGAAACATCCTCCTTATGCTTTTGCGGCCTCCTTTTTAAGCTTCTGCCGAAAGCTCCTATTGTACTTCGTCGCGTCAAAGCCCCATTACCCTCATCCGTTGTCGATGATCCTTCAGTTTGACGGTATTTGCTGCGCAGGCCAAACCAGTCTGAGAGAGCGTTCGTATTCCATGCAAAGATGATAGCAGGAGTGGAGACCAGAGCCGTCACACCAACTACTCACAACATCAGCATTTGATTCGGCGGGGGGGGTGGGAGTTGAGGGGGGGTGTTTGGAATACTTACACATGATAGGGAAGAGCCACCATCCTTCGTACTGTAAGGTTCCCGACTCATGTGGGAAACTTGATACGTTAAGCGCAAACAGAGCTGATAGAAACGAGAGAGGAAGCTTGATTGGTAGACAGAATCATCAGTTAAGTGCCCTTTCGCAATGTATTCACCCTAGTAAATGACAACTTACAAACACAATGGTGACGATAGTAAATATCAATACGCAGTTGGATTGTATGCGACTGTATTCTGCTTGTCGCAGATCAAGAAGGGTATTTATCTGTCTTCCGTATCAGCTTGAGAGGGGTATCATTCTTAGATGAGGGGAACAGACGTAGTCAGTCGTTTTGTCTGCCTCGAGGAGCATTTCGTCTAGATTCTTCTTGACATCAGTAGGCGTGCAGGAATGATAGTTTAGGAAATGGTCTGTCAGGTCGTCAGTTGGAAACGCCTGCTTCCACACAGTATCCTGGTCCTCTGCTAAAGACCTAAGAATATGTAGCTCATCCCGAATATCTCGTGTATGGTCAAGAAGCTCGGTTTCATCTGAGATGATATGATAGCGGTTCGACTTCTTATTCCGTCTCCAAGCTTTGCTGCGCAGAGATGCGAGAAAATCTCGGAAGAGCGAAGTTTCACCATCGGCCTACTCAAATCAGTTAGCCACAACAGCAGCAATGATAACCTCACATTGGTGTATTAACATACCACTCTTCTGATTGACTCTCGAAATATTTCGATGGGTCCTTTTTTGGTTGACAGCTCCTTGCCCACTGGACCGGTGGGTATTGACTTTTCCATAAAGGATCCAGTTGCAGCTCCGACCACCAATTCCATCACAGCCTGGACCGATGTAGCGCGTTCGAACCGACTTCTAGTCTCGCCGTAAAGTACGTTCTTTAGGGTAGTCTGAAGCAGGTTCTGTGCTGATTCATCACCGGAGTCGTCCGTCGTAGCTGTGATGATTGTCTCTAAAGGGACGTTAGCTTATATAATACGACGATCAGTACCATAAACCACGGGACTACATACTGTCATCAGTTATCCATATCCACAGTTGGTTTACCATTAAAATCGTCTTCGTGTGTTCCTCATGCAAGAATTTTGAGAGCACTTGATCCCCATCTCTTTCATTGGTATCTTCGATGGTTGGGTAATAGTACTGGTCCAGGGTCATGGGTCTGTGTTTAATCTGTTCCAAGTTATGGTCGTATGTGGATTCCTTCTCATTGGAATTGGCGGTACTGGTTTTCGGTTGCGGAGTGTGATGCCCTATGGTGAGGTACGGCATCTGTTTTGAATGAATATTAGCATGTCATGTTGCCTCCTGAAGTAGTACCCTGCCAACACATACATAAAGAGTCGTGTAAGTGATCCGCTCCCCCGCTGGCCGACTTCCACTTAAATTATCGTCTGGAGCATCGATGTGATCTATTTCCTTTCGCTATCAAGACAACACGGTCAGCTCTCGGGGTTGTCTGAACAATGACTAAGTAGGTATACATACCACGCATTGAGGCTTCATGTAATTTCGCTTTCCACCCGCCGCCAACTCAGTCCAGCTTCGAGTTAGATGTTTCATCAGAACCACGTGGTCCATCTCCAAACGCCCTGAATCATGCGATAGCCGACAAACGAGGTCCTTGTAAAATGAGTAAATGAGATAAGTACAGTAGAGAGGGGAACTGTGTATAACTTACTTCCATTAGTTGTAACTGGACACCCATGGTATATCTGTCAACGCTGACCAAACACTGATATTCACACTAACTTAGGGAAACTCACATCATTGACTGAAAGATGAATCCACCGAAGCTTGAGAGATGATTCGGGTCCTGATAGCTGCGGTGGGAGGGAATCAACGGATCTATACTGGTGTTTCTCCTTTAGTGATCTCTTCAGCGCTTCTAGGTTACGCTTGTCCAGATTTTCCCTGGCCTCCTTCATCAGGGACTCTGGACCTTTCCCATATACAATATCCTCAACGTTAGATATTACATGTGGAATGCTTAGGGTTTCACCATTAGAGAATACATCGACAATATTCCCTTTAGCACCTAATGCTGGGTTATTTCCGTTTCTGGGTGTTGGTTGTGGAGTTATAGGATAATTGTTGGGGTTGGCGACTTTGATACGGATTGGCGGCGGATCATGAAGTAGAGCTCTAATGCGGTCCTGAACGCTGTCCTTTTCGATTCGGTCTGGCAAGACTTTCAAGGCACTCTCAATAAGGTGATTAGAGTACCCGCCCTTCGACAACAACCACCAGACCACGACCGCTTGAGAATGGACTACTGCCCAATGAAGAGGCGTAAAGTCTGGTTTGTCTTCAGCGTCCTCCTTGGAAAACCATTTCTTCAGTAATTCTCGTAGGGTGACTTCGTGTCCAGGCGTCTCATACATAGCAACTACTTCAAGGATTCTTTCGGCCTTCGCCTGATCAGATTCCATAAATTTCTCGTTGGTAGTCCCGAGTTGGCGAATATGGTCCCAAAATAGGTCCTCTAGCTTTTTGTTCCTCCGGTTTATCGAGATAGTTAGAGGAGATTCGCCCTGACTATTCTGGTCCATAATTGCGTCAACCTTCAGAGATTGCTCCAATATCATCTGGAGGAGAACCTCTACAGTCTCGAAACTACTATCGGCAGTTGCTATATGCAGAGCACTGATCATTCCTTTGGCTTTCGCTAGGACATCGATCTTATTCAGAGACGTATTCTCATGATAGAGGAGCGGTATTATTTCATGTCGCCCGTATTGGGCCGCTACATGAAGCCAAGTGGCACCATTTCGATTCCATTGCAGCACGCTTGGGTCATTGGAAATACACCACTTCACCAGATTCGAGGCTCCATTAGCGATTGCCCAATGAAGTATGACTGGAATCCGCTCTTGTTCTTCGCATCCGCCGGCTTCAAAATTCGCCAGTAATTTGCCTTCGATGGCTTGAGCACGGTCTTTGCGCGTTGAGCACTCGGCGAAGGCTTTTTCTCCGGCGGGATTTTCGGGGAAATAACTTGGTGTCGCCATGATCTCCAGTGCAATATCAAAATTATCGTAAATAACAGCGGTGTCTAACGGAGTCAATCCATTTCGGTCATGGACATTAACCGCTGCACCCTCACTTATGAGGGCCTGGGCATTTTCGAGTTGGCCGAAACGACAGGCCAGGGCAAGAGATGCCAGTCCATGCTTATTCGTGACAGTCGTGTCAGCTCCTTGTTGTAAGAGCATCCGGACCAGCTTCGAATCCGACTGACAGCAAGCCTGCATGAGAACAGTTGATCCATCAACAGGCCCTATATGGTTGATATCGGCTCCTAGATGGAGAAAATACTCGATATGTTCGGACTTCTCCTTTTTGCACGCGAAAAAAAGAGGCGACTGTCCAAAAACATTGGTCTGATTGATGTCTATCCCTGCACCAACCAGTTGATCAAGAATATTCTCAATTCCGCTCGAAAAGTCTTTGTCGCACAGCACGACCTTATGGAAGCAAGTATTCTGCTGCCGGTCGACATCTAAAGGGAATGCACCTTCAGAGAATAGTGTATCGAAGCTCTGTTCTTGTCCACAGGCGCAAGAATACAAGATAGGGGTGTTCAAGAATCTATCTCTCTTGTGGATATCCGCGCCGCTTTCCAGAAGCATATTGATGAGTCCAACGCAACCACTCGCGCAAGCTAGGAACAATGGAGTTTTTCCGTCTCGTCTCGGCTCGTCGACTGGTATTCCCATTTCTATAAGCCATTCTGCCGTGCTTTGATGGCCATTATAACATGCTAGATGTAATGGTCCATTCGAATACTTGTTTACTTCGTTGAGTTGTCTCAGTGGTCCCCGTTCTAACAGAAGTTTTAGAACCTCGTCCTGGCCCTCGATAGAAGCGATCATGAAGGGCGTGCTGCCATTATCGTCACGTTGACCTATATCCGCTTGTGCGTCTAAAAGGCAAGCAGCAACTTCAGTTTGGCCATATTTGCATGCTGAGTGTAATGGGCTCAGGCCATTCCAGCCTGGTTGATTGACATTGGGTTTTTGGAAGAGAAGCAAATCGATGGTGTCCTTTGGTCCGTACCGAGCAGCTAGGTGTAGCGCTGTTTCGCCATATTCAGGTTCCTCTGCGTTCACCTCCGCGTTATGATCTAGAAGAAGTTTAACTATTGAGGTTTTACCCAGTGCTGCTGCTAGAGCCAGTGGAGCGATGTTCAATGTTAAGTGACTGTCGTATCCGGTTAATCCGTACTGAAATCGTACATCGAGTACACCATTGTCGGATTCTAATAACTTCTCTAATTCTTCATGGTTCTCGTTTCGGATCGCCTCTTCAACCTGTTCCTGCAAAACCGCGGGTACTGGTGACAGAGCATCAGTATCGCTAGCGGAAGATGACGCTTCCGTAGGCGCCCACGATTCGTCGGTGGTAACCATGATGAATGGAGAGGGTTTGCTTCCAGGAAGATGCTTCAAATGCTTCTTAGGGATTGAAAAGGATAAACGAGTCTACGCATGGTTAAAAAACACAAGACTAATAAATAAATATATCTCCAGTCTAGTAGGTTAGGTATCTACACATCACAGTGGTCGCCGACCATGTCGGAGCTGAGTGTTATTACATGTTGAGCTGGCTCAGCTGCCTAGGGCTAGGGTACCCACCACCCAATTGCCGGGTACCTAGGTATCTACCTAGGCATAATTGATGGATTCTAGATACGTGCCGGGGTAGGATAGTCATCATACTATGTACTTCTTTAGTTCGACCCCCTTGACTATGTTGATTCTTTATTCAGAATGCGGCTCGTTAGAAATGTTTCATTGCTTAAGCTAAAATGCGGGCATATCCGTTTCCTAAGCCAAAAAAAAGAAACTAGTCCTACTTATAGGTTAGGTCCTAGGCTATAGAAGGCAATGTATAGTGATCTTCAGATGGGTAATACAAGATCTGGCCAACTGCAACTAAGGTTCAGACAGTAGCAGTAGTGGTGGACCCTGGGGGCTGTTGTCAATAGTTGCAAATTTTGGTGGAGTTCCTTTCTTGTGCCAATTATTCTTTAAAGAGATATGCAGATAAGATCTAACAGGCATAGCCTCCAACGTCCACAGCAGCTGAATTTTGATCGGCTAGGATATCAATCAAAAAGGATACATTTCAGATATCTTTGATCATAGAATATAGGTAATAGTCCACTGTAAATATCATGTTTCAATAACTAACCTAACTTTTGTATGCCTACTACCTGATAGTTATATATTACGATGGGAATCTCGCAGATGAAGTAACGACGACTTAATTAGGTACTTTGTTCCAAAGTTTACCATCATCAGATTTGCGCGCCGAACTCCTACTTTACTTACTACACTAGGGCGCCAAGGTGGGATTTGGTGACGGTATTTTAGACTTTGGTGAACTACACTTGATGGTCTCAAAATCATTCTCACTTGGAGATCTGCAAGTGACTGCCTATTCCCTGGGGACTGTCTGAGGCGTTAGTATTATCGTCAACGTCAATATAATCAGTATAAGTCAGCAAAGGATCTCACTGGCCCTCGGCTGCTTCTGAGTCTGCTATTCGTATGTTCTAACGTAAATTTTAAACTCAAGGTTTCGTGCCACCAAAGTTGTTGTCAGTTGCCAGCTGTATGTGAGCGAAATATATAATTTTACTTACAAAATAAAGTTGAACTGTAAGCTTCTGTCGTCCTTAAGATGAGTTCATGTTAGCGAAACAAAGTTAAATTACCTAGGTAGCTATTAGAGTCGACCGGAAATAGCTCATCAAACTATAAATTCACCTTCCTTCCCCCCACGGCTCGCGGTCCTCTTCCTATTCTACTATATATATCTCTCTTTTTCAGCATACCTAACTAGTAAGTTCTTTTTCTTATTATTCTCTTCAACTGTCACGATGCGGACCTAGCAAGTGGGCTGCTAATGTGGATATATCATCACCTCATTATTCCAACATCTATACGATACGGCTATGAACAAATTAACGACTTTCGTTGTCACAGCGTTCATCAGCATAGCCATAATCATCATACCACTTATCATTTATCTTTAATTGACAACAAGTCTTCCACGAGCCAGACTCCAATCTAACCATATCACCAGCAATTAATCCCTCTAATAGACCAGACCAGCATTAAAGATCATATCTAACTTCCTAGAATGTCTATTCTTTCACCTCGAGACGCAGAGTCTCTGCTTGCATCTGGCCTTCTCAGTTCACCCGACATGGATGGCAACCGCAGGATTCATATCCGTCGACTCAATAGATCAAGCGACGAAGAATATTCCGATGTGCCCCTAGATCCCATTTCAACAACGACGTCAACTATGTTCCGCACTATCCCTGAGAATCTTATATCACTAGCAACCCTTAGATACCTTGGGTTCAATGAAGAAACAGCAACATACATATGGCACCGATGGACAAATTGGCCACCAGGACCCATAGTCAGAGAAACAGACGATGATCGGGGGGCTGACTTTGTGATGACCTTCATCGATTTTGCTACCGACCATGTGACAGCGAAACGAGAACTTGACGCATTTGAAGACCGGAACTTAGATTGGTTCAATTTCATGGATGAATGCGGTATATGTCCCGAACTTGTCAATCACATTATGGATCCTGTCTTCAAGGATATTCGCCTTACACAATCTTGTCTCTTCTGGGTTAAAGATACGATGGAGTTGCGATACCGTGGCTTGCAAGAAGTACAAAAGGCGTCGCATGAGAGAGCGATGAGTCTCGGCCAAGAAACCTCGCGATCTGACGAATTAGGATCCAGAGAAGGCGCAACATCGTCCAGGGGCGGTTTCGGTTCAGCACGAGCCACATGATGTCCAATATCCAGCACACTGAGAGCTTCCGCGGGAACATCTCCGTATACTGCTATGTTGGAAACTTCTATTTCTATAGCTACAAGAATCCAGGGCTCCATCACAGTGTACAAAGGGATGGACAAGGGTCGAGCTGACCGGCTATTCGATGATGCAGGAAACGTCCATGATATAACCTCGTTAAATTCTGATCCTCCGAGCGACTTCATCAATACTATGACTGGACTGGGGATTTACTTCACTGTTTGTCAGGAGCTTGCAGTAAAATATGCTTGTTATATAAAGCACAGAGACAACGTAATTGCGGTCGTCGTCGTCCGTGCTACAATCCCCAACTCGGCCATTGAATCTTTATCCTCGGCACAGCTACAGAAGATATTCTGGCCAAGTTATAAGTGGAAATCCCTGATTTATCACTCCCGCAGAGGCCTAAAGCTTCCATCTGATCTGGGCAGGAGTTTGAGGGACGCCATCCTCATCATTGGAACGATATCAACTAGGCCAAAGCGCGTTTATGACAGAATGGATGGTCCCGAAGAAGTCACTGAAGATCACCTTCTGAGGGACAAAAACGGCAACCCAGCTATTCAATACGTATTTCGTGGTGAATCAGGCGGCGAGTTTTTCATGCAGCATATCATGCGTAGTATGACGGTACATGCCATGACGACCAGAGAATACATAAGTTGGTACCAAAACCGTAGCGCATACCCCATACATAACGAGAGCCTACCGGAGGCTCCTTTTGCTAATATGGGAGAATCCGCCAACAGACCCTAATAGAACCAGCTAGGAACATCGCGGTCTCTTCACAAGCCGACCTCCGACCCTCCTGGGCTACCTACTAATCAGCAGTGGGGAGGGTTATGTCGGCGGTGTTATAATATGAGGATCGGCTGAAGGGATTTGTCCCTCGCGAGGGATATCTACGTAGGCCTCGGGGGGGGGGGGGGGTTGAATCTACCAGTATGGACTGCACTGCGGCGTTCCAAGGCTAAAACGGGAGTCGCATCGGGTGACCTGTACGTCTCCGTCGTTTCACCATTCACCAAGTTCATGGAAGGGGCGTGAACGACAAGAAGGGCGACTTATATGTGTGGGAGGCATATTTATAGGAAAGGAATGTGCCGTGGTGGAATTTGTAGGAGATATGGATCCATAAATTGTGGTTCATACTTCGACCTACTCCTATGTTAACTACCTACATATAGAGGTTATCACGATGCGGACCTAGCAGGAATCTTCTCCCTGTAGAGCAACTTTGATGGACTGAATTCCGATCCGATCGGGATTCCAACAGCTAGCCATCCGATAAGATAGACGTCTAATAGGGCCATCTATTTTTGATATCAAGGGTCTAATACATTTCATACCGCAATATTAGAGTGGTTGAGTAGAGCGGTTTAGCTAATGTGCTAATATGGGGCGAATGGGTCCACTTTTGGGAGCATGTCATAGAAATTTTGCGCAGATCCAATTATCCCCTGCTCGAAGATTTCAGAGTTGCGTGATTGTTAAGGAGACGTTTGGAGTGGTCAATTTAGTGCTCTTCTACGAATAATTAGAAGAGGTATATAGTAAGTAGCAATAGGTGTTCTGATGCATGAATATCAATTTGTTATTTCAGGAAATCCAACATGGGAGCTTGTCCTCCCCCCTATTTGAATTTGAACCAATCATGCTGCGCGCTGCTGTCACTATATATACCCCACCGTGCATATATTAAAACACAGGAAACTGAAGCTACGTACCCCACCAAACAAGTTCGGTTGAACTTGGAAAAATATTGATCCACCTTGGTCTTTTTTCTGCGGATTGATCAATCAAATCGCAATTGGAGCTCTAATCCTCAGAAATTCACACGATCTCGACGCCCAACTCAACAATCCTAGAGCGTACACTGCACCGTTTCAAAGTCGTGGAGATACAAACTCAAACGGCCTTGCCGGTGCTTAGAGTTGACCTCGACAGTGCACGACGAAACGTCAAGTACGAACCATACCGTCGGGAGCGCAGCGAAACCGAAGAGGGGGAAATTGGTGGCTACCGCGCCTCGTGATTTAGGGAATAGGAAGTCAACACCAGTCGAAGTCTAGGATTTGGATGGCGAGCTACCCTCAGCTCTAGCCAGCGACCCCAGGAACGAAACCCAACCCCAAAAGCGACTCCGACGCAACCCTCGCCCACGATGTTCACACCCACCTTCCGCAGCCTCTTGACGAGGCTGCCCTCAACCTCAATCTCAACGAATCCCCTCACCAGCCTCCTCCCGCGCGCTTCTCTCCTCTCGCTCACACCAACCACCACCACCTCCTCCGCCGCCAATACTCCATCCCCCGCCGCCCGCGCGCTACACACCACGCCCCGCCACAATGCGAAACCCTCCCCCGCAGGCACCAAGCCAAAGGGGGGCGGGCGCACGAAGCGGCAGCGCAAGAAGGGCAAGGGCGAAGGTCCGGACCCGCGAATCGTGAACCTGAAGTCGTCGATGCCGCGCGCGGTCCCCGCTCCCTTGCGGTTCGCGCGCAACCGCGCCCTGCGGCACTGGACGATCCACCGCGCGTGGCTGCTGTACCAGCGGAAGGAGCGGGAGAGGGAGGAGAGGGAGTTGGAGAGGTATGTGTTTTTTCTTTCTTACTTACCTAACCTCTTTTCCAATCTATCTACGAGATATGCTTGCCATGTCTGCCAGGTTTGAGTGTTTACTAACGGCGGGTATATGTAGGATGTACAACTCGATGCACACAACCTGCGAGGCGCTGCGCAAGATGAGCGGCCCCGGGTCCCGGCCCGAGGGCTACCTGTACCGCGTCGCGATGGAGAAGAAGGGCGTGTACGACCACGGCGGCATCCCCATCGAGTACGCGAGGGCGCAGACCGAGACGCCGGCGCGCGAGCCCTGGAATCACGGCTGGACGCGGTGATGAGCTGTTCTACACACATACGTACGTACCTACATATGTACGTAGTAGCTAGCTACACGGAGGCAGGGCATGCGAGTTGCTAAATTTAGGAAGACGCTGTACCATAGGCCGTTCTCGAGCATGCAGGGGCTTAGGAAAAATATATCCGGATGCATTGGTGTAAGGTTCTCGCTCTACATACACAGCCATACTTGCGCACATAACCTACCTACCTATCAACTTACTGTACCTACGTTAACTACACGTTCGCATGATGTATCACATCAATATTTCACAATTTGTTTTTGCTATCCTCGTTTTCACCTTGTTTTTAGTTCTCCGCCCAGCTCGCCACGCGGTCTTGGCGTTCCCAGATGTGGAGAGGGCGAAATCAAGCCGATCGTTCGATCCATCTAGATACGAGCGCCCCGATTCATAGCCGCGGGTACGGGGGCATTCCGGTTTAGGGAGGTACGTAAAAGTTTACGGAGCCGCCGGAGGCAAAATCCCCATCTACGAACCAAGCCTACCAGACTACAAACCTGTCTCGTCTCGCGTATATTATTAAGTCTTCCATGTTCGAAGCAGGTCCCAGTATGAAGGAGGCGGAGCGGTCGGGAAGAGGACGAGAAAAGACCACGTTTAGCACATGTGCATGTTCTACGCAGAACATGGACATGAAAGGTAATCATCATAACAGACGCTTGGTCTTAATTCGGCTCTTTTCTATTCATCCGTGATTATGTCTTCGCGATAGATAAATAGCTGTTTGGAAATTTCTTAAGATCGCTTCACAATAATCGGTTCATTCAGTCAGTCTGTTCCAAGCTAGATAGACAGATAAAAGAGCCTCAGGCTCTCGTAAATCGTGCAGGTAGGTTTCATCTGTAGGCGAGCGAAAGTCCAGGTGTCGCGTTAAGATATCTCTTCGACACTCTCGATAGATGGTATATGTAGATATGCAGGTAGATAATGTGGTCGTGATGCTTGCTGGGTATGTAGTAGTGTAGTCGAGTCCTCGCAAGCAGCCTTTTTCGCCTCGATATTGGTGGGTTTGGTGGTAGATCTCTGCCCCCCCTATTGCTTCTTTCCGGCTCGCAAGCTCCTAGTGGCGCCCCTACCTCTTCCCCCCGTTCATGCGTCTCTCCTCTTCTCACGTCCCAAGATGATAACAAAGGAAAGCGAACTATCCAAAATGCCATTCCCGCTAAACTCCCTTCGGCTCCGGTATACACCTCTTTTTAGTCGTTTCGCGGAAAACTCGTCGTCGCGTTCTTCTCCCCCGTTTCTATACCGCTGTATCGCATCGCGTTTGTGCTGTCTCATAATATGACGCAGCACCCGGCGCCCTCTCCTTTTTCGAAAGTAAGCAAGGCGGCGCGGGTCGCGGCCTCGAAGACGTCGTCGACACCCTCGCCGCTAAGACTCGAGCACTCGAGATATTTTCGCGCGCCGATTTCCTGTGCCGCTTGCTCGCCCTGCCGTTCCGTCACGAACTTGAGACTCTTCTTGCGCATCTCCTCGATCGCCACGGGGTCGTCGCGCAGATCCTTCTTCAGGCCTACTAGGATGATGGGGACCCCCGGACACCGCTCCGTCGCTTCTTCTATCCACTGTTTATCTCCTTGTCAGCTGGGGTTCTCATTCCTCTTGGTTCTTTTTAGTTCGTTATGAACTTTTTTTTTCTGTGGATGCCACGCCCTTCCTTCGCAAATCGGGATATGATGTTCGTGGGACAGGGGGTTAATGCCTGACCTTGTGTTTCACATTGTCAAGTGAATCCGGCGATTCGATCGAAAACCCTATCAATAACACGTGCGCCTTCGAGTATGCGAGCGGTCGCAGTCGTTCGTAGTCTTCCTGGCCGGCGGTATCCCATAGTGCTAATTGTACCGACTTGCCGTCTACTCTGCAGTCTGTGACATAGTTCTCAAATACGGTCGGGATCTGTAAAAACAAGGGAGAACGATTTCGTTAGTTTCGTCGACCTTCTTGGTAGGACGTCCTTAAATGTCTGCTTACGTAGTGCTGTGGTATGACGTGTCAGCAAGGTGCATGCAACAAAGGATCAAGTAGAGGGACGAGCGAGCGAAAAGGAAATATAGACGTACAGTTGGGAAGTATCCTAAGGTGAAGACGCTCAATAAAGAGGTCTTACCACAAGCTCCATCGCCGATGATGACTAGTTTCCTATATAAATCGATTAGTAATGCTTAGGTGCATACGAGCGCAATGTAGTAGTAGCCGACGATGGTAGGGGGCCGTGAGAGGGTTGTCGCGCGCTTCCATAAGGCCGGGCCAGAACAGATCACGAGCGCGGAGGGAAGCGTTCGTGGTGGGTGTGATGATAACTCAAAGGTAGCCGAAAAGGGATCGTCGGTCGAATTGAACATACCTACGAATGACATTCTGCGGATTCGAACTCGCCATTGCTCGATGCAAATGATAATGTCAATTCCGACCTTCTAGCTTAGTTCTCGTCGTCTGCTATGATCGCGGAAACGGGAAACGGAGTGCTCAGACTCGTTTTGCGTTTTTGACGCGTGGACTGGCGGCGAAGGGAAAGTTTGTTGTCGCTGTGCCCAGTTTCCGGTCCGTCACCTCGTGGGTATGTCCGAAGTACTGTATGTAAGCGTAGATAGGCCTCCAATGGTTGATAGAAAAGTCGACGCGAGTCTCCCTAAGGTTGACCTAGAGCGAGCTTTCAGTGTCGGCGTCGGGTGTTAATCACAAATAAACTGTCGTCGATATAGGCCTTTCTAGAATTTCCGAGAGTGGTACGATGACTTCTCTTCTCGAATTTCTCTTTAATTCCTGCTTTTAACAATTCTCTGGGTTTTCCTGTTGTTTAAAATATGTTCAGGATAGAAAAATTATTTGAATACGAGCGGCCTGCGCAGAGCCTAGGCAGAGCCGGGTTTCGCGGTAGAATTTAAGGCCTCCGTTAAAGGATTCAGTTCTTAGTCCGTGTCGGTACCCCCTGTAACTTGGGATTCAGCTTGAAAAACGAAGCGATGCTATTGGTCAGGTTCGTTACCAGGACGCGAAACTGCCCAGCTGTATTAAACAAATCTATCCCAGCAGGCCCGTGAAATTTAGGGATAACTAGGAGGAAGGAGAACCACGCTTGAGCCTCTGATCGTTTTATATAAGAGATTCATCCGTTTGTAGCAGAGCATACATCTGTACTTGCTCAGCGGACATAACTATTGTCCAACACAGCATACTGAGCTGATGCAAAAGCTGCGAGATGCCGCCACTCAGCTGTAAGCATGCCAAACCGCCAAAGACTGCTACGTTACAAAGGTGCCGGCTCTATCAGACTCTTCTGACAGTGCCACAGCATCAACTAGCTAACAAGGCACTTCGCAAGTGCAATTCTCGGTCCAGCGCGATTGGTTTGATATAACTCGATACGGACTGGTGAACGCCAATTAATAACTGGTGACTGAGTTGTCCGCTAGACAGCTAGATCGTAAAATTACGGGGAGCCAGTAGGGATTAAGAAAAGGAGAGTCTCGACTTGTTCGTCATTCGGCCAGTGGGCTAACCGGCATCACCTACATATGGATGTACGCAGTATGTTGCGGAGTTCATCTGATGATTCGATGTGGACCCCAATAATGCGCAACTTGTGTCCTTGAATCGCTAACTTGGCTGACTTTCCCGACCTTTGATAGCCTATGTCAGTACCTATATACGTACGTCGGTAGACAAACTGTTTAAGCTACCGATTCGTCCAGTTTTGTCGACGTCGAGGAATCGAATCAAGGCTAGCTTCAACCAAGCTGACCGCTTCCGTCCCCACGCGCGTGGTTGATTAAGATCGTCCAACGGGCTGCATGTCTCAGCATGAAAAGATTGGGTAGTGCATATTTTTACTGCACAATCCCACAATCCCCTTTCTCGACCCAGTTGTCAAGTATGATCAATGACTATGTCCTACCGCACCACTTGAGCAGATCATGGAGATATATCGAACATTAAATCATCGATTTGACGTGATTGGGCCGGTAATAGCTAATAGCGCTAGTATTGCTAGTATTTCCTGATGATGCCTTTTGGTAAGTCGCGTCAGGTACACTCGTCAACTTGGTCCTTAGGTAGTCAGTTATGACGATGTAGCACCGGGTCGCTGTAAATGTTTTAGTGATATTACCTAGCAATGCTAGTTATGAACGGTCCCTATTGAATTGGTTCGCTGTCGATAGCTAGGCGGACTAGGCACTCCAATCTCCAGTGTTATGGAAACACGGGGTCTAGATCTCAGTAAGAGCACGCCTGTGTTGTGTTCTGTGTTCTGTTGCAAGGCCATGGAGTATTGCTGAAACCGTCGAGATGTTTGGGAGTCGTTGATGTGCAACCCCTTTAGGACCTTTTAGGGCCTTTTAGGACCCATTAGCACATGGTACGGGGAGGAATGTGAATGTGTTGTGGAGAAAGGCATCCTGGACCTGATTTCAGCCTGCTGGATGACATCTGAATTCTCAATGGCAGTTATCCATAGTGAGCCTAAAATAAGCGAATAAGCATAAGGCATATTTTATCTTTCATCTTTCTCATAGATAATTCTCCTTGCTGGTTCACCTCGCCTAGATCATCGATTGCCCAGTGATGCAGGCTCTAACGAAGTTCGAAGTTTCGAAGACCCAATCAGCTGTAACGCCCATTGAAGCCCTGTTCAGCATTCGCAAAATGTTATGACATCCAGGTCGCAAGTTCGAGAGTAAAAAAAAGGACAGGGGAGAATCAGATGCCATCGGGAATAACAAGGCTAACTCAGGCCATCAAGGTGTTTTGACATTGGTTCTCAATTGATGAGACAGATTTGTTCATTTTCTGGTTGCTCATGTTCACTGTCAGTCCCAAATGATGGAGGGGCATTGCGATCATGTGACTTGAAACTACACGTTAATGTAGGTAGGTAGTTGGTACTGGTTGACCGACCGCCGAACTGGGGCTGATGAAGGTGAGGGCTGGTGAGGGCTACCCAGTGGTGAGGCTGTGGAAGGGGTACCTGGGTACCATATTACCGTAGCGGCCACGGCGGTTTGACCTGCCTTACATAAGGTCCTTCCCAGGCTAGCCAGGCGCAAGAAGGGAACCGACCCAATAGCACCAATCGATAAAACGCACCTGCCCAATCACAGCCAATAGACGGTACGTACTTTGGAGATTGTACCTGCCTACCTGAGATTTCGACGTAGGAAAAGCCAGAAGTTTAGAACTTTAGAACTCTAGATTCAGAAACGCCAACAACCAAATTATTGCTGATTACACCGAAGCCTCCTTGAATCAACAAACAACCTTCTCACGGTGATCAGCCACCGCTCCGGATATTATTCCGCTTGACCTTCAACATATTTACGTGGCTACAGCAGAGAGAATACCCTAGAATAAAACTTGCCGCATCTGCTGAGGATTCGGACCCGTCGCCAATTTCCCACCTTGGAGAGGGGCACCGACGGCGAACTTGGCTTCGCCAAACAAAGCACCGCTACTCATCCAGCCAATAGACCTCCGTGCAATCTGCTTTCTGGCATTGAACCTACCCATAGGACGAAGTGACTTTTGATATCGAGCTATTTGACGTGGAGTTTCTCCTGGTAGTAGATCGCACATGACTCCGTCGACTATATTCGCGTCATAAATCACCTCCCTTTAGATACCCTTTCGGACACCTAGGTAGGATGCCTGCGAAAAACAACAACCGACAACCAGCCGCACAGGCTCCTACGCCGGCTGCTCCCAAGGCTACCGCTAAATACACGAACAAGGACGGAACAAAGTACATTTCCGTTCCCAAATCCTCGGCGTCTACCCCCCCTGCCCAGCCGTCTCCGACAACCACGTCATCCTCAAGAGGAGGTGCCCCGACTAACCCCCCGCCCGTCGTCGATGTGCCTCCCGCGCAGCCCGTAAACCGCAAGAAACAGAAACGGCGAGCGAAAGCTGCTGCTAAGGCTGCTGCCGAGCAAGCTGAAGCAGCCGCCAACGGACTCCCCAGTCCAGCCTCCACAAGCAGCGCGGCGCTACCTGCTATACCCGAGTCGCAGAGGAACGATGTGCATGATTCCCACAATGCTTTGCTAAACGATGTCCACCTATCTCATAATCATACCCACAATGGCGAAGATTGGGGAGAGGAAACAGAGAGCGATGATGGCCACGATGATCTCAACCAAAGCATGAACGGATCCATGCAAAAATCCAAGAAGTCCAAGAAAAAGAAGAAGAAGGCATTAGGTGAAGAGACGATCCATGCCAACCACTCCGGTATATCCAAAGAGAAAATATGGAACACGTCTGGCCCAGAAGAGCGTGAACGAATAAAGCAATTCTGGTTAGGTTTGGGCGAAGACGAACGTAAATCTTTAGTGAAGGTGGAGAAAGATGCTGTTCTCAAGAAGATGAAGGAGCAACAGAAACACACATGTAGTTGCACCGTCTGTGGGCGCAAGCGAACAGCGATTGAGGAAGAATTGGAAGGTCTTTACGATGCTTATTATCAAGAGCTAGAATCATTTGCGAATCAGCCTCATAACCACCCGAATGCGCCGCCTATGTTTTCGCCTAAAAGGTTTGGACCCATGACTGGTCTACATCCTCCTGGGGCCCTACCGACCCGATACCCGAGCCATCCTCAATCTCACAGCCGCATTGTAGAGCATGTGGACGACGGCGAGGATGACGAGGATGATTTGGAGGAGGGGTATAGCGACGTCGAGGGTTTGGACGATGAGGAGGACGAAGACGAACCAGAGGAGATACCTCGCGACCCGTATCCCAATGATTTCTTCAATTTCGGCCAAAGTCTCACGGTCAAAGGTAAGCCAGAGTTCGTTAAATTCATACGTAAATTCAACGTGTATGAATAACATGATTTAGGCGGTATTCTTACTGTAGCAGACGATCTACTCAAAAATGATGGCAAGAAATTCATTGAGATGATGGAACAGCTAGCCGAGAGGAGAATGGCCCGCGAGGAGGACTCCAAGGAACACTATGCCGGAAGTTATGGTCACAGCGTTAATGGCGCCTCTATACCTAATCCTCATAACCACCCTCCTCCAGAAGATGACGACTTCGAGGAAGACGAAGAGGAAGAGGAGGACTATGACACCCAGGACGAGGATTACGAGGAGGAAGAGGTATCTAGTAGAAGTCCCATGGGGATGTATCCTTAGCTAATTTTCTACAGGATACCATGACAGAAGAGCAGCGCATGGAAGAGGGCCGTCGAATGTTTCAGATATTTGCTGCGCGCATGTTCGAGCAAAGAGTCTTGACGGCATACCGAGAGAAAGTCGCCAGAGAACGACAGGAGAAACTCCTCGAAGAGCTCGAACAGGAAGAGACACAGAAGTCTCAACAAAAGGCCAAGAAGGCAAAGGAAGCTCAGAAGCGAAAAGACAAGGCGGCCCAAAAGAAGCAACAGCAGCTTGAGGAAAAGGCTAAGCGGGATGCTGCCAAAGCGGCAGAGGATGCGGCCCGCTTACAAGAGGAGGCTAGAAAACTCGAGGAAGCCAGAATCAAGGCTGAAGAAAAGCGCAAGAAGAGGGACGCGCAGAAGAAGGCCGAGGAAGAGGAACGGGTGAAAAAGGAGCAGGAACGACAGCGACGCGCTCAAGAGCAAAAGGATAAGCAACTGGAGCTGGAGCGAAAAGCCCGTGAAGCGAAAGAGCGTGAGAAAAAGGTCAAGGATGAGCAACGACGCAAAGAACAAGAGGCGCGCGAACAGAAGGAACGCGAGACTCGAGAAAGGAGAGAGAAGCATGAGAAAGATAAGCGGGATAAGGAATTGAGAGCGGCTCAGGCTAAGGCGGAACGGGATGCCAAGGAAAAATCAAAGCAGGAAGAAAAGGAAAAAGCGACAGCTAAGGTCGCGACTCCTGTTGCACCTATTCCGACGCAACCGGCAAAGAAGCAGCATCCAATCTCGATTCCCGCAATTCCTCATCAACATCCGACTAATCATCCGTCTCCTCAGATCGCCGTTGCGACACCTGCTCTACCTAAGGCTCCGACGCCCATAAAACCTCGGTCCACTTCTCAAGAAGTAACAAGATCGGTTTCACAGGCTTCCCATTCCGCTTCTGTTCCCAGCCAAAATGCGTCGCCGCACACGTTGACTCCGTTGCATACTAGTCCCGGTCCTATAGGTCCCCCGAGGAAGACGTCTAACGGACCAATCGGTGGAGGACCCCCGACCATTCAGCCGGCATCTCCTCTGCATGCAGGCGTTAAGAGTCCACCTGGTTCGCATCAGACGCCGTTCAACATGGGGCTGCCAATGGGAATACAGTATCCACCTGGAATCCTGCCGCCACAATTTCCTCCAGGCTTCAATCGGATGGATCCTATGTACCCACCACCCCCTGTAAACTTTCGCCCCATGGGGATGCCAGCACCGCCGGGTTTTTCTGCGCCTAGTCCTATGGGTGGCCGGGCCTTCCCAATGCCACCACATGCGCCGCCTGGATTTCATCAACCCTCAGAACAGCCTCTTCCCGGTATGCATCATCAAGGCTTCTCTCCAGAGAGTGCCTCAGGACAGCCTTCATCGCATTCGCGCCAAGCGTCCGCCTCATTTGATGCGAATCCCCTGCCGGGCGGCCCCTCTCAGCCGATCAGCAGACCAGCGCCTATTGGTAGACCTGGAAGCGTTGTTCATGGGCAAAGGAGCCATGACCTATCCGCCGATATCGACGATGTAAGTAATCATCTCGGCAGCAGTGCTTTGCTCGATGATACAGACGAACCTTTTGGTGGCGTCGGCTCTAACCGCCGAGGTACTGCCCCCCCTGGGGCTCGGCCTCCGTTTCCAAGTGCGCCTTTCATAGACCCTTTCGTCGGCTCGCCATTGAACACGTGGGGCCATTCGAGTGTGTTTTCCCCGCCTCCCGGATTTGCTAACCCAGCGTGGCCCCCGAACCCCACGTTCGCTCCAGCTCCCGGCATGCGCACCTCCCAGCCTCGATCCGTTTCCATTCGTCAGATGCTCGTGAGCTCGTGCAAGGATTTGGAAACCCACGCCGCAGATCCAGACGGATATATAGACTTACCTGCTATCAAGGCCCATGTTAGCTCCCTTAGTCTACCAGGACAAGAACCGGTTTCTGAAGCGGAGTTGTTGGACATGTGTGAGACCGAAGGCAACCCCCAGAACGGAGGTGGAAGTTTCGATATCCGACGCGACAATGATGGTAACGTCACTGCTGTCCGGTTCGACGCTGATGGAGGGTCAGCTCCGGCCCCGTTCACCCGAAGTGTGGGAGCACCTGGTGCCGGCGGAATTGGTAGCCCGGTCGTAAGTACCAGCTCGCCTAATCACGCCGCCCCAATCCCGAGAGCTTAGGGGCCCTCTAAGGTTTACTCCTATACTGGGCAGTAATTGCTGGGTTTCGCTGGCCACTAGCAGAAGGGAGGAAACGTTCGACGTAGAGGTTAGGATCATCTTGGGATTACTCTTTGCTCTGCGCGTAAAAGTCGGGGGTGAGTCCGCACTTCTTCGCCAGAGTTGTTTTTTTCTCATGTACCTTTTTTTGTTGGAGTCACTGAGCCGTCGATGGGTGAGCACTCGACAGGCCACCACCACCACTTGTAACCTACTCTACTAGTCTTCTAGCTCGGCTACACATCTTTCTTCCCCCCCTTTTTGGGGGGTTAGCCGTCGAGTCATTCTACTACATCACACCCTATGCCTATGTCTTTAGGACATGCGCGCACGAGAGAGAGGTGAGGCGGGGAAAAGGGATGTGTATTCTCCTCTTCACTGCTCTCGTAAACAAATCAGACACACACCCTGAGTTTAGGACCGTTTGAGCAAAGGTCATTATTATGAATGGGAAATCCTCGTTGAGCATCCGTAATACCGTGCAATGTGTTGAGAATATGTTCGTGAATGCAGTGGACGACACATGTCTTTTCTCGCTTGAGTAGGTGCTTGTTCTTGATGTCGTCTTATCCTATTGGTTGACCATCTACTGTTACAACTTTACGTAAGTAAAACGAGTGGATCTAATAGGGCAGTCCGTAACACTGCGAAAGATGAGGTATTCATGAGAGGTAGGGGTCTTACTGTGTAGTGACAATCAATGTTAACTGTAGTGTTCAATGTAGCGAAGGTTTCAGCAATGGCCCTGTATAAGATTGGGTACGCAATGGGAAATCGAAGTCCCTAACTAAGGTTCACAACAGTATACTATTGGTCTATTAACCGATAATTTCCAATGCCCATCCCCTCAATTGACCTTTTCTGTCCTGGGCCGCTTGGGTTCAGATTCATTGACCTCGGTGGTCTATGAGGACTAATCTAATGGATCACACGTCTGATATTTCACTATAGCTCTCCTCTTGTGATTTCTTTTAGAAAATATCCATGGCTAGAGTTTATTTCGTACCTTCCTTACCCTTCTACTCTTCTACCCTTGCCCCTTAGTTCCCCTGATAGCGACTACCAATCCTCCATATAGGCATGCAGTTACCTCCTTCTCCAAATCATCTCAAAAACTATGATTATAGTTCAAACCGGAGACTGTCGAAAGCTGAAAAGTGCTCAGGCACCAAACAACATATAGTGGAAGGAAAGTCCAATGACCATTTATGCGCAAGTAGTTCTCTGCTCAGCATAAAATCTGCTCACCCCAATATATCATATATCATTCTCTGTTCTTCAACATAATTTGGTCAATATGCGTTTCTGAACACAGCCATTGTTCAAGACGCTGTCTTCATTCACTAATATCAACCTGAAAATATTGAACAACCCCCATCTGTCGGTATAAACCGTTCACAAGCTGGGTATCGGAAACCACAAGCCTCATGCCGCGGCCCTGGAGCCTCCAGGAGATCGGGGCAATTGACGCAGGAGTAACAGTGATGACTCCAAGTCATTGATAGGATACGTGCAAAAGCACAGATAATGCGTAGGCGTGGGTACCGACTCCGTATATAGTTGGCATGGTAAGGGAACTACTTTATATTTCCTCAAGTCAAGGCAGTCAATCGAAGTACTATTCCACTAATTTCTATAGGTATTAGTTAGAGGCAGCAGACGCCACAGCGCTCAGACGTGCTGTCTTGACGGATTGGCAACATTCTGTCAATTTACTAATATTCAACTGACAGAACATCTCCGACATTTGAGACAACACAAGGAACACAACAAGGTAAGATAACCATGCTTTTTCAAGATTTCTTAAAGTTGGCTGACCAATGAAGACCGCTTCAAACTAGATAGTCCAGGACATTCAACAGATTAGTTTGTCACTCACTAGATCTACCTCATCACGACCCTTGTGGGCTGCTGGGGTGATATTAGGCAACTAGTAGACAGCACCCAGTTCAATCTGTTTTCAGAACGACAATCTTTCGCCATTTTACAGTCGCAGCTCAGCAAGCCCTCGTACCTCGTACATTGGGATTTCAAAAGACAGGTGTTCATTAATGTCGATGCATCGAAACAAACAGGATTTGGTGTAATGATATTTCACCCGGACGAAGATTGGCACGGTTAACGCATCAACCCCGACAAGGTGAGACCAATCGGATATTACTCTAAGGTCCTGACGAAGTCAGAAGCACGATACAGCATACCCGAGCTTGAAACTGCGTGCTTGGTATAGTTATACAAACTGAACAGGATTTGATTATAGTCGTGCGAATTGCCAATTCAAGTAATAACGGACCACCAGTCAATGATCGGCATTATGAACCAGACTTCGCTGAAGACATCAAACCTAAATAAAATGAATCCAAGGCTTATCGTCGCCTCCACATACCTGTCACAGTTTGACCTGCGGGTACATCATACTCAGAGGACGTAGAGAGGTATAGACAAGTGGGAGGATTGGTAATACTCATCTCTATACCTTCCCCATGACAAGCTTGGGTATACACGCTAAATACCACGCACCTATCATGCTATCTTGGAAGAGCTACGTTAAAGGCAGAAGAGACGATAATCCACGCCTAGGAGATAGCACGGTCTTTGCCACTGCATTAGAGTCAAGGGGATGGATTCAAGGGAATACGGCGCGAAGACGGGAAGGCAAAGAACCCCGACTTCCTGGGAAAGGGGCATGAGACGAAGATACCTTGGCGGACGACGCACAAGGAGGAAGGGGCTGTGCTAGGCTGCGGGATCTCGCGCGCAGGCCTTCGCCCCCGGCACGCACGTATGCCGGATCTGCGACCGGACCTTCGATCGAGCCGCCAAGTTGAAGCGGTTTCTTGGGGGAGTAGTCCACCCCACGGGAGTAGATCACCTTGAGAAGGACCACGTCGCCAGCAGCGGTGTCACGAGGCGGAACTAAAGAAAGGGAGACAATAATGTTTTTATGCGAGGAGCTCTAAGCCTTCTCGGCTAGGGACTATGGTATACATGCAGGCGCTAGTAGAAGCTGGTTGCAAGTTGCCCAGATATAAGACAACAAGCCTCTTGAGAGCACAGGACACGGTTGGCGTCGTATCCTGCGGGACATCAAGCCTCACGTCGGTGTGGACGTGTTGTGATCAACATGATCGGCGGGGGGTTTGGCGAGCCTGGCTGTTCACGGGAGCAGCCACCGACCTCGTTCCAAAGATTCTTCCCAGCATGTCCTTCGCCGAAAGGCAAAACGGCGGGAAGCCAATCAACTTCCACCTTTCGAAGGCAATGGAAGGGACAGGCAATGTCATGATGAGAGAGGATGCCTGAGAACTGGTTGCGAGTTGGCTTTGCCTATCTGGACGATGCTTTGCCGGAAGATAGCATGGAGCTCAGATACATGAGTGAGAGTGAGAGAAAGTGTGGATATTTATGTTCCAAGGTCGGTTGGATCTTAGAGTTTGTATGTTTAGGGGTACGTTCATGCTCTTAATGTATTGTGTTTTTGTCTGTCTGGGGTGTGGGCGCCTCTTGTCCCTCCCTAGTAGGTACGGAAATGGGCCACTGTCACAGGGCAATTAGGCAATCCATCCATATAGGCAATAGCCCTGTATTATGTCAGTTGATATCTGGCACTACATTCTATAGAAGCAACGCTCCTGTTTTCTTAATAGGTCATTCCGTTCACTATTCTAGATATCCGGCACCCACAGACTGTGTGACAGCCATACTACGGCTGACATCCTGAAGAACTCGGGCCAAAAGTTCCATAGCTGCTCGTAAATTCTTGGAACTCTTTCGAGATAATATAAAAATTTGGAGCCCCAACCAATCTTGGTTTTTCTGGTGATTTCAGACCTAGCCAAGAATACGCGGGCTCAGGTGAGGATTTGTGACCAAAGAGATCAGTAGTCCTTCTTTTAGAGGAAGTTATGAATAAGACAAGAGCCGTAACAACTCGAACAACCTCAAACCGTGATCTTGCCAGTCACGATTGCTGTTGCCAATGTATTCTCGCATCCTTGCAGGACGTATATGACGGTATAGATTCTTCAAAGAAGCATACATACGTGAACCAACTGAACCTCTCATGCGGTGTTGCTATCATTTCGGGAATCACAGCATGCGCGAAGTCCACTTTTGCGAAGTGCTTGTTGTTGATCCACATGGTTTCTTCGCTCAACGTGAATATCTAAGTAGCGAGCTCAATGCGGGAGAGCCACGGCCTATCCTATGGTCACTCACTAGCGTCAGAGGAAGCGAACACCTAGATAAGTTATCTGGCCAGAAAGGACAAAGAAGCGCAGGCGTTCATACGATTGGAGATGGGGTTCTAGTATGGCAGAGACCCCTTAGGGTTACAGACGTCTAGTTTGTTGGAAGAACTAGTAATTAGAAGAGTAGTCGCGAGTTCAACACGGCCTGCGCCGACGGGTTCAAGAGCCATAGGACCTGAATTTATACACTCTTCGTTGTACGTAAACGCCTTCTTCTCGTCCCAAATGTTGAAACCCTTAAGCTACTCTCGTAATAACTCGGTGATAACCATAATCGAAGTCGGATTCGAAACTATGTAGACTCAAATAGGATATTTCGTCTTCTCATTCGTGATATTTTTAAAGTTTGTTCATGAAGTCGACGATGTGCTCTTCTATTGACAAGGGCACGGGCGTGCCATCTTCAGATTCTCATCCCATGTCCGGCGGACGCTAATGAGTCGGCACCCAGGAGCAGACTAGGTCATGGCTTCGGATCATGAAGTAGCGGTCCTCCATCTTGCCGTTGCCGTGAATGGTGAAAGATCTGGTTGTATATCATGAGGTAAGTATGATGGAATCTACCACTATTCTTCTGAGATGAGCGCAATGTCGAAATTCGAGCAGAAGCTTATCAGTCACGTCCAACAAACAACTACTTACTATCAATTACAACTCTGAGTGACACGGCAGGTATTTCTACCTATGCAGTGCCATGTCAACACTGGCTCACAGATAAGGTCCAAACGCCACTCAATCTTGAATGTTTTGATGATATTACCATCTCAACTTGTTTATCTTCGATATTGTATAACTAGATAATGTGCAGTAGTTGAAACAAGAACTAGAACCGTAAATATAACATTTGAACTTTTCTACATTGGATTATTCTAGGTCTAAGCCCCTTTTGGCCGGAAGTCTCGGCTCAGCCACGCTTGCGCGCCAACTCTTCAGCATGAGCAGGGAGGTACAGCCTTAAATTACCCGATTTGCTCTAGTTAGTTTGCTGTAAGACTATTCCTTGCAAGCAACTTATCTGATTATCTGCTATCTACCGGGACATATGCATGTAACAAGCAATGCCAAGGACCCAAATTGGCGGCGCTGGAGCTGAAAAGGGGGTCTCCCACTTGGTGGCATTTGGCCTGAAAATTTTAATACTTGCATAGTCTTTGCACTGACAGCACTTACGAATCAGTTAATGCGATGGTAATGTGCGATACAACTTGTCTCATAGGCTACCTCATCGTCCCACGTTACTTCGAGATGATGATCTCGAAGCTTGACAGGCAAAGAGTATCTCCAGGCCGATAATGAGATCGGCGTAAGTCAAAAAGGCAAGCAAGCAAACAACTATCGCCAGCCCGCTTCATTTCAGACTTTTCTAACCTGATAGAATTGTACGACCAAACTTAATACACCTTGTCTGGCAAGATCGCTTATCTGTTGATTGAAGTCCTACATGTCTCTGGCCTCTAATTGGATTACCGGCGCTTCTTCTTCAAACTCAACCAATGGATGAACGAGACCCTTGAAGACTGCGCCGAGCTGCGGGCCGCAGTGATTCGATTTGTCCCGCGTTGTTGCGCCACGGTGTATCTCTGTATGTACGGTAAGCAACCAAAATAGATGGAGAGGTTTCAATTTACCAAAGGGCTCAAAATCTCATTTGCCCGCCCCAACCTCCACGCGTCTTTATGTACTTAACGGCTAGCTGATTTACCGTTGTAAGTTGTGCTAAGTGTCGCTACCCGACCTGGTTTTGACCAACTGTAGAAGACCTGCAGAAGTGCGCAGCTAGCTTTGATCCTCCCTAGTCATTAGACCCTTTAGGCCCTGCCCAAAAGACGACCCTGAGAAGCATCGCGACGGGGCTAGACTGACTAGCCTAGCTGCATCTGGACTGCCGCTTCAAGCATTTTCTTACCAAGTACATATTCAGCCGTACATCCGTCCATTCTCGTCGACCCAACTATTTTTTCTTCCCTTTGGCTCTCTGAAGTTTTTTATTTCCTTCTCCGTCGTCTTCCCTGCGTCGGCCTCGGTACGTACATAACAACTTTCGCGTGGTTTCACGAAGTGCTACCGGGCTTTGACTACCTGCTTGTTGTTGTGTGATCTACACCCACACAAGACGATTGAAACCTGAGAAGGAGAAGACATCGGAATAGCGGGATAAGGTCTACTCTTAGCTTAAGGCCATAAAAAACCTAATAGCCGACTTCGGAATCATCGAGATCGATCCACCAAGGTTTTTTTCGACAAGAGAGCTCGATTTGAAGACTCTGCTCTATATCGACGATACTTACCTATTCGGGTAACTTACACCATCAAGCTCTCGACTGAGTCTCGTCCCCAGCTCAGTCCGGGAAGGAAAACCACCCCGTTCTTACGTCCATCGTATTATCGCCATCTTCTCACCTCTAGATCCTCATTTCGACTATCGCTCAAAATGCAAATCTCAAAATCCTCACTCCCAGCCACCCTCCTACCCCTCCTCCTCCTTCCGGGATCCTCGCTCGCCACAGTCGCAGACCGGTCGTCATGCGTTCACAGTGGCGCCGTCAAGTTCTCCGCGGCCGCCGCCTGCGGTGACAAGGGTTCTCTGGAATACTGCTTCCAGCGTGTGCCCGAGTACGTCGAGATCGGAGACCTGGAGCGCTGCTTCCGGAACGCCGGCTGCACGAACGCGGAGGCGGGCATCGAGGCAACTTTCCTCCTTCACAGCTGCGGTAACGAGCAGTCCGTCGCCGAGCTGAGGCGGCGATCACCTGAGGCTTTACCAGGTGAGACATACTTACCCCTCTAACGAGTTAGAGATTCCTTGGAAATGCGAGAAGCTAACAAGCGCCACCCAATACAGCCCCCAACCCCGCAGACACGACGACCGCCACGTCAACCGATACCAGCACGGCCACGGGCACGACCTCGAGCTCGCTTCAATGCAGCACGGCAACGACAACCTCCACCTCGTCGTGCCCGGTCCAGTCAACGGGCACGGCATCAGGGTCGACGCTGTCGTGCTTCGAGACAACAGTAACAACGTCGGTGTGCGCAGCGGCCAACATCTGCCTGACAGACGACAGCGGCAACGACGTGTGCTTGCTGCGCGACGACCACCTCAGCACGAGCGAGCTCATCATCACCATCTTCCTCGGCGTCTGCTTCGCCGCCGGCTTCGCCACCCTCATCTTCTTCGCCTGCCGCGACAAGCGCGCCCAGCGCAAGCTGCGCGCCATGAAGCAGGCTGCTGATATTGCTAAGACGAACGCCGTGAACGCGACGAGCGCTACTGCCGCCGTGGCTCCGGTTGAGCAGTCCGCGTTCCCGGCGAAGCGAGATGTTAGTCCGGCGCCGGGGAATCCGTTTACGGATGGGTCGAGGTATTAGGATACCGATGCCGATGCCGACTTTTGAGTTTGAGTGTGTGTGTTTGAAGCATTTGGGTATGTGAGATATCTGCGTATGGAATGTGCTCCGGGGCTTAGGATATCATGTGGGGAGGATGACGGGTGTGGCTGAGACCCGCTCAGGCCGGGTCCGGGTTCACCTGCATTGTTTTACGAGCATGGGCATTTAACTACACGAAAAGACAAAGAGGAGTGGAAATGGATATGGGATAACTCGAGTTGAAAACCTGGAAATACGTTGTTACGAAACTTGTTTAGATACCTCGGGATACCGGTGTTATAAAACCTCTACGGAGGCTGTTTTAATATGGAGTATTCCACCCCTATTCTTGTTTCTATATTTGCCCAAGCTATCCTTGACGTCGTCTTTGGGCGTTCTGTTGCGAATGTCACCTTTGGCAAATACAGGTGATTTAATACATTTCTCCTATCGAAAAAAAGTAGACTGGCTAACGCAAGATAGAGGTTGAGTTGACTTTGTTGAATGGGCTATGAAGCAAAGGTCTAACTTTATGAGGATATATGTACCAAAGTCATAGAGATTATCCGTATCTGAGCTGCTGGATGGGCATATACTACGATGCCTTACATGATACATGCAATATCTTCATCCCGTCAAAAACTACCTAAACTACCTAGGTACAGACCATTCTTCGCCGTATCTAACGGATCCACATGGGAAAGCCCCCGAAAGTGATGCTGACGGTCACATATACGCCGATAAAATCGCCAAGATCGACAGGCTTGGCGTGATCGCATCTTTTTTGCCTTCACGAGAAGGTCAACGACATGGTTTCGTTTCAAGATTAGGAAATTCTACTTCAGCAAGTTTAATGGCATTGTCAAAGATCTACGGAAGGATTTTCTTGGCTAGCATGACTTTATGGGAGTCCGCAACCATTTGTTCCGTTATGTGAAGTAGAGCGCCAGCCCTCTAGTAGCCTGTCTCTGTCGCTGTCGCTGTTGCTGCGACTTTTGGAAGATTGATGACAGCGCGCAAGTGACGGAAATGCCCTAAAATATGTGTCATCCTTTGGGGACGAAGCAGTCTCAGACCTTTTCACTGCTCGAGACTCAAATATGATGGGACGGCTTCGTGGGGCTTCGACAACTACCATTCATGAGTTGCCCTCCGGGTTTCCATTCCATCATTTCCTCTTGTAATGTATTGAAGCTCCCAGCCAGGAAGGTTATAATATAACTTTCGCACAAGGAATCAGAATACAAGCTGGGTATAAACGATCTCGCTTAAGCGTACGAATAGATACCATCCAAAGACCTTTCTAGTAGTTATTTGTCTTTCCCATTTATTGTGCCTAGATAATCACAAGGATGAAGTACCCAGCAAACATCAAATAATTAAATGATCATCGCTATATCTCAAGGAAGTGACTTAGTAATTAATTACTGTACTCCCTAATACCATCGCAATCAATATCGCTAATGCGTTGAGTTGGGGTTTACATGGATGATAAATCTAGTCGAGGTTTTATCTAGTCCAAGTGATCGGAAAGTGCCGATAATTACTTGCAGGACTAGAGATTGGATGATGGGATTGGAGATCAACCTCTTATAATAAACTGGTTCATAAACACCAATCATTAAAAACACGAATTGAATCAATTATGAAAATAATTGTTCATTGCTCATACTTAGACGATAATAAAAAGACTAATAACACAGATTATCCTCGGCTAATGAAGCCTCCAATCCAAACCTCGTGCCTATCCCCAGCTCGGTGCGCGCATTGTCGAATAGCATTCGAAGATTGTCGTATGTGAGGCTGTGGGCTTAGCCGTGCTGGACGTGGTGGACGGTGCCGTCTTCTTTGACATGGACGTTCAGACGGTCAGGTCTGAAATCACGAGTTACCATCATTCCCGGCTGGATTATACGGCTTTCCTGCGGGAGGTCCTTCTTGCAGAAATTCTAGACTCATGTTAGCCATAGTAAGACGATGTCCCAGAAAGATTTCACGCACGGTCTCGCTGTGGTCGTTTTCAGACACGGTCTTGCCCATCAGCTTGGTCGTCCACTCCGCAGTCTTGTCCTGGGAGTTATCGGTGATACCTGGGACGACGAGAGGCATTTTTGTGATTGTTCTTCTTTGGATAATTGGATTGAAAATGTCTGGATCTTGTTGGGGTGAAGTTGTAGGTGGAGTATGTAGAATGTCAAAGGGACGAGTGTGTAGACGGGATTCTTAGTTTGCTCTTATAAACTCTACCTAGGCATGCAACATTCCAAGATACGCATGTACTCATGTTTCGCAGCCCGTCGTATGCAATGACGTATTCGGTTTCTTCTAAACAGGGCAGGTAGGCGCCACGAGGTTGTCACGTGTTGATCACTTAGCCTTATATAACCGACGAGCAGGTGCGTTCCGGCACGGTACCTGAGTACCTTGATGGCTTTCAATTTGTGTTTTCGTATTATGTCATTACGGACGTGCAATTCGAACAAGCTTTTCATCTACCTAACTCTCATCTCTTACATCGAACGGAAAGATTGAAGACAAAAAGTGAATCGTAGCCAGAGCCACCAGAGCTGTTAGGTACCTCTGTATCTCCTGCCCCGCTAAGCCGGGAGCAAGGGGATAAAGTTCTAGAGTTTGCCCCGCGCTGAACAGCGACTGCGGGGCACTTCAATCGACTGCCCCTCCAAACTTTCACAAGCTTCATCTTACACCTACCTAGATCTCGTCAACACACAATACCTACCTCTATTTCACCTCTACGATTCGGATCAATTGACCGTAATCCGACACAATGTTCAAAAAAGAGTAAGCCATCCTCCTCCCCTCCCCTCCCAGCTCCCATATCCCACACCCTCAGCCACCAAAACGACACAAAGAGCTCGAAGCTAAACTCCTCCCACCACCACCAGAATAAACGCAGCCCCGAAATCCAAGCTCAAATCCTCCGTGCAGCGCTCCCTCCGCCAATCCCTACTAACGACGTACCCGCTCCTGAACCCCTACATCGACGAGATCCTGCCCAAAAAGGGGTCCCTCGAGGCCATGAAGCTGCCGGACCGGTGCACGCTGTACGTACTAGAGTCCGCGCCCCTCTTCTTCCAGCACGGGACGGATACCCTGCTCCCGCATCTGAGACTCGTGCACCGCTTCCCCGACGCGTTTCCCAGCATACGGATCGACCGCGGCGCCATCCGCTTCGTGCTCAGCGGCGCCACGCTCATGGCGCCCGGGCTGACGAGCGCGGGCGGGAGGCTGCCGAGCGGTGTTTTGGAGGGCCCGCCTGGGGCGGAGGGGGAAGGGATGGACGAGGACGAGCGCTGGACGAGAGAGCTGGAGAAGGGTGAGCCGGTTGTTGTTAGGGCTGAGGGCAAGACGGAGGCGTGTGCTGTTGGGTTCTTGGTCGTGGGTACGAAGGAGGTTAAGGAGAAGGGGAAGGGGCCTGTGATTGAGGATGCGCATTACCTTGGTGATGGGCTGTGGAGACTTACTACGGATTAGTGGAGGGGTAGGGGGGATATGTGGGTGGTAGGGTATTAGCCATGCGTGAGGGCGAAATCCCGGGCGCCGCGAAGAGCGAGGATAGTGGTCTCCTTGGAGATTCAGATGCGAGAGGTGTGATACAATCCGAAGCATCCTACTCCTAATGTGAGGGGCAATATCTGGAGATGGCCTGCCGGGATGAGGTGGGCAAGGTAGCACGATTAATGAAGAAATACTCTACTCGGTTGATATGAATGACGGATGCGTTGATGTGTATTAGAACGTGGCATTGGATTCGCCGCCTACTAGCCCTAGTCTAGATCGCGGGCCAGTCAGCTTGAGTACATATTTGGATATTACATGCCAGCAAACCCCTGGTCCTTTATGAGGTTAAGAGTGATTGATTATCTTCTGCGACAGTGTCATACGAGATATCCTCTGAGCGATTGTATGCTAGAGTTATGCTATCAGGCTACTAATTACCCAAAATATGTTCAAATACATATGTTGACTAATTTGGAATGGTTTCCGGAGGAGTTTTCGGTCGTGCGGAGCCGGCCGACGCTTCGGCATCGGAGCACGAATCCGCATCCAAGGTCGATGGTGGCGGACAAAATTCCACCATGAACACTACATCTCTCTCAAATCAAACCGTATGGTTAATTTTCGAACACGTGGCTGAAAATAATCATTAATATGTAGATACCACTCAGCGGTCTACAGTAAGGGGTTGGATTTCATATCTAACCCACCTATCATCTAAACCGGCCACTTCACTACCTTATCTTTTAATGATATCTCTATAAAGTCAGGAAGGTACTTATCCAGTTCCATCGCGTAAAACAAAACTCAAGTTACACTCCTTATATCAAAATCGTAGTCAAAATGCCAAAATGCTAAAGTTACTGTTATGTAGATTGACCTGAGGTTCAATTTCGATAATTATACTGATAATAGAAAAAAAGGGTTTATTCTATATCAAATGCTTCTCATTCAATAAATTGACTGATATGGTGGGCCCCCTATCGTTACGACTTTCTTTCGTGCAGACAGCGTTGAGTGACAAGGTAGCAACAGGGTCTTTTCTGATAGTATTTTCGAGGCGGCAGAATTGTCAGGGGTCACACCTCCAAGACACAGCTGCAAACCGAAAGGATAACCTTGATGGGAGGGACTTCTTCGGCACTAACATAGCTACCTATATTGTTCTCATGTCTTCTACAGTTTGTCTTCTATCATAAAATGGAACTCATGAGCGAGGAAAAAATGACGTTGTTGCGCGAGGAGCTCACAACTACTCTCACTTATGGAACGCAGTACTTGATGAGATCTACTGTTTGCAGTGACGTCTGGTCCACTTTGTCTGCCTTCTGACCTCATAATCTGCAAGTTGCTGAGGCCGTTCCAACTTTTCCAGTCTTTCCTTTATATATGCCTTCAAATGTCTCCATTCCTCTACTGTGATATCGGTATGCCCATACAGGAAGTTGTCATTGTAATATCCGGATTTCCACCCACCAGGTCTCCCATGGGGGGACTCCGACTCAGCTAGGCCACCATTTGATTGCCTCTCCTCTTCGTTCACCACTATGAGAAAGTAGGTGCGGGGCCGTTTGTGCCAGCCCTCTCGGCACCACCTCATCTCCCTTTGAATATCCTCTCCAGTGACTTCGTCGTCACAGTACGTTCACGCTGAGTTGCTTCCCTCCGCATCCCAATGGCTTATAAGCCGGTGCGCTGCCGTCCCTAAGGATATGACAAATAGTGCAAATAAGATAAGGGGGCTCGCCACCGGCTCTCGAGCCGCTTCCATTCAAGGTGCTTGACCCAACCTCAGTTCCATCGGACTAGTTGCGCTTGAGGGACGCAACAAACGGAATAGGAGAACATTCATCCCAACAGAATGCTACGATTGACCGATTTCGGAACCTTCCCGATTAAGTCTTCGATAGAAAGGCGAGCGAGCTTTTCCGATCATGAAATGTATGTCTTATATCCTTACAGATATATCGAGGATATGGTCGATAACCATTGGAGTTGACGGCAAATTCGCAGAAGCGTGTTATGTTATCAAATGCCGGGAATTTAAAACCACGCTCATAGCGAATGTGAAGGTTACTTGGTTAATGCTGGGGAGATCACCCAACAAGGTAGTGCTAGGATTTAAGCCCAGGACCATATTAAGCAGCATCGAAGTACCGGTAAACATGCCAGACCATGAGACGCTACGCAAACAGTACCAGAAGGAAGCCAAAGCCGCAATGGACTTCGCGTCGGTGGATGCGAAAAGGACATCACTCATTGCTGAGCGGTAGGGTATTGTGTATGGGTTGTTGCCCAAAGGGCAACAGGAGGCAGAGCTACCAATTGTTGGGTTCTGTCAGTAATAGGTCCCTAAGTCAAGCGTAAAGTGAGTGCAAAGGAGCGGCGTAGCCGCTGCTAGTATATAGCAAGTATGAGATGAACTAATAACGCTACTTCTCCTAAGGTTGAAGGGGGCGAAGCCCCCTTCTTATACCTTGCTAACTCGCGCTTGCCTAGCAGGAGGTCCGCAGGACCTCCTTCTAGGCCTGCTCCACTTATGCCCCTGACAGGTTCGTCGAATAGACAATTGAAGAGTGAATAGAATAGTTGATTCTTCTAAGTTCTAACAGGATCTCAAAGATCCTGAGGAATTGATGTTATACGACTGGGGGATGCCAGCAAAGGCGATTTCGGATCGAGACCCGAAATTTATGTCGGAGATGTGGCAATTTCTCTTTTATATGTAGAAGAGAAAATAGTCAAGTCCCGGATCATGAACAGCTCTCTCGTAGTTTTTGGTTTGCAGAATTGGGTGTATATAATCGTATTATTTTCTGAGCGGCTGAACACGTTTCGTTCACTGCAATCTAGAAGAGGTTTTCGATAGTAAGAATCTCTGCCTCTACTAGAGCATAGGGCGGTTCATCTATGTAGAGCCACATATCACTAATTGGATATGTCAGTGTTATAACGATCCTAGAAGGACGGTCAGGAACTAACGGTGTCAGAAGTCTCCTCTGTGAGAGCTGATAGCCAGAGGTCTCGCTAGGGTTAGCTAGTAGCCTAGAAGGATCGGAAGTCGGCTTGTACGAGGCTGCCCTGTTGGTAGTTGGCCCTTGGCTGCAGACAAAGGAAGGTCTATGTATGTATACCGCATCCCCTGGAAGAGAGTAGTTAGAGCTCCTCGCGCAACAACGTTGTTATTCCTTAGCCCTTTGGTTCCGCCTCGTGATAAACGGGTAATTATTCGCCTCCCGTCGAAGTCGTAGTCCATTTTGTGTGCGTAAGGTTTTCCAGGTAGCATAGTTCGCTTATCGCGTGGTATTTTCTGTGGGTTCCAATGGAAAGTATCTCTAAACTTCTTCACTTGATTCAACAATCCCACTGTGGCCCACTCGTCGTGAGCGACTGATGTCTTCGGAATCATTGGGATTCGAGACTACCTTATACCCTAGGATGTAGTATGGCTGACATGGTACCTAGAAGGGACCCTTGGATAAAGAGAAAAGCATGTTGTCAAGAAAATTGACAGTATCCGGAGAGGATATAAAGAAGAAGAAAAGCTTTCCCACGACTGCGTCCCCCAGGCTAGGGGGATAAAAGCATCACACAATTTGATTTGACATCAACCTAGCGAGTATCGGGTATTGGTCACTCGGAAGAGCAGAGAGAAGTGCGACCACAGGAATGAAGATTTCTGGGGCCGCCATTAGCAAACTGGAATGTTGTTATAACCAAATCGGGGTTTATGAATAATTATAGAGTGACTTCTGTAGAATTTAAAAGTAAGAATCATAAAAGAGTCTTTAGGACATAAACACGCTCCGATGTTGTATTAGATTGGAAGTAATCTGAATGAGATTCTTACTGTCACTAGGTATAGAATAAGAATTAGATAGAATAAAGAGGAGAGCAAATTAGGAAAAGCATGAAAAGCAGGTAATTTCATGAAAGTCGTCGCTTGAACTATATTATTTGTGTTCTTTTCTAGGGAACTACACAATTACGCTTGCACAATAATCCTTAATGGTTTTAGGTTTTTCTTCTGTTAATAATCCCTCCAGCGTGCGCTTTCTATGTAGATAGACTCAGAAAGTTTTATAAACTCAGCAATTAAACTTTTGAGAAATTTTAAAATTCTTTCCACGTAGAGGTATCTATTGTCAAAGAGATTACAAATATAGAAGTGGCGACAATGTCCGTGACTTATGGTTTTCAAGCGATATAAGCCATTTTCATCATCTCCTAAGTCCTAATGGGCCCTGCTTTGTCGAGGGGAGTCTAATTTATGATCCAGGGAAGAAGAGCCAAATTTTACCGCTGTTAAAAAGGGGTTATTGAAGAGCGATGCTGACAAAGGGCCTCGCTGAGCCAAGCTATAGCCTAAATAATTCTAGCATCCATAATGCGATGTTTGAACACCATTGAATATAAACCCAAGATATTTTTAGTACCTGTTGAAAGGAAGTGAATTACATTTATAATACCTAGTATTAATAGGTATCAGACTCAAAGGCTTGCTCATTGCCCATTACAAATCCTGTCCAATGACCAGCCCAAGACAGTATCCTACCTAAACACGTTGCAACTTGCAAATAGGTTGATCAATACTTTGAAGTTTATACGCATCTAGCACTTATATAACATAACTAGCAACGTTATTACGAAGAGCGGAAGATTCAAGCACGCGAGGGTCAGTAACCACGAACCCCTGACAATAAGCCTACCAGGCTCGCGACACGACATTATCCACTGCTCCTATTCAGCTCGTCAAAATCCAATCGAAGCGATGAATCAAACTATCTACCTAGGTAGGTAAACACTCAGGATTTAGAACACAGCTTAGACTATCTACGAGTTGAAAGATACGCCTAGCACCCAGTATACTTCCTTCAAAACAAGGCAAAGAGCTTTTTCTCCGGGGCATGGCGTCCACCAGCCCCAGACTACCTGTCGTTAGCATTCTAGGTGTTAGCCAGACCGCATTTCCAAGTCCCTATTCCCTCTCCAATTCGGCAATAAATTCAGCGAGAATGACATAAAGTAGCGGGCCTCGAGACCCGACGACCCACTGTCTCCATTCAAACCCCAGACCCATCAGCCCACTTCCCCAGGTTCATTCTGCATACATACGTCTTCCGTCACGTTACTGTGATGATCTCGCATCCCCCAACTCATCTGGTTCCGCACGCCCGGATTACGTAGGTATCACGAAAAACCGTCTACATCGAAGCTCGACTTTCCCACTCAACTCGTTGTAAACAAATTTAGCCTATATCTTGGCCTCGGGAGCAGCCGATCAACCAACAGACTTGGCGATTGTATTCTTCTTTTTCGGATATAACTAGTCCGACTAGCGGTAGCAAGTCCCGACACTACATACTCCACCCGATCAACGACCAGGATGACATAATTAGGTACGCTAAATTACCTAGTAGAATAAGTAGGTGTACACTCGTATACGTTTTGATCATCTCAGAAATCAACTTTACTGGTACCTTAGGGTTTCTTAAATCGGGCCTACTTCTAGAGCTTGGACAAGTTACGGCAGCTACTAAAGGCTCGCCGTGAAGGTATCCCCATAAGTAGCAGCTGTGCGCAAACAAGGTTTAAGAAGTAGAACACAATATTTGCGGTAGGTGTCCGTGGGCAGGTACCTGTATCATGCCACATAAACATGCAAAATCACTTCACTAATCTCACTGTATTAAATCTCATGAGTTGAATTGAATTGTTTCAATTCTCTAACGTAATGTGGTATCACTGGAAAAAGGTCTATTCCGAAACGAAAGTACACCTCCCAGGCAGGGAGAAAAGCCCAATGCCATAGCCATGTGTATATCCCTATTCCCTAATGTTCGCTATGGTATTCGTAAACATACTTAAATACACAATGCTCAATGAGACGCGCTCATATGCCTCGTGAAGAATCTCAGTCGTTGAGCCATGCCCGCCAGGGGTGTTCTTAGTCGCTTATAGACTTCTCCGCAGCATCGTGCTCGAAGACCGACCCAGCAGGAGACGCGCGGCGCCGTAGGTTCTCGGCCGCTTCCTCTATGTCGCGGCCCTGAGCTTGGGCAAACCGCTCGGGTCTTTGCACCGAGGTAGAGTCGCGGTCCTTGTGGAGGACCAGGGGCGGGTTATCGCGGTAAAAAGCATCCAAGTCTTCCAGAGTACGGTGGGCAGTCTCTGGGTAGAATAAGTAGATGACCGGCAAAAACAGCGCGTTGGTTATGGTCCAGATGATATAGAACTTCCAGCCAAGTTTCTGGATGCCGATGGGTGTGATTTCGACGACGACGAAGTTTGTGATCCAGTTTGTCATGGTAGCAACCGCAGCGCCCTTGGTACGCATGGGAAGACTATAGAAAATTAGTAATTGGCGTCTCTATGTAAGACGTTCTAAGACTTACGAATTGATTTCGGTAGGATAAAGCCACGGAATCTGTAGACACTTAGCATTTTCCGGAGAAGTCGAGCATGGTCGAGACTTACGCCCAGCATTCCTAACCCAAAGCCCACGTAGAAGAGGATAAAGAACGCAACGGAAGCCGAGGCCACCTCGATCTGATGAAGGTAGCCCGGCTTCTCCGCGAAGTTGAGCAATATAGTTACGACCAGAAAGCAAAGGAATTGAATAATTGTTGAGACCATCATCATCTTTCGGCGACCAAGCTTTTCAACAAGTGGAGCTGCAATTAAAGACGAAATCAGGTATATGACTGATGCGCATGCTGAGATAAGACGTGCCATGCTGGAGTCGAGCTTGACAGATTCGATCAATACGGTAGGAAGGTAGTAAGACATGATCTGCTCCAAGTTAGTGGCCATGTTCGAACGAGAAGTCTCACTCTCTGCTATGGTTTGGTTTAAAGTGGGGGACGTAAGTCCGTGTGGCACCCTCCTATTTTTACCAGTTTGAAAGAGGGACTGGACCAAGACTGGGGGTGAGGAATCTTGTAGTACTCACTATATCACGATTAGTAAATACACCAAGTAAATGAGAGACTTTTTGTTTTTTTTCATACGTACCATTGATGCCGCCAAATTGTTGCATAGCTTGGGTACCAGCCCCAAGAGCTAATCGCCGAATGGTCTTGGTTCCAGCCTTGGTGCGACCGCGGAGAAGGTCACCCCAATTAATCGCATTCTCGCGCTCATATTCGATTCCATAAATGATCTCGGTACGTTCTGCGACGACGTATGGGTCGTTAATCGGTTTGTCTTCCAGATCGGCAAGGATCATGGTGGCTTCGGTCTCCTGGCCGTGCGCAAGTAGCCATCTGAATTTGAATACGGTTAGAAAAACAAACGTGTACAAAAGTATCTGAGCGGTAAGCTACATACCTAGGTGACTCAGGTAGCCACGGAATAGTAGAGAAGAGAACAATGCAGAAGAAAAGTTGGAGAGCCAAGGGTAGTCGCCATCCTATAGCGCCCCCTACGAAAGACATCCCGTAGTTGATCCAATTACTTAAGGAGAAACCAAGGATGTTCAACCCCATCTCTAGCATGACAAGCTTCCCTCTGTTATGGACCTTGGATGTTTCCGTTTGCCAAACAGGTGCTGTAGCTGTGTTGATTCCATTTCCGATGCTGTTCTACATATTAGCCTTGCGGGTAACCCCCAATGACGTCTCCGTGCTACATACCCTGAGACGATACGAGCAACGATCATGTGTGGAACACTGAAGGATGTCGCCTGGAGAATGGCGCCCACGGTCATAATTGCGGTACCGACAAGGATGGTCTTCTTCCGGCCGATTGTCTCGCCAATGTAGAACGCGGTTATGGCGCCAAAGAAACAACCAATAGTGTAAATAGCTGTTATGATGGATAGCGTGCTTGTGTTCTCCGGTCCGTTCAAGTTATGGACGTCAAGGTAATTCTGGGAAATGACGACACCGCCTAGAGCACACATGTAAGCAACGCCGATGAAGGGTTCTAAGTAGTATGGTAATTACATACTGAAGATACCCTGATCATAACCGAACAAGGTCATGTCTGTAGCGCAAGCAACCTGTGGATACTATGTTAGTTCGTGTTATCTCTAAGATGAAGAGGGCCAGCATACAGTGATCCAGAACGTTAGCCATTTGCCCTTGAACCCGAAGTAGGGCTGCTTCGTTCTTGATAACTCCATCTTGCTGTTAACGTCGAGAAAGTCAAGTCTACCAGCTCTCTGAGGTCTACTTAGAGAGACAGACAGACGGATAAAAGAAGAAAATTTGGTAAGAAAGTAAAGCTTTCGGAGCGGTACTGTGGAAGACAGGATGGGAAGGTTATGGGTTTCTTATATAAGATACAAAGATCCACCAGATACTTCAAAGAGTAAGATGTATTTGCTAAGACCCTGACGTTTAATGATGATTGGTGTCACGCCGGCACAATACAGCCCGACAAGGATCTTGCTACAAGATATCGTCTTATACCAAGCGTCCGGAAACTGTCCAATCAGACCGGGTACTCGACCCGGTAGTGGATGAGTCTGGGGAAAAGCTGGGGATTGAATCCGGTCCATTCCCCTCAAGATCCCGGGCTTAAGACATCAGGTGACTTGGTCTTGCCGCATTTTGCTAGTGAAAAGCTATGAATGTTATAATGTTATTATCGCCACGGTCTTGTTGGAGCCAATCATATTGTTGCCACGTTAAGTTTCCGCCGAGACAAAGCGTATTGTAAGCCGAAGCGATGTGACGATGTCATCAGATTGACCATGTAAATAAAGTAAAGTAATACAGGATAAGACTAAAGAAAATGCTTATCCTGTTTGCCGAGAATGGCACCCGCCCAAACAGCCAGACGGCGTCAGGACCCACATAGTTAGGTTCATGGCGAAAACAAATAACGGTGAAATAATACATTACGAAATTATCTTTGTTAGGTACTTTAATGCGCGGGGGGGGTATTTCAAAATGATTATATAAGTATTTTAAGGTTAAAAATGGTTACGTTCATATTTTTACGTATTTAAATAATTACGGAATTTTAAAATTATAATGATAATTTTTTTTAAAATAAAAGTTTATTATATATTAAATATATATTTTTTATAATTTATATATTTATTTAAATTTTATATTTAAATATAAATATATTATTAATTAAAATATAAATATAAAAAAGAAAATAAAATTATTATAATTATATATTAAACGCGATTTTATTTTAAAATTAAAATAATTTCGAAATAAAATTATTTTAAAAATAATTTTAATTTTTTAAATAAAAATATTTTTTTTTAAAAAAATATATTAAACGTAAAATATTAATATAATATTATTTTAATAAAAATTTATATTATAAAACATGATTTTAAATATAAAATAATAATGTTTTTAAAAATTATAATATTATTAATTTAAAATAAAAATATTTATTTTTTAATTTAATATAATTAATAAAATAATATTTTTATATAAAATTATAATATTATTATTTTATATTTAATATAATTTTTTATATAAAATAATTTTCATTTATAAATTAATTTTAAAAATAAAATTATTTTTATTAAAAATAATATTAATTTTAATAAATATTTTATAATAAATATTATTTTAAAATAAATTTAAAATTAAAATTATTATATAATAAAATAATATTTATTTTATTATTAATTTTAAAATTAATAATATAATAATAAAATTATTATATTAATTTTAATATAAATATAAATTAAAAAATTATAATTTAATAATTTTTATTATAAAATTAATATTATATAAAAAAAATTATTATTTAAAAATAATATTATTAATAAAAATATTATTATTTAAAATAATATTATATAAATATAATTTAAATAAATGAAATTTTAATATAATGTTTTTTAATAAAAAATTATAAAATTTTAAATAATTTATTTATTTATAATAATATTATAATAAAAATTATTTATATAAAATATTAAATTTATTAAATATCGTATTTATTAAACATTATTAAAAGTTATTAAAATTTAAATTTTTAATTTAATAAATAAATAAATAAATAAAGTTTTTCGTATATATATTAAAAATTTTAATATATATTATTTTTATTAATAAAATTTACATTATAATAATATTAATTTAATATTAAAAATCGTAAAACTTTTTATATTTATTATTTAATTAATTATATTTATTTATAAATTAAAAATATTATTTTATATATTTATTAAAAAAACATATTATATTATATATAATTAAAGTTTTATTATATTATTATTATTATTAATTATTTATTAAAATATAATTAACATGTTTTTAACGTTATATTTAAAAAATTTTACGAAAATCGTTTTATAATATTTTATTAATATTATTTTTAAATTTATTAAATTATATTTATTTATATTAAATATATTTATTTATTTATTTATTTAATTTTATATATGTTTTATTAAATTAAAATTAAAATTTACTTAAAATAAATAATTAATTTAAATGTTTAATTTATTAAATTTTAATAATACGTAAAAAAAAAATAAATTATTTATTTAATTTATTAAAATGATTATAAATTAATATTTTATAACTTATTTATTAAAAATAACCGAAATATATTCGGTTTTATAACGGAAAAAAAAAATTTTACTTTTCGTTATTAAAAAAAAAATTAAAATATATAATTATAACTTTTTTACGTAAAAAATTTAAACTTAATAAAATTTATATAATTATAAATTATAATTTAATTTTTTAATATACGGTTTATATAAATAAATATAACGTTAATAAAAAAAAATTTATAATTTAAATATTTAAATATAATTAAGTTTTTAAATATTAACGAATATATATAATATATTTATTTTATAATTTACGTATTAATTTTTTATTAATTTATTATATAAGCATTTTATAATCGTTAATTTATATAATTTAAATAATAAATATATTATTTTAATTTTAAATATTTTTTATAAAAAATTTTAATTTTTTTTATATTATTAAATAATAATTTAAGTTTTTTTTTATAAATTAAATTATTTTATTTTTAATTATATACGTATAATTATTAAAATAATTATATATTATTAATAAAATAAAAAATAAAATGAAATTATAAGTTTTTCTTTTATAATTAAAAAGTTTAATATAATTATTTTTAATTTATAATAATAAATATTTTAATTTTAATGCGATTTTTTTATACGACCATTTCGTAATTAAATGTAATATTTATATTTTAATTCGTTATTTAATTATAATCTTTAAATTAAATTTTTTTTTTAATTTATTATATATATTATAATTATAATTTATATTTACGTTTAAATTTTTTTTAATTTTAATATTAAAATTAAAATATACGCTTTCGGATTTATTTAATTATTTTTTATTAAAATTATTATTTAAATTATAATTATTATTAATAATATTTAAGTTTATATTTAATTAAATTAATAAAAAATATTTATATATATATTAAATTATATTATAATATTATTAATTTTATAATTTTATATTTAAAATCTTTATATTAATTAAAAAAAATAAAAATATATTAATATTAATATAATATTATTTTAAATTTAATAATAAGTTTTATTTATAATTAATAAATAAAAATAATAATATTTTTAAACGTTATAATAATAAAAAAAATTAAAATTTTATTTAAAAATAATTCTTAAAATTAAATAATAATAATATTTAAATTTATAACGAAAAAATATATTAAAAAAAAAAAAAATAAAATAAGAATTTAAAAAAAAAAATGCCATTTAAAAAATCGTATTAAATGTTTTATTTTAAAAAGTTATTTACTTTTAACTTTTATTTAATTTTAATAATAATATAAAATTTAATTATTTTTTAATGTAATTTTTTTTTATATTTTATAAAAAATTATTATTAAAAATTAATGTTAATATATATAAAAAATAAGTTTTATTATTATAATAAAATATTAAATATTAATACGGGAATATTTATATTTTATTTTATTTTTTTTAATTATTAAAAGTTTTTTTTTTTTTTTTATTTAAAATGTTAAAAGTTATATTAAAGTTATTAATAAAATTAATATTATTAATTTTACAACGTTTTTTTTTAATTAAAGTGATAATAATATTTTTTATAATTTTTAAATTATTTTTCTTAAGTTTTATTTTACGGAATTTTATAACGGTGATTATTATATTAAATTTTAATATAATATTTTTTCGGTTTTATTTATATTAAGTTTATTTTTTATTAAAAGGTATGTTTAATTAATTTATATATAATTTTATTTAAATTATTAAATTTACGTATATATTTATTTTTATTATTAAATATATAATGTTATATATAATTTTTATTTATTTATTTTTATATTATTTAAATATTATACGTTTAAAGTTTTATATATTAACGGTTTTTTTTTAAAATTTAAAAATTTCGAGGTATTTATCCGGGTTAAAAAAAATTAAAAAAAAGATATTAATATATTAATATTTTTTAACTTTATTATTAATTTTATAATTAACGAGTTAAAAATATTATATACATATTCTTAAAAATGTTATTAATAAAATTTTTCGAATAAATGTTAAATTTTAATTATTTTTAAATTATTAATAATGTGGCATTTTTAAATGGTATAATTTTATTTAAAATATTTAATTATTTTTATTTTTTTTAAATTTTTAATTTTTTTTTACTTTTAAAATTATTAAATATAATAATTATTATAAATAAAATTAACTTTTAATTTAATTAAAGTTTAAAGGTAATTTTATTTAAAAATTAAATGCGGTTTAAATATTTTTTTACGGAAGTATTTATAGTTTTAACGGTATATAATTATTTTTTAATTTAATGGAATAATAAAGTTTTATTATTAATTACGTAAGTTTTTATTAACGTTTTTTATTTAATTTATAAAAAATTAAAATATTAAACTTATATATTATAAAATAAATTTTAAGTTTTATTATATAATTAATTAAATTTTTACCATGTTTAAATTTTATTTAATTTATTATAGTTTAAGTTTTTAACGGCGTGTCGTTATTATTATTTTATTTTAATTATATAAAAAGATTTATTTTATATTATAAAATTTAAAATAATAATTTATATAAAATAAAAGGTTATTATAAAATTTAATTTATATAAACAATGGAAAAATAATAAAATTTAAAATCATTTTAAATTTAAACGATTTTAAGTTTAAAAAATTTTAATTTTAACTTTATTTAAATAAATTTTTAAATATAAAAAAATAATAATTTTTATTTTAATTTTATTTTTTTAAGTTTAATATTAATGGTTTTTTAAGAAATAAAAAATAAAAAATATAATGAAAAAATTTAATTTAATTTAAAACTTATGCGTTTTAATTTTAAATATTTAATTTATATAAAAAATAAAATAATGCGTTTAATTATTTAATTTTATATAAATTTATAAATTAATAATTAATTAAAAATAAATTTATTACGATTTATTTTTATTAAAGTAAGTTTTATATATAAAAAGTTATTTATAAAAAATAAAAAAAATTAATTATTTAAAAGTTAATAATATTTAATTTACTCGTATTTTTTAATGGTATTAATTAAAATGTTATTAAATTATTAAAATTAAATAATGCGAATTACCCGTTTATATTTATTATAATTAAATATAAAATAAATATATAATTAAATAAAGTTAATTTTAATAATAATAATATTTTTTTTAATTAAAATAATTATAATATAAATAATATAATTTTAAATAAACTTTTTTTTATTAATAATAAAGTAAAAAATAATAATTTAAATAATTAAAATATTTTAAATATAATTTATTAAATTATATTATAAAGGGCGGATATTAATTAATTAAAATTAATTAATAATATGGTAATTAATAAATATATTATAAAAATATTTAAAAT